CGCAATCTCACGCACCTGCTGCGTAAGATTCGAAGCCATGATATTCACATTATCAGTCAAACTCTTCCACGTCCCCTCGACTCCATGAACAACCGCCTGTCCACCAAGCGTTCCATCCGACCCAACCTCCCGCGCAACGCGACTAACCTCAAAGGCAAATTCTCGCAGCTGATCCACCATCGAATTGATAATGTTCTTCAGCAACAGGATCTCCCCTTTGCAATCCGCTTGCACCTTCCTTGTCAAATCTCCCTTCGCCACAGCCGTGGTCACAGTCGTGATATCGCGAACTTGAGTCGTCAAATTATTCGCCATGGCATTAACATTAACCGTCAACTCGTGCCAAATTCCTTGAATACCCTCGATCCTGGCCTGACCACCCAACACCCCCTCCGTACCAACTTCCCTCGCGACCTTCGACACCTCCTGACTGAAAATCTGCAACTGATCCATCATGGTATTGATAGTTTGCTTGAAGGCCGCGATATCGGGCGACATTTCAAGCGGGTGCATGCGTGCGCGCTGGGATAAATCGCCGTGAGCGACTTGGGTGACGATTTCACCGATAGCGCGGAGTTCTTTGTGAAATGCTTCATTGATGTGTGTGGATTTTCGAAGCTCGTTGCGGAGGGCGGAGCATTCGTGCTCGACCTCTGCGATTGCGCTGTGGGATTCGCGACGGTAGATCAGCTCGTCTACGATTAGTGAGATGAATTCTCGCGGTACGGAGACTTTGGGGGTTTGTTGGTGTTGGAGGGCTGCGCGCGCTTGAGATAGGTCTGCGTCGCTGACCAGGGTTGGTCGGCCCATGTCCACCAGTGCCGCCATGGTGACGGGGTGACTGGGAACTGAACTGGGCTGGGGAGATGAGGAGAGCACAGTTGAGCAGAGTCAGCCGGAATAGATGGGGTTCAATCAATAAAGTGACGACCTCTGCGTCTTTGTTTCAGCTGCAAGGGGGTCAGTGGGGGGAAGGAGTACAAGACAAGAGCTTCGATTGAACTGAGGGGGAGGGGGAGGGGAAAGCGAGGGGGGGGATTGCAGTGGAAGCTGACTCTGAAGAAATGAAACCTGGGGGTGGGCCGATCGAGACGCACGATAAATGGAGAGCAGCCCCGAATAGCAGAAGGTTTGGTGTTGTCTGGTTCGGTCTGGAGTAGAGTGGAGTGGAGCGGATAGACAAGCGATCTGACACATGAGCATAAAGAAGTACTGAATCCGTACTGATCAGTACTGCGGTCTCACGCGCTGTCTCCACCGGTCACAGGTGGTGACACCGGTTAACCAGTCTGTTAAAAACAGAAAAATAGATAGCGGAGTGGAGAGGAAGCAGGTGAGCAGGTGTGACGAGGGGGGAATGGGGTGAGAAGGTAAAAGGAAGAGACAAACGAGGAATGAGGCCGAGTGGCAATGCCAGATTAAGTCTAGACCGCAGCGGGCACTCCGCACTCTCCTGGCTGGAATTGCCGACGGGCGTGACCAATGATCCCACGCCTGACCCATCACATTGGAGAACTTGAAATTCCACCACGGGAAGCTATGGCAGGGGGAGTAGCAGTGAGGCTACATCCGAGGTACAGAGCTACAGAGCTACAGTACAGTACGGAGTAAAACTAGACTATTTGTATACTTAACAACGTTGCAGATCGGGCGGGTCGATCTGGTCCACCAAGAACCGCACAAAGCGCAACGATCCACCATACCCAATAGGAGACAATGAGAATGCCGATCAGAGATGCATTAAACGTAGATAAAACAGTATGATACATAGTTGCGCCGGAACCTTTTTTCGAGCCCCAGGAGAAGAGTGGAGAGGAATAAGAAACAGCACACAACACACACAAGAATACAGGTATAGGAAAAGATCAAAATAAAAAACACATTACAAGAGTTCCAGGGCCGTCGAGGGTCGGACGGCGATGCAAGAGATCAAGGGGATCGGAAATCATCATGGAGACACATGGAGACACGAGGGAGATGGGGAGGAGGGATGAAAGATAAGAGACGAAGGCGTTTAGAACATACCACCGCCCATGCCGCCCATACCACCCATACCACCCATGCCACCGGCGGGGGCAGCAGGGCCCTTCTCCTCGGGAGCATCGACGATGACAACCTCGGTCGTACCGAGCAGGGAGGCAACACCGCTGGCGTCAACCAGACCAGTGCGGACAACCTTGAGGGGGTCGACGATACCGCTGGCGATCATGTCAACGTACTCGCCCTTGGAGCTGTCGAATCCACGGTTGAAGTCCTTGGCGAACTCGTCGGTGAGCTTGCCGACAATGACGCTACCCTCAAGACCGGCGTTCTCGACGATAGTGCGGGCGGGGCGGGTGATAGCGCTCTTGATGATGGAGACACCGAGCTGCTGATCGAAGTTGGCGGGCTTGACGTTGTCCAGGGCGTTGGCGGAGGCCTTCAGGAGAGCGGTACCACCACCGGGGAGGATACCCTCCTCAACGGCAGCGCGGGTGGCGTTCAGGGCATCCACGACACGGTCCTTCTTCTCACCAACCTCAACCTCGGAGGAGCCACCGACCTTGATGACGGCGACACCACCAGAGAGCTTGGCGAGACGCTCCTGGAGCTTCTCCTTCTCGTACTCGGAGGTACCGGGGTCGGCCATGACGCCGCGGATCTGCTCGCAGCGCTGGGCAATGCTGTCCTTGCTGCCCTCACCGTTGAGAATGATGGTGTCCTCCTTGGTGATGGTGATGGCACCGGTGGTACCGAGCATCTCGGGGGTGAGCTTCTCAAGCTTGATGTCGAGCTCGTCAGTGAAGACGGTACCGTTGGTCAGAACAGCCAGGTCACCCAGGATGCTCTTGCGGTTGTCACCGAAGCCGGGGGCCTTGACGGCGGCGACCTGGAGCTGTCCGCGCAGCTTGTTCAGGATGCAGACGGCGAGAGCCTCACCCTCGATGTCCTCGGCGATGATGACCAGAGGGCGGCGGAGGGTGGTGGAGGCCTCCAGGGCGGGGATGATGTCCTGGACAGCGGAGATCTTCTTCTCAGAGAGCAGGATCAGGGGCTTCTCGAACTCGACCTTCTGGGACTTGGGGTCGGTGATGAAGTAGGGGGAGGTGTAGCCACGGTCGAAGCGCATACCCTCGGTGACCTCGAGCTCGTCCTCCACGGTCTTGCCCTCCTTGACGGTGATGACACCCTCCTTTCCGACGCGCTCCATGGCGGTGGAGATGAGCTTGCCGATGGCAGTGTCGCCGTTGGCGGAGATGGTGGCGACCTGAGCGATCTCCTCACCGGTGGTGATGGCACGCTTGTTCTCGACGAGGTACTGGACGGCGGCCTCGACGGCGGCCTGGATACCGCGGCGCAGATCCATGGGGTTGCAGCCAGCGGCGACGTTCTTCACGGTCTCGGAGAAGATGGCACGGGCCAGAACGGTAGCGGTGGTGGTACCGTCACCAGCAGTCTCGTTGGTCTTGGAGGCGACATCCTGGAGGAGACGGGCACCGAGGTTCTCGAATTTGTCCTGCAGAGTAACAGCCTTGGCGACAGTCACACCATCTAATCGAGTTAGCCTTTTTTTTTTTATTTCCCGTCTTCGGTTCGCGATAACACCGAGTTGCGCCGAATGTGTGACATACCCTTGGTGATCTTGGGGGAGCCGTAGGGGGACTCGATCAGGACGTTGCGGCCCTTGGGAACCCAGAGTGGAGGTAACGGCCTTGGCCAGGGTGTCAACACCCTTGAGGAGGTTGGCACGGGCTTCGACACCGAACTTGAGCTCCTGGTCGGGAAGTTAGCTAGGATGCACCGAAGGGCTTTCGGAATCAACGGAAGATGGAATCGGGGGCCATCGGAATATCGGACCGAGGACAATTGGGATTGAAGGAGTATCACGCCAAATATCACGTACCTTGTGAGCAAAACGCTGCTGCTGGAGGTTCAGGCCGGAGCGGTAGAAAGGGGCACGCTTGGAAGCGGCGGAAAGGACCGAAGTCCGGGTAGACAGAGCGCGCTGCATTATGAAGAAACAAAACAATTAAAAGGAGATGAGCAAAGAGAAAAAGAACAACCCGATTGGGGATGAAGGGTTGAGAGGAGGGGATGGAAAGAAGAGAGAGGTAGCTGGGGAGATGAAGCCAAAGTCTCGAAAATTTTCCCGGCGCTTCTTCCCCATCCCCAGACTTGGCGGCAGAAAGAGCTAGAAGGTCACGTGAATTGTTCCCGAGGTATCGGGCGGGCGGCTGTATGGACATAACCATAATTGGTAGTAGCAAGCTCATCTAGGGTAATCTATATAGGATAAAGACTCGGACACAATTTGGAATGGACTCGGTGGAATCTCCAATCACTTGAATCTTCTCATGGTTGGGTTTCAATCCGTGGTGGGAGAACCATAGTATCGGAAGGAGAACCCGATTCGACACGATAGTATATATAGTGACAACCCTAGGAAATTCTAGGTTGAAACTCCGAGTCCCATTATAACCGTGACGGCATACTAACATTTTAGGCGCACCCACCTGTGTACTGGGCTCCTGAGAATTAAATAAAGAGCCTATTCAATTGAATAAAATATCACTTTCCTAGCATCAACTGCCAGTCTAGACTGCCTTCTTGGTGTTCGGAACAAGACCGGGCCGGCACTGCCCGCCCAACAACTTTCGGTGGAGCCGATCCATCTTAGTTTCCCCGTCAACTCAGCTTCTTGCCCAGATTCACTAGTAGTTAAACGTCACGGTACTACTCCTAGTAATAACTACAGGCAAGAACGAATAACATTAACTTGAAGATCAGCATCCCCATATCATTCTTCACCTCGAAGCCTTTGATTTTTCATGCTTTATTTCGCTCTCCTAAATTTCACCGAATTGTCGTACTGCCTCCCAAACCTAAATGACTGATCTCGTCTTCCCCTGCCCCTTCTCCTAAAAGAGGCCCACAATCCCTCGTCTTCTGCATCTCCTGTATTTTCTGAACCGACAGAAGCTTCCATGGACCCGATCATTTCACAACAGAGGACGGCGGGGCTAGAAGGTCCCTGCACCGGGATCATCCTCATAATCCACTAACTCCTCAAAGCACGGGGAAGATATGTTGCCAGCATTGATGAGCAGGTCCTGCGGATTGATAGCATTCGCATTGTACAACGAAGGCGGGAGACCATATCCAGGACTCGGCATGCTAATCTGCATCTCGAGAGCTCGATGATCCTCGGGCGAGTAAAAGAATCCACCCGGGGAAAATGGCGGCTTTTGAGAGCTTACCGGGGTTTGAGGATATTGCTGACCACGTGCAGCATATCCACGGCTTTGTGAGTGAGTCGGATATTGTGCATACCTGGGAGTCGGATTCTCTTGGAATATGGGGCGCTGGACATATGTCTTCGGGTCGAAGAAGTCGACACTTTGTAGCGCGCCTTGAAATGGTGCGGGATTGTGGTTCAAGGGCTGCAGCTGCGGGTTCGGTTGCATTGGATATTGTGACGGCGATTGCATGAAGTCCTGTACCCTACTAGGAGTACCTCCCTGATTACAATCGCCAGTCATCTGCAAAGCCTCGGGGCTCCAGAAACGGTCGATATTGGGTTGGAGTCTCGGAGTCTTTGGTGAGTTTCCTCCCATGGATGCCGGGGTCGACGAGTGCTGCTCGTCGACAGCCTCTGATGAAATCATGCCAGCGGTCCGACTCTTGAAGCTAACACGGAGTTTCTGCTTTGCTACAGGACTGGGAGTCTTTTTCTCAAAGATCTCGCTCTTCTGGATATCCGCAATTGCAGGGCTGGCAAATCTGTTCAGATCGGTCATCTCTTCTTTCTCGGAGCTCAGAGTATCGCCTGATTCCTCTGACGAAGACTCGGGTGCATCACTAGGTGCGTCAGTTGGAGTTTCTGACTTAGCAGGGAGGAATTGGAGGAAAGGGGCATCCACACACGCTTTCTCGTTCTCGGGGCTGATCTTCCCGGCAGACGGCTTGGTGCGCTTCTTCGCACTTGCACTTGCACGCCGGGTCGATGGCCGCTTTTGCTTGCGCGTGGTTGGAGCCCCATACTCGGGGTCCGAGCCGCCGGAAGAGAGATCATCGACGTCTTCTTTGGGGAGAGCATCGACCACACCACTCTGCTGAACAGAGCCCTTCGAAGCCCCTTTGTGGGAGCCTGCAGCAGCACGTCGGAGTGGAGGCGGGACGATCTTTCCATCCCTGACCCGACGACTACGCAACTTGGATAGGTGCTGCACAATTGCACCTTCCGTGTACTTTGGTCCCATGGTGGAAGCCACCAGGTCCCATGGTATCTTCGTGTTGCTCGAGTTGCAGGCTGCCTGGATGGCGAGCAACAGGTGTGTATCAATATCGGCTATTCAGGTTAGCACAAAAACGTGGTATGTGAAGGTTGAATGCCGGAAGTGACGTATGACCATGCAAGGCGAAGCACAATGGCAGAACTTTCTGAGATCCATGGAAAAAGCAGTAACCCAAATGCATGGGAAATTCCAGATGAAAGCAGGGGAAGCACTTACTATCCCAGCGCACCAGATTGCGCTTCTCCTTTCTGGGCTGAGCGGATGCCTTGCCTGGTGCCATTTTGGTGGCACCAGCAAACAGAACCTTTGCCGTTGGAGTTGATGGATTGTTTGGGTGATTGGAAGGTGAGGTGAGAATTCCGTTGACTTTGGATCGGAAGTTTAGTTCTCCGAAACTATATGATTGCCTTGATTCTTGACTGCTCAGAGAACCCGTCACAAAGCGCAGACATACCGTGCAAGCTGCATGATTGTTACCGTCAGTAGCAGAACAATTTTGTTGCAAGAATGGGACTAAAAGACTGGGGTTGAAAGTGTGCACGGCTTCCATGATTGGTACTGTGCGACGAGGGAGTGATAGTGTATGCGGGAGCACATAATAAACCCATGCAGAGCGTATACGACCAAAGGAGAAAGCAAGAACTCATGCACAAGAAGTGCACTGCTCATCAAGCTTCGCTTCCCTTCGGTTCAGACCAAAGGCATCACAGGAACCATAAGAGCAAGCATGCTTAGATGCACTGAAAACAACGGTGCAAGTTGTGTTTGGACTTACTGTGTTCAGGGGTGTTTAAGTGTGTTCACGAATACCAGAACGCATGCGTGCAGGAGAGAAGAGAAGACAAAGGGCGAAGGTGAGAGGTAAAGTGGGAAGGGGAAAGGAAAAACGTGGGGAGCGAGGGGCGAGGGCAAAAGTCGGGGAAAGAGTGAACAGTAAACAGTGAATGGTGTGGGTGGTGTAGGTGGTGTAGGTGGGTGGTTGCCAAAGATGGAAGGCGCCCCTACTGCCTGAGAAAGTGTAGTATATGTCCATAGTGCCCAGTGTCCATGAATTAGCTGTTACGCCCTGACATTTCCCCTCGGTAGAGCCAACAGGTGAGCTCAATAGATGAATTATCCGTGTTGTCGCGGTAATTGTGATTATGATTCTACCAAGGAGTGTATTAGTTAGGGAGGATGGTGACATGACTGGAAACTTAAATGTATCATAGAGGAAGCTTTATAGGCTGTGAGAGGGCCCAGGTCACATGATTCAAGCAATGGAATTCAAGTTTTCAATGAATATCCGGGCCCTGTTGAAGAAATGAAAAGGAAAAGAAACCTTAAATACATCTATACTGATACTAGTATTGTTTTGTTGCCAATGGTGTTATAGTATGCAACCATATCACGTGACTGATGCCTCCATCCATTCACGTGACACTGGAAAGACAGAGATAACACGTGACTTGCGACTCCCGAAACTCCGGATCGAATGCTTCCAAACTCACCCGAGCCCGTTTTCACCCCTTCAATTCAATCCACCCACCTCCCCCATCCACATTCAAAATGACTGCCGCCTGGAAGGCCGCTGGCCTCACGTACGTCTTCTCGGTTGCCGAATTTCTAACCCTCCGCTCACCCCGATTCCCAGTTACAACCGCTACCTGGCCATTGCCGCCCGCACCGTGCGCCGCTCTCTGAAGGAGACCCCCCGCCTGAACTCCGAGCGCCGCGGCCAGATGGACCTTCGTTTTGCCAAGTGGGAGGTTAGTTGACTCGCCCGAATACGATCTTTGAAACCGCCGGGAAACTAACGGAGGATTTGCAACTGTTTAGAACGGCAAGCAGGGTGAGGCCAAGTCCCTCGCACAGGCCAACAACGAGGCTCTCGCCCAGGCCGAGAAATAAACGGATCGACCAGTCATCTCCAATTACAAACATTGAGAAACCAGGAGATCGTCATGTTGGGAGGAGCGATGAACCCGGTGGAATCCAGAAAGCGGAGGAGTAGCGCGGACCCCCGGGGAGACATTGAACTTTTGTACATGTGTAGCAATACAGGCACACGCGTCTGGGTAGACTAAGCCTAGAAATCGCACTCGTCCTTTTTTGACCATTTTCGTATTTCTATATTTTCCAGCTTTGTCGTAGAAATGACCTTGATGTTGTGGCTGGAGCTGGGAATTGGGAGCTTGTCGGTAAAGCATCGCTGCACGTCAGAGGTCTTACTCTTACTCCTGTCGCCTGCCACTGCCACACCTGCCCGAATCGCTTTTTCCGCCCACCCCCCACCAACCCCTCGAGTCATTGTACTCCAACTATTCCCCTCGGCGATCCTCGACCTGGCGATTTTCCTTCCTTCCATGAGATCGACCGGCCGCGGATTGCAGAGCCTCGAATCTCTGTGCGATGCTCCCGAATAACGAGGTGCGCTTGCCCCCTCCGCGGGCTGCGCCGTCTCCAGCAGTGCCCCGCGACATCACTGCCGAATTCACCGAGGCTGCTTCCAGTGAGTTGATGAATTCCTCGAGTGGGCTATGCTTCCAATCTAACTGTTGGACTCCTTATACTAGAGCTCAAGACTGGACAGCTTGTCAAGGATGAATTATTTACCCTGTTCGAGGCAGTGGGCGCATTGGAGGTGCGTCATCGTCACACAGTGACCCTAAAGATATACTGGAGGAAATCAATTGAAGACTGATCATGGATCGAAATGGAAACAGATTATGGACTCGAAAATGGATAGTGGTTATATCGCACCCGGCGAAAGTCACGTACAAGCGTTGGAGGACGATTACGATGTGCGACAGGCCTTGACACCAGAGCAGGTTATAGGGTTGATGGATCAACTTCTTTGCCATGAAGTGAGTGTGCAGCCCCACTGCTATGGGGGAAAACATCCAGCTTATACGATTGCAGATGGCATGGCACATGGGCCACCCTCTCTCCCAAACCCTCTTCACCTCGATCTACCTTGATAAGTTACTTTGGCCAGTTCCGAAAACCATGGGAGATGCCCGTTTTGATCGCGTATCGAGCGAATCGCCTCTCATCAGTCTCGTTCTCCGATCATATTGCCTGGCCCTCGTCAAAGCATGCGACTTCGTTCATGCTCGCATAGCGACCGAATATTACTATGAGGTAGCGTTGAAAACGGTCCGACCTTCGGTGGAAGTCTATTGCTGACAGCTTTCGCTTCATAGGAAGAAGACTTTGTCTCCCAATTGTACAATCGCAACCTGCTGTCAGGATTTGACCCTTCACACTTCTTTCGCCTGCTGGATCAGGCGGTAGAGTGGGTGGATGCCCAAGAAACGATAGATCAGAAGCTTCGAGATGCCATTCGATGCAGATTGCTGTTTCGGCATGAGTTCCTCAGTGCGCTTGATGAAGACCTCGAAGTTCTTGACACCAGGTCAACAGACAATTTCGTGTCATGCCTATCGACCTTGAGTGGCATTACAGAAACTGTTGCTCTTGGCACACCTGTACCAGAGGCATTTAGCCTAAAAATCCAACGGAAGCTGGCCAGCACGGTGCCGCCTCGTCCTATTGTTCAAATTAGCCCCGAGGATGCACTTGCTCATCTCAAACGACTTTGCCAAGATGCGATCGATATGCAGGAGATGCTGGACTATAGGGGACCGAGCAACTTCAAGGTACTGCAACCTTCTTTTCCTTTGTTTTTTCCTTATTTTTTTTCTTCTTTTATCTTTGCGATTGTTGACCCGTGTCTAGACCGCAATTTGGAGTCTGCTCTCCCGGAAACCCCAACCGTCTGTTTACATTCGTTGTCTCCTTCAAGCCCTGATTGTGAGCGACATGACCATCCTGGGCGCGGTCCCAGTCAAGAAATTTCTGTATGACGATCTGGCGGAGCTGGTCTTGCCATCCAGTGTGTTACTCCAAGCGAACACCGACGAAGTAGAATTGCCGTCCGACCCTCGGTTCCAGATTGCCCAAAAGATGGAAGGGTTTGTGAAACGATTTTCCCAGGTATGTTCCCCAAACTGGCTTGAATGGCCTGATGCTAATCCATGCAGCCATTTGTGGATACTGTTCGAGCTGCCTGTCTGAATCGCTGTCGAATCCGCCGAACCGTGTGTCATACCGTGGTGGATTGGGACAATTTACAAATGGAGGTACGCGAGTACGCTAGGAACCACACTAGGAACCACAACCCCCAGCAACGTACAGTAACTGACATGACCACTATTACTAGGCCGAGGAGCTGGATCTGGATCTGCAACGATTGAGCGACGAGCCCCCGTTGCAAATGAAAGGAGGTGAAACCACATTCTCTTTCCCACTCAGCAGCTGGGCCTACCACCAAAAACTCATTCAGATCCGACGTATCATCCAGATGGGCTTTGAACTGTCGATCTACGCACCCGAGGAATCGGCGGGGATGTATTGGTACCTGTCGTACATCTGTTCCACCCACCTCGGCCATCTCGACCGCATCCGTACCTTCACTGTCGCGGCGCGCAAACGAGATCTCATTTCCGCCGGTGATCGCTCGGCCGACTCGCAAAAGTCAGCGGCCTTCCACCGCTCGTTCCGAACCCTGGAGAGAATGACCACCCAGCTAATAGCAGTCGATGCATTTGCAATCGCTCTGCACGCTCTATACGTGCTTCTCACGCGACATGGGGTACTTCCTTGCGCTGCGGGTGCGGACGCTTACTCTACCGATCGACTACGCTATGAACTGCGCATGAAACCGTTTATCCCAATCTCTCTTCCGGAGCTGGTTCCTTTTGAGGAGTTCCAACGGGAGTCGGCGCTAGAAGGCGATTCCGATGCGATCATTCTGGATCGCGCTAGCCAGGCGATTACGGAAGCTCGGAAGGCGTGGGATGTGTTGCTTTCTCAGGGAGCTTTCCTCGAGGAGGCTGGGTCTGGGTCTGGGACTGGGTCTGGCGCTGGTAAAGAACCGCCTAGCGCAATTGAGGAGGACTGGAAGCGGGATGTCAAGGATGCGATGCGGGCGTGCATTGGAGCGAGCATTTCGATTGAAACGGTTCGGAAGGCGCTAGGGAGCAATCGGTCGCCGACGGCCCAGCAACCGTTGAACCTTGAGGTGACGATCCCTGAGATCGGCAGTAAATCGCGATGGCATGAGTGGTGGGTTGTGCCGCAAGTGAGCGAGAAGAAGAGCCAGTGATAGATGGGATGATTAGTACGTATACCTCTCTCATGATCTACTAGTATCGACGAGTAGTATTAGTATATATATTACTAGGGTACTGCTGTACCCGACATCCCGGTATAAACGCATCAGACTAGTATTACGAACTCCCGACATGGGTGTAGATTAATATATTGCGGTGGAGACAAGGTGCTCCTCCACGGAGAAAAACCGAGAACTCGAACCCATCACGACTCGGAGACTTGAATAAATAATCGCCAGAGAATACTCTTCAGTGGTAGTAGTACTATAAAACAGCTCTACTACAATAAATTCCGCATCGGGCGTGCAGTGGTGAACCAGGGACCGTGACCACAGCTTATGAAATCATCGACTTCACTTCGCCCACTCGCACCTTCGACCTTCACTTTGACCCCCCACAGCTTTCCTTTCTTGCTACACTGGCAGGTACCAGTACATTTTATTCGACCGGGGAAAATCTTTGTCTTATTCCCCTAGACTCTCGCTATCACACACACCACCTGGACACATCACATTCTCCTCCGACTCCCCAATCCCCGGACCTCATCGGCTGCGGCTGCGGCTCCGCTTCGACCTCCCCCAATCTGCCTCGGAATATCCTACGAGATCCTTCTATGCCACCCTCTGCCTCTCAACTCCACGACCCCCGTCCGCCCAGCCAAGGACTCGATCTCGATCTCGATCTCGATTAACCAAAATCCTCCCTCCTCCAACACCCTCCTCTACACCTACAAGTTGCGAAAAATGGCAACATACCCCATCCGTCGCCGACCGCGCGAGTGCAAGACCTGTCTACCGTGCCGCGCCAGCAAAGTCCGCTGCGATCGCAACGTCCCCTGCTCCAATTGTGTCAAACGCAACTTCACCTGTTCCTACGGCCGACCCTCATCCAATCGACTTCCCATCTCTTCCTCCTCTACCACCCCGCTCCATTCCTCCTTCCTCTCCCCGGCTTTTCCGCCCACCTACCCGGGAGCAACAGCAGCATCAGCAGCGCCACAACCACCACCGCTGCTCTACGATAATACCGATGCGGTCTCCACCATCACCGATCGACCCTCCCAGGCCAGCGACGATGCTGATCTCCCCGAGTTAATCGACATGTCCCAGGGCGAATGGGATGAGATAAATAACAAGATGGCTGCGATGGAGCAGATCATCGGGAGCTTGAATTCAATCTTCCAATCCCACTCTTCCCGCCGCCGTGTCGATCATCATCCACCCCTGCTCCAGCCACAACCGGAGTCGGAAGATGTGCCGGAGCGCAAATACTCCTCTCGGTCGGAGGGTGTATATGGTGCCAACTCATCTCGTACCGGCGCGGTTCATTTGGGATCCCGTTCGGCGCTGGTCGATATCTTGGATAAGGCGAGGGGCTCAACGGATATTGCGCAGGCGCTACCTCAGGAGGATCTACTTGCGGATCTTGCGTTGGGAAATGAGTCGGCCGCATACCCTTTTGTAGATCTGTGGTCGTCGGACCCTTATACTTTCAATATTGCGGGCGTGTGTTCGGTGATTCCCGAGGATGATCAGTGTAAACGGTATGTGCTGATGAAATGCTGCTGTTGTTGTTGTGAGATTGTGTTGTGTTGTAGAACGCGGGTTCTTGCGCAGACATGGCGAATTTGCAGGATAATATGGCTGACATTTTCCCCCTTCTCCCCCTTGACTCAGATTCTTGGGCTTCTATAAAAAGATTGGCGCGGTGTTGTACCCGGTGTTACCGGACCTAGACGAACTGGAGTACAAGACGAATTGCTTACTCCAGGGGCGACGACGCGCGGGAGGTATCTATAAGCCGGATGCCAATGGGTTAGTCAAACCGTATGGAATGGATTTGCCCTTTCTGAGCCTGCTTTTTGCGGTTCTTGCTTCCGGCTGCCAATTGTCCGATATTTCGGAGCGAGAGCGCGAGTTGACCTCGTGGGTATACGGTGCGTTTGAAGAAGAGCTGCTGCGCTGCTTTCGCAGTGTGGTGGCACCAGTAGCAACAGTGGCAGCAAGAGACTCATGATATTGTGGAATATCTTACTGACCATTTCCCTTAGTTTCTTGTGCATATCAATGTCTTCGGATGTTGAATTATGTTTCGCAGCCCACGGTGGAAGCCATTCAAATTCTTCTTATTATCAGCAATGTCCTGTCATATAATATGAATGCCGGTGCTTCGTACACTTTGCTAGGTATGTTCCATTCTCAAATAGAACCCTTTGATTTGACGCTCAACTGATCTGGTATTTAGGCATGACGGAGCGCATGTGTCTTGTTCTTGGTCTTCATGTGGAATCCACGGGGTTTTCACTCAAGGAGCAGGCGATCCGGCGCCGCGTCTGGTAAGATGGGATGGTTCTTTCCTCCTCGCTGTTCCGATTTGCTAACATCAGTAGGTGGGCAATGGCTTTCCAGAATAGTCATTTCTCGCTTGCCTATGATCGACCCTCCATCACCATGGTCAGCCAACCCGAAATACCCTTCGATCGTAAATCCATGCCGGGACATCGAACATACTTCGAGACCCTATGTCGCGTGGTCTCCTCGCACTCGAAGTTCTCCGATCCCGAATGTATCCAGAGGCTTCCCAGCCCCGATTCCACGAGATCCGCGAATGCAAGCAGCGTATTCAGCGCATGATCGCCGAAGCTACCCCCCACCTCCGCTACAAAGCGCAATGTCACTCGCTGGTCGAGCACATCGAACGAACAGAACTGCGTCTGCATTCATCGTACCTCCTCTCCGTCCTATGTCGTGTCTCCCTCGACCCACACTCCCACTTTGACGAGCACCGCCGCGCCATAATTCGCGAAGACTGCATAGCAAGCCTAATCGACACGGTCGATGCATTCGTAGAACTGCACGAAATCAACTCCCACTGCTCCCGCTCATGGATAAGTCTGCAGCGCTCCATCGCCTCCGCTTTCCTGCTCGTCGCCAACGACGACAGCACCCAGACCTGGATCCTAATCGACCGCCTGGAAACGGTCCTGGCTGACCACGTTTATGCGGACGGTGATGCGGACCTGAACAACCGCACCGACTCAGCGAAGCATCTTTCCTCGTCCCTGCGCGCGTTGCGCGAGATCCGCGAATCTTTCCGCGCGCGCAAGGCTGTTCCCCTTCCCTCGGCTGATGTTGGTCCGACGATCCCGATCCAGAACCCCTCGTCTTTGGTGTGGCGCTCGCCGCCTTCTTTCGAAGCCGAGTTGGAGATCCCGACTACTATGGTCACGGGCAGTGATGGTGTCGGCGTGCCTGTGTCGGCGGCTGCGCTCCCGGATGAAGATTGGAGTATGCGGAATATCTTGGGGAGGGTTCCGGATGTTATGCTGTTCCCGACTATGAATGGGCAAAGTCCGGCGGTATGAGCGTTCGTTTTGGGGATTCGATTCGAATATTCGCATTGCATGACGGCGTTATTTTATTTTGGGTCTGGAATCCGGAGCTTCATCTTGTTTTCATATTTTTTTTAAGACGGAGGAGGCATGGGAGAAAAGGTTCGGTAGGGACGAACGTCTGACAATTTTCGCGAACAGTCAGCCTTTTTGGTTCTTTTTTGGCGTTTCATTTTGTATACCCTGTCAGTCAACCAGCGACTCCGGCCCAGCCCAGCCCAGTCGAGTCGAAGCCGATGAAACGCGGCGTGTTGCGGCTCCATACTTATTCATGTACATACATATCAATCGTCCACAGGACAGAACATAATACTGCCATTTATCGCAATCGATCTACTAAGCATCACCGAAGAGAGGGGCTTCAGCCCAGTCAACAGACTGCAGTTGTGATCATGATATCATTCCGCATTGATCTCGGCGCTCAGTTTCAAGTAGACCAATCAAGCAGATAGGCAGGCAGGTGAGTAGGCGCCCGGTGCAGGGAGACAAGGTGATTTGAAGAAGGAGAAGAAAAACCAGTCTCCAGAACATTATCGCGCCGCTCGCGCGACGAACGCGGCGCACTAGGACATTATATCATTTTAACTCTCCTTCGCCCTAGTCACACGCTCACTTCGTCCCATTCCTCGTATGCACTCCGCTTACCTCCGCCGGCCGAGCATCTTCATCCGGACACATCCGGCTCATTTAATTCGCAGCTCACGGTTTTCCGCCGTGCAGAGTGGATTCTTGGGTTCAAGTTCGTGTTGGATTGGAAGGGAAAGGAAGGGGGGGTGGGCACCGTTTGGCCGGCCGAGAAATCACCGCGGGCCGTTGGTCTTGTCTTTTGGTTGATGTGGATCAGGCGATCGACGCCTTGCTTTGCTTTGCTTTGCCCTTTGCTTTGCCCTTTACTTTTTCCCCACAGCTGACTTACATCAGTACGAGTGCTCCTGTCGGCTACGTATGCTGTTGCTGTTTGCAGCGTCGAGATGGGGGGAATATTGGAATGTGGGAGTTTCGAGCGAGGGAGGGTTCGGTTTGGTTTTTGGGATGCTCTTGCTGCTGGTCCGTCATGGGTTGGTTCTTTGAAGGCCTCCTGTCCGATGGAGTCTTCTTGATCTAGGGCTGGTTGGCTTGGATTCGGGTCTAAGATCGGCGTTGTGAATGTGGTTGTGATGGTGCGGTGTCCTTGCGCTGCACTGGACTGCACTGTACAGGGTGAGTCGTAGGCAGGGCACGGCCTTTCTTTTCTTGCAGGATGCGAAATAAATGAGATGACTATTGATTTGGCTGCACATAACTTACGATCTGATCCTGGCACCGAATCTGTGCCTGATCCGACGGGCAAGAATGGGGGCTGCGCTGATGGCCTAAGCCTGTCTTGTCTCTTTTCTCTCCTCTCATCATGCTCGGCGAGACATCACTGAGAATGGATGGCATGTTTCTGCTTTATTCTAGATATAATGCTGCATACATGGCACTAGGCACTATACAGCCCGGAAGGACAACAATCCTATGACTAACTAGCGTGTTCAAACCCCGAGATGATATCTGTATGAGTATCTATGTCACTGGTCTCTAGTTCCACGTCTATGTCTAGGTGATTCATAAATCCCTTCCATTAATGTTTCAATCCATAGGCGTCCATCGCATCCATCATGTCATCCGGGGCGCATTACCCGAGCGACAGCTGTCATATTTCGACGTAGCTTCCTCGGCATCGCCGTGATCAAATTCTCGCTCCGGGATCTGCAGTGCCATCGCTCGGGATGTACATGCTAGGTTGGCTAGCGTAACGGGATTTGCTCATGTTTGGCAGTTGGGATTTTGATTTTGATTTTTGACCATTTGTCTCTTTCTAAAGAAGGCATGCTCGTTGCCGTTTGTGAGGTGAAAATAGTTCAATTTAGTTCTTAGTAGGTAATTAGTTTATATTTTGTTTAGAATCGTATGAAATGGGTGCATTCAAAGCTACTAGCTACTCCGTAGTAGCAGGCTCAATCCTGCAATCCACACGGGAGATGTTCTCCAGAGAAGGAGAACCCCTAAAGACATGTCGTATGAGTCTAGACCCTATCAAAACAACTCCCCATTCCACCGGCATTTTCGACTAAATTATGTCATAATGCAAGGCATAAATTAGGGGAAGGTAAATGCCGGGTTTGAAGTGATGACCCTTAAAATGTGAAACGGGCTAAAGGTAGCGTGGTTTGAGATGGGAGTGCTACGTTGAATAGTACGGATTGTACCGAGTACTCGTACTGCGTTGAACTATTTTAACAAATAAAATCAGAATATGTTGTGAGAGATCTCCACGTTTACTCCAACAGAGCAAGCTGATACAATCCTCATGGTCCACTCTTCTTGTGCCAGGCCGACGAAATCGGCTTAGTTAACTTTTCGCCCCCAACTGCCGCGTCGCATCGTCATTTCCCCTGATGTAATCTCACATTGAAGTAAGCCCTACGAGCCTACAGCCACAATGAGCCCCCCTGAGAAAATCAGGCCTAAATTTGCACTTTGTCGTACTAGTAGTATAACTACGAGTACGCGATGCGGAGTACATAAACTAAAGTTGCACCGCATTCTGATCACAGAACGCCATGTGGACCATAATCGACGCTAGCTTCTCGCATTCATGAATGATTGGAATACTAAATACCCTTTTTAAATGTTAGGGAGGCGTTTAAAATATCCGTGAAGTAACCAAAGACGGAGCTACCCTCATCGTGAAGTCAAATCAAGGAATAAGTTCAAGGGCAGTTACCCGAAAAGGAAATTCCTCGATTCTGAGACGCGCACATCTTTGCTCTTCTCGTGGCGGTTCAAATCGGAGTTCTGCAAGCTCGTTACATCCCCTGAACTAGTTAAGTTCCACCTGAAGATCTCTGGGCATTTTCCAGAAAGATTCTGGGGTACTGGGTACAGCCCTCTATCGCAAATGGTATTTAGATAGCTCAGGGGTCTTGCCGACCTCGAAAATAATTACTGTCCGTTTTCCCTTCAGGCAATCAAACGAAGTGATCTTTCACTCTTTCTTACAATGGGCGTTCTTTCAAAAGTAGCCGCACTAGGTGCCTTTGCCGGTCTAGCCACAGCCTGGTTACCCGAAACCAACAAGAAGATCCAATCCAACGACGGAAAAAACCTCTTCACCTCATCGAACGGTAAAATCCGGGGTGTCAATCTCGGCTCGCAATTCATCTTCGAGCCATGGATTGGAACAAGTGAATGGAATTCCATGGGATGCGGCTCCACGGGCTCTGAATTCGACTGCGTGAGCTCACTAGGCCAAGACGCCGCCAACTCCGCATTCCAAAAGCACTGGGGCGACTGGATCACCCAGGACGATATCTCGGAAATGGTCAGCTACAGCCTGAACACTATTCGAATCCCCGTGGGATACTGGCTCCGCGAAGACCTGGTTTACTCGGACAGTGAGCACTTCCCTCAGGGTGGATTGGACTTTGTCAAGAAAGTCTGCGGGTGGGCTAGTGATGCCGGCATGTATATTATTATGGATCTGCATGGTGCTCCTGGTGCTCAGACTCCTGGTAATGCGTTTACCGGACAGTTGGCATCGGAACCGGGGTTCTATCAGGACTATCAGTATGAGCGGGCGCTGAAGTTTTTGGAGTGGATGACTGGGTTGATTCATAGTACGGATGAGTTTCGGAATGTGGGTATGCTGGAGATTGTCAATGAGCCTGTTCAGGATGATGATAAGGCTTCGTCGATGAGGCAGAACTACTATCCCAAGGCTTTTGAGGTGAGAATTTTCTTTCTTTAATGTTCTCGAGAAATTGTGCATGGCTTACACCCAATCATTCAGCGAATCCGCGCGAATGAAACTAGCGCCGGAATTGACAAAGCCGATTACCTCCACATCCAAATGATGGACAAACTCTGGGGCTCCGGTGATCCGAACCAGTACATTGATGACTTGTACTACGCCGCCTACGACGATCACCGCTATCTGAAGTGGGATACCAGTGTCGACGCATCCCACGATAGCTATATTAGCGAGTCTTGCAGCGATAATCGCGATAGTAACACGCCGACGATCGTGGGAGAATGGAGCTTGGCGGTTCCCGATGATGTTGAGTCAGACTCGGACTGGGATCCGAAGTCTCAAACGGACTTCTATGGGAAGTGGTTTGCGGCTCAGGTGCATTCGTACGAGAAACAGCAGGGTTGGGTGTTTTGGACGTGGAAGGCTCAGTTGAATGATTATCGGTGGTCTTATCAGGGTGAGTTGACGAATCTTGTTTCGCATTTCTCGCGGGTGAAGTTGGATTGTTGCTGACTATTTTATAGATGCAGTTAAAGCGGGTGTCATTCCCAAGGATCTTAGTTCCTTGCAGAATGTTTGCAATTAAGCATTGGTATGATCGAAAATACTGAAGTGGGACCAAGGGATTCATTGGCTTTGCTCCGTGGAAAGTACTAGTAGTAATAGTTTGAAATTTACTACTGAGCCATATATTTATGCCCGGATGGACGTTGCACATGTACATTTACTTCTATGAAAGCTACCTAGCAACGGTCAACGTACGCGAACAGGTCTTCTTTCCTTCTCACTGAGGTATACAAGAAAACACAGCCAGGTAATGAGCCTGCTTCATAAAAAGCCCATGTCAAAAGACTTTGCAAAGTGAAGAGTAGAGATAATGAAACGAATGGAGAGGTGTAATATAGGGATCACGATTTAGGGGCGTGCTCCGACGACTCTGGCCACCAGACCATTGCCCAGAGCGAGACTCCAGGGCCGCCAGGCTGGATGCTAGAATCAGGAGCAACCTTGCCCTTTCCCAGGATAATCTCTTCGATTTCTTGGAATCCAAGGGAGAGGTATAAATGGCGTGAACTTGGAGTGGTTGCCTCGAGCCAGATGGGGAGGTTCTCGGAGCGGGCGATATTTTGGTGGTATCGCATAATCTCTTTGGCAAGTCCTGCGGATTTTCTTGTTAGTATAAAAGATACAGGAGTAAGGCTGATACTGCTTAAGCCAAACGGCGATGGGCTCACCTTTTCCGCGGTGATCGTGCTCAGTCCCAATACTGAAGACATAGTAGTATCGATTTTCACCGTGGAGACCCTTCTGCTTAGCGTTATCTGTCATTCCGGAGAATTCAGTCCACAGGCGCTGGTCATGCTTAGCCATTTTTTGTCTTCTCTTGCAGGTCGAACACATAAAGGCTGCCAGTGCTTACCTTTAAGCCTGAGATGCCAATCCTCCATAGAACACAAAGGAAGCCTGCGTACAGAAGCGTCCAGATATTATCGATGCCCTTTCCAGGTGGAATAATTACCGATGCTGCTTTCCACCCGTCGGCTTCGGTGATGACTGCACCGTTCATCAGGGCAGACTGAACGAGTGTGGACCAATATGTCGGGAGATACGCAAGTCGCTCTTCCAGAGACATGTCCAGCAGCATGTAGGCGACGACGGGATCGGTATCAAAGACACGGCCATTCAGACCGGCGACTTTGACGAGGAAATCTGGATGATAGTAAGTGGGTGAACGAGGAGAGCTTGAAGGTGGGAGCGGACCGCGTTTGCCATGGGTGAGAGGAACTAGCGCCTGCGCCATGGTGGGAAGTAGGAAGCCTTATTGCCGAGTCATCAGCGCGTAAAGATAAAATATCGAATATGGCCTTGAGGGGGTTGGGCCATGACTGGAGATATGGAGTAGATAGTAGAAGAGGTGTTAGACTCGAAGCGGAACCTGAAAGTGGAAGTGGTGCGACGACGTAACCAGTTCCTTATGTAATCGGAAGTATAACAGCTTCCTCTTCTTTGGAAAGGTAATCCTGATATCTACTAGTATATTCCATTATGTGTTAGCATGATCTCAAACTATTTATCTCATGGTACTTTCAAATGAATAAGCAATGAGTATTGAAATGCTTGGCTGCCAAGCGATGATCTCAGTGGGTCTACACTAGCTAACTCTGTATACGAACGAGTACAAACAAATCCATGCTGGGCGGCTCCTTGTAGCTGTATAGGTCTATCTAGGCTAGTAACCAGGGGAAACAGCACATGTCAGCTCTCATACCTGATATTAATCTGCTTCTTTCCTACAGTCCCGGTACTGGTCTATAACTATAATGAAGTGCCATTCTTGTAGTGGGGTGCTCATGCCGGTACCGGGATGGACTTCCCGGAACCGCAACACCCAACACCAAAACACTCAACAACGTGAACTTCTTGCCTTCCTCTTCCCTTCTGCTTCTCCATCTTTCCACCTCTTTTCCTCTCTTTTCTTCGAATACAACACTCCTCAATTCCATCCCATTTCCACAAAACCAATCATTATGGGAGCCACCACCCTCCTCATCCTTGACATCCAAAATGGGATCGTCGACAACTTCGACCAGTCCGTCACAGAGCCATACCTACAACGCCTGGTCAAAACTATTGCCGCAGCTCGAAATGAGTCTATCAACATCATCCATGTCGTTACAGCCTTCCGCCAAGGTTACCTAGATGTCCATCCACTGAATGCATCATCCGGCCCAATCACGGCTACTGGCAAATACCAAGAGGGTAGCGCCGATGTTCAGATCCACCCAGCCGTAACCCGTCTTCCAACAGAGCCGATTGTCACCAAACGCCGGGTTTCAGCATTTGTGGGCACCGAGTTGGATCTTCTCCTCCGCTGCTCGGCTACGGACCATCTGGTCGTGGCAGGAATCGCGACTAGCGGTGCAGTCCTCTCAACCATTCGCCAGGCACAGGACCTGGACTTCCACATTACTATCTTGCGTGATCTCTGCTTGGATCGCGATGAAGAGGTTCACCGTGTTTTGATCGATAAGGTCTTCGGACGGAAGACGGATGTCTTCAACGCGGAGGAGTGGGTGGATCGGATCAAGGGGCAGACATCTTCTTAAACACTGGCCTTGTGTTCAAATTCGAATCCGAATTCGAATCGTGAGTTAATGCCTGAATGGAACTGCCATTATCACCCTTAGTGGCCCGTAATTTGAGACCTCGCCTGGTCGAACTATGTATCGCAAGCCACAACAAGCATTTTCCACTCTTTGCTTAGAAAGCAGATTGTTTCACTCCATGAATAGCAGGTCAAGATTTAGTTAGCGGGATGAGGGTGAAAAAAAAAATATTATTCAATTACTCAATCATGCAGATAATTTAATCGTTTGACCATCCTTCATATAGTCAAGGCAGGAACATGCAAATGGCTATTTGAAAAGCACTCCCATCTTCTGACTGTATTGGCTATTACAAGAAAATCCGGAGATTAAACTACCCATTCGGAACAACCGGCTAATATTAAATTCATTTTTTGAACTATGTTTCCTAAGCAGGCTGGAGAATACATGAGCGCAAGCGCGACCTCCAGAGCTTGTGGACATCAGTGGGGGCTCGACTGACTCGCGGAGTTGTCTACTTTATGATTGAATGAATCATGTTGCTCCCTGTCCTCCCCGCCATCTCCACCGATTACCGATCAAGCTCGTTCCTCATCCCTCCACATCCCACCTCACAATTGGGGGCCGATCTTATTTTCTCCTTTTTGGCACCAGCTTTCAAATCATTACTAATCAAGCCAGCCCTTACAACTCATAAATATACGACGTCTGGAGAATCCTCCCCTCTAAGAAAACCTAAATTCATCATGCCACCAAAAACATCACCAGCGTGGATTTTGTCCGAACAAAAGGGTATCGACAGCCTCGAGCTAGTTCAAGAAAATCCCATACCCGAGGTTGGGGAGTATGATGTATTAGTCAAGATCCATGCTGCCTCGCTTAACTATCGGGACATAGTGGTGGCCAAGGTATACGCCTCTCCTTTACAGCGCCCTACGAACCACGCTCTTGGCAACATCCCACTGATAGCTGATTACTGACAGGGCGAGCCCGCACTGCCATATTTCCGTTCCGGGGTAATCCCCGGCTCTGATGGTGCCGGGACCGTTGAGGCTGTTGGCGCGAATGTGAACGGGTTCCAAGTGGGAGATCGAGTTTGCACGCACCTTACTTCAGGACTGCCGGCCAACCAGCCAACCACAATGGTTGATATCTGTCAATCTGGACTGGGACACAACTATGATGGCACACTTACCGCTTATACAGTTCTTCATGAAACTGCCCTCGTTCATATGCCTGCGAACCTTGACTTTGTCCAGGCTAGTACCTTGACCTGCTCGGGTTTGACGGCTTGGAATGCTCTTTTTGGAATTGACAGTTTGAAGCCTCAGAAGGGAGATTGGGTTCTGGTTCAGGGGACTGGGGGTGTTTCGATAGCGGCGCTACAGGTGAGCACTTCTTAAAACACGTCGAGCAATACCGTCTCAATTTACTAATGAGCTGTGCCGTAGTTCGCCTTGGCTGCAGGAGCCACGATAATAGCAACAACAAGTTCAAGCGCTAAAGGCGATCGTCTTAGATTGATCGGCGCTCATCATGTTCTCAATTACCGAGAGGACGCGAATTGGGGACAAACGGCTAGGAATCTGACTCCGAATGGCCAGGGTGTGAGCATCGTTCTAGACGTGGGCGGTTTGTCTACGTTGACACAGTCGCTGAAAGCAGTTCGCGTCGATGGACTCATTGCCCTTGCTGGAATGCTGGGTAGCGCACCTGATGGAACTCCAGCGCCGACATTGATGGATTGCTTGTCCAATTCCTGCACGGTTCGCGGGTTTCTGCTTGGTACCCGTGACCAGTATCGTGAGATGAACAGGTTTATCGCGGAGAAGGGAATCGAGCCAGTTGTTGATGATCACGTTTTTGATTTTGCGGAGACGAAGGAGGCCTATGAACTTTTGCAGCAGCAGCGGCATTTTTCGAAGGTTTGTATTCGAATCTAGTCAAGTGTTCCTCGTTAGGTTTGTGGGAAGATTAGATTTCAATGAACAGATGGTGTAGCGATTCTATGTTCAGATGGAATGGGATTTCTTCATTGACATTCTTGTTTTATGTCGTTCAATCTTATTATCATGATTTGTACATGTTACTAGTCTAGTAAACTAATTATAGCTTCAACTGGCTTCGATCCTGGGGTCCAGAGCAGCAAGAAGGCTCAGGGTGCTGGGTCGATCTGTTGAAGGACTGGGATGACTGCGGAACGTCCAATGCTGGGTTCTTGGTGAAGAATCCATCGGGCTTGAGCATGACGCTGACACGCTCCATAGGCATAACTGGGAAATCCTCAATGCGAGGGTTGTGGGTAAGGCCGAATGCTACAAATATTGTCAGTAAGAGAAGGGCAGTAACCGGAGAAAGAAAATGACTTACTGTGCCAGAGAACAAGATCCTCATCCTCAACGGTATCGTTTCGGGCAGCCCACTTCTCCACACCTTGAGACTCCTTGCTCTGGTTCGTGAATTCACCGGCCGCGAACAGCTCATCGTCCTGGTACTTGGTCACCCAGATTGGACGAGTAGCGAATTGTGCACGCTTCAGGCCGAAAGACTTGGGGTTGGCCAGGATCATCTGACTAGGCGATGTTTGTAACTTATAAGCAATGGGGTGATGTGTAATTGGGTTGATGATGTGGTCGTTTCGAATCTTGAAGACACGGTGCTTTTCCACGCTTGTGGACGCGCTACCACTATTCCGAATAGTATTCTGCTCGGTAACATAGCCGACTCCGTAAGGATTGTTATCGTCCTGAGGCATAGGGACGCTGTCCTCATAATAAACAGTGTTCTTAAAGCCGTCCAGAGCAGGATCAATACGCAAAGAGAACATATGCTGGTGGAATGGGGCCATAACACCAGGTCCGACGTTGGTTCCCCATGGCACAGTTTGGCCGTTTTCGTTGTCGAATGGAACGGTGGACAGGATACCAGTTGCACGGACCTCGAGCTCGATGTTGGCGGCCTGATCCAGAATAAAGGCGAAGATATACTCGTAATTGGCGACTGTGCAGATCATCTGAACGACTAGCTGACGGTTACGAACGACCGTTGCTGCACCAGTGCGGTAGTTGGTGTGCTTGTGCTGGAGACCGGCATCCTGCTCGTGCATGCAGATGACGTTCTGGAGATGGACCGGAGCACCCTGTGCATCAGTACGGTAGCCATCAAAATACTTGATGTGACCGAGACAGTCGCAGCCCAAGGCGAGCTGGTTAGCAGTAATACCGAAACCAACGTCTCCGACATCAAAGGCTTGCTTGCGGTGGTAAGGTGCGCGAGGGTCTATTTTATAAAGTTAGATCACTGAAAATTTGGGGTTTTTGTATCCAGAGTCGTACCTCCATAGGGGACAGTCATTTCCGAGAATGAAAGACGGTAGAATGTGTTACGGCCGTCATAAGTCAGATTGTGCAACACCAGACCCTCCCGGTTGTTGAAGCCCACACGGAACCGCCATTTCTGCCATGAGACGGCATTGCCAATGACATTGAAAGACGCGCCCTCGGGCTGCTGGACAATGTAAGGCTTTAAATCAGTGCGGATTGGCTCATCTAGCAAATCGTGCGCGTATTGAATAGCCTTCACTGGCTTCCAAGGCTGGGTTTGCGAGGTCTGGGAGTCGGCACCGTCGGGAAGGTAATCGATGCGTACCAGCTCGTGTGTAATACCATCAAAGACGGGCGAAAATTTGAGAGGGAGAGAGTATTGGTTGTGTTGCGCGTGATCAGTCGACACGACGTACATGTAGCACTGAGTCAAACGTCGGGACTCGTTGATGTCCTCGGTACCGTAGATCCAAGGATCCATGCACACAGTCATGCCCTGCGGCAAGTTCAATTTCTCAATCTCTGCCTTGACAGCCGGGTGGCTCAGGCAGGTTGTCTCCATTTCCATCATCTCGTCCACATCTGCAGGGCCTTGAACATCTTTAGGAAGTTCCTTGGCAGAGATGATAGACTTGGTGTTGGCATTCAACAGGGCCTTGTGAAAAGAACCATTGTCCAGGCGGTGGAACAGAGCAAACAACAAACGAGCGGGTTTGGCTGGACGCGGCTTGCCTTGGCGTTCAGCTTCAAGGTAAGGAACGACTTCATGCTTGTAAGGCTCTTGAAGATCAATTCTCTTATAACGCAACTTGACACCAGGGAAGGCCGATTCCAGGATGCGCACGGCCAACTGGATCTCCCCAGGAGTGATAGGGTCGAAGGGGTGGAGGCTCGCCATAATGAAGATGATAAAGATGAGAATAAGGCAGGCGGAAGCAGCGGAGCCATCGCAATCCTTTTATATTCGCCGTGTCCGCAAAGGCCCTGAACCCGATTTGGTAAATCTTTCGACCGGGCGGGGATGTCGTTGGTGATTGGTTGAAGTCCAAGTCCACTCAGCGCAACTTTACCCGAAAGGGGTTTGGCGTCAAAGAAACTCGTGGACTAAAGACCGCTGGGGTCAAACGACAATTGGAGAAGTGTGGAGAGACGATGAATAATATGCAGATTGTTGAGATAAGAGCCAACGGAGAGCAAGGTTTGATGATGTAAGGTACAACACCTCAGAGAGGCTGGTGTGTCTGTCTCGGTGATCACAAGTACAAAACGGCCGTGCATTGCATTGCATGAATCGCGTGCGGCAAATATCGGAGAATAAACCCCCCTCACAAGTGAGATTGGAGAAACATCCCAATTGTGCATTCCCAGCCAGGTCTACAACACACGGAAAAATAATTTCTATCTAAATATCTACGTCAGGCCCGAAAGTATTAATGAAGGGGCTGTTAACAGCTAAGTCGAACAATATGGCGCCATTTCTCGCACACAAAACCAGTGGGCCGCTAAATGATGTACTTTCAGTATGTTTCCACATTGGAGGTCCCTTGGGAGATGATGTCTTTTAGATATCACGAATTGTACGAGTAGCTACTTGAGTGCAATTCAAACTGCTTTACTAAAGCCTAGACTATGGGAACAAAGATCGACAGAAGAAAAATGTGAAGGTGGTTGGAAATTCTCTAATGATCATCACGGAATGCCAAAAATCTCAAGTCAGGAACCATCGATCTCAATCAAATGAAGCGAAGCCAGATTGCCTCAAGGAAATTCGTGGCTTTTTTCTGAGGCCATTCGACTGCATCAAGCTCGGCCTTCCCGGTGAAAAGATCTGCGTCTTCCGATCGGATCCATTGTGTTTTCTTGAAGAGCTTCCAAAACAAAATGAACCCGAAGAAAAGAGGGAATCCAATGTAGGATGTGATAAATCCGGGTGTACTCCATCCACCGGCAATATAATCAAAGCCATTGAAGAAAGCAATGATGCAAAGGTATCCCAGAGTTAAGTATGTTGAGAATGGTTGTAGTGGGAAGCTAAAAGGTAGAGAGGATCTGTCAACATGTTGGGCTTGAATAGCGGCACTGAATCTGAGGTAGGCAATACAAATGGAGCCCCAAGTGTATCTGAGATAGCAGATTAGTTTAACGGTTTCAATATTGTACAGGGGATGGAACCGCGCAAAACTCACACGGTCGCAACAGTTGCCAGATTCTGGAACCATTGGAATGCCGTACTCGAGTCTGAACCCATCGACATGAATGATATAAGAGATATGGACATTGTGATCAGAAGACACCATATCGGAATTCCTTGTTTGGTACAACGCAGAAAAATCCTGGGCGCTTGTCGATTTTGCGCTAAGGCGTAAAGATACCGAGTTCCCATGAAGACATATGAGTTTCCGGATGAAATAGCCGAAATGAGAATGAGAGAGTTGATGATCGACGGCAAAGCCTTGATACCTGCTATGTTGACGGCAATTACCCAGGGTGACTGGGCTGTCCTATCTCCACCCATCAAGTTAGGGTTGCCACTGGGACAGATCATGCTCAAAGCAAATGCAGCAAAGACGTAAAAGAAGAGAAGTCTCCAGAAAACACGCTTGATAGCCCTGGGAATGTTCCGGCGAGGATTCTCGGCTTCACCTGCGGCGACAACGACGGTTTCGCAACCGTTGATTGCAAATTGAGCGTTGATTAAGGTATAGAAATATCCAAGAAAACGACCCTCCGAGCCAGTAGCGATATACTCTTTCATGATGCCAGCCGTTTTCCAGTAATGGAAACCAAGTCGAGGCTGACCCGACACGCCTCCTAGATCAATGCAGAGAGCCAGAATGAGCAGTCCGAGTATTCCGCAAAGCTTGATGACGGCGCACACAAATTCAAACTCTCCAAAGGTGTGAACAGCCAGGATATTCAGGGCTAGAAAAAACGCAATGAGCACCACAATCCATACGGCAACACTGACATTATCCGCGCCTGACCAGAACTGGATGACGCTGCACGCGGCCGATATTTCAGCACAGAGAGTGATAACTGCCGTAAACCAGGTATTCCAACCCACCGCAAACCCTAGCGCTTCGTCCACGTACCGAGCGCAAAATTGAGGGATGGCACCGGGGACGGGAAGCCAAGCGGCCATTTCGCCGAGGGCCATCATCATCATGAAGCCGGCGATACTGGCGGTCAGATAACCGAGAACAAGTGATAATGGACCTGCTACTCTTAGGGCATGTCCAATGCCGAGAAATAGTCCAGTGCCTAGGTTTCCGCCGAGTGCGATGAAGGTGACATGTCGGGCTTTGAGCTCACGTTGGACATTACCGAGTGCGTCGGACGATTCAGCATTGGCGATATCTGGCCATAGGTCATTTTGCTTCTTCTAGAATGTTTGTTAAATATAATGTTCTCCTTTTAGGGGACTTTCTTACTATCCTAGCAAGGGTAAGACCACGAAAAGAAGTCAGACGCACCATCAGTTCATTATCACCCAACTCCAGATCATCATTTTTCTTGGGCTTCTGTTCTAGCTCAGAGATAAACATAATAATGATTGATAAAATATAGCAAAGACTTGCGCCCCCATTCATATTTTACCCCGGACCCCGGATACGTGGTATAAATATTGGACAGACTCATCTGATGTTCCCGGATTTTGGCCGCGGGCAAATCCGCGGGTTGGGGAATTCTCAACCGAGAGATAGGAGTAAATGCCGTGCCCACCCAGGGCATTCGAGTCAGATAATTTAAGTCTCCATTATGGGCATCCAGAAGAAAATCTGTAGATAAGTAACACTGACTACTCCGTACTAGTAATATCTAATGTGTTAGCGGGAAGGCCCTATCTCGAACCCCCGAGCAGGTGACGGTGGAGGAGACCACAGGCAGCCACCCGGGGACTCGTCAATTGGCAAGGCCCCTTACCGAACCCCGGTGGGGGGAGCAAGGGTACCCTAACCTAGGTTAAGTTACGTTGGCGTTGCAAAAGTTTGAAACCTCCTATTGTCCACCATTTACGACCGCCTTCTAATGGCAGACTAGTAACTATCTCAGATGGATTAGATTAGCTACTCTATTCCATCTGAGGTAGCTACTTGTTCACCTTGGGAAGGCAGAGATCAGGGCAGTTAACAAAGAGTTTCAAACTTTTGCAACACTACCGTAACCACAAATTGCTGTTGCGGTTAACCGCGGGTAACCTGGGATGACTGCACAAGGTATAATTTTCCTCTTGATATTCGAGCAGTGATCTTTATTTATCGGTCTGAATTAGATCTAGTGTAAATTTCAAATGTTTCCGACCGGTAGAAACCTTGGAAATAAGGTATCTTGATTTTGGTGTCGGGGTTTTTCCAAGTCAGGATTCCGTAGGTTTGAGATACGGGCTCCAAGATGGCTATTGTTTGACCGTTGTACTACAGCCAGGCTACGGTCAACCGTAGGTACTTCGAAAAATATAGTTTTATATCGTATTTATATAGTATTGCTTGCTAATATTAGTGTCTTGCTCTCAACACGCGTTGCTTTGCTCTCTTAGCACATGATTTCTACCAACACTATTCCCTATTACCCTAGCGAATTAGTCGGCAGAGCTTCCTAGAGGCCGTACCAACGAAAGTCCAGTAAAACCCACCAAATTGAAGAAAGAGGACTAGTATGCATAACAAATATCTGCACCAAGTGTACCTCTTTGGTCGATCTTGCGATTGGTATGCTGTAGCCAGAATCGCAACACCCAAGCACTAGCGATTGTTGCTACGCCGAAGGCAGCATTCGATGACATGGCAGTAAGATAACGAGGACCATCGCTCTTGGGGTAGAGATATGCCGTGTAGATATAAGAGGCATTTGCAACCACGTTGATGAATGACAAAGAAGCAGCTTTCTTTTCGGGAGTTTGACCCAGGGTTGCCGAAACCCATCCCAAAATGACCGAGTTAACTGCATAAGCACCGCTAGCGAATAGGAAACAAGCAACATATCTTGCTCCAACATTCAGAGTCGTGCATGAAATGATGTATCCGACAACTGCTAGACCCATAGAGATGGTGATGTGCCAAGTTCGCTCGTTGTACCGACCGGAAGTTATTCCAGCAACAACACAGCAGATACCGGAGAAAACGTAGGGAGGGCAAGTCAGAACAAGGGTCATGGTGTTATTAAATCCCAAGCTTCCGACCACGGTAGGGAAAAAGTTGTTGAAACCACAGGCACTAAGATGCATGTTTTGCATGAAGGCTAAGAGGAACAGGCGTGGGTCACACATGGCTTGCTTCAAGCCAGCAAGAGCACCTTTGGACTCTTCACCACCGACGGTGTCCTTCTGGATGCGATCGTGGGCAAGCTGTCTTTCTTTGGGCGTGAGCCATCGTGTATTCAAAGGATGGTCCGGAAGCATGAAAATTCCGAGACCTGCGACACCAAATGTAACCGCACCCTCGATGATGAAGAGCCATTGCCATCCCTTGAGACCAAGATGATGATCCAAAGTAGCGAATGTAGCGGCCGCAATCAGACCGGCAACTGAAGTCGCGACGATGTTGCCAGAGTATAGAATGGAGATGCGGAAAGCAATCTCTTTTCGTGTATAGAACAGCGATAGAAGAAAAAGTGCTCCTGGATAGAATGGGGCTTCGGTAATACCCAGGAAAAAGCGGACAGCAACGAGACCCCTATAGTTCTTGGTCAAGGCTGTACAAGCTGATACAATTGCCCAGCTTGCCATACATATACTCATATAGAGAGAAGGTCTGATCTTCTTCGATGACATGAGCATGTTGGACGGGATTTGCATCAAGAGATAACTATGAAAAATGTTTGCGTCAGTGTCTAGTGTTCCTCTTATGATATGAAAGATCTTTTCGCTTACCCAACAAACAAAATCGAGATACAGGTGTTGTATTGAGTTCCTACCAGCCCGAGATCCTCCTCGATGCCATCGAGACGTGCATTGGCAATCGCATTGCGATCAATCTGATTTTGATATTAGAATGCAGTCCCGTCAATGCGAACCCATTTGTATCACCCACATAGTTCAGAAAATACATAGCCCACATGATAGGCATGATTCTCATGTCTAGCTTGCGCACAAGGGCAATCTCCCTGGCATCAGTCTTGGCTGTCGCACCAGAGTAGTCTCCCTTCTCATCCCCCAACTTGAGTGAGCTAGCATACTCGATTTGAGTGTCTCCGGATTCTTTTGCGATGCCAGAATCCGACGTGGCGATTGCTTTCGAAGTAGTCATATTGTCTAGTGAAGCCGTTGGGCTCCTGATTCGGACACAACACGGGGTTGTTGATGATGCGGTTTGAAAAAAAAGATATTTTCACGGAAATTGACAGGTATCCCATCGGCGAGGAAAGCACCAACTTATAGCCCATAACATTTGCTCAAAACGGACTAAGAAGAGCCCGCCTCGATCGTAGATCACATATCCTGGACTGTGGCAAGAGAAAGATTAGTTGATAGTCCCGGTTTTAGTGCGGAAGTAGCCAAGACTTTCCGCGATGCCAAGAAGGCCAGTAAAGCCACGAGAGTGCACATACCCCAGGTTTCCGCTAATCAAACTGAACCCCAGACTTCCCCCGCGCTGTCACTGGGTCCCGATGCGGGGGACATAAAACCAGAACCTATTAACGGCCAATAAGCAAAATGTAGAACTCCAAGCCAAATCAGCCACTCGTCCTCCAGGGGGGATTAGTGTCGGCTCTATGACCCTGGCGGACTATAGAAATACCGTTAGCGTGAACAAAAACGGTCTTGTCAAAGTCCGGACTCGAGTCATGAAGACTTATCGTAAAGCGGACAGCTCGTGATACCATTTCGATTCACTCTGGCAAAAATAAGAACTTCTCTTAATGATTTCCTGCGTTTGTAGTTGAATAGCTAGCTATTCACTAGGATTTTGCGCAGGCATTTATTCACCCATCTCATACAGTTTGAACGATACGGGAATCGTTGAGCCCATATGAGGGGAAACTTATCGCCGATAATTTTATCAACACCAAGAGGAAATATCAACTTTGAATTAAGCCAATTGCCTGTTTACAAGTGGGTTTTACATTATTTTACTGCATGTATCCCACGGAGTGGAGGCTAGACTTTTTCAAGGGGTGAAACAACAGGCTAGATGATCCGGTCTAACATTCAGCCTCATTACACCCGATCTCAAATGTCACAAATAAATGGCGAATCATATTTCTCCACCACTACCGGAGTAATGAATGATAGGAGGAGTCGTTGGTGGGATGGCGGGCTTCGCCGTTTGCGCGCATTTGGCTTCTGGTACATCGCCGAAACGAACGAAATAAGATTTTGGGGGCATTTATGCAAAGTAATAGTGTGAGCGCAAACAATCTCACAAGTATGAGTGACCTCCAGATTGAGAAGCTGGACGGCAAGAACAATATTGCGGAGTTTTCGAGTCAGCACACTTAAGGGTGATCTCAGCTTCCAGAACTGGAATACAACCTTTCGGTGTTCAGGGCATCTCCTTTTTCATTTTTGTTTCAATTCCACACAAAGAGCGATCGTGTTTGTTACAGTACTGTTTCTTCAGACTACTCCTGCTTCTGGTTATTTTTGTCTCCGATATGATTTTGTCATGTTCGAAATTCTCTCCCCTCTACGCGGTCTCTGAAATGCCAAGAAGAAGAAATTCCCCTCTGTTCGTATGTACTACTAACTAGTAGATATGTCATTTGACAGCGACGAGATCGATAGTCACTAGTCCTATTCGAGTGGCATATGTACCATGGTTCAAGGTCATCCTCTCATCATTACTACTAGTACTCGTCCAAAAAGTGAGTTCCCTTTATCTTCCATTATTCTCGTTAATTACAATGTCAAACCACTCTACTATGACTGCTGAATCAATCAATTACCCGAAAAAATGGAACAAATCCACTCTGCGCACTATCGGACAAGGGTTTTGCGGCACAGTGTGGGCATCTGAGAAAGGTCCCGCTTACAAGAGGGAGGACGGCGGGCCCGAAAGGTCTTTACAAAATGATTTTAAAATGCACCAACGAGCTCTCCAGAGCTTACGCAAGATTCCAACTATAAGGATCCGTATTCCAGCCTGCTACGCTTTTATTGAAGCAGAGGACTCAAAATGGTGGTCGGAAAACAATCAAACGTTTCCACCAGGGTTTAGAACGCCATGCAATCTGATTCAGTCGCAACGCATAGCACCTTTCTCTGAGTCTGTGCGGATTCTACTTATCAGTACTTACTGTCCACCAAAGCTAGCCCCAGAGATTATGGCAAGCGAGCCTAACAAAGACTGCTTGGCCAGGCTATATCTTGGCCGAAGACGAATTCAGAGGAGTAAGTACACGTCGCGATTCACGGCATTCTCCCTACGGAACTTCCCACTCCATCTTGATCAACTTGAAACTCTTGGGATCACAAGAGGAGATATCGAACAGTACGCAAGAGTCATGGCCGATACTCTTGCTATGATGCATTGGGTCAGCGAAATTGATGGAAATGATATCGAATTCGTCCTTGCCCCACCAAGCCTAGACCCCTGTCGCAAATTTCAATCCAGAAATCTAGACAGAAGTATGGAAAATGGACTCAAAATGGAGTCTAAAGTCTTTGGAAATCACTCTCTATGGGTCTTAGACTTTGATTTGTGTAGGGAGATAACAATGGATTCAAATGGGGTGCAACAAGCCGCAGCTGCATTTTGGCGCAATGATCCTTACTACCCACGACCAGGGAAAGAGTTTAAGGGTGATATTTCATTATGGAATACATTTCGAGAGAATTACTTACAGAAGAGTATGGAATGTATTAATATTGGGTCTCGGGAGCCAGAAGAAGCAGAAAGGAGGCGCTCTTTGTCAGAACAGTTTATCTGTCTGGTAGAACAGGAAGGAGACGCCCGAAATGAGTGATTAAAGAGAAAATATTGAGATTCAATCTAGAGAGCCTCGGATACTAGGAAGCTCACTTGAGTTAATGTTGACACGCACCTAATTCCCTAAATCAGATTCTCAATCTACATCGCGTCTGGCTGATCGCAGAAACACTATCGAAAGTGATTTAGAATTGGAATGTGCTCTGCCGGACCTCTTCGCTTAGGGTAACCCACTTCGGCTATGTGAGGTCTTGCTGGGTGATGACTTTCGTATAGACAAAGTGCATCCCGTTTACCCTAGGAGAGCAATGGCATGGTTTTATTTCTAAGAAGTGAATGTCTGGCACGTAGACCCTGGTCTAGGGGAACAATTGGTTCCTCTAGGAAAGTCCATATGCGGGATAGGAGAAGCTGAATTGCGGGCTTATCTTTTTTGCTTTTTGCTCAGCGGTTCGACCGTGCCTGCCAGGGATCAAATTTTTTTCTTTTCTATTCTTCCTGTGACAAACGCTTTTTGTTTACTTGTTTACGTTGTTGATGTTTAGATAGATGCCTAAATGCCTCATATATTAGATGTCTATTTTGCTCTTTCAGTTGCATTGGCTTTTTTCGATGTCGCGGACGGCCGGGAGAGCAGTAAGCGACTGTTGGCTTGTGCGCAATGACAAGAATCACACGCAACACTGGCCCTATCGTACATCTATGGATGATACTCAGTGTCGGGCCCTTTTCCATTGGATAATTTCACGGCAAACAAAGCACATGCTGATCCAAAAAACAATGCCCGAAAAAATCATGGCCAGGCTCGCAAAAATCATCCCTATCATTCCAGCGGGCCGGGCGCATGTCTCAAATCCATCCTCCCCTGGGAATATCGTAGACCATTGAAAGAGGTGACAAGTAAAGTAATACAAAGGAGCGATGATCAAGCCACAAGGGGCCACACTGAAGGTAAATCTTAGTATGCGTCTTTAGCTTGATGAGACTAGGTAGTTTGACCGAACATACATCTTGTAAATCACGACACACCAGTCCCTTACACTGCTCAGGATATACCAGGGTCGCGAAAGCTGCGAAGCCGAGCTATCGCACTAGGATGGAGATGTTGTCGGCAAGATTTCTGTCTTTGATTCATTGTACTTTGCACCGATCATGTTAGTCTCAAAGTCATGAGAAACCTTGAAAAGCACAGCAGGAAGGGTAAATAGAACCGGTTTCAATAACGGGGGCTTTTGGAATTTTTGCCTTACCTGGGATATCGTACGCCGAGTGGTACGCAGCGTATTGCCTCCAATCCACAGCATGCAAAAAGCAAAAGTAATGAAAGGCTTCAAAGAAATAGTCTGCCAAAATCTCACGGCGTACGCCATATTTTGATCGGATATACGAGGGTCAAGGCAGGCAAGATGAACCTTCCACGCCACATACAAGGTTATCCCCCCAAAACCGAAATCTGTTAACCACTTGATACGGCGACTGAGGATATGTTCCTCAGTCGAGGGATGTATCTTATGACTCCAAAACCAGTATAATACCCACATTCCTAGGGCGAGCAATAATATCCTAGGGGCTTGTCAGTCTCAAATGTAAAGGGTGGAGTTCTTGGTAGGCAGCAAACGGACATGATATGCATGAGGTGCATCTTTGACAAAAGGCTGCTAGTGCAGAATTATGTGACTGGTACGAGTAAACCGAAAAAGTCGTAGTGGATTTCCTGCCTTGTAGATGTGTAAGGAGTCTGAGTCGGGAAACTTGAATAGTGCATAGTCGAATGGCCAAGTACCTAGGTGCGATCGGCGAGATAGTAGTTATAAGTGAAAGTATTACCGGGAAGGACTCAGGATTATCTGTAAGCGAGGAAAGACTTCGATGGACAATTATGGGGGTATATGGGTAGAAGGCACCTAGGGGTGCATGGTAGAAAGAAAATTGGTGCCAGAACCGTCAATTCTGTTGGAGAAAGGTAATCAACAATATTAAAACCTCGAGCACATCCCCTCTTCTATTATTATTGTTGCCGAGGGCTGGGGCTAAACTTGGGGTCCAAAGGTCGGGGGTCAAAAGGTTCGGGGCCATTTTGATCCTCTTTTCAAGCTTCTTTTGTCTAGCTTCAAGGGGCATTTTCTTTTAATTGACTAGGCAAGGGTAAACTTGAAGAGGAAAAAACAGACCGGATATACGGCCTTAAACTACTACTAGTATTCACCAATAGTTATAGACTAGGGGTAAAGGGGGCGCTGGGTATTCTCACCCTGCTCTCGCCATTAAAAAGTCGAGTTAATTTCTAAAGCGCTTTAACTGGATTTAGTTAAGTAGGACCTTAGTTCTAGTTTCCGAGGTCTCAGGCTGAGAGGAAATTTCAATCGGCGCCCATCCCATTGAATACTTGTGGTTCATTGCCTAGCATTGGGGGTGTCAATACTATATACCTCCACAGACTACTACTAGTCGGTACTAGCATTTAATGAGCTGCCAATGAGCTGCCACTGACAATCGAGTTGAGATGTAGTCTTCGAAATGCAGAAAGCCAGTCAGCGTTATCAGCAATAGTTTGGTCCCAGGCATCCTCGGTATGAAAGAGCACCTTTCGTGCCTCCTTTTGAAACATTTCGTCTGTTGGAATGATGCCGAGTTCCATCTGCTTCCGACCGTATTGGCTCAGATGGCGTGTAAATACATCCAAGAATCCTGGGAGTTGCGGCATTGTTTGATCATCATGTGTGAGGGAGAATTCTGGCTTTAGGCATTCAGGATATCCAGAATCTTCATTGGTCATATTGGTCCCTGACATTAGCAAAGAATACTGGTCGCGAACGTCCTTGCTTGTCGCAGAAAATGGGACGATACACTCTGATTCCCATCCAAGAAGATAAGGCGGATACGCATTTTGGAGCTGGGCTGTAATGTGCGGGGCAAAGTCATGATCCCCCTTCCAATCCTTCATGGTAGATCCGTTGCGGAAGTGCCTGGCAAGATGCGAGACGCGATCATCCCAATTATCTAGAATCACATCACAAAATCCACATCTTGATGTGAAACTCTTCATTTCTTTCTTCCAGTCATCCAAGGGTGGTATATTATGTACTTGATGTACATGACGAAGATGCTGTACCAGATGATCTTTTCTATGGAATGAGCGTAGTTCATTGGATAGGTCTTTGCAAGCATCATAGTTGTGCATTAAGAGGTGTTCTTGCGATGGCTCCAACACATCGCAGAAGGCACAGAGCATCTTTCCTGTGATCGAGGAGAAGACCGACGGCCCGAGTGGTGCGCAATACCATGTTTCTAAATTCAAATGTAGTGATTTTTCATGTCGAACCCATTCGTATTTGGTCCCAAAGCGGTCGCAGCAAAAGGTGCAACAAAATATACGAGCCTTGCCGTTATTAGACTGAGATTTGGTCACATGCGCTTTTGATCGACGATTTCGAGTACGAGATGAGCGGGCACCAGATGACCAGGCTGAATCTGCAGATGAGACACTGGATTCGCGGCTTGTGTTAGAATATGATCGACGAGACCGAGAAGAGGTCTTTCCACGGCCGCGGTATTGTTGATCGGTGCGATAGGGTGTCGGTGTCTCTTGCATCGCATTCATTATGGCTGCAACTGAGGTCGGCTCTTCCTCGGGCCGAAATGTCTGCCATCGTTGCATTGGGTCCAGTTCACTTGTAGTCACATTTCGTGACGGTGTGTTTTTAACTTCCGAATTTGACACAAAATACCGACTCCTCCAACGGGGAAGACCGAATTGGTTGTTGGGAGTTTGAAGAGGTGTCTTCTGAAGATTGACATCACCTGTGAGTGGCATACTAGTAACTTCAACACCTGATGTAGTGTCTATTTGAGCTTCACTTTCGATTTCAGGAGAATTTGTCGCTAAGAGTGGCGAATTGAAGATGTCTGAAAGGAGGCCCTCGGTAGAAGATGATGCCGAAAAGTTACTGATTGCCGGATTTTCTCCATAGTCTAAAGGTTCCGGTGCAGGCGTATTGTAAGAATCGATGTTCCATAGCCTGCAGCCTTCTGAGGCTTGATCATGGAATATATTGGTATCAAAAGTAGCGTCATTTGTCCCAAAGTCTATTGGCAGTATCGGTATTTCCGTACTTTCGTCATTGGGGCAAACATGAAAATCACCGGGTGTTTGAGTAGATGTAAAATCAAAAATGTTTGGCTCAAAATTATCCTGATTCTGGGTCATATTGTAGGTGTTGCAACTCGCACATGTTCATTGACGCAACTTGAGAGTCGCAAGCCAAGGCCAAAGCCTCCGCCCGAATAATTCAAGGGATACGGAAAAGCTTTTGATCCGGAAACCACGTGACATACTATCAACCAATGAACGTTCGCTAACCAATGTAATGGGGATTCCCGCTCTCAACATCGGTATCCTGTAGTCATGTGCTGGAGGCCTTAGCAACAAGGCCACCGTTTTGTTTCGTGAGATTAAGTAGCGTTCGTTCGATACTATCAAAAACAACATGCATGTTCCCCTTTATGAAAATGTTCTACTGAGGCTGCTGAGGTTGCGGTATCGATATACTGCGTATGAAAGGTTCTGTTATTGCTCGTTCAATCATCTCTCTATAGCGTCACGCTTTGCTCATCTCGTTCCTGCACTCTGCGAGTGTGGTGGTTTTGTCTCTTCGCGATCGACCCGTCTGCTTGACAGACTGCCAGCGAGCATTCCCATCTTACATATGGCGTCCCCGGGAAGGCTCGATTAACAAAAGGGTGGCTGAAAGCAAGAGCAATATCATTGTGAGAAGTGGGTACTGCGTTTGACCCTGAGAGAATACGACGGTATTCGAACATATCACAAAGGGTGAAGAGCGGCTTGATCCTAGGTAGGATCAGCCTATCAAATGTTCGAAATGTCAGCCGAAAGGCCTATCGAAATGCCGCTATCTGCGGAATATGTGCAGTTTTTACGATCAACGCTCGCTGATTGGCACACGGGAGATGCCATAACACTGGAAGGCATTTTACGAATGACACCGGGTCAATTGCATAAGATAGCGATTCAGAGATGTCCTGGCATTGGCTATGTCTGGCATTCAGCGCTGTCTAATATTCTGTTGTCATTTGCGCTACGTTATTTATTGGAAAAAGGATCACTGTCGGAACGGAATCAATCGCCAACGGCTGCGTCGTTATTATTATTACCATTGAGTACAGAGTCCCCTGTTCCCCGTTCTGTATCCCCTTCTTTGTCTACATCTTCATCTACTTCTGTTTCTACTTCGGAATCGTTTTGTCAGGCTGATTCATTCTCTGATACTACATCTGTTTGTTCTTCTTGTTCCTCGGCACCTCGTTTTCCTGCAGGAAAACGATCTCCCGAAACCATGGCTATCAATGACGGTGGAAATGACAGTGAACTTCCTGGCGATATGGCTGCACCCATTACCGCCGCGGAACAATTCACTCAGTTTCGCGAACCGCTTCCTGAAGCTTCTGGATCGACTATTGGTGAACCCTCTCGTCCTGCTAGTCCTGTAATTCAGGAAGCTACTGCAAGACCACCTCCGCCCCCTCCGCCGACAATACCTTCGCGGGATCCTGTACCACCAACTCATTACTATGCTGTTCCGCCGCCTCGACCAATATATCAAATGATATACAGCGCGATGCCAGCCCCAGGATCCCAGGGGGCCCCTGCTTTCAATGAAACCAATGCATCTGATTTCCTGAGAAAGCTAGAGGATACCTGTCGTCGCAGTGGTATTGTCCGTCATAAGGAAATTATGGATCTCCTCCCCCAATACTGCGAAAGACCGCCGCGTGTCTGGGTTGAAGGTCATTATGCCTGGAAAACGAGGAATTGGCGCATGTTTCGTGAGGCCTTCTTGGACAATTACCATGACTGGGATGATGAGCAGTTGAGGTATACCAAGGAATATCTCGACCAGCTTGTTGCCATTGAACGTTCGACAAATGATGAGATTCGTCATTATCTGAGCGAGTTTCATGAAGTATCCACGGAAATATCGTTGCTGGGTCTTCTGAGTGATATTGACCGAGCAAGCACGCTTATCAAGGGTCTTCCAATAAAATGGCAGAAAAGGATTCATAAGCGACATGCAGAGAGGTCTCGTTCTCGCCGTGATCAGATCTCCTACCAGACGGCCTATGAACAGGTGCAAGCAACCCTGCGCGTTGAGGCTGAAGTTCAGCGAAAGACCGAGATAAAAGAACCTGCAAGGAAATCGTCTCCTTCTCCCCATGTATCTTCGTCACTGCAGCAGCAGTCTGTTTCTTCTGTTCCTCTCGTACCTGCTATCCCGGTTGTTCTACCCAAGGATCGACAAGCTGATGACTCTACCTCGCGAGCAATTGACGATGTAGCCCGGAAACTGGAAGCTCTTGCGCTGAAACTGGATGCTAGGTCTGATCGCCGGAATAACCCTTTTTATGAACAAAACCGAGGTATACCGTCGAATGGCATGGGGGTCGGTCCTCCTAGGGAATGCTGGACATGTGGAGGTCCACACAACAGCACCCCCGATCAATGTGATTCTATCCGGGACTTCGAGGCAAAGGGAATGATCCACCGGAATGAGATAACTGGTCGAACGACTCTCTAGGAACCAAGGTAAATCCGGGCCCGGAACTGAGACTGCGAATAGGGGTTCTGAGGAAAGACTTGATTCCTGAACAATATGCTGCATGGGCAAACCAAAACCTACAGCAATCTGCAAGCAATCATGTCCAATCGATACCCTCTGCTCCAGTACAGTTCCTAGGCGCGTCTCTCAATGGTATCTCTGGTCATGACTATTATTCTGCTCCGGTTCGATATGTTGCTGCGTCCCTTCTTGGATCTGAGCCTGCATGGGAAAAACTGTCAGAGGATGAGGAAGAATATGGAGAGGAATATTGGACAGGTCCAGTTAATGCTATCGGAGGACAGGTCCAGGATGGTCGTGTGAGAAAGGGAAAACAGCGCGCGTCTGAATACGCGCGTACCAGGAATGCTCAGCAAGGCCGTTTTCAACCGCGTATTGAGGAGGCTAATGAGGATGAACCAATGCTTGTACCAGATGACACCCAGGGAACTTCTCAGGAACAAACGCTGCAAGGTTTTCCGGCAGGAAACCCATCTCCGAATGACATTCCGCGTCGGGTCAGAGGACCGCAGGATCCTGCTGTGGCTGAGAAAAGGTCCATGATTACCGACCTGATACTGCGGAAGGTTTGGGAAACTAGCGTTACGATCTCTATTGGTGAACTCCTTGGCGCTGCTCCTCGTATTCGAGCTGGTGTCGGAAAAGATATCAGCACAGATGCTATAAGTCAGAAGCTTACCGAGGTCATCAACCAAGTGCCCATTAATGCTACTGCTGCAGATCTATCTCAATGCGTCGATGCCCAGGTTCAGGAATTGCAGAAGAGAGCTCGTTCCCATTTTATGTCGTCAGGTCCTAATTATGATGCTTCAGTTCCTCCGGTTGTTAGTTCTTCAGTCAATTTCCAAACTGCGCAGGTTATCGAGGCCCCTATAAAGTCACACCAGGAATATACGCGAGGGTTTATGTATGCAACGGCGGTTGTCGGCGACCAGATTATCAAGGCATTGATCGATACAGGAAGTGCGGTCAACATTATCCATCGAAAGGTGGTTAAGCGTATGAGCGCGTTGCCCGAGATGAGACTCAAGCCTCATCTTCAGCTCACCCCAGTGGACGGAGGTCGTGGAATCAGTGTTGCAGCATGTCTTGAACACTTGCCTATCACCATTAGCGGCGTTACGGTCAATTCCCATACTATGGTGACGGATAATACCACGAATGAGTTGCTTCTTGGCAGATTGTGGGCAAGCAACGCAGGGTTGCGGACTGAGGAAATGACAGATGGCCGAGTCATGTGCACCATTTTTAATGAAGGCCGTAAGCGATACACTTCATTCATTGCTTATCGTCCCAGTGATGGCGGATCTATCTTCGAGAATCAACTGTGGCCCCAGGACTCCGCTTCTTTAAACGACGAGCAGGGTATGTAGGCGTGTTGTCATCCCCTGTTCTGGTGTTGTTTACTGAGGTCTCAATCCTCTGCCCTGAATCACCGCCTTCCGAATCGATTATATCTCTTTCTTCTTCCTCTTGCTGTCAGCTGCGTTCTCAGAAAACAAAAATTCTACAGCCAAAAACAGTCGAAAACGACAAAACCATACAAAAACATGTTAATCATATTGAGTTCTTCGCGGCACCGCCAGTCAGGGGTTTTCCTGCAGGAAAACCATCTCCCAGTTACGCGCGGCAATTACATGCCGTTCAAGACCAACTGGTCGCCCAGGAATATCGTACTGGGTTCTCTCTCGAGAGCATGACCGACACTCGACCGTTATGGAAGAGTCGTCCTGAATATCCGTCTTACTATCGAGCACCGGTCAATACGCTCTATAAAAGGAAGGCTGACAAAGTTCGTCCGGTAAATTCATCGGAATCAGATGGGACGATCCCCGTCGGCCACCCTGATTGGCAGCACGAATGCCTCAAAAAGTACCATACTCAGTATCGCGCACCTGACATTCGAACTGAATTCGACCATTTGCTCAAGCCTCGTATTTCCGTGATTGCGAGAGGTGCTCGTCTTACCCCAGAACGAGAGATAACACTGCTAGTAGGAAAGGATCTACTGCCACGTGAGAGAGCACTTTTTCGAGAACTTCTTTTCAAAAGAGAGGGAGTGCTAGCCTGGGAATGGGAACATGTTCAGAGGATACACAACGAAGTAATGCCTCCGCAACGCATTAAAACCGTCTCCCATGAAGCGTGGCAGCACCCCGGTTTTAAGATCCCCCATGCACTGAACGCTATAGTCATCGAAATGCTGCGTGATCGGCTACGCAAGGGCGTGCTCGAACCCTGTGATGGACCGTATCGGAACCCGTGGTTCCTTGTCGGCAAGAAGCAAACTGGCAAATATCGAATGGTCAACGCAGCAATGATGATCAACAAAGTGACAAAAAGAGATGCCAACATGCCTCCAATAGCAGATGAGTTTGCCGAAGAGTTTGCAGGAATGGCGATGGCTTCGTTAGTCGACCTCTTCTCCGGATATGATCAAATCGAACTGCATAAGGATGATCGGGATCTAACGGCTATTCAAACTCCCCTCGGTCTGCTTCGCCAGACCACCATTCTCCAAGGTGCATCGAATTCAGTCGCCCAGTTTCAACGAGTGATCTCGGTCATTCTGCATAGTATTTTCGGCACAAAGGCGCGTTCATTTCTTGACGATGTTGCCGTTAAGGGTCCGCGAACAACATACAATGACGAGTTTGTAGAAGAAGGGATTCGCCGATATGTCCTAGAGCACGTTCAGAATCTCGATGAAGCGCTATATCTTTTGGAATTAGCCGGAGCGGTCATCTCAGCCGAAAAGTCCCAGTTTATGATGAAAGGAATTGAAGTTGTCGGCTGGGTGTGTGACATTAATGGCCGACGACCCGACGAAGCGAAGGTTGCAAAGGTTACACAGTGGCCTACGCCTCGGTCGAAGGATGAACTGCGTTCATTTGTCGGCCTTGCTGTCTACTTTCGTATCCTGATTGAGAAATTCCAGGTCATCATGAAGCCTCTCTATGAGATACTGCGAAAGAATGCCCATTTTATGTGGAACGAAGTCCACCAGGTGGCGTTTACCGAGATAAAGTCACGCCTTTCAGAGTTCCCCTCAGTCCTGCCTATAGATTACGACTTTAATCCGTTTCTCATGATCGTTGCTGCAGATGCTTCTATAAAAGGATGGGGTGGCGTGCTCATGCAGGCTCGGAACGGTGTCCGCAATCCTGCACGATACGAGTCAGGGGTTTGGTCACAGGCTGAATCGAAATATGACGCAGGAAAGCTAGAATGCCGTGCTGTTTTGATGGCTTTTAAGAAATTTCGCCATTGGCTATATGGGGTACACTTCGTCTTGGAGACTGATGCTAATACCTTGGTGGCTCAATTGAATCGCACTGCAACCGACCTCCCTGGTGCTCTTGTTACCCGCTGGATTGCATGGATTCAGCTTTTTGATTTTGATGTCAAGCACGTTCCTGGCACTGGCAATGGCGCTGCAGATGCCCTATCCCGCCGTCCACCAACTGAGGAAGATCTACATGAGAGAGACCAAGAACAGGATATTGATGACTTTGTTGATACGGAGGTCCTATATCTCCGAGCCAGTTGTTGTCCTGTCTCTGCTAATGTTGAAATTCCCGGTGATCCTGTTATCGATGTGCTGCATGAAGGATACTCTTCTGAATCGGAGCAAATTGCAAGATACCTGACAACCCTCCGAAGACCTGGCCGCATGAGCCTGTCTGAATTCTATTCGTTCAAAAGAAAATGCATGAAGTTCGTCGTTCAAGAGCGTCATTTGTTCCGACGTGTCAAAGGTAATGCCGAATTGCTCCGCAGGGTTCTAGACAAAAAAGAAGACCAACAAGCTGCGTTGAAAAGCACCCATGATGATCTTGGCCATAAAGGACGAGAAGCTACGTATGCCTTGATCAAACATCGCTACTGGTGGTCTCGCGCGTACGAAGATGTGTCAAAATATGTTAAGACATGCTCATTATGCCAGGCCAGAGCTCCGAATCGTCTGCATGAACCTGCTATTGTTACGCAACCGCTGTTGCTTTTCGATAAATGGTATATTGACACAACTCGAATGCCTCCAGAAGACGGTGAACGTGTCGTTATTCAAGCGAGAGACTCTGTCAGCGGATGGCCAGAGGCGAGAGTATTGCATTCTGCGAAAACAGAGAGCGTCGTCCAATTCATCAAGGAAGATATCATCAGTCGTCATGGGATTCCTCGGGAAATAGTAATTGACATGGGACCTGAAAACCGTGGAGGATTAACAGCCTTCTTGGAACGCGAGCAAATATCAAGAGTCAAGATCTCCGCGTACCATCCCGGTTCCAATGGCCCTGTGGAACGTGCGATGCGAACTATGAAAGATGCTCTCTCAAAGATGACAGAAGGCTACCCTATAGACAACGTTACTCGGCAAATCAAGCGACCATGGAGGCCCCATTTCTATTCTGTCCTGATGGCGGATCGTTTTACGGTTAATGCCACCACTGGAATGAGCCCGTTCTTCTTTCTGTATGGGAAGGATCCTATTATACCCATTGAATTACAGATGTCTACCTGGAGCATGCTGCCATGGCATGAGGTCCGAGACCGAAAGGATTTACTAGCAATGAGAGCGCGGCAATTCGAAAAGCGGGACCAGGATATTGAAGAAGCAATCCTGCGTATGCGCCGTCTGAAAGAAGCAAATGCGCACTTCTTCGACGAACATCATCTGCTTCGGAATGACCGATTTGCACAGGGTGATCTTGTTCTCCTGCACAACACCATTCGCAGCATGGACTATCATTCAAGGACAAAACTACAATTCCGTTGGTTGGGGCCTTATCGGATTCATACGGTCAAAAGCGGTTCATATTTGCTGAGTGAACTCGATGGTACGGTTTTATACGATCTGACCCATCAGCCGGAGTCATTCAATGGCGATCGATTGAAGAAGTTCTATTCTCGGAAGGATCTAAATGATCAGGAAGAGGCTTCATCCTTACCGCAGCGTAACCCAAATGGACGTCCGAGAGGTCAACGAGGCCGAGGTAGTGGCCAAGGTCGACAGCAACATGAAGGATGGATTGAGACACCACGTGAGCGAGCACCACGACGACGGGGAAGGCCTTCGTTGAGAAGAACGAGGGGTCGCAGGTCCTAATCGGGGCATCGTTTTCCGGCAGGAAATTGATGCCTTAGAGCCTTAGAGCCTTGGGGCCTTGCGGCCTTGCGGCCTGATTTGGCCGTTTGTCTCGACCCGATTAGGAAGCCACGCTCTACATGATATAACTTCCTTTCTTCCCTCTCTTTCACTTTCAATTTCTTCAACCCCCCTCTCTTTCGCAACTCACCTTCATCATTTCTTCATCCATTTCATCGTTTTCGAACGCGTTTTGATGCTCGCCCGATACCACCGAACCATTTACGAACCACGGAGGACTCGCTGCAGCTTTGCAACTATTCGGCACTGCGTGACTCGACCAGGGGACGGTCGAGTCGGGAGGAGGGGAAAGGACCTGGTTCTTTGTTCCCGAAGCTCTTTGAAACCTGCGATTCTTTGTTTCTTTCAGACCCCGCTTACTATTTCCTCTTCTAATATGCCTCGAAACCTACGTCTTTGATACGTCTTACCTGTGCTTCGAAGCCATTCGCCGGATACGATTCCTTTGACCGATCCGATTACCAACCTCTCCTTTCACCGTTACCTCCGAGACCTATTCGAATCACCTCCTTTGTTGCACGAACCGCATAAAGATACGCCGTGATGTCTGATTTCGAGATGGCGGAAAGCCAAAACACCTTTACTCCAGTGAACCGTGCTGTAATACGACGAGCCAGGATGGATGAACCAATTCCTACAGGCATGATTATCAAAGGCAAAAAGATCCACACGATTGAGCAAATGCTTGAGGCCCTGGAAGAGAGTGACGCTGCAGAAAAATATGACATTGCACTGTTTTGCTATGGGAAATTGAATGCTGCACATGACTTGCTCGGTGACGGCATCTGCAGGCTGTTTGACTATGTTAGCTCCGCAGAGTTATGGAAGGGTCATCATGAAGACCAAGAGGAATTCCAGCTTCGATGGGAAAAAGCAGTCCAGCTACAAAAGCGAAGAGCAAAGGATGCGAGAACAATCGAAGGCATTCGACAGCGAGCGCTTGTGAGATGGGACAACCAAGACCCCGCAGGCAGGAATACCACCGAGTTCTTCCAATGGGTCAAGAATCGAGCGTTTGCGGAGAAAGTTAGTAAGCTCCTGAACACAGATATGTCCTACGAGGATGTCAAGCTATCTATCAACAACCATGTCATCAAGAGATGTACCTTTGGAAAAGGAAGTGGAGCCCAGAAAACCAAGCACCTGGAACCCAGTGACCTGCTCAAGACCTGCCAGTGCCGTATCCTGACGCCGATTCTCCAAGAACACCTAGATCGTGCGGGTCTCCAGATAGACCAGGATGGATTCGTTTGTCCAAAAGGCGAAGGATTTGATCTTCCAAGGATCGAACCAAGAGCATATACCCTGCCTCCGTCTCCCGAGAAGAGTGTTTTCCTACCGGAAGATGATGCTGCTGCTGCTGCTGCTCCCCCTGATGAATTGGAAGACCAGGATATGGAGGAAGAAGAGAGCGTGGAATCTAGCCAGGATTCGGAACGCGACGAGGAAATGCAGGATGCCCCGCCGACACAGCAGGAAGTATTGAACAATGCCGTTGTCGAAGAAAGCGACGAAGAAACAGTTGCCCTCGCGGATGCACATGCGAAGTGTGGATGTTTACTGCGCCCTGCTACCCTGATACGAGCCCTCAAAGAAAAAGATTTCTCGAAGCGGAAAAATGGACTGGTCGCATTGCGAGCCATTGGAAGAAGATTAGCGAGGTCCGGAGATATCACTGTCAATACTCTTTGCAGTAAGCACGCAAAGGCACTAGTGGAAGCTATACAAATGACTAGTGCGTCCAAGAATCACCAGCAATTGGTGAACCGGGTTGCCCTATCATATCGACACATTGGGAACTGGGACCGATTTATGAAGGACCATCCTCGATGGTTTAGTTTCCGGCAGGAAAACGATCTCGGTTTCCATCGTTTCAAGCCGCAGCACTACGCCCCTCTTGTTTCTGACTTCGCCGCTGCTACAGAATGGCTGTCGGTTGATACCCTGATTGACCGGATCTACGCTGGAAAGGCCCCTGATATTCGCCCGGCAAAGGATATGCATAATGATGGCAGCACTATACTGCCAGGTCTCTTTTCATGGCTCGGAGAAGACCTCGACGGAGAACATCCTGAGGGACTATGGCCGTTGATTCACCAGGAGTTCCGAATGTACCATTACCACCTGAGCAAGTCGACAACAGAGATTGGATGGCTTCGTGGGATGTGGTATTCAAACATCCAGCAACTAATTCGGCAAGACCTCTCCTACTACATGTCATACGTCTTTTTCCGACCCGATCATGCATGGCGCCTGATTTCCTACCCCTATTACACCAAGAGCACTCAGATTGGTGAAAATACTAAGTTTCGGCACTTGGATATCAACATCCAAGATTATCTCGACACAGGACGGGGCGGCAGTATCTTGCAAGGATCTGTATCCTTCACCCAGGAAGATAAACGGAATTGTACCACGATATTGAAAGGGATGCATAAGACAGAGCGGTTAGCTGATTGGTGGAAGAACATTCAGTCCCGCGGGCCCGTTCCCGATGGCCTCATTTCTGGCATTGAACCCCATATGTGGACGAGAGATGACGAGGAGAAGTACGGCATCCAATGGACCCAAGAGGTTTGTGGTATCGGTGACGTACGTCTTTCTCTCCCATTCCTGCCTCATGGATCGACAGGACCGGCTACCGCAGTACGCAGAACAGGACTTGCGTGGTATACTGCCATTCAGGACGACCACGAAACTCTCGACTGTGCCGAAGCCAATACATGGGAGGAGCTTGCCGAGGCGCACCGCGCACAAATGCCGGCTACTAAGACACCATCTGGCTATCCTTCATCGCGGTATGGCACTATTCCATTTCCTTTCGCGGCCGGAGTTCAATTTCGAACAGCACGACACGATATTCCGAACTGCCTGGTAGGACGACAGAGATGGGACAGCCCCTCGGTTTGTATGGAATTGGACGACCTTTTTGGCAAGGATCCGGAAGTTGCAAAAAGAATAGTTCGTGACTGGCAAGAGGAAGCCTGGTATGAATACCTGCGTTGCTTCGAACTCACCAAGCGCTTGGAAAAGAAGGAATATGGCAAGCACTCCTTCTTCTCCCGCATTGAAAAAGGCATGCTCGTGGACGATCCTGAACTAGGTCTCTTGCCTGATGGTCCCACTTCCGTCGATGCTGAACTTCAAACGCTGTCGAACATGCAGCAACCTACCCCCGAAGCGGAGGTTGGCCTTCCTCATAGCGGCTAGGTGCCTATTAATGGATGAAGCATGACATGACTGTCGGAAGCGTTGTCTAACGAAATGTTGACGTTCTTTTCTTTGTTTTCTTTGTTTTCTTTGTTTTGACTAGGGGACAGTCAAATTTTCAGGGAGGGTGGTATGTAATGGGGATTCCCGCTCTCAACATCGGTATCCTGTAGTCATGTGCTGGAGGCCTTAGCAACAAGGCCACCGTTTTGTTTCGTGAGATTAAGTAGCGTTCGTTCGATACTATCAAAAACAACATGCATGTTCCCCTTTATGAAAATGTTCTACTGAGGCTGCTGAGGTTGCGGTATCGATATACTGCGTATGAAAGGTTCTGTTATTGCTCGTTCAATCATCTCTCTATAGCGTCACGCTTTGCTCATCTCGTTCCTGCACTCTGCGAGTGTGGTGGTTTTGTCTCTTCGCGATCGACCCGTCTGCTTGACAGACTGCCAGCGAGCATTCCCATCTTACACCAACTAGTTCGAGAGTATAGTACATTGGTTATCTGACTAAAAAATGTTACCAAGATACTCGAGATTTGAAAATTGTGACAATTGATCTTAGGGAGCCTCCACGACCAGCAAGGAGGTATTGGAACTTGCAGCTCCCAAAAGCACACCGGCTGAGGTTTTGAAATGCCTACTGGGGGATCAGTGAGACGAATTTATTGTTTCCAATTGCGTGTTCTAGGTAAATCAGAAGTTCAAGAATAGCAAAAATCCCATATAAACTTTGCCGCCCAAATCAATGCTAAACTTCCAGAGCGGATGTTTCGCTGACATTTTGAAAGGTTATCCGTTTACCGACAACCGAGAGCCGTATTATAGCCCCACGCATAATACTTAAAAAAAAACATCGAGCACAAGTTTTCAACATGCATGATGTCTGTATATATTTGATTTCGGTCAGCGTAGTACTCAATAAAAGTCCTGTGCTAGGCCTCCATGGGTGGGTGGCAGAAGGAAATCTCTTGGAATACACGAAATCATTCTTTACACTTGCATTGTGCCCAGGAAATAATGCCAAATTACCCTAACCAACACATTTACAACTGTTTAAAAGAAGTTCCTTTTTTCTTGACCGAGATTCAATAAATAACTGCACAAAGAGACTGTTTTGACAGGGTTTTGGTTAGCTATTCTCAAAGCGTATATCGGAATGATTCCAGGCCCTCGATTAGACCCATCCCGCCCTCTGCCCTCTTATTTGCGCGATGATACTTCAATACCAGAAGCAGACTAATAAAAATAATGAGGCTGTTGGCTATCAGTGCTGCGATGATACCTGGTTGATAATCGGGGGCGTCCTGGGTGCGAAATACAGTGCCGCCAATGATACCTCCAATTCCACCTGCACCAACACTCAACGCAGAGGTCAGAGCTCGCTTCCACTGACCCCTGACATTGTTTGATTGCCAAGAAAGGGTAGATGGTAGGTTGGAGGAGCCAGAAGCCGTCACAATAAAAGCACCCACCAGGCGACTAGCTGTGTGGGTTGTGAAGCCAAGCAGGCCCAGACCTATCATAATCCCGTTAGAAATTGAGATAATCGAATTTCCAGTTATATGTTTATTTACCGATAATAGAGCATGAGCAGTTGAAAACCACGAAGGGCGACCGAATACGTAGCCTGTCAGATGACCAACCCACGACGATCATCCATAAACATGCTAGAATATATGGTGGGGCGGTTAAGCATTGCGATGCCACAAGTGAAAGCCCCAGGCCTTGACGGAGAATTATTGGAAGGAAATAAACAACAGCGTAGTTTGTCGTGGTGGTGAGACAGAAAAGTGCTGCATGAGCCCAGACTTTAAGATCGGCCGCATGTGAAATATATTGGCGGAGGTTGAATTCTTCAGCATAGGAATCGTTTCGATCTGCTTCGATTTGCGAGACGGCGTATTTTATCTCTTTAGTGGTCAAAAAGGGGACAGACCATTTTCGCCGGCCTTTTTCAAGCACAACCTCGGGAAAGTCGACCACGAAAGGCAACGAGGTTATCGCCACTGCACAGGTAATAATACCGAAAAATATGAATATCCAACGCCAGCCAGCGATTCCGCCTTCTTCAGGGCCATCGGCAATAGACGACCACCAAGAAGGTCCTGATCCATTACCATCAAGTTGAGAGAACCCATAGGCCAGAATACCCGTAAATGCAGACGCAAGGGTACCGATAAAATAGAAAAGAGCCACGCGTCGCTGGAGTTCATAGCGAGGGTACCAGCAAGACATCATGTATAAAGACCCAGGGAAAATACCGGCTTCAAACGCCCCAAGCAGCAGCCGAAGAGGAATCAAATCATACCACTCTCTGACAAACCCCAGACAAATTTCAGTTAAACCCCAAAGCAGGGCGATAAGCGTAAAATATGACCTACCACTCATCTTGCGAACTAGGACCACAGAAATTGGCTGAAAGATAACGTACGTTATAAACATAAACAACACCACCATCGAGTATCTGGGGCCCGTTAGGCTCAGGTCTTTCTCCATGCCGGCTATACTAGCGTTTCCAAGATTGTTCTTGTCGATTTGGCTGAGCATGTATAGTAAGCCTAGAACACAGGTTACCCGCAGGTCAATCTTGTGTCTTAGTTTGCTTTTTTCTGAGGCACTCAGTGAGTCACTCTCGGGTGTCATCGCTTCGTCCACATGTTCAAAGGAGGTTTTTGACTTCTCCATAGTGCTGAGAGTATTTTTGGGTACTTGTAGAATTATCAAGAAATATGGAATGGCAAAAGGATGAAATTAAATTTCTGGATGAGAAGCCAGCTCAGCTCGATATTTGAGATATAGTGCTAGCTTTTATATGCTCCAAAGCAATGAAGGTTTGTTGATATTCATCAATGAAATGAACCGCGAACTTAAGTCTCGGCTAAGAGAACCTAATTTAGGAGGACTCTTTACCGAGTGCCGGTAGCTGGAGCGTTATTAAGTACTGTGTCTTGATTTATACACTGGGATTATACAGTGCCTGGATTTCTGGTAGCTATGACATGAACCGATAGCTAATCCAGCAGTTTCCGACCTCTACGAAAAAGTAATTCCTAGTTTATAGTTTAGCAGAAGACCTCAGCTCGATCAGTTGGTATATCTTACCACCATCACAGATCAAAGATTGACCGGTAATATTTCTAGATTGGGGGCCAGCTAGAAATGAAACCAGATTTGCGATGTCTTCCGGTGTCTATGACCACGTCATCGGTGTAAGAGGGGGTACTTGAATATAAACTTGCAGGTTTTCTGAATGAGACTTACCGAGGCGCGCTTTAATGCAGACCGAGCCTGGACAGACTTCTCAAATGCCATTCCTTTGGGAATTCCGTCTCGCTGCGCAATGCTATCATCGATCTCTCTCCACATCTATCGCCGAGGTTAAAAATCGATATATCCAATATCCAATGATTCGTACGTACCGCAGTTTCCACGGGACCAGGGCAAAATGCTGCAATTAGGGCATGCTGTTAAATTGCCGAATTTTGCTGGTGATATATTGATTTATCATACCGTTGACCTGTAAGCTTTGTCAGATTTTCGAATCGAAGTTTATCCCATGGGCTCCACTTACATTAATATCGTACTGGGCCAGATCCAGCGCAACTGCCTGTGTCAGTCCTCTGACAGTCCACTTACTCGCCGAATATGCCAGGGCATTTCCTGACTGAGCACCAATAAGCCTGTGAACATGATTCTTACACAAAAAAGTTACATACCGGGCGGTAACCAGCGATTGAGGACGCGCCGATGATTCTTCCCCCTTTTCCCTGGGCTACCATCTGGCGGCCTAATAACTTTAATGATTTGACTCAGTTCGGGAAGCAAAGGGTAATTTCGACTTACCTGCTTCGCGGTAGCAGAGGAAGACACCCGTGGCATTTACCTATATTTCAGAAACCAAAGTCAGTCGGAACCAAAGCATCGTTTTGGATATTTTTTTTTCGGGTGAAACTACTGCTTGAACCCTCTCCCAGTCGGCGAGACTAACATCGAATAGTCTTTTCGCCACGATTATACCTGCGTTGGCAACCATGACCTGATCGTCATAGTGAGAATTAAATCGTACCAATGAAGTTTAATCACGGAATCATACATTCAATTCGCCAAGCTTATCAACTGTCTCTTTTATCATGTTTTGGACCTGTTCTTCTTTGCTGACATCCCCTATAATGCAAATTGAACGCCGTCCTATATGATCCTTTTAGTACAGAGATAGGAAGAAATTCCTGAGGATATCTGTCGTAATTACCTCTCTTCTCAATCTCCTCGCTCAGCAACTTCAAGTCTGGAATTTGCTCTTGAACATCATTGACCTATTCCGGTGGTGAAAAGTTAGGGGTCATTTGAAAGGATACTATGTAACACATTCTGGAAAAGGGAGCTTACCGCGACATCCATACCATCATTCGCTAACTGGAGGGCGATGGCTCTGCCAAGTCCTCTCGAGGCACCAGTTACGATAGCAACAACCATTATGGTGAATAAGCGATTTTCTTGATATAGCAGTGACCTTGCGTAGACTGAACAACTATTACAGGAATGGAAATCTATTGTATTATATACTATTCTAGCCATATGTATTTCTGCCATGGAATGCTCATTCTGTGTCTCTTTCTTGGATTACCGGGGCTGTGCACGGCATTCGGTAGACGCCGGGACCATAGCCGACAGTAGCTAAATTTCAAAAGACAGCCGAGGAATACTCTGGGAGTTTTCTGCTATTGTTACAAAAGATTCAGAATGAAAATACACCATATTTGAAAAGATTTAATACGAGATGAATTTCGAAACTGCCAAGTGACCGTCAAATAGAGCTGTCTAAATCAATGTGCTGCCGGTACAAGGTCTTGAAGGAAATTCCAAAGTGTTTTCTCTCGCCAATTTCTTTTTTTCCACTCATTGGCCGACAAGGGGAACAGATCAACATTTCCCAGCAGGCTGGGGTCATGAGCATATATGAACCAGACGTTACTTTCCGCATCCGCTTCCTGTGCTTTCTCAATAGTGTCCATTGCCTGTTTGATATCCAAGCCCATGTTCGGTCTGAAAAATGGCTTTTCTATAGACCCAGTCCGCTGTATCAGCAATTCCTGATATACGAGAGCTCCGGGGCATGGAAGTGAAGTTGGAATAGTCGATCTTAGTTGAATATCCTGAGGAATGTGCATGTGTTTCGAAGGCCTGATTTCTCCGCTATGATGGCAGAGATCCCCTCCCATGAATATGAATGTGTCTGGATTGGTCGTTGTACGTGCTAATGCACCAATGTGACCAATGGCATGACCGGGACTATCTATGATATAGAACGAACCATCAGCAAAGAAGTCGTATCCTTGGAACTGGCCAACTTGGACCGAATCTCGAAAGTCAATTTCGCGTAGATTGCGTCCGCTTTCGTACAACGAAGGTCAGCCAAGCACGAGATTACTATGGTAAATCATAGCGCAGTGAAAAAATAGTCAATCCAAGACTTACGCAAAGTCACTCTGGCGGACTGGAGAATCTGGCTTCGCCGGATATCCAGGGAAAAACTCGGTCTTGAAACCAGGCCCGACAATGAGTTCAGTGGAGCCAGGAAATCGCGAGGGGTCCCCAATGTGGTCCCAGTGCCAATGGCTGAGGCAAAAGAATTGTTAGCCTCTTGTTGACCCTTAGTTGAAAATTGTTTCATGAAGGATACTCAAGTTGCTTACCTCCAAATAATACTTGAAATTTCGCTTGCCGCGATTCCTCCTTTCTCAAGAATGTCGATCACCTCTTCCTCAACTTCAATTTTCCATCCTCTTCCTTTGAGAGTTTCTGTGACTGCTGGTGCAAATGCGTGCCAATCTCGAGGAACACCAAGGTCATAGAGAATCTTCTTGCCCGACGGATGCTCGATCAAGAATGACCAGGCAGGAAGAATAGGCATGTGTTTCATAGATTCCATGGGAGGTTCCATTAAAAATTCCAGCGGTATATTGCCAATTCGGGTAGTGGAATCGATGATGCGAACCCGGACGCTCTGGGAGCCCGGAGGCACGTTGAAGGTGGTGGATTGGAGTGACATGATTAGATAGCCTCTGAAACTTGACGCAGACTCACTCTGAACGTTCTCTGGGCATGAAAATAGAACCTGGGGTTTTTCTATTCATACAGTGGCGAGAATACGAAGTCTAAGAATGCCGAAAGCCGATTGATAGCGGAGAAGGGTTGGAGTAACCGAAATGCGGGGAAACTCTCGCGGTAGTCAAGAGGCACTTGTTGCCATCACGATACCCTCTGCCCTGCCCAATTCCAGAATACCTGAAATCTACGGTTGCAATAATGCCGAATTCATATGTGCGACGGCGTGCAGGCCTAGTGTGCGTTCAATGTCATGCGCGAAAGGTAAGCGAGATCATGGAAATTCGATATGGAAGGCTCGGCAGCTGAGTGAATCGATAGATCAAATGCGATTTGCAACAGCGACAGCCAGGATCATGTCTTAATTGCATGAAGACAAACTTAGAGTGTCGGTGAGTGTCTAACTAAGCGAGAAAATAATAAAAAATGCTAACTCCAATTAAACGAAGGAAACGCAGAGGATTGCGTAGGGGGGGCGCAGAATAAACAGCCCGCTGAAAAAGTCAACCCCAACAGTCAGCTAGCAGAACTGAGAGAAATTCAAGTTGATCGACAGCTGCCCCCCGAATCTTGCGAAAGATTTGTGGGGTATCTAGCCGAGGAGTCATTTCTTTCCAACACATGTGGGCCTGATATTGATGATGTCGAGGTTTCCATGTTGCAGGAACAGGACCCGCCAACTCTGCGTTCGGCTCTGAGCCTTGCTCCAAGGCCGATACTTGACGCCTTTATTGACTTTTATTTCACCAATATGTTTCCACTGGTGCCGGTTGTTGACCGGTTAGATGTTACAGAGCCAGGTAGTTCTGCTCTGCTCATACAATGTCTGTGCATGCTCGGGAGTCACTATCGTCACCCACAACTACCGTCGATGCCGACAGCCGAATCATTCTATTGCAAGGCTAAGACATTGATGAATTGTAACTATGAGAAGGACAGTCTAACAGTCCTGAAAGCTTTGTGCTTGATTTGCTGCCGGAGTAAAGAATCGCCGACAATTGTTAGCCTTGATAGTTCATGGCACTGGCTTGGTGTGGCGACGCGATATGCCTTCAACATGGGTCTGCATCTTGAAGTGACATATCAAGGAAGAGCAGCCGCAGGCCTGAGTCGCCGAATCTGGTGGAATATCTTTGTGGGTTTCTGATTATGTTAGGGTGCTTGATTGGCCAAGTTAAACTAATTTGATCTAGAATCAAGACAAACTTCAGTCTCTTTGTTACGGTCGGCCCCCGGAATTCGTCTACATGAGGTCAATGTGGAATTGCCTACTTTGCAAGATTTTTCCATACCACATCCTGACAACGAAGTTTTTCTCCAACGAACAAAGATCTGCATTATTTTAGGGAAATTATCAGATGCTCAGCACGGTCGCTATCAATCTTCAATTCTGGAAGAAGCGACTCATATTGGCGAGTATTTGAAAAAATGGATCAACGAACTCCCTCGGCATCTACAACTCTATACACCGGATCTACCGCCAACTCGTTCACCTTATAGACGAGACGCATCTGAGCTACATATAATGTATTTCACATGTATTATTCTATTCTATCGCCTGATTGAGAGTCCGCATCTTGGCTTGACATCTCTCAAGGTCTCTATGGTTGCTGCATCCTGCACACTGCAACTTCTGAAGGAGATTTACTACCGAAATGAGATTCCCCGTCTTCTCCCAATCAACAATTGGTATTGCATGGTAGCTGGGGTTCCTCTGGTTCATGCCATGGTTAAGCTGCCGGAGAATGCGGCTCTGCACCATGAAGAGTTGGACATGCTGCGCCTCATTCTTCACGAGATGACACATACATCGCCAAGCACTCAACTCATTATCAATAACATTGATCGTCTTCATCGGTCCGTTTTATCAACACCCGACGACGAGCTTATCTCAAGACCCTCTCTCGGGTCAAACAACTTGGCATCTTCCGAGACTCGTGATCCAATTTTCTGGGCTCAGTTTCGACCAGTAGAGCCGCTACAGTTATTCCCATTTCCTCCTGAAATGAGCCCCAGGATGAATCTTCTCCAATCACTTGCTCAAGATTGCAAATATTCTGATGTTATCACCGTTGAAGCAGAATCATTGCAAGGGGAAGAGCAGGAAACAAGAGACGGAACCCCACAATTTTCTTTCAACTTTGATTTTGGGAACATACAGGTGGATGAATTTTTGTTCGAAGTACCTGAAGCCGATATTTTGCCATTTGGTCCTAGTGTATTATCTTAAAATTATTCTGTGAATTGAATGAATTGCTTTTCGCGGGGCGTTTCTCTCGAAATACTGAAAACTTGAATTTTTATAGTTAAAATTATTCTACTGCCAGTTTATAACTCTGAAAAAGTGAATCTTGTTTTCGCAAGAAAAATGTTCAGCTTTGACCAGAGATATGAATGCAGATAGGGTATACCGAGGCAAGGGATAGCCATTGCTATACAAAGTTCAGTAATATTTGCCGCATAGGTCTCCCTACTACTAGGCTACTAGTTTGACGCACTGCCGAACGGCAGCCGGCAGTCGGCATTCTGCCTTCATTTATGGAAAATCTTGTAGTTCCCAAGTTAACTCCCAAGTTAACGTAAATCCTCCCAAGCTCTACTAGAACTATATATGGTATTCTTGTCAATAGAATTTTGAAATAACTTTCTTACTTGGCACCATAGTTGAGTATCTTTTCAACATGACTTTCCTATCAAGTCAGATTCCGGCTCTAGACCATAACAAAAATGGCCACCAAAAGCCCTACGACGTTCTCGAACAGCCGTTAGGCACTACGCACCATCTTAGAATTGTGACAGTGGGAGCAGGGATTAGTGGACTAAACATGATACGGGCCTTGAGAAAAGGAATGACAAATTACGATCATGTTGTGTATGAAAAGAATCCCGAAGTCGGAGGAACTTGGTATGAAAATCGCTACCCAGGCTGCCAATGTGATCACCCATCACACAACTATCAGTTTACATGGAATCCAAATCCGCGATGGTCACAGTTCTCTGCCAATGGACCAGAAATTCAGGAATACATTCTCCGCTGCTGTGAAGAGGAAGACATGCGATCCGAGCTAAAGACATTTCATCAAGTAATTGGCGCCTGGTGGGACGCTTCCAAAAGCCAATGGAGCTTGAAAGTCAAAAACCTTGCCACAGGTGTCATGATAGAGGACTATTGCGACTTTCTCTTGAATGCTACTGGGATATTGAAGTAGACTCTCCTGGCTTCTTTGATATCATTTCGTTATAAACAATATGCTAACCTTTTTACGATGACACAGCAATTGGAAATGGCCAGATATACCGGGCCTGAAGGACTTCAATGGAGACTTGATTCATAGCGCTGCTTGGCAAGAGAATTTCAACTACCAGGGGAAGCGCGTCGCAGTCGTTGGAAACGGATCTTCCGGAGTGCAGATTGTGCCCGCCATTCAACCAGGTTAGTATGAGATAGAAACCACACGTACCACGCTTCACTACTTATGAGAATTCAGATGTTGAAAAACTTGTCCACTTTATCCGCTCACCCACCTGGATAGCTCCTCCCCAAACAGAGAGGATGCTGAAGGGAGCATCGGCTGAAGTCATGCAGTCGGCGCAGATGGATGGGGATAAATTTACACCAGAGCAAATGGAGCGCTTTGAGAAAGACAGGGATTATTATCGCTCCTTCATTAAGGCTACAGAGGAACAAGTCAATGCTCGCTTCCGAACGGTTCGCATCCCACATACCCTTCCGTAGAAACTGACGAAGAAGTCACTAATTTTGAAATAGATGGTGAATAACGATGGACTTGCAGAGCAACTACAGAAGCACCTTGTCGTACACATGAAAAGTGCTCTCAAGAATAACGAGAATCTTATCCGTTCCGTCATTCCAACCACGTTTCCCGCTGGGTGTCGAAGACTAACCCCAGGCCCCGGATATCTTGAGTCTCTTAGTGCCGACAATGTTCGAGTTGTGACAGATAACATCCGAAAGATTCTGCCTTGGGTATTGAATTGGTTTCGGGAGAGATTGTTGAATTGGATGCAATTATTTGTGCAACCGGGTTTGACGTCTCATTTTGCCCACGTTTCCCAATTGTTGGTAGAGACGGTTGCAATTTGCAAGATAGGTGGAACAAAGAGCTTCCCGCTGCTTATATGTCTTGTGCCGTTGCAGATATGCCCAACTATTTTGTGTTCATGGGACCAAACACACCTATTGGCCATGGAAGCGTGCTTACCATCGCCGAACAGGTCGCGAGGTATATTATACGAATGCTGAAAAAATGTCAAGTTGAGAATATCAAATCCTTGACTATCCGCACAGAGGCAGTTCAAGAATTTACCCAACATACACACACATTCCTGCCACGGACCATCTGGGCAGGAGCCTGCCGCTCGTGGTATAAGAATGGGACCATTGATGGACCTATCACAGCTTTGCATCCCGGTAGTCGCATTCACTGGTTTCATATGATGGAGATATTCCGTCCAGAGGACTACGAGTTTGAATATCGATGCGTGGGAAATCGTTTCCAATTCCTAGGAAATGGCTTTTCTGTTCGAGAAAGCGGAGCAAATCCGACATGGTACTTGGAACAGCTTGATAACTTTTCGGAGATTTGATTTCCTTCATGATTTACTGTCTCCTCGAAAGGGAAGCAGTTATTATTAGATTTACCTGGGAATTTCAATCGTGTATCGAGGGGAATAGGTCAAGATATCTTTCGCCAGCTCAAATTTAAGAGCAAAAATTGATCTATTTATGTTCAAAAATTGAGGCTGCTGTTATATTCCTGGCCTACTAGTAGAAGCCCTAGGCAAAAAGCCTGACGATTGCTATTACCAAGTTCTAATATACAAAATTGTGTCTTCTATATACAGACCCAGCCCTTCCTTTCACAGTTCAAAATCTAGGCATTTCAAGTTCCAAAGATTCACCTTTATTTTCCCCCGTGCAACAAAGCAATATCACCCTGAGCCGTTCCAATAGAAGTCTCAAACTGAAGTTTCCACCACTCGACGACTTCCCGATTCTCCATGAAAGTAGAAAACTGAGTGAGAGACGAAGAAGGATGATCCCAAACTTTTCCCGCTGTAGATGTCAAATCCTTTCGGACTAGGTAGCTGCCATTGAACGTCTTCTGGTGTTCGTCGCTTAGCAGCCAGCTCATGAACAATTTGGCACTTTCGGGACGGGGGGTTGACGCAAAGATGGCTCCGGTTTGAGGCCAATACATGATAGGGTCCGTGGGATCGATGCTGTCCAGGTTGCCACCGGCGGAGGTGGTAAAGGACAGAGATCGGGTTGAATTCATTCGCTCGATTTCGGCTGCTGGTTCACCGGTGCCACGAACCCATTTCACATTCTGTTGGAGGAGGGCATCAAACCATTCCCAGCCGTATTGGTTGATGATTATAGAGAAGAGATAGAGCACAGCATCATCGTCATTGGGGTAAGTCAGAACGAGCTTATTCTTCCACTCTGGGCGAGTAAATTCCTTCCATGTTGACGGAACATTGGATTTCTCGAGGAGCTTGGGGTTGTAGACAAGACTCCCGAAGTTGACTAGCATAAATTGGGATTAGCAAGCAAAGTATAAAGATATTCCGTGCGGTCTTGCTTACAGATGAAATATGGCACAAATGCAGCATCAGGATCTCTGATAGTTGACCAGATATCCTCCCAATGAGCCGGTTTATAGGGGTACAGTCTACCCTCCTTCTTCCAACGAGGATAGTCATGGAGGGTTTGCAAGACTGCAATATCAGCGCCAGCAGACCCGGTACGTTGAAACTGGCGATTGACGCGGCTATCGTGATATTTCGAGACATCCACAGTGAGGTTTAGCTCGATATCCGGGAAACGGGCTTTCCATGCATCGATGGTAGATTGGCCCTGGCTCACATCTACATCATGTCAGCTTTGGTTCTTTATACGTATTTTATAATACGCACCATCTCCTCCCCAAAGAACAACGAGGCTACCATGTTCTCTCTTGGCAGCGGCGTAGATTTGGTCCAGTGAACGGTTTTCAGTGGCAGGAGAGTGTCCTGGGAAAGAGTTCCATTCCGGCAATATTGCGGCAGCTAGGCCGAGGAAGCCCCAAAGAGAGATTGCAGTTTTCATATCGGACAAAAGTACAAAGTTCCTGCAAGTAGACAAAATGGCCGGATGATGCGCTGAATTAACCAGTCTTCGGACAACAGATACAGGAGAATTATAAAGGATAATAACAACGGTACAGTTCCGCGCCGATTACCAAACCTCCTTACTGCCCGAACCCATAGTTCTGGCACGAAAAGTTGATCTTTACCCAATAAGACCAAAGGAAGCCGTGGAAGTATGGCGCGATCCGAGACATCGACCCACTCTGGATAGGCTACAATACTTTATTACCCTGCAAGAATAGTCTCGTGAAACAAGCTTAATCTAAGCTGACTATTCGAGCATCCGTTTTTCGTCAAAATTCAGACATGCTGAGCAATGTTATCTGAATCAAACGCCTCACCCGACACCATCTAGATAGCGCCCGCTAGGTCCATGCTTTCTCCTTCTCAGTTATATTCAAAACTACAACGTTTATCTTGATGTTTCTGCATTTTTTTCACTCCGGGTCATACTATTCGCCCTAAGATTTGCCAAGTCTAGGTTGCAACATAGCCACAGTTGAGTATGGTTACTAATTACTATTCTTGGACATTCACACCGCTGATCAATACTACCCGTGCGAGATTATGCCCGTAGTTATTATAATTGGGTTCATGACCAATTCTCATTCGGAGAGGGTATATCATTAGTACTACAAAGGCTAGGCTGGGAGGTGGACTGCCCTTCTAGTTTATTAGTAGTTACAGCTCACTCCCAAAATATTTGTCTCATATCTCCCTGATGAAGTGTGCGAAATTGTCTCCAGGGGAAGCAATACCCTACCAGAGTTGCATTCAGATTTGGGCATTAACTGCGATGAGGGCATTCTTGGGGAAAATATAAGGCTTGGGGTTGAAGAGTAGGAAGAACAACAGGAAATCAGGGGATCTCGAAAAAGAACTGCGGCTTCCAATTTCTCATCAAGTGTGAGTCATGCTTGGCAGCCCTGGTAGAAGTGTACCCAACTTTAACGACTTTCTTTGAAGGATTGCCTATTATTCTTCAATTCTACGGTAGTGGTAGGACGTTGTCTTGAGACAAATTTGACGATCACAGCCTCAGCCCGCTGTATACACGCAAGTCATGTTGGGCCGGGTGCCTCAGGCAGTCAGACCGAGATGCTGGGTATAGCATTAGAAGAAGACTCGGTTAAGCAGAGCCTGACTCCTTTTTATAGAAGGGGGAATATAGTTGGGTATCTGCTCTTGTACGGTAGTTGAGTGGGAATTCGTGACGATCATGGCCCGATGCCACCGGTGATCCTACCCTCTAGTAACTGGGATGGATTAAAGGGCTAAATGATAAGAGCGGAAATAGAGGTAGCGGAGCCCAGCTAACATGATAGCATAGAGTTGATCATGCCCTACGACTATGCTCTTTCTACGACAACAGCTACAAGAAAGTGAGGTATTCAGTAAAGAAGAATTGTAGTCATCAAATGAATCAAAGAAACGTTATGTCCAGGCAGTATGTCAACACAAACAACGAAAATAAAGACATAAGCAACCCAGACGGGTTTATTATGTATTATCTAATCAAAAAATAGACATAAACATACGCAAAGCGTAATCAGTAAGTGAATAAGATATCAAGAAAAAAGAGAAAAAAACGAGACCCTTAACCCTGGCCGTCAACGCCTGGTGTCAACAGCGACCCAGTACAACCAGTCCACCCCGTGTGAACGGGATGGAGATAGTTGGCGGGAAATTGCCAACACCGTCGATGCGCTAGCGCTCAAAACGCACCGAAAACACATTCAGATTCGCATTGGAAGTGAAGGGGTTTACAGCAGCAGAACGGCGGCACCGAGGACGGCGGCCAGACCGGCACCAGCGCCAGCGGCGTTCATGGCACCAGCGTTGAAGGCGGGCTGGGAGGGAGCGGGGGTGGAACCGGAGCCGGAGGCAGCGGGGACACCAGTGGCATCGGCGCCCGAGGGGACGTAGGGGGTCGAGGCGGAGGCCGGGACGCTGGAGGAGGCAGCGGGGGAGGTGGGGACAGCGGAGGAAGTGCTGGATTGGATGTTAGTTTTGTTTTTGAGGTTGGTGGTGATCATTATTTTGATCTTGATGAGGCTGGATGCTTACCACTTGTTGCACTGGGTGACGGTCTGGGTCACGAGGGGACGGGTGACAGTGAAAGAACCGGTCAGAGTGACGCTTCCGGGCTGTTGAGGAGTTAGTTATGTTCGATGAAGAGCGATGGGTGGATATAGGATTGGGATGTTGGTGGTCGTCCCGGATGATGCGATGGATGATTCATTACATCTCATCTCTCATCATCACCCGGGGTGACATCCAAACACGGAATTGATGCGAAAACATTGATAGAAAATCGATAGAAAATCGGACGAAAAAACGTACAGTAGAGACGCTGTAGGTCGAGCCGCCGTGGACAATGGAGGTAGCCTCGGGGCAGAAGGTGGTGTAGTCGGTGACAGTCTCAGTGACAACACCAGCGAAGGCACCAGCGGCCAGGGTAACAGCGGTAGCAATGGAGAAACGCATTTTGAATGGTTTGGGAGATAAAGTTGATCGAGGAATGTTCCTTGAAAAGATCCGACAAAAGTCTAAAGAGTGACTGGAGGTGTTTAAAGAATGTAATCGGTCAAGAAGAACCGGGATGGGCAAGAGAATGTGGATGGAGAACGAGGAAGGGGAAGAAGACGGGGGCGCAGAGGTTTATAATAGGGTGAACTTGGGACGGGACTTAGGGGAGTCAGGACCATGGGCCACTCTCAGGTACCCGGGGCCACTAGCGCAGGAGAAAATGAGAAAAAAGGGGCGGTGGTGGCAGTATGGGAAATTAACTGCTGTTGATGGGCTTATTTCCACTATTCAGCCCCATGTCTGCAGTCAAGTCCAATCACAAGAGACATTCCCTTCGGCACACGCCCACGAACCGGTTTGTGTGGTCCGGGGATCTTTACCCGCTTGGGCCGCAGTGGATGCTAGGGCTTTGTCTGGATGGTCTTGGAGGGGACTTAGAGGGTCTGGATTCGTCATGCCCAAGTGAATACTCTACGAGTACACAGACAGTACTGTGTTGACACTGATTCGTCATAGAAGAAGTATGTATACGAGTATGCATAGCTGAAAGGTATAGCTTATTGCTTTGAGTATGTTCTCATACTAAGATACTTCTGCTACTATGTATATAAAACACCATTTTTGTGCCACCGTCCAGTCTGACCCCATGAAGCTCATTTCTACAGTGGAGCCTGATGATTTTTACCTAGCCTAAAGTACTATGATTGGGCCGTGCTGATTAAGATCAAGGATTTCCATCGTTCACACTGGCATGGACATGATCGGTCGCAAGGGCTGGATGCAGGGTCGGTGGGGTTCCAGTCTGCGACATGGGGAGAGGTGTAATTAGACCTCCGCAAGGGACGACTAAAAGATGACGATGGGAATCGTCAGTTTATGTGAGGGCTTTATTATGATATCCCCGGTTGACCGATGCGCTGTCTAGCTGTAGCTGTACCACGTGCAGTTCTATTCCTGCCTGTTGTAGGTAAGCCCCCGATGCCGTGAATTGACGAGAGATCATAGTCTTATAGCGTGTTTGAGGTTAGGTCTAGGATCGACCTGTTTTTGGGTCATCGGAGCTAACTGTATGCTAGAAAAAATGGTGAGATTTACTGAAATCAGATGTAAGCGCCGGACATTATTGTCTCATTGTTGCGAATAGTCCATTCCAGTACTGTGTATGGCGTAGATAGAAGTGATTTACCTCGTGATCAAAATTCAATATCGCCTGTCCATATACGATCTACATCAAATACCTATTTTAGAGTGAACATAAACTCAGTTTCACGTTATTCCTAGCCAGGTAACTGTTCTTGTTTCGCGGTCTTGGCGAGGAACTCGAATTCGGTCGGGGACGTTCTCCGAAATATATTTAGAACGACCGATAGGGAAACACCTGGGCACCTGAACTGATACTAGTACCACCACTCCTAGTATCTCCCAGTAACTCAATTCGCCATGAACTCCATCCAAGGTTAAGACCGACCAGAGCAACCAAGAATCACGGACATAACCTTAAAGCTTCAAGTTGAAGCTTACTATTACTACAGGGCTGGTCCCCAGAAACCAATCCTGACAAAAGAATTGATAGACTCGCGACTCGGACTGCGTCCACTCTCACCGCCCATACCGTATGGCCTCACGATAGAGATAAGAGCAACTTGAACCGAACAGGACAACTCCTAGTATTCTCTTCTTGCAACGGAGACGGTAGTAGTACAGCTACAAGCTACTAGTAGGTAATATTTTGGGATGTTGCAAATAATTTAATTGAATGCGCCTGTCAACAAAGAGGTGACTATAGAGATCTGGATTTACTGGGAGTGACACGGTCGGGTCGGGGCGGGGCGGAATGGGACGCGTGAAGCAGGCCAACGTCTTGGAGGATCATCGATGATCGCTCAAGAGAAACTTGATGTCAATCAAGACAATTAATTGCTCAAGACCAGAGCTCTCTCGCTGTCCCTTCCATCTCCCCATCTCCTTCTGTGTCATCTCCGCTATCCTCATTATCCAAGCTGAAGCTGAGTTCAAGCAACAGCAACACAACCTCCAATCAGACAAAAACTGATCCCTAAAGGATGGTGACGGGGCGCGGGACCTCTCAGCAGCGCCCGTCCAACGTCGGCCCAGAGGGCCAACACCGACGAGTGCTGATACAGATTGGACGCCAACTCTTCATCTTGGATTTAGTTGTGTAAAGAAGAGAAAGGAGGCTGAGGGATTGTGCGCTTAAAACTTTCCGCGGCGGGCACGGACCAGGGGAAATCAGGTGACATATAGATGACTTATCAGGGTGACTCAGCAAGTGACTACCCCTTTAGGAATAGTGTCCTTTTCCGCTTTCCGCGGGTAACGGGGAAGGTGCGACCGCCGGGTTCCACGATATAAAACGTACCCCGGCCGACTTTTCTATCCGCGTGGATTTTGTCGGAATCGTTACTGTTTGTGTTCGTGTAGAATGTCTCTCTCTCGCTGTGGGCGTCTTGCCCGTCTCTCTCTGGCGGGTGCCCGCCCTGTGGTTGCGGCCCCCCGTGCCTTCGTCGCCAGATCCGTCCCCCTCGTGCGGGAGTATCCTCCACCAGCCGCGATGCGCAGCAAAAGGTGAGAATCGTGTCAATGGGCGATTGGAGTACGAATTGGACCATTCTAATATTATCTACAGCTTCTCGCTAGCTCTCTGAAGGACTCCGACCCCACCGTGTTCAGCATCCTGGAGAAGGTACGTCATGCAATCGAGCTTCACAGCGCCGGGCAACCGCCGCGCCGCACGACCACATCAACGGCAACGGCAACATGCTAATATCAATCGCAGGAGAAAACCCGTCAGCAGCACTTCATCAACCTGATCCCCTCTGAGAACTTCACATCCCAAGCCGTTCTCGATGCCCTCGGCAGTGTTATGCAGAGTAGGTGGTTTCCCGGCTCCCGACAGATAAGCGGATCCTAATCGCATGATAGACAAGTACTCGGAGGGATACCCCGGAGCCCGTTACTATGGTGGTAATGAACACATTGATGCCTCGGAGCGTCTGTGCCAGCAGCGTGCGCTTGAGACTTTCCGTCTCAACCCCGAGGAATGGGGTGTCAACGTTCAGCGTATGTCAATTCGTCCCTCATCCCTTGGAACAGAGTATTAACCAGATTCCCAGCTCTCTCCGGCTCTCCCGCTAACCTCATGGCCTACTCCGCCGTGCTCAACACTCACGATCGCCTGATGGGTCTGGATCTCCCCCCACGGTGGCCACCTGTCGCACGGCTACCAGACCCCTACCAAGAAGATCTCTGCCATCTCTAAATACTTCGAGACCCTACCCTACCGCCTGGATGAGTCCACCGGTCTGATCGACTATGATGCTCTGGAGAAGCAGGCTCTCCTGTACCGCCCTAAATTGATTGTCGCCGGTACCTCCGCCTACAGCCGTCTGGTTGACTACCCTCGCATGCGCGCTATTGCCGACAATGTTGGCGCTTACCTCTTGACCGATATGGCACACATCTCCGGTCTCGTGGCCGCCGATGTCCTCCCTTCGCCCTTCCCATACTCTGATATCGTCACCACCACCACCCACAAGTCTCTGCGTGGTCCCCGTGGTGCCATGATCTTCTACCGCAAGGGTCTCCGTCGCACCGACAAGAAGGGCAACAAGGAGATGTACGATTTGGAGAACCCCATCAACGCCTCGGTCTTCCCCGGCCACCAGGGCGGCCCCCACAACCACACTATCACCGCGCTGGCCGTGGCCCTCAAGCAGGCGCAGTCTTCCGAGTTCCAGGAATACCAGAAGACCGTCCTTGCCAACTCCGCAGCCCTGGCCGAGCGCCTGGGCGAGTCCACCAGCAACGGTGGTCTCGGATATAACATCGTCTCCGGTGGCACCGACAACCACCTGGTCCTTGTTGACCTGAAGAACCGTGGTGTCGACGGTGCCCGTGTCGAGCGTGTTCTCGAGCTGTGCGGTGTCGCCAGTAACAAGAACACCGTGCCCGGTGACAAGTCCGCTCTCAAGCCCGGCGGTCTTCGTCTGGGTACCCCCGCCATGACGTCTCGTGGCTTCCAGCCCGAGGATTTCCGCCGTGTTGCGGAGATTGTCGACCGCGCTGTTATCCTGACACAGAAGCTGGACAAGGCTGCGCGGGAGCAGGCGCAGGCCCGCGGTGCCAAGAACCCCGGTACTGTCAAGGCGTTCCACGAGTATCTGGGTGAGGGTGAGGAGATTTCAGAGATTGTACTTCTCCGCCAGGAGGTGGAGGACTGGGTGGGCACATTCAGTCTGCCTTGGGCTAAGGATCAGTAGATTGTAGACCTTTCTTGACGTTTTTCTTTTACTTTATGTATATTTCCCAGCATGATTCAACACGAATAGGATTGACAATATTTCATTGATACTCTTAAACAAGCCAGCCATCAATACTAATTCAATGGTATTTGAATATCCGTACTACTACTCTGCTTTGAATTATCGCAAAATATTCCCTTATCTGACTATCTTTAGCGATACAGTCCGTAATGATGTCATTGGGAACACGAGGGCCTCGGGTGCGCTGCCGGTAGCCGCTGCCGATCACGGAATCAAGACCGACAGACCCCCTCAATTCCTAAGGTTGTATTGAGTTCCTTCAAGTTATCTACAAGTCGTGTAAATATTCATTCTCCACAGACTAGAGACTCAGCTGGAATTGCCATTTAAATTCGGCAGACTAGTACAGCATAATACGATCGCCGCTATGCAGATCAGTCAGGTACGTCCAAACAACCCCGCCTCATACCTCCATCTACCATGGGACCTAACTAATCCCGACATCCCAAACAGCTCTACGTATACCCCATCAAGTCCCTACGAGCAACGCCCGTAACCGAGGGCGTCCTATCACCGCTCGGCCTAGAATATGACCGACGCTTCATGCTCCTCAAAGTCGAGGACGGGGAAGATGGCAAAGGCAAAGGAACCCTAAAGAATATGCATGTCCCACACTTCCCCGAAATGGCCCTCTTCGAAACAGCCCTGGACATGCCAACTGCAGAAGATGAAGGTCGAGTAAGGGTTACATATCACCCTCCTCCTCACGCAGAAGGATCCAGACCAAGCGAAACGAAATACTTAGAAATCCCCCTCGAACCAAACGTGGACTCTCTATCCCGCTTCACGGTTACGATGCACCAAAGCCCGACGACGGGGTATAATATGGGTTCCGCTTATAATGACTGGTTCAGTGAGTGTTTCGGATACCCAGTTGTCCTGGCTTATTTGGGTGTCAATACTCGTGGGGTATTGGGGACTCTGGCACCGGCTAAAGCCAAGAATAACGGGAAGAAGAAGAAAGGTGGATGGGCGCGGTATGAAGATTTGTTGGCGGGGTTAGAGTCAGTAGGCAGTGGGACTGGACCGTCTGTTTTGGAGAAATTGCTTGTCCCGATTTGTGCTCTTGCGATTGGTGTTTCTGGGGTGTCGTATGTTGTTGGGCAATTTGAGCATGGGATCGCTACTAACAACACTTACGATTCTATGTCGACATCAATGGTTATTCTAGCCGGTATAGTGACAACTGCATTGGCGCTAGCGGGTAGTATTATGATTTACATTTTTGGAAAAAGCCTTCGCACAACCAAATACGAAGACCGAATTACATTCGCCGACTGTGCGCCGTTTCTCGTTATATCCGAGACTTCGGTGAATAATGTCTCGGGGAGATTACCAGCCGGCGAAGAGATGGATCGAACGAAGTTCCGGCCGAATATTGTTATATCTGGCGCGGAGTCTGCGTTTGAAGAGGACTTTTGGACGGAGTTGGCTATTGGGTCGAATCGGATTCGGTTATTGTTGACGGGGAATTGTGTTCGGTGTCAAAGTCTTAATGTGGATTATCGGACGGGGCGGATGGGGGATGGTGAGTCCGGGACTGTGTTGAAGAAGTTAATGAAGGATCGGAGGGTGGATCGTGGGGCGAGGTTTAGTCCTGTGTTTGGGCGGTATTCGTTTTTGGATCGTGGGTTTGATGGGGAGGAGGTTAGGGTGGGTGATGTGGTTGAGGTGGTGGCGCGGGGTGCGGAACGTTCGGTGCTAGGTGAGTCGTGTTTGTGTTTGTGTTTCTCTTGGGTTCATGTTATTTGTGGAATCGGTTGAATGGTGGTTCATGGCTGATGGTGTCTCTACTAGATTGGCCCGGTCTCACTAATTAGTGCCTGACGGCAGGGCGGAACAGAGCAGGGCAGCAGGCTGGAAAAAGTTACAATTGTGCCTGACCAATTCTCACTAAGCATTTATGATATTCAGTACGGCCTTGATTTGAATTATGTATTGTATGGAGAAAGAAAATCATTCATGACTTTAGTCATCGTTATACATGGCATAAGTAGACATAGACAAATGCCCAAGCTGCTACTTTTTCAGCTGGCAATGTACCGAGCGGATCCCTGGACCCTTTTTCAGCCCTATTATAGGTGAACCTGCATCCATCCACTCTCTTCCACACAAATCATCATCTTTCTTCGCCTTCCAGAAAAATCCACTGTCAATGTAATATGCAGGGCAGCCCACAGTTGACTCACACAGCCACAATTACGTCAGATTCTTCGCACCGCCACTCGTCACCTGACCCAGCTTGTTCCATGGAAGCCCCGGTGGATTCGGTTTCCAAGAATAACATTACATTCTTTTTCTTCTGATTCGATTTGATTGTGAGCTTGCTCTTCATTCAGATCTGCCTGAGAAAAGACTCGAAGTACATACGGCAAGAAGAATTGCTTGCGCTTTCATCCGCTGAACTGCACCGAATTGTGGCTTGCCAGGCCAAGCCGCGCCCCTCCAATCGATCTTACGCCGCTGCCTATTCGGAACTCGACTGTATACCAAACTCTCCCGTGGACTCCATCACACATCCCCAACCAGCGCCGCATTTGACCGCGTGTGGTGTCACCAGTGTCACGCCGCCAGAAGACCTCTGATCGGACCGGTCAGGCGTCCGCGACCTCGCTGCATAAGGCGCCGCTCAGCCCCGCGCGGGTAAGGTTGCCGCTGGCTGCAGGAGCAAACCAAAAAAAAAGTTGAAGACAACCTCGTTCTCTCAAACACACAACCCCCGCCGCCACAATGGACGAGGTGAATTTACGTCGCAAAGACACCACCAAGGGTCCGCCGTTACGGATCCTCTCCCTCGGTAAGCGCATCCATGGCTCCCCCCCTCTCCCCCTCGGAGCTGAGCAACGCTGACAATGAAATAGATGGAGGCGGTGTCCGCGGCTACTCCATGCTCATTATTCTTCAGGAACTTATGTACCGAACCTATGTCGAGTGCGAGGGCAAACCGCCTCGTCGCGACCAGATCCCTAAACCCTGCGATCATTTCGACTTGATCGCGGGTACTGGCACGGGCGGTTTGATCGCCATCATGCTCGGCCGGCTCCGCCTGGACCTCGAAACCTGTAAAGAGGTCTACGTCCGCATGACTCGCAAAGTTTTCGAAACCGATAAGACAATCGCCGGTATCCCCTATCGCTCGACTTTATTCAAGGCCTCGAAGCTGGAAGAGGCGATTCGGGAATGCGTGCGCGAACATACGGTGTGGGAGGCGGAGGGGAATGATATGCCCGGCAACACCAACAATAACAACACCGACCCCAGATCCTCCATGGCGAGTCTTCCATATAGTCCTCCCAACTCTGTTCCGCAGCGCTCGGTGAGCAGAGGAAGTTTCAGTACTTCGGGCCAGTCATATTCTCAGGCGCAGAACAATAATCCAAGAGGCTCTACTTTTCTGAATGGTTTGCGCTGGGGGAATCCGGAGGCGTTGCTATATGATAATCGGGAAAATCGGACGAAAACGTGAGTTTTGGTGCATCGGCATTTGGCCAGGGTGAGGAATCGAAACTCGCTAACCCTTTTATACTAGTGCCGTTACGGCTCTCTATAAGGGCACCCCGAAGAATTCGCCTGCGGTGCTTCTACGTTCCTACGACTCCCGCCGTGAACCCCCGCCCGAGTTTGACTGTACGATTTGGCAAGCCGGCCGTGCTACATCGGCCACTGGTCTTGCTTTCAAGCCAATCCGAATTGGACAACATAACTTTATCGACGAGGGCCCCGGAACCTACAATCCGGCACCACAGATTCTCGAGGAGGCAGTTGTCAACGAGTGGCCTGGTCGAGAGGTTGGGGTTTTCGTTAGTATCGGTACCGGTAGACGGCCGTCAGGAACCAATAACCGACAACATGAATGGTGGGAGGATTTCTTTGGCGATGCGCTGGGTACATTTGCCGAGGCGCGGCGACGACTTATCACGAAGATCGAGGGTTGCGAAGATATTCACCAGCAAATGCTGCGAGACATTCTTGCTAAGCGCCACGTCAGTAAGGACGTCTACTGCCGTCTCAATGTCGAGGTGGGCGTTGGAGAATTCGGCATGAACGAGTGGAACCGACTGGCGGATATCAGCACCAACACCCGACGATACCTCTCCCGACCGGAGGTCAAGAAGCAGATCCTCGATTCGAGCGTCCGCTTTGCCAAGATCGAGCGCATGAACAAGCGCATGGCTGCACACGCGGCGGCGGGCGGAGATCGGGATGACATGTCGTTTGACCTCGAGCGCGAGGAGATCTCCGTCTCAACCCACGCCGAGGAGTACACGGTACCGCCGCCCTCGAACCAGTTCGCCGTTGAGCTACCCGCCGAGCCTGTACCGCTGGATCATTTTCCCCGCCCACCTACCCATGGCTCGCCCCGGATCCCGACCAGCGTCACGGTAACAGCACCACCGGGCGACGACTCACTCCCAGTTCATCCCACACCTCAGGATAACAGTAACAACCACAACCACAACCACAATCACATGCCGACGTCTCCGACTCGACACTCCAGTGGCGAGGTTAGTAGTTTCCGCCCGAGCCACGAGTACTCTCGGCCTTCGTCGCAACAGCAGAGCTCCCCGCATCATAGCGCCGAGCAATTCTCCGCGCTCAATGGGATGCCTCCTCCCGTACCACCCAAGACGCCTATCCCGTACCCATCGACCGATGATAACGGGGGAGTGTCGATGCCAGCGCCGCTCTTCTCTCAACCGTCACCTCATTTATCGAGTGGCAAGGTCCGACCGCCGTACCCTGTTGATGAGGCACCACCGGTGGTCAACCGCCAACGAAAGCCAAGCTACCACGTGGGGTGAAGGGTGATGCCGTCATGGGAGGCCAAGACATGAATAGGGTCTTGGCTATGAGTTTCTTTTTTCGTTTAGTTAGGCATTTTTCTCATTTTGTTGGGTCTGTTTTAGTTCTAGTTCTACTTTCTACTTTCCTGCTGGATACCCTTTATTTGAGGAGAAAGGATGGGGGAATGAGTGACGAGTTATGATCAGGTATACAGTAATGAACAAATACTCTTTAAGTACTCCGTACCCCTAATCCCCTAATTTAAAGTAGTCGTGCATCTCCCCTGACATTGACATCTCATCGCATCGCATCGCCCCACTCGCACTTCCCACTTCCCCACAGGCCCAGCCACTTTGTTTTCTCCCCTTCCCCTATTCTAGAGTCGCTAATCTCCTGTTCAGCTCTGCGCCTGTTTTATTTTAGTTATTTCGGTTCTTTCTCTCCTTTCTTTTCAAACTACCTTGAACTCTACAATTCCTCCCACCAATCCCCCCTGTCGCACGTCCACAGCCACTGACATCGAGTGTTGATCTTTCGCCCCCGCCTTGTTTTTCTCCTCGTGGCTCTTCCAGAAGAATTCCTGATCAGCATTCCTCCTGTCGCATCGCATTCACCATCTATTCAGCAATATTGTCGCTATTTTCGCTGTCTTACTTCCCCTCTCTTACCTCTCACAAATCATCCAATCACTCGGTGCTTACCTCTCAGGCGATACGCCGTACAACACAGTGGCCTGAACCGGAGTGTCTCATTAGTCGCCGAGTAACGTCTTCGGACGACTCCATCCCAGCGACACCCACTGCTGGCCGGTGATCTTTTTTATTTTCCCCTTTCTCTTTCTCTTTCTCTTCTTTTCCCCACCCATCATGGACACCCACGAATATACCATGGCGCACGCCTCGACACTCCTCGCCCGCGCCGACTCCAGCGGCCGCCCACCCGTCTACAAAGTGATCGGAATCTGCCTAGCCGTCGCATCAGGCGTCTTCATCGGAATATCCTTCGTCATCAAGAAAATCGGCCTTCTAAAGGCCAACGTGAAATACAACGAGGAAGCCGGCGAGGGATACGGATATCTGAAGAATTTCTGGTGGTGGTGCGGAATGACCCTGATGATCCTCGGAGAGATCTGTAACTTTGTCGCATACGCCTTTGTCGATGCTATCCTGGTTACGCCGCTGGGTGCCCTATCCGTCGTGATAACCACGATTCTGTCGGCGATTTTCTTGAAAGAGCGACTCAGTTTCGTCGGCAAGGTTGGCTGTTTCTCTTGCATTATCGGTTCCGTTGTTATTGCGATGAATGCACCTGAACAGTCCTCCGTTAGCAATATCCAGGAGATGCAGCATTTTGTCATTACGCCGGGCTTTTTGACGTATGCTGGTGTGATTCTGGTCGGGGCCCTGGTTACGGCTGTTTGGGTTGCGCCGAGATATGCGAAGCAGAGCATGTTTGTTTATATTGGCATTTGCAGTTTGGTTGGTGGGTTGAGTGTCGTTGCGACGCAGGGTCTGGGTTCCGCTATTCTCGCTCAGATTAATGGTGAACCGCAGTTTAAGCAGTGGTTTCTTTATGTCTTGTTTGTGTTTGTTGTTGGGACTCTCCTTACGGAGATTATCTATCTCAATGTACGTTCGACTCTGGTGATGGCGATGATTACGATGACCTGAGTTCTTGTTTTGCTAACCACGCTTTATTTACAGAAAGCTTTGAATATATTCAACGCCGCTCTCGTCACCCCTACTTACTACGTCATGTTCACCACCGCGACCATTGTGACTTCTGCCGTCCTGTTCCAGGGTTTCAAGGGCACCGCGATCCAGATTACCACCGTAATCATGGGATTCTTGCAGATCTGTGCTGGCGTTGTTCTGTTGCAACTGTCCAAGTCTGCCAAGGACGTTCCTGATGCCGCTGTGTTCAAGGGTGACCTGGATCAGATTCGCGAGGTTGCTACTCAGGAAGAGCCCGAGTATGAGCCCAAAGCAGACTCCATCCGCGGTGCGGCGTCTATCATTCGCCGTATATCGACCACCCGCCGCACCGCAGAGGCCGACGAGGCCAAGCGATATGTTCACGAGAAGCATGAAGATTTCCTCAAGCCGCCCGGTGACAATGAGATCATCGAATGGGATGGTATTCGCCGCCGCAGGACTGTTGTCGGCGAAGGCCCAACAATGTCTCGACCGCATACTCCCCGCTCCCCGTCAATTAGACAGCAGCTGCCGCCACTAGGCATGTCTCGGTTCCCAAACCACGAGGATGAAGACGAAACCCGACCTACCACAAAGCAAAGCGGCCGCTCATTCTTTAGTGATGTCCGATCTCGGACTTCAAGTGTTCTCCACCCTCACTGGACCCCGTTGAACGAGCAAGAAGAGAACGAGAAACACATGAGTGGCGGCCTCACTGATACCGAGTATCACGGCGCTGACCAGGGAGGACTCCAACTTCCAACGCACCGCATAGGCCGCGAGCGCAGCGACACCCCCCGATCAATCTCCTGGGCCGATGAAAAAGGTGACGAAGGCACCGACTCACGACCAGGTAGTGCCCGCCGCCAATTCTCTTTCAACAACATGGTCAGCCGGATGATAGGACAACACCGTGAACCCTCCCCTAAGCGCTCCGCCAGTCCACCCCGTGGTATCCTCCGCAGATCGCAGATCGTTCCAGGCGGCGACCTCCGCCGAACAGCCACAGAAGAAGAACAACTCGGTCTCAGTAAAGGGCGACTCACGCACCGCCCATCCCGAAACCGGGGAAACCCTCGGCGAGAAACTAGAGCGCTGGTCCAGCAGTGAATCCGAAATCAGCGAAACCCGGCATATGGCCCCTCTCCCTGCCCGTGGCTCTGCCTCTGCACCGACCCTTGCCCTACCCCCCTCCTGGCCCTATCCCAGCCAGTCGACCCCACGGCGACTCAGTCTCCAGCATGTCCACAGCAGCCTTCCCACCCTACGAAGACCACCATGCATTCTACGCCCAGGGAAATTCCTCAAACCCATACTACCTACCTCCTCATCAAGCCTCCACCTCTCCAGAGCGAATGGGATCGGGAACGGGTCCTGACCACGACGGCTGGCAATACCCCCGCGGCCAACGATCACGCACACGAACCAATTCTTCCTCTAATGCTCATGCTCGCGCCCCCCCTCCCTCACAATCTTCTTTCTCGACACACCGCCACCCAAATCCCCTCCCCCCCTCTGCCGGATAGAGAGGAGCCCGCTGCTGGAGAAGCAGGCGTGAGATCTACTTCGTCTGATTCGTCTGATCTCCGCGTCGCGTCGATTTCGTCTCCAGATGATCATGATCACGGTCACAATGATAACGCTCAGAATGCCCGTCCTACCAGTCTCGCCCGTCAACAAAGTGGTTGGCGCAGACATATGTCTGAAGCTAGTAGCGATGATGGCTCGACTTATGAAGAGCGCAGCAGACCGGGACAAGGACGCGGTTAGAGTCAAGGTCAAGCCTCAATCTAGCATTTTGTGCGGCCGTTTTCAAGTTCTTTTGACATATTTCTTTATTTGTTTGTATTTGATGCATCTGCAATGGCGATGGCGTTTGGGATTATTTGATTTTTTTTCTTCGATCTATGCGTGTACTATTAGTGCGTGACACTATTTCCACTGAATGTGGAATGGAATTATGGAAATGGGATGTGATGTGATGTTGAGTTTTTTTGCGTGGCTGTGGTGAATGGGTCAGCGCGCTTGTTTTGTACATATATGAATGGCAGGCATCATGTCAAGATGATGTTAGATGCCAGTGATGATAATGAGAATTATGGATGATGGTTATCTGAAATTATGAATTACTAGTAATATTACCAAAGTAATACATAGAATAGAACGGTTTCATTACAGTGACTGTTGTTTTGCAATTTGCTAGTCTCCATAGTACTATATGAACTCGAAATGATCATGGAGCCGTACAGTGGTGTTGCAAAAATTTGAAACCCCATGTTAGATTGTAACTGCCACTATACATTGGCCATCTCCGTGACTATCCGTCCCCATCCATGACAACCGGGTTTCGTCTTCTTTCCATAACCCTTATGTCATCGCGCCACTGAATGCCACATAATCACACAAACCCACGAACATAACCCACCTAGGCACATAGTGTTCAATCTGACGACCCGGGAATAGGATACTCGAGCGTATGCTTCCAAGGAAATAAAAGCAAATTCTGGGCATTGAGGAGATTGATATACTGAGCCAAAACACTCACCATGGCGAGCAAATCTTCCCGCGCCTCCTCCTGATTAGCGTTTGTCTCAACCTTGCATTTAACGAGCTCGTCAATCTTTCTGTGACTATCGCGTAGGAATTCAGTGCCGACGTATCCTAGAAACTCGGCCGGGCGGAAACAAGTTCTCTGTAAAGAACGACCAAATGTCCAAGGTCGAATTCTGGGTGCGTTGCGGCTATTTTGAGGATATTGTCTAAGACGTAATAGCCCAGTGTCCGAACCTCACTATTTGCGAAGAGCATTGCGGCAAAGTAGGAGCTTTTAGATCCTGGGTGGTCTGGTGCTTGGCCGCGGTGTATTGCGTTGACATTGTCGGATATTCCAGACCAAGATTTGTCCATCTATGTATAATTTAATTTAGAATGAAATGGGGACAGGGAAACACAACCCTTGGTTATGGAGCTTACCTCATTATGAATTTCTTGGACAATGCTTTTGACCTCTTCCGTGACCCCAGTGCGCTGGAGGCGAAGTGATAGGTCTTCAGATCTGGGCTCGGGACCCGAAGCATCCCAAACTACCACTTCAGTGGGCTCTTTCTTTTCAAGTTGACTTTTCCAAACCTCTTTTCCAAGCTGGCGTAACTTCTCTAGGTCCTTGGGAATGACATTGCCGCAAGGGGCTGCGGGGTGATGCTCCGTTACTTGGCCATATTTGACGGCCAAGTGCTGGAACTTGGAAAGAAAAACGGTTCCATCAGGTTCCTTTGCTCGATCAGCAGCTTTATACTGGGGATTGGTATACTATTTGAAATTAGTTTTCGGGAAGTTACAGCGTGGCTGGCAAGGTAAAATAAAATGAATGATGAAACTTACAATCAAGGGCTCTGATGGAACAAGATGGTATAAGTGGTCACCTGTAACCAAAGCATGTGTCTGGAGAGCGCGATATGGCAGGGTATTCCAGAGAAGATCAACCAGTTCCGAGTTTAATCCGTGCATTTTGACGGTCACTGATATATTGTACTTTGGCCACATCATCTTGAGGTCACGAAGTGACTGGCTGTTCAACTTAGTATCGTCATGATCCATTTTGAATGTGGTTGATGTAAAGATTTCACAGATAGAAGTCAGGGTCGGGTATATTGTTTAAGATCACTCCTGGTTTCAAGTTATGTTCTTCTTTTATATTGAACATATTCCCCAAAGCTTCCAAAAACATGACGTGTTTATAATGATGATGTGTAACAACAGATAGCGGCCTATGTCTGTGCTAAGTTTAACTTTATAGTGCCCTGATTTGGAGGATATCAGTTTCCTAACGTAGTTCAAATTTAATATATCGGCGGGATGGAGACATGATTCATTCGCTACGAAATATAGTATTCTAAGTTTCAAAACGTCACGGTCACTATGTACCTCCCAACTCGGAGGTCATGGCTATCGCTTTTCCTGCTTGTTTTGTGTTATTATTAGCATATTGGATTTTCCAATGACATAAGAGAAGTTCTGTTCTTGACCTGATTGACAAAATTACTAAGTCTTCTGTCCAACCTCCATCTTCCATGTCATACGCCTTAATTATCAGTCCGTTAGCTATCTTTCTGTTGGGAAGCATTCCGAACTACTACGTCAACTTCATGAAAAAGATAAGATAACTTCAACATAGAAATGCACTGAATCTAATGTCCAGAAACTAATATCTATCCTCTGGGCTGGCTACTAGTTACATATGACCTGATATTCGACGTCATTTTACGCGTGCTGAGAAATTTGGTGTGCTTGCACAGACCCTTGTTGATTGATTCTATTGAGATGAATACATTATGCATGTATTCCTTTTTGGCAAGCATTCTAGAGGGCTTGGATCTACTCTTCCCAGGTAATGGGGCGCTGTTGCGTAAAAGTGGTATGCGCTCGGCCTCTTGTGTAACGTGAGCCTTCCAAGGTGGTGTGTGGCAATCGGAACTTGAAAGTGAGAATGGGCCAGCACCACATGCCAAGGTTGGCCCCACGCTTTTAAATATAAAATTGAAGATTTAGATGATGTCTCCCTAATCCTTTCCTTTTTCTTTATTTCGAAAGCAAGCAGCTTGAACTTACTATCACCCCTTTATACTATTCTAAACCCTCGCCATCCTGCTACCGAGTACAAGAAAAGATGGACGCGAATTACGAGAATAATAATAATGACTCGGATCCATTCCGCAAAACCTGCCTCATACCCTATCCGAATGTCGACGACCTCCCACCCACACTGCGTGATAAACTGAATATCTTGCCTTTCCGCCGCAACATCCTTATGACTATATCACACTCCCATGGTCTTGCACCGCACCTGCTCGGCCTGATTGGTTCCTGCTTCGATGGCACTCAGCGCGGTCTCCCAACACTTGACTGGCAGTTGATTGTGTTACGAACGGCTTCGGTTCTCAAAGCAAAGTACGAGTACGATGTGAATCTTCCGGTGGCTGAAGTTTACGGCATGCCTCAAGCGAAAATCGACTCTATTGCGTGTCCCACAGAAGCAATTCAGGATAAAAGTCAGGGCCCGTGGACCGATCGAGATAAGATTCTACTTCGGCTCGTGGATGAGCAATTAGCCACGTATACTAATGAAGAGAAAACAATTCAGGAAAGTATCGAGATACTTGGCGCTGATATGGTCGTGGAAGTGCTGATTGTTATTGGGATTTATGCCCTTTTGGCAAGGTTGATCAAAGGGTTGAGAATAGATGATGATCACGAGATTCCTGATTTGAAGGAAAAGATTCAGAAGGCTATTACTGCGACAAAATAGCCTCTGCACTTTCCGGTTTTCATGTTCCAAAGCTTTTCAGGGTCAAGTTGGATTCTCTATTGGTTTTATACTACAGATCAATGCGCATACTTCCTCCGAGCCTTGGTGTACCGAGGTACTAGTCATCTATAGATTACGGGGTATTAGTTGAGGGCCTTAAAGCTTCTTGGCACGATTATTGGCATTTGACGTGTTGGATGCCCAGGTGGTATTTGGTGCTTAGATATCTAGGTAGCGCTATATTAAGCATAAATGGTACAGAGTGAGGAAAGGTAAGAGATACGATTTTGTCACTTAAATTAAGTTAGGTTTATCACATCTTGAACTCCAGGGTACCCAGCCAAACCAGGAACTAAAATCCTGCCAACGCTATGCCATGCAATATGTAATGTACCCATGTAACGAACGCCATGCTGATGCGAACAGAAGATTGAAAAAAAGGGGGAGTGAAATAATGCATCAAGCAGAATCAAGCACTGCCAAAAAACCCAGCAACACTCCTCTGCCCCTTAGGCGCGATATTCAAAACAGAGAATTTCGACTCCGCAAGCCGTTTTCCTGCCTTGATACTTTCCAGTGCCCTGGTTTTATAAAAGTTAGCACACAGCACAACGTTAATCCAGACCAGCATCCATATTAATGGATACTGGAAAGGTTTATACAGAGAGAGGAGAAACATACCACTCAACCCCAACAACCCTAACCCCCTTCCACCCACCCCTAGAAATTTCCATCTGCAATTTCCTCGCCGCGAGACCACCGCCCGCACCGGCGCCTGTTGTTCCCGGTGCCGCGACGATAATGTGTGTTACGCCCTTCCGCGCCATGAAGGATGCGACGTTGGCGCCGTGCGCGACGAGGAGGTGTTTTAGTTTGTGATCGGAGATTTGTGGGAGGGTTGTGCCGTTTATGTAGATTGATGTTCCGGTTAGGAGAGTGGATTTGCATTCAGATTTAGGGCCGGGGTTGGGATTAGGATTCGGGTTAGGGGTTTGGTTTTTGTTTTCGTCTTTCGGGGTAGATAGTGTCGGTGTCGGCTCTGCGAGTTCGAGGTTTATTTTTGATGATGATGCAGGTGCGGATGCGGGTGTGGATGCAGACTCGGAAGTAGAAGCAGATGTAGAAGCGGACGCAGGCGTTGATGCATATGAAGATAAAGATCCATGCGTATCCTCGGGCAAAGACATGCCCTCCACCCCCAGCCTTCCTGTCGAGATACCTCTATCGCTATCTCCATCTCTATCACTCTCTTGCCTCTTCTTCTTCAATTCTTCCTCCACAGGATGAACCCACTTCAACTTCTTCTCCGTCCAATGCACTTTATCATCCGCCTTGCGTTTATTAACCCCCATAAAGCTCCGAATATCCCGAACACCCATTTGCGAGCGCTTGGCCTCCGCATCCGAAACCCATCGATATTCGCCACCGGGTCTCGGCCTGGAAGATGTCTGTGCAGGCTGGCGTCCGGCTCCAGCATCTGTCTCTGGTGAATCAGGTCCCAGTGTCCCGTCAAAAGCACCAGCACCAGTCCCAGTCCCACAGCTGAGCTGATCTCGTTCCCGCTCCCCCGAGCTTCGCGGAAGACAGTTTCCAGTACGGTACTGGTTCCGGAGTTTTTCTGCTCGCGTGTCGCGCCATGCGGTTGTGTTTGAGTACGGGTTATCGGCTACTTGGTGGCCTGTTGAGTGTGAGACCGAGTTATCGTAGATATTGGCATTTTGGAGGGTCAGCTGCTTAGGTTTGGAGGGCGCCATTGGCGTTGGTTGTTGGCCGGCCGCTGGCTCATGCCCCAGTCAAGTCGCTGGCGCTGCGATGTTTCAAGTTCTGCAGTTTCGGTGGTGGGGAAGGCGCTGGATTCTGCTTCTTTTCTTATTTGGTTTGATTTTTTGGCGGATTGCGCGCGTCGCGGTGTTTCATTTGTGGTCACTGCATTTGTGGGCGGGAGTGGTTCTTGTTGACGGAGGAATTTTTCTTTTCGTCGAGTGTCGCTTTGTCGATGTTGAATGACGTTGGCGTGGTGAGAAATTGAACCGTGGTTGACGTGTTTGGATTTTGCCGTTTTGGGATAGGGTTGGTCAGTCACGTGGCAACCGTTGGCATGTAGAGATTCATGTCTTTGTAGGAGGAAATGGGTTATCCGAAGCTATTTGCATGTAAATTTTGGCTTTTTATCCTTGAATGTGCTGTGCGTACTGGCAGTAATGTTGATAGATGGATTTAATGCTTATGTGGTGAGTTCCACTGGGCAAGAGTTGGTCATATATATTTTGAGAAACAACTTGAAGAAGAGTACCTATAGGGGACTGTATATGAGGACCATAAGCTGAAAAAACCCGGAAGCTGTTTTTTTCAATCTGGGCCCTTCAATCTTGGAAATCCCTAGTTCGGTAGTATGCAACTTGAACTTTCTGTGATGACCATATCTAATTTAAACTGTCAAGTTGGAACTTGAATGGTCGTTCATCTTCCACATGGCTTGCATCTCAATATCCAAGAGACACCCCCATTCTAGCAAATGAGTTATAGGGAGATGGATAAAGATCAGATTGTACCTTTCTTATTCAACAGAATCCAAGGTACATGTACGGAATTAAAAATTCGATTATAAATGTTTGAGATCAAAGCTTCCTGGTCATCCAATTGTTGACAACAGTATACGCCCTGCTTAAGTCAACTGACTTCGAGCAGAAACGCACTGGCATTTACATTCAACTGTAGAACAACCTCATTTGGCTGTGAAGGTGAGAATATATTAACGATATACTAATCCACGAAAACTAAAAGACCCTCAGCAATCTGGTTCTGCCTGAGATCGCTGGCTCCAGCTATGCATGTATGTACTACGCGCCACCTTAGACAAATCCAAGAGCAAAACCCAACGCGAAAAATAAACCCAGGTACATAAAGATTGAGTACTCTGCATGCAGTTCGCCTTCTATTCAAAACAAGCCAGCGGCATATCACATAGTTACCAAACAAAGTACAAAGAACAGAGAGAGACATACAGTCCTCCCTGGCTACGGGACATAAATAAATCTGCGCCTCAATCTCGGCATCACCCTTGTTCAAATGCACTACGTTTCCAGAAGGCTGCCGCAACCCGCCTCTGAGATCTCTGTCTGCACAGTCTCTGTACACCGTGCCAGGTCCCGATGCATTGTGGCTAGCCGGTCCGCTGTGCGTATGGTAGTCCGGCATCTTCTCATCGGAGAGTTCGTAACTAGCACGCAGTGTGTACGGAGTACATGCATCTCGTAGTATATAGAGATACTAGGTGATGATATCAGAGCCAGCCATCGCAACCGCAACGGCATCAGCTAAGTTCCCGCCCCAACACGAGCAAGCGAAACAAAACACTCCTCTCCTCTCCCCTCCTCAAAAAGGTCGGTCTACAATCAGGGAATTAATCTGCGCAAACCCAATGCAGGCTACGCAAGACTGACATTCCACTTGGTCTTACTTAGCTTGGTCCGGTCGGGAGGGGCGGGGGAGAAGAAAAAAGAAAAGAAGGGAGGAATAAAAAAAGAAAAAGAAAAAAAGGAAAAAAGGAAAAAAGGAAAAAAAGAAAAGACACGAGGTGGTGGGTGATACCAAGCACCACAAGCCACAAGGGATGGGATGGGGGAGTAAGAGAGGGGAGGGGTGCACCTGAGCACAAGCACAAGCCTAAGTCTAAGCCCAAGCCGAACGAAGCCCAAGCTCAAGCCCGGGTTCATAGGACTGGAGGAGGAGGAGGTGGAAGAGGGTGGGTGTCTGAGACGAGACGAGAGTGGCAGGGCAGAAACGAAAAGGCGCGAGCCTGAAACCAGCGGTGTGCAACAGTAGTCGCCATATCCCAGCAAGACATGACAAGACAAGACAGGCTAAGACCTATTCTGTCTGGCTCATGATTCTGCGACGGGGTCTCGCTCTCTCGCTCTCTGGATAATCGGGTCCAGAACGAGCAAGACACGCATGGCATGCTTCGAGAATGTGGCGACCCACGCGTTTCGGACAGGAAGGGATACAGTAATTCGCGCGCGCTACGGTGATGACAGAGGACGGGACAGGATAGGATAGCACGGGACGGTGGAACAGGATCAGCATAGCATTAGCATTAATCTTTGAATCCGGGGGTAAGTCATGTCATCGTCTTCTATCTCTACGCTGTATGTATGCAGTAGCTCTGGATGGTGTATCTTGCAGAACTGTGTGTGGACATAGAGATGCATGCAGGCGGGGGAAGATGTCTGTGCATGCATTCTTCGATCGTCCGGGGGAGTGTCTGACAAGACGGTGAAGCGTGCAGAAACGCTGCTCTTCTCTGTTCTGCTATGCTATGCTCTTACGGGGAAGTGGCAATGTGGCACCCCAAGCAACCAAAGGGTAAAAAAAGAAAACAGAAAAAAAGCAAAAAAAAGGCGGAACAGGGAAGAGCTGGAGCAGAGAAGAGCAGAGCAAAGCAAAGCAGATCCGGGCACAAGCTAAGCAGATCAGATCAGAGAGCACGGCCGGTCGGCCGGGGTGGATGGGTGGGTGTATGCACGGGTCTGTGAAGTGCATTAGGGGGGCAGGGCCGAATGTCGTACATCAACTCTGGTTCCCTCGGCCCTACCAGTTAGAAGGACGTTTTCTGGGAGCCATGCATCGGCACAGATTATGCAAAGTTAGCTAGGGTAGGGAAATCCGTAACTCTGTCGAGCCGGGGCCGAAGGGAGGGGAGGTGAAGCACAAGACAGGACATGACAAGGCGGAAAAGCAAAAGAATTGGGGACCACACCAGTCCACACGATAATCTGGAACGCTGACGTCGTGTCGATCATTTGAGGTTTCAGAAGATTGAAGATGAATTTTGATTTTCTCAAATCTCTGGGCCTGTCTCGCTTCGGTCCGTGGAGATTTCCCCCAATGGATATGAATATGGATCCGGGCACAAGAATGATACGAAGTACCCGTACTGAAGTACTGGGGGTATAGCATATAGGGCGTGGGAATTGGCATTAGCATTAGTATTAGCATTGGCACTGACATTGATTGGCACAAGCATTGACAATCGGAACCTCAATTCCAGGATTTTATTTCGAACCGGCCCTGAGCGGGCAATGGTCACATCTCTTCCTCTCTCGGAAAGCCAGAGAGAAAAGAGCGAAAAAAAAAATTAGAGGGCCCAGAGCATCCAGCTGAGAGGGCACTAGAGGGTGAGGAGAAAATCATAGCGTGGGCGTGCAAATAACCCCATTCGCGATAGGGGAGGGGGGACGAGCATCCCCCGAACAACTCCACTCACAAGAACCCACCTGGGACCAACGGCCAGTGGATCATCCTGTGCCACGTCTGCACGCAAGGGGGCAACTGGCGGTGAAATCCACCACGATCTAGGCCGCCCGCTACGTGGTCGCGGCCACCGCCAGTCATTGTCCGGTCGGATCGTCGATCGGCGGGCGCTTGCAGCTCATCCTCCCCCCTCCTCCCCTCCGGAGTATCCAATAGGGAAGGTTGTTGAGAATTTAGCGTCGTTACACCTTTGACGCCCCCTCCCTTCAGCCTGCTAAGCTGATCATGATGGGGTTTCGTTCTCGGAGGAGAGACCCGACATGGAATGGCCGGAGTCTGACCTGGGTGAAATGGAAAAAAAAAAAAAAGAAAAATTGTTCAGCACAGCGGAGAAGGGGGGAGAAGAGGATGAGGAAAGAAGCAGAGCACAGAGGACATAGCAGTAACGCTAGGCGAGCAAGATGAACGTGCAGTCGATCTCTCACGGGACAATGCAATGCGAGGTTAAATCGGGGTCGCACGGCCCCGGGCTTTCCAGATCCTGGTCTTGTCGTGGTGTGCTGTCATTCGTGGCAAAGTTGAAAACCTGGCCGGTAAGATAGAGGAATGTGCGTGAGGTGAGGGAAAGGGAAAGGGAAGGGGAAGGGCGTGGAAATGTGGTGATAGTAACAGCGACAGCAGTAAGTACATACGGAGTAACTGGGGTAGAGTAAGTGTACTCCGTAGTATCCCATAACGAGATGCTAACTATGTACGGAGTGGGAGTACTCATAGTCGTACTTAGCCAGACTCACGACTACAGACTATAGAGTAAGTACTTCGTACCTCAAGCTGCAAGAGCTGCACTCTGTACTCCATCCGGATACTCTGTACAGACAGACTATCGGAGAGAATCCCCACTAAATCCTCCTGTACGACCCCGGCGGCCCGCGGAGACAGGGTATCCTTGTACGAAAAGCCCGCTAGTTTCTCTCGTCCGACCAAAAGTCCCATTTCCTCCGTCCCACCGAGGAATCTCCTGGCAAATGCCTGTGATCCAATAATTGCTGATTCTACGGGGTAATCAACTCAAATCAAATCATATATCAAATCATATCGAAAGGACTGTTGATTACGGAAGATTGCTAAATGAGGTACTGTGCTCCGTAGTCCAGTCATGGTGATCATTATCATCTCAGTCCGACACCAATGCCAGCGCCAGCGCCAAAGCCAAAGCTAGCGCCAGTGCAACCTGTCACTGTCGTCGCTCTGCACGGACGGGCCTGCAGGGTCATTCGCCTGCAAGGTACGGGCGAACCCGTCGATCAATGGTCTATGCTGGTCAACAGGCATAGCGTAAAAAAGACTCAGTGGAGAAGTCGCAAAGGCACCGTTGTTCCGAGGTGAACCTAACTTACCACTAGGAACCCCGGGGGGGGGAGGGAAGAGTGGAGGAGGAAGAATCAGGGCTGCGGAGGACAATGGTCCTGCTAATTAAACCAAGACCGAACTATGGAGCCGGGGTGTAGGGGTACGGATAAAAAGAAGATACAACTCGTAATCTGGGAGACTCTGTCCGTATCGGGTACTCCGTAGTGAGATTAAGTACATCAGGACGAGATGGGATTAATTAAGTGAAAAATGCTTTGAATAAGGATTCTCATGGATGATCTGTGTGCCGTGGCCGTGGCCGTAGCGGTAGCCGTAGTACCTCGATCCCCTTGCTTATATTCACGGTTCAACGGTTCCTAAGTTCGGACGCAATTTGATAGATTACATCGTGTGGGTGTGTGATGGAGTGCTAGACTGGGCTAGCGAGTCCCACACCTGGTCCAAGCTCGGGAAAATGTGATTGTGATTTGATTTGACCGGTGACCCCGTCCAGGTTACTGTATGTATAGTCGGAGGTTGGGTACGGAGGATTGCTGGAGAAATTTGAGAAAAGAAAAATCAAATAAATCAAATAAATCGAAACCTGGCAAAGGGAGAGAAAAAGCAAAAAGAAGAAAAGAAGAAGAAAAAAAAAAGCCAAAGCCAATGAAGCCAGCCGTTCCTCAGCTGGTTGGGTACTTGTAGTTTCAGACTCCACCCAGCCCCCAATTGTAATCCGCCATCCCATCCCATGCCCCCTCTTCTTGTTCGGATTTGCATTTCTTGTTTCCATTGTCGACAAGCGGATCCCCCCTACTGTACGCTGCGCAGCGGGTATCGGGCCGTCGATAGCGAGCTGCGGTGCAGGGATCAGAGTGGCCCACGGACGAGGATGCTGACTCGAGCTGGATGAAGAAATTAGAGTGCTGTCAATGGATGTATTCTGCAAGCATCCACGGGGAGGAGGCAGGAGGAGGCAGAAGACAGCATACATTATAGTTACCTTATAAGATACTACATACTCCGTAGTATTGGCAAGAGCATTTTTCCTTGAACTATCTTTCCTACTCGTACGTCTTTCCTCTTTCCCAAAAGAATAAAAACAGGGAGGGAATATTCCCACCACCACCACCACACCAGCATCACACCAGCCAACCCCAACCCCAACCCCAACCCTAACCCCACCGCTGTCTAAGCTAAGCTCCGTTTCTTCCCGAGGAGAGCCAAGGGTCTGTGTGGAAGAGAGGATTGGCCAGGACGCCACTGAAGAAACCCACTACAAATGACGAGCAGAAGGAATCGATAATCGATCATGGTCGGTCTGATCATAGCCAGGGCCATCGGGGAGCCGGGGAGGAAGCCCCATCGGACCCGGACCCCCGTTCATCCATCCACTAATTCTTCACCGGGCTTAGCATTATTGAATATTCAGATGAGATGGACATGGATGATTCCAGAGGGAGAGGGGGGAGAGGGGAGGATGAGGGAAATAATGCCAATAATTTCCGATAGCGTGGAGGGTCCATTAGCAGACACGTCAGTTCAGGGTAGTCAGGGTAGTCAGGGTAGGTCAGTTTGGTCAGGTTGAGTGAAGTCAAGTCAAGCTGGGAATCGCGGCCCCTGTCATGTTCTGACATCTGTCAACCTTGTTCGAGACTATGAAGCAAGGGTGACTGGCGGTGAATTGGGAGTCGTCAGAGGAGGAGGAGAGTATTCCGAGGGAGGAGATTTGTAGCAGAGTCTGCTCCCCTTGCTGCTACTACTGGTGCTGTTCCTGCTGCTCTCTCTCTTGTGCTCTGCCCTGGTCTACTCCGTACTACGATATGCTCCGCTTCACTTACTACGAGTACTTCGTACTCTCTGCTCGGCTGTTTCCCACGTCATGGCTAGCACGCAAGTTGAGCTAGCCTTGTCGAGCAAGAGCAGAGCAGAGCAGAGCAGCTCGTCACGGGGCTAGACTTGCGATCCGGTCGGTAAACGCCCAGCCGTCGTACTGGCAGGGATGGTGGAGAGAACAGACCCTCGATCGACCCAAGCCACCCGTGCGTGGTGGCCTCTGGGCCAGTGGATTATCCCTTGACGCTCAGACTGGTGGGAGTAGTATTATAGCAGTACTCTGGACGAAGTCCAGAGGACTGCCATAGAGTAATAGATATGAGTACAGAGTACTCTGTACTCTGTACCCTGTAATGATCGCTGAGAGCGAGAAGTACTCGTACTCTCCGTAGGGAGTACTACAGTACACACTCTGTCTCTGTTCTCTCGTACCCGCACGATCGACGGGCCGCCTCAGCATATCCGGGCGGGAGTCCGTGTTGATCGATCACTCGCTCCACTTGAGACTAGACTGTGACTAGTTTTGGGATACTCGTACTGGTGAGCTGGTCTGGCCAGGAGGAGTGCTGAGTTACTGAGTGTATACAGTTACTCTGTACTCCACGCTCAACCATGGTACTCTGGCAATCGTATCCGAGTACCATGGTAGAGGCAGCACTGTAGTAGCAGTGGTTGTTTATTGCAGTAACTGCAATAGTAGCTATACAGAGTATACAGGAGTGTATAGCTACTTTACTATTGACAGAGCATACAGAGTATACAGAGTACACAGAGCATACATAGTACTTCGTACTCTGTATGTACAGTGCGTGCACCCACCAACCGTGCGTGGCTACAGATATTCCCCTCTCGTCCCTGCATTTTCTCTTTTTCTCTTCTCTTTTTTTTCTTTTTTTTTCTAATTTTCCCAATTCAATTTCCCATTTCTTTTCTTTTTTTTATTCCCCATTTATTCCCACTTCCTTTTTTCTCGGTCCTTGCTTCTGGTGGCGGTTGACTCGATCGACCATCTCTCCCCACCCCCCACTGAAAATGATTCGATGCTATTTCGGTTGAACACAACACTCAAAAGGGCCCGGGATTGTCTTTGCATTCCCAGCCTTCTTTTCTATTTCCCACATCACATCACATCCACAGAGTCTCTCTCTCCCACCCACTTAGTCATCCTGCGGCTCCTTGAATGTGTTCCTGCTCCTCCCCCTTCCTGTAAACTGCAGAGGGATGCGTTTGCTGCACGCCAGCCTTCTGTAAAACCTCTTCTTTTTTAGGTCCCCCTTGACTCCATATTCTTATTTCTTCGTGATTGCCTGCTTTTTGACTACCGACTACTTGCATACTTTTTTCATGTTTGTCACGACCTCATGAAACTTGATGACCTTAAGCATTGCACTTGATTGAAGCATTCACAAAAGTCTACTGCTGTTGCTGCTGCCACTGCCACTGCTACTGCTATCTGCTGCCTACATTGCCAACCCCTCTTCACGCCGTGCAACATCACACTTCCACTTCACTTCACACTTCCCTTTGACCTCACCACTTCTCCCACACACACACACACACACCCACTCCCCCGTTTGATCACTCGTTGTCGGAACCCCCCCCATCCGTCAGCCTTCTTCCCTCTTCTTCCTCCAGTTCTCCCCGTGAAACCGAAAAGCTGGAGCTGCCGTCGATCTCGCAGGTCCACACCCGCGGTCCTGCTGACGCTCCCTGGTACAATCACCACGCCGTCGAACGTCCACTATTGCCAGGCGACAAGCTCCCCGCACTCAGCCTGCCGACGGCCTCGCAGATTCCATCGCGCTTCGTCTATCCAGACCCGAGCTCCGTCAGCTCAAGCGCCCGTACAAGCTTGTCCAGCGCTGCTTCTCTCCACGAGCCCAGAAGTCCCCCTCCATCTGAATTGGGGGCCCAAGGTCGCCTCTCACTGGATTCGGAGTACCAAGTCGCCCAAGAGGGCTATTACCCCAGCCCAACCTCGCTTGGCAGTATGAATCAGGCTCAGCCGTACATGGATGTTCATTCCCATATGTCCTCCGCTCAACCTTACGCTTCACAAGCCGCCACCGCTGGTGCCATGTCGCACTACCCTTACCACCAGCAACCCCCGGTGCTGCAGCCTGCATCATCCTATGCTCCGCACTCTTACCCGCAGTACGGCTATCCCAATGGTGTGACGTCCCCGCCAACAGGACACCCGCCCCCTGCGAGCTCCATGGCCGGTCAGATGCCCGCTCAGCTGTTGCCTCTCCCTGGTATGTTCATCGCTTAGGAATCGCGGGATAACCGAGCTTTTCCATGTTTCCGAACGCAAAAACCAAGCTAACCGCCCCCTCCCCCCCCACCAGTGAACCATTCCGCGGCCCCACCGGGATACGGAAACAACACCGGAGCTCCGTTGCAAGGCTTCGTCTACGATACCACGGGCCAGGTCGCACCTCCAGGAGCCAAGCCTCGCGTCACAGCTACTTTGTGGGAGGATGAGGGTAGTCTCTGCTACCAAGTGGAAGCCAAGGGAGTCTGCGTCGCTCGGAGAGAGGGTGAGTGAAATTCTTCCGTTGGGAGGCACACCTAATTCGCAAATTCTTACTTATTTGTCCCCAGACAACCACATGATTAACGGCACAAAACTACTGAACGTGGCTGGCATGACCCGTGGCCGTCGCGATGGAATCCTGAAGAGCGAGAAGTTACGCCATGTCGTGAAAATTGGCCCGATGCATTTGAAGGGTGTCTGGTAAGTTAAACTGTTCTGTTGAAGCAACGACAACAACGTTGACGGCAATGCTAATATCTCGCAGGATTCCGTTTGAGCGCGCATTGGAGTTTGCAAACAAGGAGAAAATCACTGATCTTTTGTATCCGCTCTTCGTGCATAATATTGGTGGTCTGCTGTACCACCCGGCAAATCAGACTCGGACCAACTTGGTGGTGCAAGAATCCCAGGCTCGACGCATGGAAGGTCCCCCAACTGGACCCCAGCGTACCCCGACCGCACCTCAGCCATCGACTCTGCACCATCACGCGATGCAGACCCCAATGTCCTCGCACATGTCTCAACCATCATCCATGGGCGGTGGCCCGCGGCCCGGCCTTGACCGCGCGAACACCTTTCCCACCCCGCCCGCCAGTGCATCGAGCTTAATGGGAGTGACCAACCAAGGGAGCTCATATGAATGGGGTGGCCAGGGAATGAACTCGGGGGTGCCACAGTCACAGCAGCCTCTGTCAATCGACACCGCGCTGAGCAACCAACGTTCCATGCCGACCACCCCAGCCACTACTCCCCCGGCAACAACATGCAGGCCATGCCCCCATATCAAGCTCAGTCTGGCTATGAAAGCAAGCCCTACTACTCAGCTGCGCCTCCAAACCACTCCCAGTACGCACCACAGACGCCGATGACACAGTCCGGCCTCTCCAGCTATGGACAAACATTGCCAAATGTGAACTACCTGAAGAACGAGATGGCGCCTCCGACAGGTCGGGCTCCTGGTGCCCCTGAGACCGATAATTCTGATCTCAAATCCGACCGCTACTCCCAGAGCAATGGTCCCGGTGATTCAGTCTCGGAGCAGGAACCGGAGTACCTGCAAGATCAAGGGACCGGCTATAACCCCAATCGCGGCTCGTATACCTACACCACGAACCCTTCCGTCGGATCTCTCGCCGGTGAACACCCACAGCTGACCCCCGAGATGACGGGATCCCCCCAGCAAAATGGCTCGGGCCGAATGACCCCCCGAACCAGCGGTGGTCCTCCACCTCACTGGGCTTCTGGGTATAACACTCCCCCTCGCCCCCCGGCTGCAACTACCCTGTATAATGCAGTCAGCGATACCCGTGGCACGCCCGTTAATGGTGCCTCCGACCCATACTCCATGGCCTCCACCACCACCCCGGTATACTCCACCTCGATGGGTGGCTCCCTGGGCTCAGGCAGCAAGCGCATGCGCGAGGAAGACGATGTGATCCGGCCCGAAAGCGGCGGCGAGTACGAAAGCAAGCGCCGCAAGACCATCACTGACACAAGCCTTGGTGGCCCCGTGGGCGCTGCCCCGATCCTGCAGCCCATGAAAACCGGCGCAGTGATGACGCGCCGTCGATAAGCTGTGCCCTCGTTTCCTCCTCTTCAACCTCCTCTCTTTCACGAGAGTGATGATGACCCTTTTCTCACTGGTCTGGAGTTTTGTTTCTGATAGTTATTTGGTGCTTGTGTCGACATAATCCCACATCGCCACAGACTATGAACGTTCGACATGAGATTTCTTTTGCTGTTTAGCACCCCCCTTTTCGCCCCATTATTTCATTTCTTGAAGTTTCTACCACGGCGAAACCATATCCAATATGGGCTTCAAGGAGTGAGAAGGAAAAAAGAGAACGACATTGCATGAAAAGCTTTTGGTTACATCTGATCTCACTCCACGCCACGCCTCTTGCATTTTGCTTTTCCCCCGTTCTGCGATGCACTCATTTTACGAAACTTCCTGGGAAAATATCTCTCGGGTGTTTGACACGACCGTGACATATCATCATCTCTCTTTTCTTACCGACTTGAGATATAATGGCCCCCCCATTCTAGCCTAGCGCGCTCTTTCCATTCCAGCATGATGAAACGGGCTCGACGAGAGGGAGGAGTTTTTTTTTCCTTTTTTTCCATCTCTTTTTCAACATCAAATAACTGGGCCCCTCTCCTCTCGCACCTTGACGACAATGATGTAACGAATCTCTTATGACGAATCTTCTATGTGTGCGATTTCTACATCGCCATGGCTTTTGGTTTTGGTTTTTGGTTTTTTTCTGCTTGATTTTCATTGATCATCCCTTCTTCTGCCTCGCTTTCTTCCCTTTGCCGGTTGGCTATGAAAAGCTGGAAAATAGCGGGAAAGAAACAGGGGTTGATTATCGCGGCAACTATTTATGTTTTGCTTTGGTTTTTTTTCATATTTATTTTGGCTCGCGCAGAAAAGGTTATTTGTTGCTGCCAGCGGCTGTGTTGTGTGATTGTCTTTACTGGCATTCCGGCTTTGGGGGTTTCTCTTTTTTTGGTGCTCCCTCTTTAAATCAACTCGAGCCTTTGGTTATGTTTTAGAGAGACGATATGATGGTAATGAATGATCATGATTTGATTTCTGATTTGATTTGATTTAATTCGCACTTGCACTTGCACGGAATGGACTGGAATGGAATGGGTTTACGGAACTGGGTATGGTATGACTTTCATAGCGATATACAATTCCCTGTCTCCTATGGATTTTCTTCGATTTCTCGCAAGTACAGTAGGTACAGTTGCTACTAGTAGTTCTGGTAGAGTTGCATGTAACTACTACTAGTAGTAGTAGTAGTAGTAGTAGTAGTAGTAGTAGTAGTAGTAGTCCACGGGTAGTATGACCCTGGGGTATCTTCTCCTTCCTTCTTTCCTTGGGCCTGATATATTTCTTGTTGGTTACCCTAGCACAGAATGAAGACATCTGTTCCTATCTCAATTAGCATCTTGAATGGCAGAGACAGCTCCCATAGCCCACGATTAAGAAAAAGTAATTATTTCATTATATGTTAAATATGAATTTGATAATTTCATACACTCCCGCATTCGCGCATCGGGTGTGGGAAAACCATTCAAGGACAAAAGCCACGACCGGAGTAATATGATATCTCAATTTCCAACCAGACCTCGGAGATGATGATTCACTTGAGTTTGCAGTACCTTGGACTCCAAAGAATTCATATGGATATGAAAGGAAGACACGACTAGCAAAGGAACTCGCAAATGACGCACTGTTTCGGCCAGAGGCATCCACGTTAGCTCTCAATTGTGAATAATCACCACACGTCGCAGACAATTTACTTACGCTGAAGATGCCATCATTGCAATAGTCGCCGTTTGTACAGCAATTTCCGTCAGGAGTGACAGGTCGTGGTGCAGGCAAGGAGGCAGCTGCTGAGCAAAACTGAGAACTATCTTTCTATAAATTAAAATGGGTTAAGTTAGTCTCATAACCAACTAACTGAGTCCCTAAAATGGGAGAATTTTTCATTGGCAGTTCATACCAGGATGCGAAGGGCTTCCACCGGGCTAATGGTAATGTTTCCCACGCCCTGCTGTTTGACGACGTTTCCTGGTGCCACCTCAGTCGTTGCCAGAGCAAGACTTGCGATGGAAAGGATAGCGGCGAAGTACTTCATTTTGGGTAAGAAAGTTGTAGTATAGAGAATTGTGACCACTGACAAGCTTTTGAGTACTGGGTTGAAAGAAAAGTGGTTAGTTTTCAGACTTTTATATGTTTTTTCTTCAAGCCTCTTAGCCAACTTGCATACAGGCTTTAAATTTCCGAGAGGTACCTACTGCCTAGGTATGTCGAGTAATATTTGGTTAAGTTCAAAGCAGGGTCGTATTCTGCATACTCGATAAAATATTATTCAGTAGAATTCCGAGGTCGAAAAGTCAGCAAGTTTAGCCGATTCGCAACTTTGCCTATGTAAAATAAGCATAATCAGTGTTTCCACTATAGTTAAAAATTCCCCGAATTGCTTCTCTCTGGGGCAGAGTAGCGAGTTGCTATCATCGAACCCGCTCATAGAAAATCTAAAGTCACTCGAAGATGTCAGAGTTTACTATACTAGTGTTTTGATAATTTGCAAAAACTATACAAGGACTATCTCCGCGGAGATGTGAACTGAGCTATAATATTGATTCTCGCAGTGTTGCATCTTAGTTTAACTTTGCCCATTTTAACAGAATATCATATGATCAAAATTGAAATATAACCCCTATCATCCTGGATACTTGGGATTCGGTATGTTGTCAAATCGTTTGACAGAATACACGTCGCATTTCAGTAATGGTGGTGACTGTAACGAACTGGTGTTGTTACCATTTTTGGATGCCTTACACCTGCGGCATCCACTAGGCATCCATGCCTACATGTATCTAGCTCATCTCAGCTTCCTTCTTTTTCTTCTCCTCAAGCTATTACTTTTCGTCGAACCGCTACTACTTCATTGCATCGTATGATACGCCGTACGTTGATCTGTGAGTATCTGAATATCCTCACAGTGACTGCTGTGAATACGAGTGTGGAAAACTTATTGCACACTTCACGTCTCGTGACAGATCAATGGTTTTTCTTGCGTTTGCGACATATAGAAAAGTATAGTAGATAAATGCCCTCGGTATTTGTGGCAATTCAAATTCCATTATCAGAATGGTATTTAAGCTTTCCACTGTTATGTAAGACTCATAAGGTTATTCGCGGCCGTAATTGCCGTCAATGGGAAGGCTGGCTTCCACATACTACCACCAAAATACCTTGGCGGTATGGCTTACATATTCACACTAGATTCCAAAGCCCTTCAATAAGCCACAAGCTTAACCTTTTGGTCTGAGAATGAGGTCTATAACCAGTCTTGTACAAAAAAAGCAGAAGGAGTAGGTTGTAGGTTGCCAAAGTACATCATTCTTCTAGGTGTGCAGAAGAAAGGGAGTCATAACTTAGTATCGTTGCATCAATACTTGCGAGTTGTTTAGGATGATAAATTTGAATTATAACATATATAGCACTTCGAGTGTTGATTTTTTTTTGTTTTACTGCATCTCCTTCTCGATCTTCATCAGATTACCGACACCGGTGGTCAAAATTATCACGACCGTAACCTGTGTTTGGCCGCTTTCTGCCACTATGAAGTCCTTTGGTTACATACTATCTGCGGGCTTGCTGTCACTTGCCTCGAGCACAGAGGCTTACAGTCCCGATCGGCCGAACGATCTTGACTTCACCGAAGCTCAGGCCGAGGCCCATAATTGTGGCTCGGTTTGCCAGCAAAACCTACGGCAATATGAAGCATTAGACCGTCAGGTGTTTGGAAATATTCCCTTCGACTATGAATTCTACGAAACTGCGGCCAATTTCAGCAACTCACGGCCCGGTGACATGCTGAAACTTCGGCAACAAAATGCATCTGCGTATGACATTCCCCCTGGGACTTCATTGTGGACTATGCAATACACATCTGTCGGAGTTGGTGGGGAGAATGTACCGGCGACTGCTTTCATTGCCCTTCCCTATACGAAAGTTCCAGAGCACAGAACCCCCCCCCCTAGTCGCATATGCCCATGGAACCATTGGAGTTGTCTCTGCCTGCGCTGCGTCCTCATCCTTCAACGGATATGATTATCACAGCTGGCAGCTCCTCACAGGTCCCGGGTATGCTGTGGTCGCTACGGACTACGCTGGCCTGGGAAACAACTATACTTCTCACAAGTACGGAAATCCACTACTCAACTCCGAGGACGCCTACTTCTCGGTGGTTGCTGCTCGCAAGGCCTTTCCGGGAGTTTTCACCGATAAATGGGCCGCTGTTGGTCATTCGCAAGGCGCTGGAACTGTTTGGGGACTGAGCGAGAACCCCCGTGTCGTTACCAAAGAGAGCGGCGATTACGTAGGGGGTGTTTCAATCGCCCCTAGCTCCAGATTGAACGACATTCTCACAGCTGTGCCGCTTAATGTGGGATGGGGCTTTGGTAATTTGGTCGTGAATATCTTTCAGGCCTTGAAATTCCCGATCCAGCCGGTCGTCTTAACCCCGGAAGCCCTAGCTCGTTATCCCCTTATGTATGAGCTTCAGCTTTGCGACACCTCTCAAGCTGAATTGAATGCAGACCTTCCAAACCATGGCATTGTGGACTTTACGCCTTCCATTACTCAGCACAATCATGAAGCTTATATCGCATTTCAAAACAAATACGGCGCAGCTACTGGGAGAAAAGGGTACAAGGAGCTTCTCGTCATTCAGGCGATCGATGATGAGGTTATAAATGTTAATGCTACAAAGGCTGCGTACGAAGATGCATGCAAAGTAGGCAATATCGTTCACCTGAGTTTATATCCGGGCCTTGATCATGATTCTTCAATCGCAGCATCAGCTCCGGAATGGCTAGAGTGGCTCGATAACAAGTTTGCGGGTGTGGCAACTCGGGACTCTCACAGATGTGTCATGGAGACGAGGAGTGTTTTGGTTGATCCTTTGTGATGATGCAATCTGAAGATCTGTTGCTGGAAAATTGCTCTTAAATTCCAGCCCTCTTATCATCTACGTTTGTTTTGCTTTATCCGTGGTCCGCCGAATGTGCTCTATGCTTAATCTGTCAGAATTAATAGTATACTTGATTTTAACTTTTTTTCAAAATGAAAGCTACCTTCCGGAAACTACGAAATACTTCTTATTCTGTTTCGCTTTCTCTAATAATAGGCACTTTACTGTCTATGGTTCTTGAATCTGGTCTTGGATTATCTCTGTTCCAATCCTTTGTCATTCTGATCCATTAACATAGTACTATCTTATCAAACTCGAATAATTTCACCTTGGCCAGAAACCTGCCGTATCATCTTATGCTGGTAATTACCATGTAAATCAAACAATGGCATTATTCCATTTTTCCACACCGGTGCCCTATATCTTCGAGTTTTCGATGTAGTCACGATGATGGTTACAAGACCCAAGAGCCACACCAGAGCTGGAAGAACAATCCACTGCCAGCGCACAGATACGTAGGTCATGTTGCTCATCGCCTTGCCCACAGCCTGGGTGTTATTTGTAGAAGATGATAATGCTGTCACCCCATCATCGCGGAAGGTTTTTGTCATCGCCTGGGCCATATTTTTCATAGCACATTCAAGCTTCTGGACCGTGTCATACGGGCAGTCGATGATATCAGCATGTGCTACAGCTTGGACGGCATCAACCGTAGCGTATATGGCTTCCGAATTTGTCTCGTACTGAGGACCCCATGGATCGACAAATACCTTTCCGTCTAGAAGAAATTTGTAGAAAGCTCTCATAGAGTCAGATGCCGAGTAGCCGATCTCTAGGCTCTGGTTGTTTTGCATCCCCATTTCCGGACCCCATGGAGGTTTGAAGGAAAAGTAGCCCGTCTTTTGATCGATGACCAAACTGTCTATATCTTCCCAAACCCCAAGTGTCTCTTCGTGATACACACCACTAGTCACGCTTGCACGAAAGCTACGAGCGACTGGGTAAATAATGCACTCGATTGCCTGCCATTTGGTCTTTCTTGAATATGAATGGTTTTTCGAGGAAACCAACGAATCAGGACCAATCATCTGGATAGGACCCATTATGGCCTCAAGCGATGAATTTGTATAAACCAATGGCAGGCCTGAACCAATAACGATGGGTGTGGAGAAAGGCTCAACAAGACTAAAGTTAGCTGTCATATTCGAATATGAGATTTGAAGCGGCAGATTCATCGAACAGGTCTCTGTCATTCCTTCTCCTTCCATATTAGTGTTGTTTCCCACTTTGCATGAATGCTTCAACCGATCTGTTACATTTGTACAGTTTGAAGTCCCACTGAATAGCAATCATTGGATCCCAAGTACAATTTCCTGTACTGCAGGTGTATTTAGGGGTCGACCATGGTTTCGTCGGATCGGTATTGAATAAAGAGTTGTATACGTTGGCCTTCATTGCCGTATCAACGTATGTCACTGTTTAGAACCTTGTCAGCAACGGAACAAAAAAAAGCCCCAAGACTCGATAAAAGCATACTATGATGTGATGGTACGCCATAGTTATCGTATCGATCGCCCCTCGCCGTAAGAGCGGTTTCCGAGCCATCAACAACAAGCTTAGGATAATAGCGTATCAAATTCTGCATGAAAGGGTCGAAGGCGATGGCGAGTACGACTGCTAGACTGGCTGAGGCTGCAAAATGTCTAAACACTTAGTTAGTTGAAGATCTGAAAAGTATGATCAACCCAGCTCACCTTGCACGCAAACTCCATATTAATCGCAGACTACCCCATATTCCCCGACTGGCTGAGTCAAAATCTTGGAGATCCGATATTGGTCGGCGCTTTTGCGCAAACCATACCCATTTCAATTGTCCTAGGCCCTCACTGATGCAGAAAATAACACAAGCCTTTGATAGCGTGCTGAGCCAGGAGATCACTGAATTGAGCGAGACGCGATCCCAGTTCGGCTGGGGCTGGTGATTATAGTGGGCTAATATCCCAATAATAGCGATCAAAAGAGCGGTCGATAGGATAAATGCCAAAAATTCCCAAGCGAATAAACTCCATATCGGGTTACCTGATCTATGTACGAGCCCATCGTCTTCTCCGTCTCTGATATCTGTGTCATACTCTTGTTCGTTCGCGACGAGTGGTTTGTTTGCGGGGTCTGTATGCGGCTCCGGCCTCTCAGTAGGTGACCACGCGGGCTCATTCTTAGTAGACGAGTCACTCAATTCTGCAGCCATTCCAGAGAGTGTCTTGGTTTACAGTATGACGCGAAGGACAGGATAGAGCTCGCGTATTTCCTATAAATCTGTCAAAGTCCATTTGTGGGAACCTAGGAGTACATTTAAGTGCATTGACTTGAGCCCCCTCTCATGGGGCTGAAAAGGGTCCAAGCAGAGGCGCCCAATGCCACCGTTGAAGGGTCTAGCCGTCTCTCTTAGCGTGCTGCATCTCGGGATAGAGGCTAACTCGGGGCGCCCCCTGTAGGTTTCCGTATCAAGCAGCGACTTTCTTACCCACTAAACGATGATGATTGGCGAAAACAGCCAAAAGGGTCAGATGAAGCGCTCGAACTGCATAATTTTGGTGTGTACTACTATGCCGATCTCTGGGGAGGGTTTGGCCCCGGCATGAGGCTAACTGACCAGGTGGATATTGCTTTTTCCATGTTAGCCCCGGGAGAGGATTTCCATTTGAGTACAGCTTCTGGCCAGTTGTATATTGGAGCCGCATTAGTGTGCATTAGCGCTTGACTTTGTAATTTTACAATATCAAACAGCTGAATTCTCATACAAACAGGGGTGACGGTGAGGGGAAATATTGACAGGGTATTTATAATACGACGTGAGAATTGCGATCTCAACCAGGGCTACCCTACCGCATCCTCGCTCGCGTCGAGAATAGCATTGCTCCAGCCAATTAACCAACCCAACAACCTTGAAAACCACAGACCTCTCGCTGCCCCGCAGAAAAACATACATACAGCCTTGCCAGTCATCTCATCTGAGCCGAGTCCATCAACAGAAACACCTCCCTGCTGGGACTGTTCCCCGCAGGAGGGTTCCAATATACTGGCCAGAGTGTGTAATTTGTCCATGCCACCGGGATAAGAGATAATTTAGCGTTTGTCAGGAATTACCATTTGAGAGTCAGTCAGTATAGAGTTATTGTACTGTGTGAAAGCTCAAGTGGTCGACATGTGACACATAATTCTCGGTGGGTTTATTTACAGTGCCTCAAATCAAATTCTCACTTAACCAAAACAGGTAGGTATGGAATGGCAACTGCGAGCTGGGTGCTTAATCTGTACTAAAAAAAACTTTGAATATCTTTATCCATTCATCTACTAGTACCCAAGGAGCAATCCGGGAGCGTTCAATTTACCATCATCGAGTGCTGTGGTGTAGGTAGTTGATTGGTTGTTCTAGAACAACTTTAATCATGTAGCGGGCTTGGAAAGTCTGCAACAACAAAACCATTTCATTCTATGTATGTCCAAGTCTATTCTATGACGCCGCCATCATAACCCAGGAATTTGAAATCATGTCTATAAAAATCATCATCATAACTGTCCATTCCATTCCATGCATACCGTTCATCGATAATCATAAACCATATCATACCCAGTTTCCAATCGTTAGCGTACCGTAACTAACCCCGTCAAACCCAAACTAGCCAAAGATAGATAGATAACATGGCATATCCAGAACGAACAGAAGAGAAAAGAAGAAGAGAGAAAAAAAAAACCGAAGAATGAAAAAACAGACAACAAAAGCAAAAGAAATAGCCAGACTATAACCAGGAACATGTGTATATACCCAATCTGCGAGTGATCAAGATAGACAAAGTCTCGCAGATGGAATGATAGTATGTGATGTGATAAGTGGCACCGAGAAAAGAAAGGAGATGGGCAAGAAAAGCAAGGTCAGGACAAGACAGTCCAGCCTGGCCTGGTCTAACGCTTCCCAGCCTGCGCAAAGACCAACTGCCAAATCTCCAGCCACTGCTGCTGCTTATACGACAAAGGTCGATGAGGATTGCGGAAGGTAGAAGCAAGAAGATCGCGCAGCCGATTATTGAGAATCTTCAACGCAAGCATAGACTTCCAGTCGCGCACACTGAACCGAATGCGATTGGCATCGATCGAGATAACGCCAGAGTACATTTTGAACTCGGCGTCACCGCACAGCAAAGCGATCGCGAAGTCGTCCACGGCGCTCGCATCGTGTGCGTTTAGGTTTCGGTTCCGCGCTTGCATGATGTGGTAGTAGGATAGCCATTTTATCGAGTGGTCGGCGTGCTTGTTCATGGATGTTGGGTGTAAGGAGACGGTTTGGTTGTTTGTCACGTTGCGCCAGCCTTTGCCTTCGCGAGTGAGGAGTTTTGGGTAGAAGCTCCAGGCGACGACGGAGTTTACAACGGTATCGTTGGCGCTGTTTAGGTCGTGTTCTTCTGGGATCGTGAAGAATTGGCGTTGGCGGCCGCCGGATCGGGCCCTGTAACGAGAGTTCTGTTAGCTTGTATGGTCTTGCCTGAAATTTGGAAGCATTGGTATGCAGGGAGAAGAAGATTTACCGGTTCAGAGCGGTCTTCTGTGCGCCGTCCAGGTTTAATAGACCCGTATCCGCGATTGATACGACTAGCTGCATCTTGACATCTTCGATGCTTTGCAGCGTCTGCGGGTTGAGGAAGTTTTTGCGGCAGAAGCTAAACTCGCTGGTACCGGGTGTGCTTCTTGCGAGCTTCCAGCAGCAGTAGGCGTTGTAGATAGTCAAGAGATCCGAGTCGCCTGGGACAGTTTAGCATGAAGTCAAAAACGGAGGGGATTTGAGGGTACTGACCTCTTTGGAACGACGCGCGTGCTGCATCACGCTGGGTGTTTGAGCCCATTGAGTTGACGAATGGCGACTTGGAGGACAGAATGGCCGCAATACTAACTGCCGCATCGAGACATTTGAAAAATGCACCGTGGATAATTAGCTTACCTAGAAATACATCCAAGGGGAGCTTCGCCAGTTGTGAGCCTAAAGGCGTCAAACCCTCGTTGCTGGTGAGAGCTTTGACCTCCTTGAGGGAGTCGATGGCACGTCGAATATTCTTTGAAGATGGCGGGTCCAGGGCTTCGAGCAGTGTTGGCTCCACTTCACCCAGTTTGCAGATCTTGACTCGCAGTACTAAGTCTTGCAACGACAGTCGGAGCATTTCTGGCGTTTGTTGTCCAGCGAGCTGATAAATGTTAGTATATTCTATAGCAACGCACTGGGGGGGTAATCCACGTACCAATTTATCATGACGGTGTTTGGTGAAAAGGTGGAAACAAATGCCGTTCTGGACACGACCAGCTCGTCCACGTCTCTGTTTGGCGTTGGCTCGGGAGATGAATGACTCAACGAGTCGCGAAAGTTGTCTCCTTTCGTCGAATCTGATTGACATAATTAGCAGTCCGTAAAGATGCATCGAAGTTTGAAACATACCGCATGGTCTTTTCGGTTCCTACGTCGACAACTGCTGTGATGTCGGGAATAGTGATACCTAGAGGAGTCAGAACTGCTTCTTACTAGTTTCCATCGATGTCACATACCCGTCTCTGCAATGTTGGTAGCAATGACAATTTTCCTGAAGCCCTCGGGAGGTATGTTGAAGGCCTTTTCTTGATCTTCACTGGCGATAGAGGAGTGCAAGGCATGGACAATCCATCCCTTTTGGAAAGTTGGCTCCGCTAAGACCTCATCATTCAGGCGACGAATCTCAGCCAAGCCAGGCATGAACACCAAGATTGCCTTGCTGTAATGCTCCATCTCCGGCGCGGTAGCAATCTTCAACAGAAGCCTTTTGATAAGTTGATAATCAATTCGGTATTCATCGAAATTGACGATAGTCTCGCGAGTTTGCTTGGAGTAACCCTCGAGACTTGCTTGAAGCCCTCCTGTGTTGTCTCCGGTGTTGTCTGAAATCTCGTCTGGGTCGTCGTCGAGCACGGTGTTTTTCTCGTCTTCGGACAGGCGATAGCCAGTCATCTCTACTGCATCTTCGAGATACTTTATTTCAACAGGGAATGTTCGACCAGGGATGTTCAGCACCGGAACACCGCCTAGATAGGTGGAGAAGCGCTGTGCTTCGAGCGTGGCAGACATGAGAATAAGTTTCAAGTCGGGACGCTTCAACATCAGCCTGCGGAGAACAACAAGTAGGAAATCACTATCAATAGTGCGTTCGTGGACCTCATCCAAGACAACGTGGGTGATGTCCTGGAAGTCATCTGGCCGCTCCAACATTCGCACGACAACACCAGTAGTTCTAGGTTCAGTTAGCCAACTGGGCACAAAAGGTATGGACAAAAACGAAGCCACTTACGCATATACTAGACGTGTCGTCGAACTGATCTTACTTTCCAACCTTACCGCAAAGCCGACAAGAGATCGGGTAGTTCCAACGTCGTTTTTGCTTTCTCCGAGCTCTTCGCTAACTCGTCTTGCCAGTGAGATTGCCGAAATACGGCGAGGTTCCGTCACATACACTTTGCAGGGACGGCCTTGGAGCATCTCATGCTCTAGAATGTATGACGGAATCTGCGTACTCTTTCCACTTCCGGTCTCACTGCAGATGATGAGGACGCGATGAGTTTCCAGGGTATCGAGGATTTCATCTTTGAAATGCCAAATGGGAAGATTCATTCTGCCTTGCATCATCCGATGGAATGAAGGAGTTGACGATTTCGCTGCCCATGCTTCAGGCAGTTGATCATCATGACCAAGGTAGCCAACATCTCTAGTGGGTCCTCTCATAGGACTGCCCGGCTTGCTGCCAACCCCGTTTCGCTTTCGGAAATTGTCCAGAAGTACGACATCATCCTCAAAGGTACTTTGATTCTCCTGAACCAGGCGCTTGAGATCTCTTACCACCTCCTTGTCAATCTCATCCTCCTGTGTCTTCTTAAGACTGGAAAACTCTGTCCAAAGGTCTCTCCAGACGGCGGGAAGTCGCAAGAACGCTTTGCCTTCTTTCGAGTTCTGCGGGAAGATGATGAAGAGAGCAAGTGATGATACATATCCCTCAGCCTGCTGTGGATTTGGTGTCGCGAGTGCATCCATGGATACAAAAGTAGCAAAGGCATTGGACTTGTGAGTGATTGATTCCACCGCCAACGAGAAAGGCACCTCTTGGGGCTTTGACCATCGCACCTCCACGGCCTTCCTATTTTGATGACTTGAGGTTGAGATATCTTGGAAGACGACTTTGCATGCAGAGTCCCTTGCCTTGCAAGTCTCCTCGAGAATACGCCGAGGGCTAAGACCGGAAAACTTTCCAAAGTCCCGAATAGTGACAGCAGCAACATTCGAGGGCGTTGGCAGACCCAGGATTGAACCGTTCTCAGGCTCATCTTGGAACATATCCCCGAGAAGTCCGTCATCCATCTCCTCTAATGAGGGGACGGTCAGATTGGGGTCCTCCTCCACAGCCGCCGCTTCTTGCTGTTTCTTGCGGTCGGATGCCTGACGCAGAAACGTAGCATCTTTTCGGAGCTCTTCCAGTTTGTCTTTCCAGATGTACTCAGCCTCTCGGCGTTCAAAGAGGACGTCTCGTTCAATTTTTGCGATCTTCCGTTGCATCTTCGCCGCCTCTGGGTCGTCTGACTGACCGGATGCAGCAATGCCACGGCTCTTCTTGCCCTTACCTGGGCGATCGAATAGGTCTGGTTGAAGTGTGTAGAGTCGTGTTTGAAGATCCAGCCACTCTGGGACCATTGAATCGGGATCAATCGAGCTATCCGAGTCGTAAGAAATGGGAGGCGCAATCTTGGCAGATTTCCAGTCATCCTTTGGTTTATCCTGTTTGTTCTGGCTCTTTGGAGTCGAAGACCGCGATGGCTCCGATTCTGAGTGATTATCAGCAACATGGTTGGCAGAAATATTTATATCGACGTTCAACCCTACCAATCATCCATGAAGTAACACTATCCGCATCCTTCTGGGGCCTTGTGCCGGCGGTTTGAGTATATGAAGGAAGCTCCTTCTTTTCACTATGCATGGCCAACCACTCTAGCGACTCGTCCAAGTTCCATACCGCCTCACGACTGGCGCTTGCCGGAGCACCAGCAAAGTATTGAAGAATATGTTTCAATGCCTCCTCTGTTCGGTTTTCGGGGAAGCCAAGCTTCAGAAGCGTTTCTTTCAAGGTCCAAAGTCTGGTGTATAGATCCTCCTCCGACCCCGCTTGCTTTGCGCTCGCGCCTCGGGCACCGGATGTAAGATATTCATGTTCCTCCCCATCGGCCAATTCCAGGATTCTATCCTGAACCTCGACCGGAAGCCATTCGAGAAGGGTCAATGTCGCCGCTTGTTGTCGAAAGACCCGCTTCTCGGTATCAAGCTTAGTGACCTGACGCGCCGCATCACTTTTGCACCTGGCAGAAAATTTATCGACTATAATTTGTAGTTCAGATTCCTCCAGATGTTTTTCTAGTTCTTCAGGGGAGAGGTTTTTTAATGAGGCATCGGCTGGTGTTGCGCCGTCGGCGGTACTAGTTGTAGGTAGACGGTCTTCGGTTGCGGGTGTGGCCTGCGATTCACTTGGCGGCGTCGGGGTTGCTACTCTGGGGGTCGAGGAAGGAGTCTCGGTAGTCTCTGGTTTGGGTTTCGAAGGTACTGAGACAGTGGCAAAGCCACGAGCTGGGTTGGAGGCGGGCTTCTTCTTCTTTTTGTTGTTCGGAGGCATTGTAGGAGGGATGAGGGGGGGTCTTTGGGACGAGCACCAACAAATATTGAATTAGCAAATATATCATAAAATGGAAGGGGTAATTGAAGAGTGATCAATCATGAGGACTCACAGGAAGAAGGTGGGAGAGGAGGAAGAGGAAGAAGAAGAAAGAGAAGAGAAGTGATGAAGATGAAGATGGAGTGGAAGAGGAAAGGGCACCTCCCCACACAAAATTCTTATGACAGCATTCCAGCGATCCCAGCCCACCTTCCACTTCCACTTCCACTTTCTCACATCTTCCTCACTCACCTCCCTCCCCCTCCAACCTCCCCTCCTCCTCCCCCCCTGTATTGACCTTCCCCATAATGGATCCAATTCCATGGGATCAGGTCAAGACTGGGGACCTGGATGTCTTGCGGGTCGCACTCTTCTCGAGTTCGACCTCGCGCAGGCTCCGGGCCCTTCAAGAACTTCGCGACAAGGGTATGTTTGACCTGGAGCTGGCCTCTTCTAGTAAAGGCAGAATACTGATCTATCTGACCTATAGGGACCGATATACCTGAGGAATTCCACCAAGATCTCCTCGCCCTACTCTTCCAAACCTATCCCCTCTACATTGATCGACCATCCCGACATGGAGTTCAACAATGCATCCGCACTCTTCTCCGAACCCCGAATGCCGCGGAATCCGTCAAATACCTCACTCAGCAATTAAAGGTGGAGGCCGTCAAGCCCGGTCTGGCCTCATCCTCCGCATTTGTTCTGCTGGAATGGTGCTCCATTCTCTTGCAGCAAGTGAGCGAGGATCAGGCCACGCCGTTATCGATTGTGCTGGATCTGATCATTGTGGATGCCAAGGCGCTGGAGAATTGCTTTGCGCACACACCCAAGCTCCCAGTGAAGCAATCGGCTCTCCGGGTCACCAGACGTGCTCTCCGGGCAGTATTCTCGTCCCCGGCCTTTGGTGAAGAGGCCATCCGCCAGTCGGTCAGCCAATTGACGACGGACTCGGTCGCCGGAAACAAGAATGCGCTCTTCTTAGGCGTCATCTCTGGGGTATGCGCACGTCTCTCCCGCCAGGAAACCTGTCTTGGAGGAGTCCAAGAAGGCCATTCTGGATTACTATGTCAAGGAGATCCTCAGCTCAAAAACTGTGGTGCCCGCCCACGTCGCCGAGGGAATGTCAGATTTCTTTACCTCGTTTGTGACATCCGAGGATGTGGTCACCGAATTGGTGCCTCCAATGGAGAAATCTATGCTGCGAGCACCAGAGGTGGTTTTGACTGGTGTCATTGCACCTTGGTGTACTGCTCTGCCGGAGGAGATTGACCTCTCCGAGGTGGTTCAGGCTCGCCTTTCAAAACACCTTCTAGCCAGTATGAAGTCGAATAACCCGGCCATCCGACAAGGGGCCGCTGACTCCTTCGCATCTTTGCTTTCACGATGCAAGAACGACGCCCTGGTCCTAAAGATCTCGAGTGAAATCGTCGGTCCTTTGAAATCGCAAAAGCTCGCCGCCCCTGAGCACCGAGTTGCGTACGCTCAAACGGTTGGCGCAATCCCATTCTCGGTTGATGTCTCGAGAGAGATTGTTCATGGCTTCGGCCCGCTCTTCAGCAGAGAGTCAAACGAAACTGCGCTTGAGGAGGAACTCAAGGCTTTCAGCAAGCACCTCGTTTTCCTGATTCAATCAACGGTCAAGGTCAGCGATGACATTATTAATGCTATGGTTAAAGGTATCTCCGACAAGCGAATCCCCTTTAGAAAGCTTTGGCAGCTTAATATCGGTGAGGTGCTCTGGAAGGCCGATGTCTCCTCCCTGAAGAGCTCCGAGGTCGAGCAGCTCGTCTTCAAATTGCTCGCAAAGATGAAGGACCTGTTCAGCGAGGTCGCCTCTAACCCCCTACCCTCGGCCCAGAGCGGTGCACTGTCATCGGCATATATCTTCTTGGCTCTCTTCCACCGAATTTCAGAAATCGAAGGATCAGAAAAGTCCACTTGGGAAGAAAAGGTTTCACAGGCCATGACCATGGGATCAAAACCTTCATTCCTTCTCAACCCGAAGGCCTATTCGAAGGTGACAACACAGGCAGAGATGCAATGGCTCGTCCGGTCTCTGGCTGCTGTTGCCTCAAGCCCCAAGTTCACTGATTCTGAAGATGCGGCCAAGACTGCCTGGGGACAGACCTTTATTTTCGCCATCACCGTCCCAACGATGCCCACAAACCTCCGTGACAATGCGGTGGAAACATTGTCCAGTGTTCATGTGAAGGATGTGGCATCCATCGGGCGCGTTGTAGTCGACGCAATCTGGGCTTGGATCCTCTCTTCGCGTCTCCAGGAGAAGGAATCCGCCGCTGTTTTTGCTGGTCCTGGCAGTGAGCGTCAGCTCCACCAAGTTTTGAAGGCCTTGTGTCCCGCGTCGGCTATCAAGGATGGCTTGGAGAATGTTTCTGATCTCGAGAACCAGCTGATCAAGATGCTGATTCTCAGTCGGCCAGAGATGGTACCAAATGCCTCCTGGATTGGTCTATGCCTCAAGACAGGTATTGATCCCGGAGACTTGGTTCGTAGCCACCAGACAGAGTGCATCGAGCAATTAGTCCATGTCAACGCCGACCCCGTTCAGTCAATCGTGCCTGATGTGAATCCTGCTGTTTGGGGTGCTGCGGCTGACCTGGCCTTTGTGGCCCCGGAGGTCATGATTCCTCGTCTCGTTGGTCAAATTCAAGAAGATCTGAACGGTGATCGCCTTTCCAAGTTCACCGCGACAGATGCCGCCATTGCTCGTACCCCCGAGGGAACTGCCTTTATCGATGTTCTGAGCAGCAAGTCCAAGCAGCCTGCCTTCGACAAAAATACCAAAGACTATGACACTCTCAAATGGGAAGAGGAGCTTCGGGCACAGCTCGCGGAGAAGAATGGTCAGAAGCAAAAGAAGCTTACCCCCGAGGAGCAATCTAAGGTCAAGGCACAGCTGGCGAAGGAAGCCGGCATCCGCAAAGAGGTGCTTGAAGAAGTCAAGCGCATTGAGCGAGGCGCTGGGCTTATCCACGGCTTGGCAACCGGTCCCGCCAACGATGCCGAGGGCTGGATCAACAGTGCTGTCGGATGCCTTCTTTCTCTTTCCCGCGCTGGAGCTGGCTTGTTCGTCGGTGATATTGTTTCTCGAACATATGTCACTTGTTCTAATGAGCTAACATCGCGCCTGGGCAACCTTCGTTCTTTTGTGGGTGTTGCGACCCTGCGAGCCATTGGGAAGACCAACCTCCCCCCGTCCATGGAATTGGAGAATTTGGGAGAGCTCGTCACTAGAATCCTTTACAAGCTGCGATTTACGTCTGAGCAGCGCCCTCTGGATATACCATCTATTGCCTACATCCTGCCTCTTCTTTCTTTGGTTTTGAGCCAAAATGGAATCGAGGAAGTCAAGGGAGAACAAGAAGGCGAGCAAGTCCTGCTTGCCCTCGACATTCTGTCCTTCCACACGAGTGCCTTCGCCGACACTCGTATGCCCCGAAATGAAGTTCTTCAGCAGCTGCTTACTGCTATGCAAAGATATACTCAGCACTATAAACTGATCAAGGATATCTTATTTAACTTCTGCCGCTGCATCTCTCCCAACATCAGCAGCGAAGAATTGCAGACTCTTCTAGAGGGCACCATTGTTACCGATTCATCAGTTAGAGGCTCCGTTCTCCAGGTTATCGAGGATGAGATCGACTTGACTGACCTTGACTTCTCGGAACACATCTGGCTTGGCTGCCACGATCATGTGGAGGAGAATGTCGAGATCGCGGAAACAATCTGGGAAGATAATGCTTTGGAAGTCGACGACTCCTCCTTTGCCAAGATTATGAAGTACTTGGATTCCAAGGATTCTCAACTCCGGGGTGCGGCTGCCCGTGCTCTGGCTCATGCCATTGAATTCGACAAGGAGAAGTTTGCCAGTATCGTTTCTGAACTCGAAGCCAAATACTCCGATGATATCAAACCTAAGGCACCCGAAAAGGATGCATATGGTATGCCAAAGAAGGTGGAAAACGCGGATAACTGGGAAAGCCGGAGCGGTATCGCACTTGCGTTCAATGCGATGACCAGCCTCTTCGACGGCGACCAGATTATCGATTTCTTGCAATTCCTGATCGAACGAGGCCCACTTATCGACAAGAACTCCTCCGTTCGTGCCCAGATGGCAGAGAGTGGTAAATCGATCATCGCCCAGCGAGGCCAGCAAAAGGTTGAGGATCTCATGAAGCTCCTCGAAACAGTGCTGGAAACTTCCGACAAGGCTACTCAAACTTCCGATCTTCTCAACGAGGCGGTTGTTGTTCTCTATGGATCATTGGCAAGACATTTGAAAGCCGATGACCCTCGCTTGCAAACAGTCCTCAAGAAGCTTCTTGCGACTCTTCCTACTCCCTCGGAATCCGTGCAGTCTGCTGTTTCTGAGTGTCTGCCTCCCCTTATCCGACTATCGGGACCTAATACATCGGAATACGTCAAGGAAATGCTTGACCAGCTGCTCAATGTCAAGAGCTATGCCACCCAACGTGGTGCCGCGTACGGCCTAGCTGGTATTGTGAGTGGCAAGGGTATCTCAACTCTGCGGGAATTCCGCATCATGAGCTTGCTCACGGATGCACTTGATGACAAGAAAGAGCCTCACCGGCGCCAGGGTGCCGTCTTGGCATATGAACTTCTCGCCACCGTTCTGGCACGTACCTTCGAGCCCTATGTCATCCAAATCGTTCCGCAATTGCTTGCTGGTTTCGGTGATATGAGCATTGACGTCCGTGACTCTTGTCTGGATGCTTCGAAGGCTTGCTTCCAAAACCTCAGTTCGTATGGTGTGAAGAAGATTCTGCCTACTCTTTTGGACGGCTTGGACGATACCCAGTGGCGCAGTCAGAAGGGAGCTTGCGAGCTCCTGGGTGCCATGGCTTATCTTGATCCGCAACAATTGGCCGCTAGTCTACCTGATATCATCCCTCCGCTTACTATTGTTCTCAATGATACCCACAAGGAGGTTCGCAATGCTGCCAACCGCAGTCTCAAGCGTTTCGGCGAGGTTATCAGCAACCCCGAGGTCAAGAGCCTGGTCAACGTCCTCCTGAAGGCTCTTAGCGACCCAACCAAGTATACTGACGAGGCTCTGGATGCCCTGATCAAGGTGTCGTTTGTTCACTACTTGGACGCGCCCTCGCTGGCTCTTGTGGTCCGCATTCTGGAGCGTGGCCTAGGCGATCGTTCCGCTACCAAGCGCAAGTCTGCCCAGATCATTGGCAGCTTGGCGCATCTTACTGAGCGTAAGGATCTCACTGCGCATTTGCCAATCATCATCGCTGGTCTCAACCTGGCCATTGTCGACCCTGTCCCTACTACCCGGGCCACCGCCTCCAAGGCTATGGGTTCGCTTATCGAGAAGCTTGGAGAGGATGCTCTGCCGGATCTCATTCCCAACCTCATGAACACTCTCAAGTCGGATACCGGCGCTGGCGACAGACTTGGATCTGCTCAAGCTCTTGCCGAGGTGCTTGCCGGTCTGGGTACCACCAGACTCGAGGAGACTCTGCCAACTATCCTGCAAAACGTTTCCAGCTCCAAGGCCGCTGTTCGCGAGGGCTTCATGACTCTCTTCATTTTCTTGCCCGCTTGCTTCGGAAACAGCTTCGCCAACTATCTCAGCAAGATCATTCCTCCTATCCTTTCTGGTTTGGCTGACGACATTGAGTCCATTCGTGAGACCTCTCTGCGTGCTGGCCGTCTGCTCGTCAAGAACTTCGCTACGAAGGCCATCGATCTTTTGCTTCCCGAGTTGGAGCGTGGTCTTGCCGACGACAGCTACCGCATTCGTCTCAGTTCCGTCGAGCTGGTTGGAGATCTTCTCTTCAGTCTTACTGGTGTTACTGGAAAGGCTGAAGCCGACGAGGAGGAAGAGGAAGCCCAGCAGGCTGGACAGTCTTTGCTCGAGGTCCTCGGAGAAGAGCGCAGAGACAAGGTTCTTTCGGCCCTGTTCATCTGCCGCTGCGATACCTCGGGCATGGTCAAGAGTGCTGCCATGGCCGTATGGAAGGCTCTGGTTGCCTCTCCGAAGACCCTCAAGGATATGCTGCCGACTCTGGCTCAGCTTATCATTCGCCGCCTTGGATCCTCCAACATGGAGCAGAAGGTCATTGCCAGCAACGCCCTTGGCGATCTTATCAAGAAGGCTGGCGAGTCTGTGCTCTCCACCTTGCTGCCCTTGCTCGAGGATGGTCTGCAAACCTCCCCCGATGTGGACGTCAAGCAGGGTATCTGTATCGCCTTGCGTGAGCTTATCACCTCTGCCACTCCAGAGGGTCTTGAGGACTACGAGAAGGTTCTTATCTCTACTGTCCGTGTCGCTCTGGTCGATCACGATGAGGATGTGCGGGAGGCTGCTGCCGAAGCCTTCGACGCCCTCCAACAGATCCTGGGCAAGAAGGCTGTCGACCAGGTTCTGCCTTACCTCCTCCACCTGCTCCGCAACGACGAAGATGCCGAGCAAGCACTGTCTGCCCTCTTGACCCTTCTGACAGAGCAGACCCGTGCCAACATCATCCTCCCCAACCTCATTCCTACTCTCCTCACGCCGCCCATCTCCGCTTTCAACGCCAGAGCCCTGGCATCCCTGGCCGAGGTTGCTGGTTCCGCCATGACGAGGAGATTGCCAAGTATCCTCAACTCTCTTATGGACGGTATCATCCAGACCACCGACGATGAGCTTCGATCGGAGCTCGAGAATGCTTTCGATACTGTGTTGGTCTCTGTGGATGAGTTCGACGGTCTTAATGTGGCCATGAACGTAATGATCACCCTCATGAAGCATGATGACCACCGCCGCCGTGCCAAGGCTGCTCTTCACCTCACCAAGTTCTTCTCGGAAGCCGATCTCGACTTCTCGCGTTACTACCAGGATCTTATCCGCATCCTGCTCATTTCTTTCGACGACCGAGACAAGGATGTTGTCAAGGCTGCGTGGACCGCTCTCAGCGGTCTCACCTCCAGCATGCGCAAGGAAGAGATGGAGGTACTGGTCATCCCCACTCGCCAGATGCTCAAGCAGGTTGGTGTCCCTGGTGCGGACTTGGCTGGCTTCAGTCTGCCAAAGGGTATTATGGCTATCTTGCCCATCTTTTTGCAAGGTCTTCTCAACGGAAGTGTCGATCAGCGTACTCAATCTGCTCTCGCCATGTCTGATATCATTGATCGCACGGGCTCGAACTCTCTCAAGCCTTTCGTCACCCAGATCACTGGTCCTCTCATTCGTGTCGTATCTGAGCGTTCGGTTGACATCAAGTGTAAGTTCCACAAGCCCCACTAGATACTAAGAACGATACTAATTACGGATATAGGTGCCATTTTCTACACTCTCAACAAGCTCCTGGAGAAGATCCCGTTGGCTGTCAAGCCCTTCTTGCCTCAGCTCCAGCGTACCTTTGCTCGTGGTCTGGCGGACACTTCTAGCGAAACTCTGCGCAACCGTGCCGCGAAGGGTCTTGGTATCCTGATCACACTGACTCCCAGGGTTGATCCGCTTATTGCCGAGCTTATTGCCGGTTCGAAGACCTCTGATCTCGGCGTGAAGAATGCTATGATGAAGGCCCTTCAAGAGGTGGTTGGCAAGGCCGGTGGTAGCATGAGCGAGGCATTCGCGGACTTCCATTCTCGGACTCATCGATGATGACTCCAGCGACCAGAATGGTGAGTCCGATATCAGTCAAGCAGTTCCATTTCGCAAATCACTAACATTTATCACCAGACTCTGTTGCCATTACCAACGCACGACTGCTCGGCCTACTCGTCAAGGTCCTTCCGGCCGCAGCTGCAGTCCCTGTCATTAAGTAAGTTCACCCCAGAACAGCTCTCCTTTGAGACCTTACTTACAATGCATAATAGGAACCGCGTTCTCAGTGGCCAATTCTCGCACGCTTCTGTTCTTGGTCTGAACGCTCTTTTGGCCGAGTCGCCCGATACCATGATTGAGCACTTCGCCGAAGAGACACCCTCGATCATCTGCCAGGGAATTGCACACAAGGATGTGAGTACCAAATCAGCCCGATCACCCACCGCGATTCTTGAGCCTTGAAACTAACTTCCTATAGCCTTTCATTTCCGACAACAGCGTTCTCGCTGCTGGTAAATTTCTTCTCACGGAAGATGGAAACCACAGCTTCGAGACACACAAGACTATCTTCGAAGCTCTGGCACCCGTTATCCCACCTGGCAGCCCATCCGATACCCGTCGTTTGACGCTGGTTGTCATCCGGACTGTGAGCCGCCTCCACCCCGAGCTGACCCGCCCTCACCTGGCCCTCCTCGCGCCCCCAATCTTCGCCAGCGTGCGCGACCTGGTCATTCCCGTGAAGCTTGCCGCGGAAGCGGCATTCCTATCTATCTTCTCCGTGGTGGAGTCCGATAGCGAGATCTTCGACAAGTACATGGCGGGTCCTGGTGCTTCGCTGCCACCTGGACCGAAGCGCAGCATGGCCGAGTACTTCAAGCGCATTGGTATGCGTCTTGCCAGTCAAGCGCGTGAGCGCCGCACCGCTGAAGGTGGAGAGGGTGGACTAGGACTGTCGAATGATGAAGTGGATGATGAGAAGGAATTGTGGAGTATTGGCAAGGTGGACCTGGGGGAGGATGGATTTGGAGATGAGTGATTGACGATCGATTGAGCACTGGCATCTCAAGGTTGCATCTACGTGTCTGTATAGATATACCCTTGGGCCTACATATTTTTCTTCTTTTATCGTACAAAAGTTTCAAGAGTTTATGACATGTTGATGAATTGATTGTTCGTGAGTACTTGTACTAGTAGTAGACGGGATGAAAAAGGGTGGTAAGTTGAAGCGAGAGAACATGGCATATTAAGTTGTGCATGAAGTATGTATTCATCGGCCAGACTTCACACTTCAGTTATCCTGGCATTATACTAAAGTCAGGTATACTACTCGGCGTGGAGTACTAGTTTACTTCGCCTTCCCAAAAAGGTTACATTTTATATCATGTGATCTTGGCAGACTTCTCCAGTCACGTGCTTCGTAGATCTTTAGACACCAGCATCATGAATGGTACTTGCACGATTTCACCAGGAGGAAGCCAGAAGAAAAAGAAACTTTGCAGTCTACCTTAGACTTAATCTATTCATTTTATCGTTCCCAACCTATTTATCCCCAAGCAAATCACCAAAGCACAGCCATCTTGAAATGGATTACCCGATCGGGCCCTAGGGCTAGGGGTGCAGCCCTAATGTGGATTTCGCTTACGGCAGATTAGCTAATCCGATTGTGCCCCAAACTCCTCACCGTCTGGAATTCCACGTTTGAGCGCTACGAACATCATCCGCCAAAGACCGTCGATACGCCGACATCAAGATGTGAGTGCCACCTCCTACGGTCGTTTCCTGAGAATACCCGACATTCGATTTCATCACCCCCCTCGTCCCTCGTCGAAATCAACCCCCCGCGGTGGAAGAATGGAAACGATCCCATGATATTGTGTGTGTGCAAAGGCTGACCTCGACTTTTTCCTTCTCTCCAGGGTCAACCTTCGCACCCAGAAGCGCCTCGCCGCCTCCGTGGTCGGCTGCGGCAAGCGCAAGATTTGGCTCGACCCCAATGAGATGACCGAGATCTCCAACGCCAACTCCCGCCAGACCGTCCGCAAGCTCGTCAGCGATGGCCTTATCATCCGCAAGCCCGTCACCATGCACTCCCGCTCCCGCGCCCGTGAGCTGAACGAGGCCCGCCGTATCGGTCGTCACCGCGGTCTGGGTAAGCGTAAGGGTACCAAGGACGCCCGTATGCCCAGGTATGCAACAATTTCTCGAATCACCCGTTGCTCCCCGGGTACCACTACCCCTCCCATCCATGGAAGGGAGAGGGGAAGACAAACCCGGTGGACAATACAAGTTGGAGGAATCACTGGTTGCTAACAGATTTCGCCCCTCTACAGCCAAGTCCTCTGGATGCGCCGCATGCGTGTTCTCCGTCGTCTCCTCGTCCGTTACCGTGCCGCTGGCAAGATCGACAAGCACCTGTACCACGAGCTCTACCACCTGAGCAAGGGTAACACCTTCAAGCACAAGCGTGCCCTTGTCGAGCACGTAAGTCATTCCGCATGAATACCGTTCCCCGCCAACACACCCACGCCAACACACATTTCCCCTCTCCCACTGGGAATCCGATCCATCGTACCCCACGATACACTAGAAAGAAACAAGACTGACTCGCTCTCTTTCTACACTACAGATCCAGAAGGCTAAGGCTGAGCGCGCCCGTGAGCGTGTCCTCAAGGAGGAGATGGACGCCAAGCGTGCCAAGAACAAGGCTCTCCGTGAGCGCCGTGCCGAGCGCGTTGAGGCTAAGCGCAACGCCCTGGCCGCTGAGGAGTAAATTTTTTTCTCACAATAACCAAAATATCTTTTTGCGAATTGTTTGAAAAAAGGCAAGGCTCTTGTTCGGCGAAGCGGAAATCTAAAGGGGGAAAATGAAGGGTTGTTGTGCTTAAAAAAAGCGGTTATTCGAATCTTCTGGGGGTTTTCTTCATTATTTTCCGGGATTTTCCAAAAGGCAAACGGCCAGCTATGGCTTGGAGCGTGCTCTACTAGCTGGCTGTTTTCTTTTCTCTCTTACCCCCCAAATCATTCACCCACACTACCCAAATCGAAATGAATCCATGGAAATTCCTACTAAGGTCGGGCCAAGCTGCTTTTTTTAATTCCTTCAACAAACTTCTTCCTCTCGTCGAGGTCGACGGGGGGGATGTGATGATGACGTGATACTCAAACCATAGGACCCTTTTTTTATCTTGTTGATAACGAGAACTTGAAGGCGAAAGGAAATTCTTTTTTTCAAAAAACAAAAAAACACTAAAAAAACCCTTTCCTTTCTTTGGCGTATCGTTAACCTTTCGTCGACTGGTCTACCCCGGACCTTGCGGTCATGCCCAGCTCTCGATATCGTAGAAGAGATCGTAGATTCCGCCTGCAGTGGATGAAGTATGTTTAAGGTCTGGGGTAATCTGATCTCGCATAAAATTATGCCAAGGCTGATCTACATGGTATCTACATTGTCAAGAATTTGGATTGGCAACTATATATTGAGGCTCTTCACATACTACAGTGCCAGTACCAGTAGTACATAGTAGTAGTATCACCTGCCCAGGTGGGCATCCATCTCATGCAAGATCTCATACTAGGGACTTATGCATTCCCACGGGTATCATTGGTATCATTTTCTACGTTGAACTCACGTGAAGCCCCGGGGTAGATTCTCTGCCATATGTGGCAGTGTATACTTGGGTACTAATATTTTCTCTCGAGTTATCATTTAATGAGTATTCATGGATTAACTGGCAGTGGTACTAGTATTTAGTACTCTAAATCCATAGGAAAGTCATGTCATGTAGGAGGTAGGACCACTTAGGTAGTATGAAGTGCCCCGATATATATGTCCACAAATCCGACTTATGACCCGAGTCGTACTTAGACTCACTCAACACGCCCACCATCAGCGACCAGTAACCTTTGAAACACCTGTGAACTACTACTAGTCAAAGATACGATATATCCTTCAAGTTGAACACCTTGGCCGAGTGATAGCAAGATTCAAGTTCATAGATAACCAAGCCAGTGATGTCAGATCCACAACCTAAAATCGAGAGAAAGCACGGACCATTCCAAGATTTTTCATATAGCCATTGACAACACCACCCTTAATATGCACCTGAACATGTCTACTAATTGAGGTAAAGGGAAAAAAAAGTCCGAGTATAAAGCTGAAACACTTTGGATGCGCTTTAAGGTTCCACGGTTTACAGGGGATGAGAGCCCTGCGGTTGGGTAAGTTTCGGCCCGCGCATAACCCGTACACTCAGGAATGCAGGCAAGTGCGCCATGGCGTTGGATAGTACATAATACCACTAGTAATTGGAATAATTAAAAGATCAAAATCAGAATTAAATTGTGCAATCCTATTACACAAAATTGAATCCTCTCCGACTCCGACTAAAATGCGTAGACATCAAATGCGGACCCACCGTGATGCAACGCGCAAAGTATTTCAGAAAAAATCAAATGTTGACAATGGTAAAACGTAGAGAGTACGGAAGGGGGTATTTGGAAAAAATCGCTTGAGACCGCCGCCGCCGAGTGGAACAAGAAAAGGAAAGAGATTGGAAGTAAGTGTAAGAGGGAGTCAACTTCGCGACCAGACACGCCATGCGACCATCAAAGAAGGCGCGGACGCAGTGAATGGAACGGCGAATAGAGAGGCTGTCCATCATCACCCTCCAGAAATCGTCACGGTGCCCCTTGTCACGGTGCCATCCACTAGTATCGTCCGCCCCATGGAGAATTCGGGAATTCAGTTGGTGGGTGCGGGTGCTGAAGCCCCGGCTCTGGATATTCCCAGGATGCCGCGCTTGCTGGGGGTGGGAGTTGAGTATCAAATTCGGGTCCCTTCGAGGCTGCGCTTGGTGGGAATTCCAGATCGAACGGGTTGCTGCGGATACTGGCGCGCCTCTTAGGTGTAGCGAGGTGCTTGGTGCCAGGAGTCTTATATCTGACTTCAGGAAGTGTGGTCGTACTTTCACCACTGGGATAGTACGTATCTGTGGCACCCATTCCATCTCGGCACCCATGGGCGAGATTCCTGACATTAGAAATTTCAGCCGCTCGATCACGATTAGCTTCCACACTTCCACCGTGATGATAGGTGGCATTTGTATCGGGGAGGGTAAATTCGCCATTGTGATAGAACTCGAGAGACTCCAGTCTATCCTCCCACGACTGGCGTGAATAGATCGACGCACTGCGTGATGGAGGTGAAACCTCAATTGTGGGCCTTCTGCTCGACGAAGCCCAGGGTGCCCCGATCGAGTGTTCATTCTGGGTGTAGCTGTCCAGCGCGAGCTTTTTGTTCGCAGCGGATAACCCATAGTTGGGCCCAGTTCCCGTGCCTGAAAGCTTTCGTGCCGGAGCAGAGAAAGACTCCGAAGTTGTGGTCGCACCTGCGTATTGGATTGGCCACGAAGGCTGCGGGTTGTGGCCATCAAGGAAGGCGCGGCCAGAGTTATCGGAGTCACTTCGCAGCAGCGTCTGTCGACTGTGTAGACGTCGATGCAGGCTGTTCCGTCGTCTACGACGCACGAACAGGATGCATGCCAATATGGCAAGGAGTGAAACAGCCATTCCGCCCACAACACAGCCGACGATCGTGCCCACCGTGTGAGACGCCTTTCTGTAGTTGTCATCTGAAGATCCGCCGGAATGACCACCCACTGGAGAGGAAGAAGTTGCCGTTGTGACAAATGTTGGAGTCGAGAGTGTAGAGGAAGATTGGGTGCTGGTGCCTTCTAGGCCACTCGTGACCATTTGAAGTCCCGGGTCACTGCGAGACACCGGGCTTTGCGACAGCGAATGAGTGGTCATTGCTGCGCCGGCACTTGCTGAGCTTGGCCGAATTGAGGTTGGTGTGATGGGGACCAGTGGCATCGGATGTGCTTCGCTGGTGTGAGGATTGGGATCTGTCAATCCCACCAGTGATGGTCCGGCCTGCGACTCTGAACTGGGGGAGATACTAGTATCAGTGGTCCATGATGGGACTGAGGAGGTGAGAGAAATCGGAGAAAATGTTTGTTGTGTGGTACCCAGTTGGGTTTCGGACTGGGTGTTCTCTGCCCAGGGTGTCTCTGGGAGATGAGTTTGCGAAAGAGTGCTGAACGTAACCGAGACCGATTGAACCGTATCCAAGTTTGTGGTTGTGACCAACTGGGAGGTCACGAATTGTGTAACAGGGTCATTAGAGATGGTGGTTTGTTCGGTGTAGGTCAAGACTGGGTGGATCGTCTCGGTCAGAAAAGAGGTAAAGGCGACCAGGCTCGCTGCAGTCGAGGTGCCCAGCTGGGCGACAGTGAATTCCGCGATGGAAGTAGTTGACGGAAGTGAATAGTCATTCAACATGTCGAGATAGCCCGTAGGCCAAGGATGAGAGAAGAGATCAATGGAAATCGAAATCGACTTTGGGATAGAAGTAGTCAAAGAGTCGAAAGGTGGTCGAGATGGAAGCAAGTGAGGCTAAGCAAGCGTTTGTTGTTTGTATGGGGAACAACGGAAGGAGCTACCCAGGTAGTCAACAAAGTGCAAACCCCCACACTTGCCACACTTTCACTTTGTTTCTACAACAAAGACGTTGATCTACCACGAGAATCACCATAATCACGACCAGGAGCAGGATTTGAAGAGGTTTACTTGGAGATGCAGAAGGGGCCGAAAAAGAATTCCGTAAAGTTTTCTAGAGATGGGGATACTTTATACGGAGCAGGGGTCATGGCAACTCAGGGTATCATCTAGTATCAATTAGTATCATCTATTGTTTCAAGTCGGACCGTTGGCGCTTCCCCGTGTGTGAGGGTAGGCAGCGCTTAATAGAGTGTTGAGGGCCTGGACCAATGAGAGGGCGGGATGCCAGGCACCATGGACGATCCAGACCCATGCTCGTGTGAAAATGTGATAGTCTGCAGAACGTAGCCGTTTCTGCTTGTTTCTGTGTCGATCGAATAATTGGGCGAAACGGAGCAGGTGATTTGGAGGCACTGTGTGTGAATGGACTGGTCCAACCAGGGCGTTTCAGCTGGGGACACTCAGCTTGGGGGGGGGGGGTTAGTCAGGATGGTGGTCCGAGGTGGATGAATGTGAGGAGTCCAAGGGAAAGAGAGAGAGGGAACGAGTGTGGTTGATGAGTGATGATAATGTTGATGATGATCGCAGGTGCTCGTGTTGGCAGGTGCTCTTCCGGGGAAGGTGCAGTGCAGAGTTGAGAGTTGACAGTCGCACTTGCCAAAAGTACCCAGAGCCAGTTGACCTCCCCTCCAAACAACATTCCACTTCCACTTCCACTTTGACTGCCACTCCCACTCCCACTCCCACTTCCACTCCACTCCAACTACCTCCATCCGCCACCTCCCGCCTCCATTCTCCCCCCCGACCTCTTCTCCCAGAGCATGTGAGTGCGTTTGCATGCCCTCTTTGCAGACTATCTAACCATGTTCGGCTGGGGCCCTGGCTTGGGTAAGTGGCGGTCCCTGTTCCTGTCCCCGTTCCCGTACCGGTACCGGTACCGGTGAATGTACCTGCTGCTTGCTGAAGCAATGCAGGTGCTCGTCCCAATCGGGTGCATTTGCAGAGTTATCACGGTCTACTATGATCATTCGACTCCTCTTGCTAACTTCTCTCCCCCCTGAACAGCCTTACCTTCAACCTCCTCGGAGCCCGAGAAAGAACGCAAGCCTCCCGCCGCCGCAACCCCGCTTGACTTCCCCGTATACAACCTCCCCGATCCGGTGTCCGAAGAACAATGCTCTCTCCAAGAACTCTTCGACCGGCTGGCCTCCATCAAGCGCCCCCAGGATATCTCCCTCGACAGATTTAAACCCTTGAATCTGCAACTCGAGACCGATGTCGATGTCAAACAAATGTTCCCCGCGGACCAGGCTCGGTCTCTCGCTCCGCTGCCCTGGGATAAAGATCCGGAGATCCTGCCCGGTGGTGAGGCACCCCCACGGCCACTCATGAGCAATGGTCTCCCTTATCCGCCCAAAGAACGCTTCGAGACCCTCCAAAGTGAATTGATGCTGGACAATGACGATACCTTCCGCGAGATGGCCCGGCTACCCGCACGTGAGGGGCGGCCACGGGTTCGCATCACCCAGACTAGGAAATTTTGGACGGGATTGGAGCGAATGGCTCAGTACTGGGACACCAGTCTTGACCAATACTTCGATCGCCCTGCGAGTCCGACACCGCCGCCATCGGATACCGAGTCCAAGGAGGACAAGATGCAGACGGACAATGTCGCCGACTCAACGGATTCTGCGATGGACGTGGATAACTCAGAGGCCCCCGCGGGTACCAATGGAGTGTCTCATCCCACTGTGACGAGGTATACTGGCCGCCGTATCGGATCCGGCACGGAGATGCCCGACGACGTGCGGGAAGAGGCCATTCGGGCCTTTGTGGAGATGGCGGCTTGGCCATTCGGATGCCAGGTTTGTGTACCTACACTGCCGCCACGATTGACGGTCAAGAGCTTGCTCTTCCCGGTGCGGCAGTCCTTCCAGGCAGCTCGATCTCCGCGAGACCGCCAAATCGCCCGCAGCGGCGTTCTGGAGGGTCCCCTCCTCATCGCCCAGTGTCGCCCAGAGACGACTTTCCGGGCCATGGACGATGAGCCGGGCTCCGGGATCGGCGAGGTCTGTGATTTGTTCCGTGAAGTCGGTGGGATGCTATTGGCGGCCCAGGAACGGGCTCGCCAAGGTGAGGTTGAGATGCGCTCCGGAGAAGGGAAGTGGTGGACAACCACCCCCCGTTTTGGCGGCTCATCCAATGACGATATCCTGGAAGACCTCGTCAAAGGACAGGGATTGGGAATGCACGGGATGCCCTTGCCGGAAGAGATGCTCGAGGACAGCAGGCCTCCGCCCCCAGTACCTGTCGCCGATGTCGAGAGTGCTCGCAAACGCCACAAATTCGAGCACCCATTCGTGACATCGTTGTCACGCCGCCCGAGTGCAATGCGAAAGCTCTCTAGTGGTGAAAAGTGGCAGATTCTGCAGCCCGGAGCCAGTCTGTGGGATAAGCGCATGCGATACCAACAGATTGGAAAGTCTTCGGACAGCGTTTATGACGATGTATGTTCTGGCAGCCCTCGAAATTTTCCATCAATTAACTAACGTTTTTCTCGCACTAGATCTACATGGTTTCGTCAATCAACCACCACATCTCCATCCTGCACCTCCGAGTCCACAAACGGTACTTGGAGATTCTCACCTTCGGCAAGAGTGATATCCCTGCCGACTCCGCCGACGCAGAGCACCCCTGGCACGTTCTGAAGCTCCAACGTAGCAGATGGTACGACCTCTTCGATACCACTGAGCGTGTGGAGGGATTGAAGTGTGTCTGGGCTCTATTCCACTACCAGCTAAGAAAGATTTAGCGGATCATGTGTTGAAGTTTTTCAGGGTTTCATTTTCTTTTCATGTTCAATTTTTTTATTATCAAGCGGCACTGCGCGGCTTATTTCATACACATATTTCCCCTCCCAGTTGCGGTGCATCATGTACATAGAGAAGAGAAAGACTCGGGACGGCTCGGCTTCGATTTTAAATAGCACCCCCTTTCCCCAGTTAATGCGAGCTGGGGACTGTCGTCGGCGTTTATCTCGAGTATGTCGCTTCGAGGTCCCGATGATGCCGTGGTACATAGATCAAATTTCTAACTTCAATTTCAATTTCCTCCGCACTACCATTGACTTTCAGTTTTGTATGATCAGACCGTCGCAATTCAAGTTGGCCTTCCACTTACTCCAGGTACACTAGCATCATTGAAAGATGCCCGGTAGGCTTCAAGTTATTTGATCTATGCCAAATGTATGGCCTTGGAATCGATGAATGTGTTGAGGCCTGTGTATCGGAGGGCAATACTATCTAGGGCAAAAGGGTGGGATTCTCTTTCTCTCTCCCTAAACTACTAGTATAACTTGCTAGCGGCAGTGCCGCTCTTGATTCACTACCTAGGTATTCAAAAAGAAAGAGAAAGAAAAGGAAAAGGAAAAGCAAAAATGCAGGGGCACCCAGGTCCTACTACACCAGAGTCGGGGGTTGAACTGAACCCCGAAAATCAGTGAAAGTGTCACGCAGGATCGGCTAGAGAAAATATTTTCTCACGAGTAAGGGAGGATTGAATTTTGCGGAAAGGATATGGCTATGGATGGCCTTGGCTATCGGGAATCCCCGTTCCTGAAGTGCACGTATAGTATTCTTGATGCTAGGTCTGCACTGCTACTACTAGTAGCAGTAGTAGAAAATACTAGGCGAGGGTTCCGATTGGTGACAGTGAATACTACTGGTACCTCGTGGTAAGGCGGTTGAGCATTATCTATTAGTTATAGAAAGCAGTCATCGGCGAGGAAAATAATTGCGTCTGCTCGACGCTATCCCAAGATTGTAAATTAAATCCAGTCCGGATGTCGGAATAAACCGTCAAGACTCCATCCTGATCAATGTACTAGTAGGCATGACTATAGCATCTCGGACTAATTCAAGTTAATATCCCTGTGATAATTAGTAGATACCCAAATCCATCATCAAACCGTGATAGATAAACCCCCGGTGGAGCCTACATGTTGATTCCGGGGCTATATTTTTGCAGAAGCCATTACTAGCCCGTGAAAAAGTTAAACACGCCGCGGCTATTTGAAAATCCATGGCGGTGTCTTAAGCTTGAATAATTTATCTGATTTGACCAATTATTCAATAAAATGCACTGCGCCCTATCGCGCCCTATGGCACTATACAGCGCCCTATGCTCCACGCCCGTTCGGGTTGTGCATCCGGTATGGCATGTTTCAGTACTTTGAATAACACCCCGCATCATTTTTCTTTCCAAAAAGGTAAGTGCATATCGATGCTCATTACAGTGGCATCTTTTAGGAGTCATAACTTTGAAATGAAAGTGCAAATTCTGTTCTCGCTGTATCATCCAAGGGCCTCGGATCAAGTTTGGAAGTGTCCAGATCGTTCCAAAATGTTGATGAATTTCGTAGTCCCTATTACCAATATTTGTTCTTTGATTTCAATATTCCATGCATTTAGCTAGAGAGCATGGTAATAATGTGTTTCTAGCCCAAGACTTGATACGCCGGGTAGCAATGCCAAATTGAGGAGGATGTCGGAAGTGCATATAGCCCCAAGATTATGATGCCGCGTCCAAGGCGTTTTCAGTCACAAAAGAAGTAATATTTACCACCAATGTCTTGGTATAGTGTGCACTTCTTGCCCAGAGATGAATAGCAATCAGTCTAGAGAATCAATTACCCATCCAGGTATGTTTTCCGTAGAGATGCCTTCACGGTCAACCTCCGAGACGGTGTCATAATTGAAAGACGATTTCTCAGCGGGAGGCTTGACGCCACTTTAAAGCCAATCAAGCCCTGGAGCTGAACAGAACGAAAATTACAAGTCTTCCCTAAAGTGGTGATACAGTGGTGTTGCAAAAGTTTGAAACCCCCTGCTGACCGTCCTGGTCTCCGCCTACTTGAGGGGGACTAGTAGCTACCTAAGATGGGAGGGATAGGCCATGCTATCCCATCTCAGGTAGCTACTAGTCTGCCATTAGAAGGCGGGCGATAATGGCGGGCAATAGGGGGTTTCAAACTTTTGCAACACCACTGTAGACCCACACGGAAAATGTAACGTTGACCACTGAAATTGGGCTTAAAGAGGTTTAAGCTAAAACCACATGTTCAGAGCCAAGACTTATAAGATAATCTGATCATCTGATAAGGGTCCACGGCCCGAGATGTTGTGGAGCAAAGCGTGCGTTCAGTGACACTAAGGGGGCTATGCTGTAAATTTGGTCATGTAATACGTTGACTGCAGTATTCGATTAGTCTGGTCCATCTAGTAAGTGCTAGTGCGTACCTAATAGCTGAATGGCGACAACGATGCAAGGGTAAATTCCATGCAGTGGGAAAAAAGAAAATGCCCATTTGTTGTTTCTTATCTGGAAGGCTTTTTTTTCTCACTCAAGTCCAAGCCCATGCATTGACCTCTGCGATATCTGAGTCCAGAATAATTTGCAACCATCGGAGACTCTTCAGTCTCTACCGTATAGGAAGATGGGGATCGGAGGACGAGTGAAAGCAGAGGTACTGATTCACTCTATTTACTGGATGTCCTAGAAACTAGCTGATACCACAATAGCGTGAGCGAGTGGTGAATTTCTTTCCTAAAAGGAAGGACTTGAAAACTGCATTCAAATTCGTCCGCCTGCTTTTCTCGCTGAATTACACCCGCATCGACGTCCTTCTCACCACAGTCGGAACCTTCTTCGCCATCGCTGCAGGTGTCCCGGAACCACTCCTCGGCGTGGTTTTAGGCCAACTTATCAACGAGCTCAACGAGGTCGCATGCTCGACAACGGTCTACGATCCATCCTCTGTTCGAAAAAAGGTCCTCTACCTGATCTACATCACCATTTTCAATTTCGCCGCCATCTACATTTACACATCATGTTGGGGCCCTAGTGAGCGAACGACTAGCCCGTCGTTACCGCAAGTCATACTTCCGCAGTTTGATTCGCCAGGAAGCAGCCTTTCACGACAATCTACCCTCCGGCCAAGTCATCTCGCGACTTGTCAGTGACATCGAGACATTGCAATCCGGTACCTCTGAAAAAGTTGGCATTTACATTGCTACGATCTCATACTTTGTCACCGCGTACGTTGTGGCTTTTATCAAGGTGCCCGTCATTGCGGGTATTTTGATCGCGGCGATTCCGTGCTTTTTCGCAATGGCGATGATCGGAGGGAGTCTTGCCTCACAGTATGGGACGCGCGTGGGTAAGAATGTTGATATGGCAACTTCGATCGCGTCGTCTAGTTTGTCACATATGAAGATCGTGCATGCGTTTAACGCTCAGAGACGATTGGAAGACCTCTTTTCTTCGCATCTGTCGAAGTCAAGGAAGGATGCCTTGAAGAAAGCGGCTGTGCATGCGGCGCAGATGGGTACGCTGTTCTTTATAGTCTACTCGTCGAATGCATTGGCATATTGGAAGGGTGCGCATTTGATTGCGGACTCGATTGATGGTCTGAATGATGGTGTCTCGGTCGGTGCTGTGTATACTGTCATATTCATCTTGATCGATGGTGAGTCTTTTCCTCCGCTGGAATATCCCCCACCTAGGCCAGAGCCCATTAACTAATTTCACGCATAGCAACCTTTATCTTCAGCCAGGTATCTCCTTATATGCATGTCTTCAGTGCGGCCACGGCTGCATCCGGTCGTCTGTTAGATGTGATCAACCGGGATTCGAATATCGACGGGACATCAACTGCCGGCGAGCGCAGTGCAAAACTAGAAGACCACGATATCATTTTCAAAGATGTTCATTTTACCTACCCTGCCCGACCGGAAATACCAATCTTACAAGGGTTGAGCCTCTCAATTCCTGCAAAACAGCACACGGCTATCGTCGGGCCCTCCGGTGGTGGAAAGTCTACAATTGTCGCTCTTCTAGAACGGTTCTACGACCCACTCGAAGGCAGTGTGTGTATCGGCGAGCAAAACATTCGACAAGTCAACGTGGCGAATCTGAGAGGCCAGATGGGATTCGTGCAACAGGAGTCACAACTTTTGGATCGCTCGATTTTGGAGAATATTGCATATGGTCTAGTTGGATCTGTTGGACATGAACACCTCGCTGAAGTCATTTTAGACATGAGCCTGACTGATTTCGTCGGCAAAGTTCAATCCGGATGTTCTGAAGAGCAGGCCCTTATTGAATGTGAGCCTAGAGTTACCGAAGTCGTTCGTTTGGCGAAAGGTGCAGCGGAAAGAGCCAATGCACTCGATTTCATCCAGGCCTTGGAATTTGGAATCTCGAGTCAGGTTGGTACATCGGGTGATAAACTCAGCGGTGGCCAGAGACAGCGTGTTGCTCTGGCAGGTGCTCTTGTTCGCGAGCCTAAAGTGTTGATTTTGGACGAGGCAACTGCTGCATTGGATTCAATGAGTGAGAAGTTAATCCAAGCTGCCTTGGCAAAACTATCTGGAGCTGTTACAATCGTGTCTATTGCGCACCGCCTCGCTACTGTCAAGGATGCAGATCAAATTGTTGTTATACAGCAAGGCCGCTTGGTGGAAATTGGTCCTCCTCGGGTGCTGTTGGAGAGTGATAGCGCTTACGCAGCCATGGTCAGTCAGCAAAGGGTGGATAATGAGGATATCGGTGTTTCAAGGTCTACCTCTGTTAGCAGGGATTATGATCCAACTTCCGAAGACCCAATACGGATGTTATCGAAAGAGACGACACTGGAAAAGAATCAGCCAGCTTTCCTGGAAGACGAGAAGGAACCAGCCGCGGTTGAATCGGAGAAAAACATCACCGGCTCAAAGATAGCAAAATTCCCTCGCATTTCAAAACGTTTGTCTGCAAAGACCTGCTTCGCATTCGTTCGACCCAACCTGCTTTTGATCGTGCTTGGCCTATTCATGTCGGTGATAATCGGGGCTAGTTATAGCTCAAACGCGATTTTGTTCGGAAATACCGTTGGAGGACTTAGTCCATGCAAGGGTACAGCAAACATTCGACACAGTGGAAATCTTTTCGGCCTTATGTTCTTTATTGTCGGAATCGTTGAACTCTTTGCAAATGTCATCGGCGGTTGTGCATACGGCTGGGCTGCAGACCAAATACTATATCGAACTCGAGTAGCTTCACTCCGATCACTCCTCAGTCAAACGATAACATGGCATACTTCAGAGGGAAGAAGCCCTGGAGCTTTGGTTGCGTTTATTACTGGCGATGCATCGGCATTGAGTGGAATCACCGGGACCACAATCGGCCTTCTCCTTGCAACTGCCGTTAATCTTTTTGCCGGCATCATCATCTCGTTCGTGGTCGCATGGAAAATATCAATTGTCCTTGTACCGACTATACCTATTCTCCTCGTGGCGGGAGTGATGAAACTGCGAACACAAAGTCAATTTGCGGAACGACACAAGAAAGCCTTCTCCAAGGCCACTGAGATCACCGTGGAAGCACTGGGGAATTTACGCTTCGTTGCAGGATTTTCGCTAGAACAACAACTTTACAAAGAATTCCTCTTATCAATGCAGAAGCCACACCAGGACACAAACAAAGCAATTGTTTGGGGTAATTTCTGGCTCGCGTCCGCTTTCAGTGTGAGCAACCTCATCAGTGCGCTTGCATACTGGTGGGGCTCCAAGCAAATTGCCTCGGGATTATACTCTCAAACTCAATTCTTTATCGTTTTGCCAGCTCTGTTGTTCAGCACGCAGTCTTGCGGGCAGATGCTTGCTCTTGCGCCAGACCTTTCAAAGGCTGGCAAGGCTACATCCCGGATCGTTGAACTTGTCAATACAAATTCTGCTGAAGAAAGCCTTGGTGACAGCCATGCTCTCACATCATCAAAGACAGGGATGGCATTGATTTCAGACATCGAAGCAAACAAATTTCCCGAAACATCATCAACTGGGATCAAGAATGATTATACAGCAGTTAGCGCCGCGCTGTTACAGGTAGACTTTTCCTACCCCAGCTCACCAAATATCCCAGCCCTCAAGAAGATGAGCATCACCTTCAAACCAGGTGGATTTTATGCCCTAGTAGGCCCAAGTGGATCTGGAAAGTCAACCATCTTCAGCATGATCGAAAGATTCTATTACCCCTCTTCTGGATCTATCTTCATCAACGACCAAGATATAACACAAATCGCATCGTCCGATTTCAGAGACGACATTGCCATAGTTCCACAGGAGAACGTTCTGTTCGAAGGAACTGTAGCTTTCAACATCGGTCTAGGTGCAAGACCAGGCTACACACTGACGCAAACCGAGATTGAAGACGCCTGCAAACTCGCCCAGATCCACGATGTGATAACAGCATTACCTGAACAATACCAAACCCTTTGCACACACGACGGGAAGCAATTTTCCGGAGGCCAACGTCAGCGTCTATCAATTGCCAGGGCGCTTGTCCGACGACCGGGACTTTTGCTACTTGATGAGTCGACGAGTGCTCTTGATGGCGAATCCGAGCAGAAAATTCAAGACGCGTTGGCTGGGCTTGCTGGGAAAACTACCGTTATTGCTATTGCGCATCGGCTGAGGACTATTTATCGGGCGAATCAGATTTTTCTCATTCAGGATGGTTCCTGCGTTGATAAGGGGAGTCATGCCCAGCTTGTTGAGCGGAGCGAGATGTATCGCGAGGCTGTGGTTCATCAGTCGCTTGACAGCTAGGCGAAGCTGAAAGGTATTGTTTGCAGCTTGGTGGTTTTAAAAGACTTTTCTATATTTTCCGTCTATTTTTTGTATTCCTTTTCGTCTTTCTCTTCAAGTAAAAACGTCTTGATTGAAATTATTTACTTGTATATCACTTGCTTCTTTCCACCACTAGAGATAAAATCGATGTCTAGATTCCTGAATGTTACTGAACACTTCAGTGATAGTAATCGATTATATAGACCTACTATATCTGAGGATCAGTTGACTTTTTCACGGCATGAGTTTACTCTTTCATTCCACGTGGATGATGCGATGCGGTGCTCCTATTTGAACCATTTCGTTAATTCCAGCCCACTCAGTGCGGCGCTCCATAAGCGCAGGGTGGCCGGCAGTTGTATACAGGGGTATTTTACAGTGGTGTTGCAAGAGGTTGAAACCTCCTATTTGCCACCATTTTTGACCACTTCTAATGGCAGACTAGTAGCTACCTGAGAGAGAAATACTGGAAAACCTTGCTGATGGCGTAAAGGCTTGAGCAAAGCACTTCTATTAAAGCATCTATAATTATATAACATTCACACAGAAACCGGTATGTGGTATAGTATGAATAATAGAGTCATCCGAGTCCTCATCGCATCGTCCACATGGAGTGAAAAGTAAACACATTTAGAGCACCGTTCCGGGAACCTGCTTTTTATCCACATTCACATTCTTCCAAATGGCGATGAATGGAAAGCCCAGTGCAACGACTGCCGTGGTTGCAATGCAGCTATACTTTTGACTATCACCCCAGGCCTTGTTAATGGCATTGCGGATTTCCGATCCAATCGGGTAAACCATTTGAGCGGGATAGCCACCAATATAGATGTCCGCCCAGTCTGCTTTAGCACTCTCCGGTAGATTGGCAACAAGCGTTTTAGGGAAAACATTTGTATATACAGCAGATGCTAGTGTGGCACCTGCCGCTCCACCGAGGCTAGCAAAAAGACCGAGAATCGAGAGCATCATGGGCACACCGTCATGATCTGCCGCACTCATGACTGCCATATCCTGTCCAATGACTAGAGTGCCACCCGCAAAGGCAATGAAAATCTGGCACATGACAACGTATCCGATGCCATCGTCTTGACCACGGAAGTGGATCATGAGACCAGAGCCGAGGAGCATCAATGGCAGGCCGAAGAAAAGACATGCTTTCTTGAAATGCTTTGTCTGTCTGATGTACAGTCCAAACAGTGGCGCCCAGAAACATGATCCGATGTTATAGATCTGGTTCATATAACCCGAATTGGAGACGCTAAGGTCATACACAACCATGGCAAAGTTGACGAAGTAGCTATCCCAGGCCATATACCCGAAGTTCAAGAGAGTTGACAGGACGCAGGCACCAAGAACGGTTCGTTGCTTAAGAAGGTCATACCGAATAAACTGCTTGCGTGCGAAGAACTTTTCCCATGCCACGAAGACGAAAAAAAGACAGAAACCGACGACTAGCATGGCGATGAAAGATGCAGAGCTGTATTCGGCTCGACCATAAGCTGAAAGGCTAAAGGGGAGAAGAAGTAGAATGAAAGCTGCCATCAAAAGGACTGCTCCGACAACTGAAAAATAAAGGTTAGCATTGTGAATATACAACTGTTGTGATACAGGAAGACTTACCATCGAATTCGTGGATATAATGCAAAAGCGACTGAGCCCTGGTTCGGTCGCTTTTGACCTTTTTTATAAAGCCCCATATTCTCGGCTTTGCGCTCGTAAAATTTGAAAACAACGGCGAGCGGTAAAAGAACGAATGGGAAGACGATCGCAAATATACCATATGCCCAACGCCATGAAGTCATTTTCAACAAGGCCTGCGCCGCCAATGGGCCCGTAAAGGCCGTGCATATGAAGGGTGTACTCGAGAATGCAAATGCAAATGCTCGATTGCGGAGACCCGAAGTATCAGCAATAAACACATCAAGAATGAGGTATATTGCATTATATCCAACATAGTAGAGAACGTATCCCGCGGCGTATCCACTGGGCCCAGTGCAAGATGCCAGCACAATAATTCCTAATAGAAACAGACAAGTGAAAACCACAAGACCTTCGGCTCGTCCCCAGATATTCACGATTTTGGCGACTGGAAGTTTGACCACTCCGCCCACAACACTTCCCAGGATTGCCGAAGTCGGAACCTCAGGGGCGGTTTGGAAGTTCGCATATGCGTAGAAGATCACGTTGCTTTGGATGGATGAATGGAAGGCGAGCATAAAGAAGCAGACCCAAATCCTAAATGGTAGAAAAGAATGATTAGAACTTGATGGCCTGGAAATATCTCTTGAAAGGAGCAGTTTCGGTTCAAAAGATTAGGATCGCATACCAGGCGTAGACTGCCCACACAGCGTTCTTATCCCACGCAAGAACTACTGCCTCAGCCTTTTTGACACCAGCGGCATTGTATAACATGATGGAGTCTGTTTCCGTTCTATCACGGTCTGCTTTTCCGAAAACGCGCTGCGAGTGAAGCTCGTCGTCCCTTGGTAAGGGCGCCGAGTCCGCGCCCCCGGGTGGCGATTTTGTGCCATCCAAGTGCGGACTGGATGTAGGATTATCCATCATGGTAGAGGTAGGGCAGATTTTAACCCGTGTGGATGGAATTGAGAAAGCAAGAAATTGTGATATCCGGACAGAGAAAAAGATCGTCGGATTTCGACGGAGCTTCCAGTAGTTATATTGGATCCCCGGGCCTTAGGGACAAAGTACTTTTCACATAAAATCTAACGAAAAGGGTACTCATAGTCCGTCGCATTTAGACTCGCTCTAATCAAATGATGTGGGCCGAAGAATTGTATTCGCGACAAAGGTAGGCGATTGGCCAAAGTGCATTTCTAGCGCCGCCCAGCGTGCAAAGAAATCGAAGCAGGTTTGCCGTTATAGGAATTTCCTTGAAATTTATGGCGTGATTCGGTGATTCCTTCTCCGTTCGAAGTTACCCTATTTTTCCTTTTCTCGATCTAATGCTAATACGGCTAGGTGAGCCTCGCTTGGGGGATATCAAGATCTTATCGATCAATTTGTGGCGCCTACCACGGCAGAAAATAAAATGAACCCAATACCCATGAATAAGCTTGAACATTAGAGGTTACTTTTGCTGCCTTACTTGATTCTGAGAAGCAAAATGGTCTTACCTGCCATCTAGTCTTATATACAAAAGTATTGCACCTGAGCACACAACTTTCTCCAGGGAGTCATCTTCTGCTTTCTCTAGAGTAGTCTCGAGGGTCTTCCAGCTATTAATTTTGCCAAGAATCATGTCTCAGAATCAACAAGGAAAACACGGAGCTATTCGGCTTCAAGGCTCCGATGTTCCATGCTGGACCCTTGCTTTCAGGATTCCGAGTTTTGAAAATTACTAGATGTAATTTCATGAATCACTGTGGGTCAAAACGGGGAATCCCGAATTTAGCTCAAATCACTCACACGGACCTCGGCGCCAAGATAAATCGATACCATGTAGTAACAGGTCCATAAGAGTACAGAGAAGAATCTTGGAGATCACCATTACCAACCTATTCACTGTGTAGCAGTAGAGTCTACAAATCTTCTGCCAGCAAAGGGCCTTCCCGTTTGGCCGAATCCAAGATGTTGTCCAAAGCCAGACAATGGAAGTGCTCTCTACGGCCGTCAGCTCGATTGCCAGAAGAGAATCTTCCAGTTACGTTGCTTCCTATTCCATCGTGTGAGACCGCGACCGAGCCTTCCTCGTTTGAAAATCTGAAATCACTTGATGGCATTTGCTTGAAGGGGCTTGGGAAGCAGGATGACCTCCAGTCTTTGATTACTGGCTACTCGCGTTGGATCATGGAAGTGACTGCGCAAAACCGTGTCGCATTCCTAGTAACTGAACGAAGCGATGATCTAGCTCTCAGATGTGCAGTTGTATCTTCGCACCGGCTCTCGAAAGATGAGATGTTAGAGTGGGAGATATATGAAATTTCGTTGGAAAGCCTCACTGGGGAGTTGGAGACCTTGGAATTTGCATTATGCCTGAGATACGAAGCCGGAATCGAAGAATCCCTCAGAATTCCGGTAAGATAGAAATATAAATGTCCCATTGTGACCTGATGGCGAGAATCCCAGCTAACTCCGAGTCCTTACAGATCCGAGTGGCGTTGTGTATAGATCTGCAATCATCGACAGCAATTTTCGCGCATCGAGTCGAGTTGATAAATGATGGTTATCTCTCGGATATTGCAAAACGACTTGGGAAAACTTTAGAAAATGAAGAGGGCCAGCATGAGAAAATAGCTTTTTGGGAAAGAGAGTTAAAGGAGTTTGTCGGCCTCGGTGATATTCACTTCCCAACACTCTCCTGCACGCGGTCGTTGCAGCCCCCAGATAGCCCCACTTGCATCCAAACAAGCCTCACTTTGCAAATATCATGGGAGAAACTGGACGATCTCGCCCAGCAGCTGGGTCTCAAATCTGGCGTCTCTGTGGTCCGTGGAGCATTTGCATATACCCTGGCCGAATATACGGAGACGGACAAGATCATTTTGGGCGATCAAGACCGGGCAGATCTGACCCAAGACATTCCAGTCAACCTGGTTCTAGTCACTGTTTTGCCACAAGATACCTCTGAGGAGTTCTTATGTCGACTTGACAAATTCATGCGAAGCGCGTCTGCTATACCAAGTCCTACTGCGCAGAACGTTCGAGAAATTCTCAAAATACCTTCGTTTCAGACCCCATACAATGCTTTATTTGCGTACCAGCAGCGTGCCGTCCATGAATCTGATCTGGAATCCTCACACGGTGCATCCCGGACATCCCTCGAAGCCCCGATGGAGCTCACTCTTCAGAGGTCCGAAAAGGACCAACCGATATTAACACTTTCATGTCGGTTGCTGTTGATGGATGCTACTCATTCAGAAGTTGTCATGAAGCAAATCGATGCTTTGGTCACCTCGATGTGCTCCGCGCCCACCGAGCGGATTCAAGACCTCACCCATCTATTTCCAAAAGAACTTATCTCTATCCACTCCCCGGTTGTAAGTGATGATGTTAAAGGGGCTCCATTGCTATCCCCAGCTCACTGGGTTGATTCTTGGGCTTCCTCCAACCCATCTTGGGTTGGGCTTGAGATCATCAGTGCGGTCAGCGAAAACGACAGGGATACAGTATCCCGAACATGGACTTATCGCGAACTTTCCGAAACTTCTAGCCGGCTCTGCACATGGATCCTGGACCGCGGATGGAACAACAGGTCAATAGCAGTGTGCTTGGATCGCTCTTTTTTGGCGTACTGTCTAGTACTAGCTATCTGGAAAAGTGGTAACTGCTATGTGCCAATCGCCGAAGATCTTCCTGAGGCACGTCAACTATTTCTTCTCTCGGATAGTGGTGCGACAGCCTTTTTTGTCGACACGAATGTCTCAAAGCTTCTTCTTTCCACTGGAAATTGCGAAGTGATTGATATTGCTAGCCTTGAGATGTGTGGAAACTCCGAAGTTGTCAAAGACAAACAATCAATTGATCCGAAACCGTCAGATGATTGCTACCTTCTTTATACTTCTGGGTCTACTGGAGCTCCGAAGGGTGTTCTCGTTAGTCGAGGAAATCTATCCGCTTTTGTAGAGGCACAATCTGATTATATCTGTCGCGATGTTCCAGACACGCAAAAGTTGAAGGGTTTTGGGAGTTACCTTGCGCATGCCAGTCGAGCCTTCGATGTGCACATTTGTGAGATGGTGCTCGGATGGCGGCATGGGCTTCGTCTAGTCACAGGCCAGCGAAGCATGCTTCTGGACAATTTGTTCCTGGTCCTGAGGCAGTTCAAAATCACTCATGCTGGCTTCGTACCCTCGCTTCTCGAACATGCGGGTGTTAGTGCGGAATCATTGCCTGATCTACGCTATCTTGGAGTCGGAGGAGAAAAAATATCGGAGACAGTCATTGAGCGATTTGTCGGCAAACGGTCACTTTCTCTCGTCAACGCATACGGACCAACTGAAGCCACGATAGGCTTCACTAGCCATACCGTGAAGCCCTGGTCAACGGTACGCAATATCGGCACCGCTGTGGGAAACATCGCCGTCCACGTCCTGGAATCGAACTCGTCAAAATACGTGAAGCGAGGTCAAGCAGGAGAGCTCTGTGTGACAGGCGATTTGGTCGCCAGCGGATATCATCGGAGACCCGATGCGACGGGCTTCACAGATCATTATGGACAGCGAATGTACCGGACAGGAGACATCGTACGCCTGATGGCGAATGATTGTATTGAATATCTTGGGCGACGAGACAGTCAGGCTAAGATACGTGGCCAGCGTCTGGAGCTTGAAGAGGTTTCCATTGCAATTCGTCGTTGCGCGGGATTTCCAGTCAATGTGACTTCTATGGTTACTCCTTCTCCAATTACGAAACGACCTCAGTTGGTATCCTTTATCAGCCCATCCGGTGACCGACTAGATTCTGCAAGCACCGAAGTCACTTTTATGAAGAACCAATACCAGGAATGGGTTCCAAATATTTTGGAAAGCTGCCGGGTTGAGTTGCCTGCCTACATGGTTCCTAGTGTCCTACTTCCGGTCTCCTCCATACCTATTCAAATATCGGGTAAAGCAGACAGTCGTCGTCTTGTCGCATTATATGAGAGCATTCCTATTTCAGACCTTCTGTTAAGACCTGGGGTGGTGGATCCGGAGCCTAGCTCAGAACCTGACCTGGAATCTAACCAAGAAACAAATCCGGATCCCCATTCAGAGCCAGATGGTGCAGATATGACGGCAGATGAGATGAAGGTTCGTGATATAATCTGCTCTCAGATAGAAACAGACCCAAAGTCTGTTACAAGAGCAACGAGTATCTTCCAATTGGGGATTGATAGCCTGGGTGCCCTCAGTTTAACGGCAAAATTGTGTCAGGCAGGATACACCTGCTCAGGAGTCGATATCCTCAGCAAGGGTACAATTCAAAAGCTTGCCTTGTTACCAAATTCAAGTAGAGCTTTGTGCCGAGAGCAAATGAAGAGCTTCTCCGAGAAACACGTCGCCGACGTTTCGCACAGATTGGCTCAGCTTGACCAGAACTTCCGGAATTCCCAAACAAAAATACCGAATTCTTCAATTTCCGTCATCCGTCCATGCCTGCCTCTCCAGGAAAGCATTGTTTCTAGCTCCGTGGGCAGTCCGACACCCTTATATGTCAATCATATCACGTGCCGTCTTGGAAATTCTATCAAACTCACAAACCTGAAGTCTGCATTCGAGGATTTGATGCAGCAAAATGAGATTCTCCGGACATGCTTCCAGATCGTAGACAGGAAGGTATTGCAAGTTGTTCTAAAGCCTCGCGTGGCGACTATCCGCTGGGACGAAGTTGTTGTCTCTGATGAAACCGTCGCCCGGGGTCTTTTCGATATGCGTCAAGCCGGAATTGCCTCCAGTATTATCCAAAAAATCGACAAAGAGCCCCCGTTCCATATCCTTGCTGCTTCTCCAATATGCGAGCACGACCCGGGATGGTTCATGCTGTCTATTCATCATTCTATCTTTGACGGTGCTAGCATGGACATCTTGCTCAAACAACTTCACCATCATTATACTGGCAATGCAGCAATGTGTCCGGTAGACCTCGCTCCTCTTTATCATTACATGGTGCCAAAGGCCGAAGCAGATACTGAACGCTTCTGGTCCTGTTATCTCGATGACTATTCTCCGGGTATTGTCGACCATCAAGAAAGTGATGGTGGATCTTACTCCATCATGACAAAGACTCTACCCTTTGGATTGTCATCGCTCTCCAAAATCGCTTCTCAGGCATCTTCGACTACTCCATTTATCGTTGAAACCGCATGGGCGGTTGTTCTAGCGGAGTGTCTAGGCCAAAGAGATGTTATATTTGGGCGTGTGATGAATGGCAGGAGTATCCCGGTGGATTCAGTGGAAGAAATGCTCGTTCCGCTTGTGACTACTGTCCCAGGCCGATTTAGACTTCCTTCTCTAAGATCGAGTCTGCTAGATCTAGCCAAGATTCATACACAGGCCATGCTTGAGTCTCTTCCTCATCAGCATACACCCCTTCGCACGATCCAGCGATATACTCAGGTTCCAGGTCCATTGTTCAACACCTTGATATCATACATCGTCACCAGCCCCCAGTCACCTTGGGCAGATATGTTGACTGAAATGGAAAGCGTTATGCCAGCAAATTATCCACTTGCTCTCGAGGTCAATGCTGAGTCAGGTGCCGACAGAATCACGTTGCGTTTGCGAATTTCCAAAGCCCTCTCTTCCAATCAAAGATATGCATCCCTCGTGGACAGGATTTCTACTCTTCTCACTGAGCTGGTTTCCAATGGGGACGCTACAGTTGATGCTGCAGAGCCATCAATGACACAAGAAAAAAAGCAGTCTGCCTGGGATGAGACTCAGTGGACTGACATCGAAAGAAAGATTCAACGGGCCGTGGCTGAGGTATCAGGTCTTTCGGACTCGCAAATTTCGAAAAATGCATCATTTTTTGCGTTCGGAATTGACTCCGTCATTTCTATTCATCTGGCTCGTTGCTTGAAGAAAGAAACCATTGTCGCCTCTCCGAGTGATATCCTGAGGTATCCATCCATTGGAGCTCTGCACAATTATCTTGGAAAGCCTCGTGTTGTATCTCGTCAAACGGAAGCCCTCGAAAGACCTTTGGACCAGGATCTGGGCGCAGAACTGTTTCATTCAGATGACTCAATTATTCAAACCTATCCTTGCACACCTCTACAGACTGCCATGATTGGTCAATGCTTAAGTTCGGCGGGCAAGGGATATCTTCATCACCATGTGATAACTCTCAGTGGCTCAATCCAATTGGAGAGACTACTTCATGCATGGCAAGAAACGGTGAAAAATGCGGATATTCTTCGCACGTCGTTCCATCGCCAGGGAACAGATAGCCAGTTTCATGCTGCAGCTCACGAGTATCCTCTCGTCCAATGGTCGCACCAGTCAAACGTCGCATCGCTATCCCAGGCCATCGAGACAATATCTCAAGAAGCAACCTACCCTAGTATTGCAAGTTTCAGCAAACCTCCATGGAAAGTCACTTTGCTCACTGGGAGTTCCCAGCAATTGATGGTTGTCACCATGCATCACTGTCTTTACGATGGATTTTCGCTTCCCCTCCTCTTCAGCAGCCTCGAGAAGAATTATCTCGGACACACAGAGCCTCTAGGCTCGTTCGCACTTGCCGTGCAGAAGATATCATCCATACAATCATCATCCATAAAATTTTGGGCTGATGTGGTGGCCGATTACCAATACGTTGGAATGCCGATCTCGCAATCTTCCACTCAGCACGACTTTCAGTGGACAGAGATCAAGATACAGACTGGAGCTCCTGAATTGCAGCGTCTTTGTGGTGCATTCAACGTCACCCTACAGACCGTGGCGCTGCTTGCCTTTGGGCGCTCTTTGATGCCCATCGTTGGTCAGCGCGACGTTGTGTTCGGACATGTAGTCTCCGGCCGCAGTTTCGATATCGACGATTCGATGAATGTGATAGGCCCCCTTTTCAACACGGTCCCTTTTCGCCTCAAGCTTGAGTCCGCTTATAGAAGCACTCGCTCAGTCTTGGAGGATATTCAACGTTTCTCGATCGATTCTCAGCCCTTTCAGCATGCCCCATTAAGTCTTGTGCAAAAGGATTGGCGAATGGCAAAGAACGGCAATGGATCTTCATTGTTCGATGCACTTTTCACATTCAACAAGTCAGAAAAGTTTGATTCCGAATCAATCTTCCAGCCATATGAGTCTTCTCGCCAACCCGATATTCCTCACTACAGGCTCAATGTGGAATTTGATCAGTCTCCGGATGCCCTTGTTGTCCGGGTAGTAACCCGTGATTTGCTGACCAAAAAGAGCGACCTCGAGACTTGGACCCAAAGCCTTGCCCTAGCAATGGAATATATTCTTTCTTCTTGCGATGAGCCGGCTCTGAGTTATCCCCCGGGAATTAATAACTTGCCCATGGTCAAGGTCCCTCTGCGCATGGCTGATGACGCTTCTCCAGATAACTTTGTTTTCAGGACCTACGTGGAAGGGCTGAAGCTTATACTCTCTCAAGTTACACATTCAAAGCCGGAGAATATTCATGAGAGCAACAGCGTATTTGCGCTAGGCTTGGATTCAATCCTGGCACTTGATGTCAGCTCTCAGTGCCGCATTGCTGGGCTTGAGATTTCAGTTTCTGAGATCCTACAAGGAGAAACTATTCGAGGTATTGCAAAACTCGCATCAAAGAAACAGAGCGTATTCTCTAAGCCTGCAGGGTCTACTTTGACCGAAAACTGTGCTGTTACCTCACATGTCAGAAGCAAGGCGTTATCACTTTTGTCTCTCTTGGAGGACCAGGTCGAGGATGTTATTCCTTGCCTCAGCGGTCAGAACTTCTACATAGCTTCGTGGCTCCGCAGTCAACGACAGCTTTGGGAGTTCACATTTCCACTCAGGTCACAATCTAGCCTTGATCCGCAGCGACTCCAGCTTGCTTGGCAACAGCTTCAACAAAGACATAGCATCCTTCGTACAACATTTGTTGCTATACTTCCAGATCAAGTCCTGCAGGTCGTTCAAAAGCCCTGCCAATTTGTGCCACAAACCCAGATTCACATTGAAGAAGCTTCCGGAGATCTGAAACCATTCATCCATGGCTTGATGCAAAGTATTGGACGCAAATCGTCTAACCTCTTTACGCCCCCTATCCGCCTACGGCTAGTTCAATATGCTGGGTTCGATGTTCTTCTGTTGACTTTACACCATGCTTTGTATGATGCAAGAACCATCTCCATTCTGATGCATGATCTGGAAGCTTTGTACCAGAACAAGACATTGAGCCCCCCTTCAAACTTCACATCTTTCGTTCTTGACACACGACAAAAGTGTCAATCTGGTTTTGCAGATGATTACTGGAAGAAAGCACTCCTCATGGGTCAACGCACACTTCTTGGGGCACAGCCCTCAAGTGACCTAACTCCTTTGTGTGTGCAGTCTTCTCAGGCCATTTTCCCCCGGAAGCTTACTATTCTGGAGGGTCAATGTCGCGAGAAGAACATTTCCATGCCTTCTCTCATGGTAATGGCCATCGGACGCAGTTTGGCACGTACCGCAGAAGTTTCTCACCCAATCCTTGGCCTTTTCCAAAATGGTCGCTCGAATGATTATCCCGGCATCGAGCATATGGTGGGACCTACTGTTAATATGCTTCCGTTGGTGGTCCCGAATGCCTTGGTATCCCCTTCTCGAGAGGCTCTGCTAGACATGCAGCAGAAGTTGGCCCAGCGTACTCTCTATGACCAAACCGATCTTCAATCCCTATGTCAAAGAATGAAGGTACTCGGTCAAGAGTTAGAGTTCAACCTTCTTGTCAATATTCTTTGGGGTCAATTGAGCAGCATGCCTAGTGAAGAAGTGGACACCATCTTTACTCCGCTGTCTCTAGACTATGATATCAAGGTTGACTCTGACAATTTGATTACCGGAGAGACTACCGTTGATCACTTCGACTGGAAGAACTTCCCTGGGGGCAGTGACATCTATCTGGAGATTAGTTACAATGAGGAACATAATGCTCTTCTTTGGAAACTTGACTACTCCTCGTCTCAATTTCGAAGCTGGAAGCGGAGGAATTCTTGCAGAGGTTGGAGGATGAGATGAATACTATCTTGGGACATCTTTGAGCTATGCAGTTCTTTCTCTCTGGGTGCTGATGATGTTTCTTTTCATACTGTGTTGGTAGTGAAAAATTGGATTATATTGAAGCAAGACTCAACTAAAAATGACCATCAAAGTATACAAAAGCCGGACCTAGTTGTAAGCAAACAAAAATAAGAGACAATTTGAAGATTAACACTAAATATTTTATCTTTGTTAGAGACGCGGTGTTTACTTCGGTAACAAAGATTCAACCCGGGGTAGAAACTTGAACATCTAACTGAAGTATGTCGTGCAAAACTCACACAGATCCCCTTCTGCCTAGCGTTGGCGGCTTCCCCAGAGGTTTCCGGCCAGCTGGTACGCCCTACCCGGGGAACTGGCAACACAAGGAGGCGGATCTAGGGACAGCTTCCGCGGTGGTAACCAGATCTATGGTTTTGCCCAGCAACATCTTTAACTTGACGGTTGCCAACCCCATCCGTTTCCCGTGTCTCACACACAATTCACTCATCAGAGACACCAAACAAAAACCGAGAACAATGTCTTGTAACGATCCTTCGATTCAAAACACGTACAAACACCGTAAAAAAGACAACTGGCCAATATTACCACGAAAACCAAGTCAGCCCCGTAATTCAACCTCTACTAGTGCAAATTTGTTAGAACAAAAGTACCGACGAACTTGATCCATCACCGTTCCAAAGAAAACAACTGCATCATCGCACAATCAGTAACCCCCGATCTCCCAATAAAACAATGTACCGCCGATATAAAACGCCCTGAAACTCAACAGACCCCCTCGCACGACCGCCAACCAAGCCGCAATGACATTCCCTCTACTTTTTTACCGCGGCTCAAAACCTTCATCACCCACATGACTCCATCTCTTTAGCCGGAGATATTCGGACCAACGAGCGACAGTAATCATAGCTAATCACATCAATCACACACGAAAGCCGCTGAAAAAGTCGTTCTGGACCGGTAGCAAAATGTGATGAATCGACTTTGCTTCCGGACTCTTCACCCAAAGTAGCAGCGGTGGGGGGAGGGGGTGGCTGGATGGGGGTTGATTGGCGGCGCAGGGCCCTCCCCACGCTGGCGATTATTTTCCGAATTGCGCGTGCGAACTGGCAAAAAGGCTGACGATGGTGCGTCTGCGTGGTCAAAACCAAGCCAAATAGTCTACACTGACTAAGAAAGAAAAGGGGGAAGCAGCCTAAGCGAGAGCGATCACGAACATTTGGTAGTCATAGACGTACTTTGGCACTTCGTTACTGCTACTAGTTACTCCGTACTGCGTACAGAGCTGGGCTATTATTACAAGACAAGGACTATGTCAGTTTAGTTACGGTAAAGAGAGAACGCCAGAACGCTTGAATGGCCCTGCCCTCCCCTCAGCTCAGTCCCAAAATCTCGGGCCCTTGGAGATGGAAGTGGGGCATGTTGCAGTCTACCTCAGCAGATCCGACTTCTCCCCCCGTAACTTTCCAGTTTATGGGGTTCGCTTATCCAGACGAGCGGTCTGCGGTCTGGGGCTGCCTTTTTCCCGGTTTTGATGTCCCTGGATCGGGTGTGTACATGCAGATGTACATGAGCGCTGTGTTTTGCGTACCTATCGAGACACTGGCATGCGACCGCCACATGTATGGTAGATCGCTTAGGCGAGCGCTGGTGAGATCTTTGAGGTGGGTTGATGCAGCCACTTGGAATGCATGTATTGTGATATCAACTGGCATCCAAGGATCGGGCTGTGAGGGAGTTTTCTGCAGGTCGAGCGGAGGTGGAGTGAGGGGATCGAATGATGAATGATGAAGTGAGGGAGTTGTGCATGTACGAGTGCCGGGTGAGTCTATGGAAGAGCGTACAGTGCAAATGATTAAGTAACCATATGGCTCATTATATCCATGGATGTTTGCTGAGTTTCTACAATCGTCATTGTAGTAGGACTACATAGTAGGAAAGCCCCCGTGTCTCGGGCCCCTCGGCTAGAAATTTGTACAAGCACTGTAGGTAGTGACCGCGAGAGTCGGGTAGTTGGAAAGTCTTGAAGTCTTTAAGATGACGATTTGAGGTCATTATTATTCCCTAATAACTAGTATATTCTGGGCCACGAGACCGTGTCGAAGACTTGCTTTTTTTTGCAGATGGTTTCTCCTTGGCCTCGGGACACCTGGGAATATGTATATCAACTGTTCTATTGCCAGTCTTGTCTTGAAGGAGATCCCGGCAGCTATCCAGAATGCAGGAGAACAAATTAAGAAACTTGGAATAATGTTTGCTATATTTTTCCAGCTCCTGAAGCTGAATGTCAATAGCCGAATGCTATGCCACGCGTGGTTATCACATTACACGAACATCCGATCGAACTGCCGAGATTTTGACCGATACCATGACAAACAGCTGAGTTTAGAATTTAGTTTAGAATGGAAGCGAACCATTAGTTCATCTCCAGTAAGTCATGGTCAATATTGAACTTGAAGTTGCCATGTCTCGTATATATTACAATCAAGGAATGATCAACTGTGGTACATTTCAAACACCCAATGATAGCCTCCAACACAAGAAGAAAATGCGGATCTCGGTGCTTAGACTTTATGAAATCATACAAAGGTCCCTCCATATAGTGACTGAAATTACGATAACCGGGCTTCACGGGGACCAAATTATCCAAAGTAGGATAGTTCGTACTTTTGCGCTTTCCACCTTCCAGTAACGGGTCGCACAGATCCAGTGTGCTGGGAGGGGGAAAACAGGACAGCCCGTTAAGATCAGAGCAAGAGATTGGAGGGGTAAAAGTAAATCCGACAGCCAAATTCTTGTTCAAACTGATATCAACAAATACAATGCAGAATCCTCGTTCTAGCAACACAAAAAAGTGACTGCAGTTCACGGCAATGACTTGCGTGAATCATCTGCAGCGTTCCCGAGGGACGGGATTTGGGCGTGGGTGGTGTGGGTGGACTACACCCAAACCAGTTTAACTTTGGAACAAAACTCACCCTATTCCCACTTCGGCAAGGGAATCTGGAGAAGTCGATGGATTGGATAGAAGAAAAAATCGGTGTGGAAAAAATTACTCTATTATAGTTCTTACAGTTTAGACAGAGCTCACTCTGGTCGGGATCTTCATACTGGCAACCTTGGAAGTTATTCTTTTTTACTTTCTTTTTTCTTCTTTTCTTCTTTTCTTTGCCTTCCAGTTATTTCCCTAAACGCAAGTGATGATTCGAAATACGACCAGATAGACCAGATATGGAAGTTTTACTTTTCCGTGACGAATCTGCACCGGGACAATCGTGGGATCGGATATTCACATCTCACCAACAGGGCGCAATGCAAGATCCCCGATTGAGTTGCTGGGAGGCCCAGCAACCCAAAATCCTGAATTCCCTTGCATACTGGGAACAGACCATCCGTTCCTGCGAGACTCCGTAAATGTACATGGATCCCTTTATCTTGGTTTGTTTTCGCCGGGGTTGTTATCGCACTTTGGTCAAGGGGGCATGGATGGGGATGGATGCCAGCGTAAGGGGAGCCTCACTCCATATGCAAAAAGCCTAATTTGAATGACTTTGTTTTCACAAGGCTTGGAAGGGTCCCAGCCGACCGGTACAGCAGAAGTCTCAAATACGAGTAGCAGGCTCAAAGAATAGCCACGGTTCAGAGATAAATTTGGTACTGTAGCAATCGAGCGCAGACGATATCAGACCGCTAAAGGACCCTTCCATGGGAAGAAATGCAAGTCCAAACCACATGGAACCGATATCCCACGTGGAGGACGTGCTCTTCGGGTCTCCGCCTGCTGTATGTATGTAAATTGAGTACGTCTGTACTGGATGTATGTACATACATACAGGACACCAAAGATGTGTCGTGCGGGTGTCATATCAATATCGTGCGACGTATCAAATTCAGGTGGCGAGAAGATACCGAAACAAACAAACAAGTGTCAGGGTTCCAGCCACCCAGGGTGGGTGAGTTCCTGCGCTGTGCAACGTGTATAGATCACATTTCTGTGTGGGGTTGAAATCGTATTTCAACACAGACAATACAGACATTCGTTCGAGGTCGGAGACTGCCGTAACAGTATTAATCAGTAATCAATAACCAACCCCATGGCCAGAGCTTTCAACTTCTCATTGCTTTTCAGCTGGGAGCTGCCAGCTGGAGCTCCATGTGTGGATCATGGTTCCCGCAAGGACAGACATAGGCACAGACCAGGGGGGGGGGAGGGTTGTTTTTTTTTTTGGTTTTTGTTTGTCTTTTCGGTTTTCAGTTTTCATCCATGCGAAATCCACCAGAACGGTGAACTCGCCGTTGATACCGCTGTCATTGGCTGACTGACACAAGCTGAGATGAGAGAGGCGCGCTTTGCGAGAGGGTATTGGGGTATTGGGGGTGCTCGAGTCCGTAGATCAACCGTGCGACTATTTTCAGCTCGGTCTACGCTCGGCCTCGCATCTGATCCATTCGTGGCGCACGAATCAACGCACTTCATCGCCGATGAATATGTTAATCCTTGTACATTTGTCGGCGAATACATATGGTCATCTGGTTGGCGACTGGGTCGCGTATTGGCTGGCTCATCCAGAGGAGATATGCGAAATGCGTTGCCCATACCAGAGCGGATGGTGTACATATGTGGAGAGTATGGGCCAGTTCCACCCCAGCATTCTTTGCACGACAGCCCTGGAGAGCCGATACACATGGAGGGAGATTCAAATCCGAGATTCCTCCGAGGAATATTGACCAGTTGTCCACTCCTTGATCAACACCACTGGCATCTGGAAAAAGTGGAGGTTGATGGTGTTTGGTCTTTCTTCAATGCTACAGTACACACTACGCCTGACTACTCGTTTGACAACTGGTGTATTGAGCCAGCCACCTTCTGTCAAAAAATGCATTCCAGTGAATACTCTCCCCCTATTCACAAGACATCCTTTTCCAAGAATTTGTCAGACAGTCAGCCGCCCTGCTCGATCTCCACAGAACTGGATGTATCCCCATCTGCGACCGGTAAAAATCTGCATCAGCCGCAGCCGCAGCCGCGTTGATTGTCAATAGTCGAGTCGTATTCTGCCTGATCTAGTTATACTACGGAGTAAATATGTAAGTACAGTATACTGGTCAGAGCTTGGAGCATGAGAGCGCGAGTTTGGTTAGTATCCAATGCAGTCGAGCTCTCATACGCTTCATCCTGGGATTTACCGTCTGCAAAGACAACGAACTAACTATCTAGCCGACGCCAACCGGGTACGAATGGATGGATGGATATTCCGTAGATACTGTAGATAGATACCAGACCAGACAAGGGGGAAAGGAGATCATCTTCTCCATATGGAGGCATTCCACTAGTCCCGTGAACCCCACGACTGCCATTCATTGGACGGGCGTGGGAGGAGGGAAGGGGAAAGGGCTCTCATATGTATGTACATACATGGGCATTGTCTTGCATATCTTGATTCCGGGGTCCTGCGCGAATGCGATCATGCGCCCATTAATCGCGACGACCGAGATGTAAACAGAACATGTCAAGTGAACTTGAACCTTGAAAGTGAGTGTTGGCCTATCGTCGCGTAGATACAGACATACTTTCGATACGCACGATGTTAAAATCCAGGCACCAGGAATCCAGTCCAATACAGTCCAGTCCCGGTCCAGCTCAAACCAATACAATTGTTCGTAGGAGCTGCCTGTGTGGCCTTGGAGTACTCCAAGTCCTGTTCCTTGTCAAAATAGCCACCCCCTTGCATGTGCGCATCAGTCATCTCCCAAACTCTATCGTCACTAGAAATCTGTGCCTTGGGGAGTGTTTCATGCATGGCGTGCGGAGCGACATATGAGATTATTGGGAAGATTGCGCGTTGGATATTCACCTGGTTGATCGCCATTGCCAGCAGGACATATCAGGATAGGAGAGGACGCGCCGTGCCGCACCGTGCCCCGCCCTGAAGGATGCATTAACAAACGCACATGAGTGGTCGATTTCGAATAATGTCTTTCAATTTACTTTTGTGGGGCGAGGGTTAATTAATGGATCGTCTACAGTCTAAATGGTGAATGGGGGCGGGAAGCCCTGGTTGGGTTGGAAAGTCGGCCAGATGGCTTTGTATAGACCCCTCTATATAGAGTTGGGTGGTGGCCCAACGACCTGTTCATGTCGGGCAGAATGCGCCCAACCGGACCCAAGGAACTGGGTAGATACGAGAGTACGGAGTACTTTACATACTAACTTGATGAGAATGGGGGCGTGGAAGATTTCGATGGGACCTGGAGGGGGGGCAAAGGAGAGGGGATGTTTTGATGTTTCACTCTTGTGTCTGTATGCATGTCAATATGTATTGTACGTGACGCTCTGACTCTAACTCTGACTCTGATTCTGGCTTCCTCTTCCCCTTCGAAGAATCGATAATTTGTGATTCGATTTGCCCAATAAAACCCGCGCCTCACATCAAGAATGGAGATCTGGAGATAATTCGGACCCGAAGAGTGGTAGATCAGTAAGTATGCAAAAGATGGAGTATTGAATTTGGAATTTGGAATTTGCTTTTTTGTTATTTTCTTTTGCTGCTTCCTACGGAATATACGGAGCATCTCTGAATTATGCTCCGTATGGAGTGTACTATGGAAGTGTACCCCGGTCGAACTAAATTGCCCGTTGGCTGAGCCCCGACCCGACGGCAAGAAATTTAGGCCATCGAGTCGGGTCAGAACTGGAGCTGGAACTAAAACTTGAACAGGTGAACCTGAATTGGAACTTGAACTATTGCACGGAGTACTGTAACTAACCGCTCCATCGGGCTCGCCTTCGACTCCACACTGATTCCACTTTCATTCCGTCCCGGGCCCGCCGAGGCGGAAAGTTTGCAAAACTGCTCAGATGACAGGATAATGTAATCTCTATCTGCGCCGCGACAGGCGAAAACGGTCGGTCCAAACAAAAAAAAGCAATGAAAAGACGAATAGAACAGAGCAATGCTTCTACTAGCGCGGCACTATCGTTCTTTCAACTGCTTTCTGTACAACCCTCAACGGCCATGAATGTGCCGGACAGACGGGGACGGGAGCTTGTACCACAGTTGCGTCCTGGCTTCCAAGGTTTATCCCCCTCGAAGGCTTGCCCTTTTCTACAGTAATCATTTCGGCGGTGTGGTGTGGGATCGCCCGCGAGTCTCCGGCAGGTTTTTCTGGAATGAGACATTCATGATCGTTGGACAGTTGGTTTCCGTGTCTGATATCATTTGCCGGTCGGGAGCATCAGGGAACCAATGACGGTGAGTGAAGCGGGTGCCACTCGGGCCCGTGGCTGGTGATGAAGTCATTCCTTCAGGATCGGGGTCATTTGGTTTGTGTTTGGAACAGTGGACGAATCGTAGGGAATGAATAACCTTGGAATTAATCTAGTTAATCTATCTACTGAGAAACCTAGTACGTAGGTTCAAAGTCAATCTATCGAGTACGGTTTTAACTGATACTAGTACTCGTACTCGTAACTACTACATATGCATCGATTGAACTCCAGATATAACCCCACTAGAAACAATGGACCCGTGTCAGACTGAAAAACGGGTGGACATTTCTCATCTCTCCAATTTCCACGGTGGAGCCTGGCTATTCCCGTGCTTGTCCCATGGACGAGACAACGGGAGTCCCCTGATGCTACCGTGGATCATGATGGGACGTGGAAGGGGTGGGTAACTGAATTACCCGTACTTTGAATCCGATCTTTGCCATTTATCTCTTTGGAATTTAATGTACTCCGTACATATTCCCGCCTTGTTAACACGCGTTGTCAACGAGCGCATGTTAACCACTATTCCGGGTCAGCCCATGATCATTGATCTACCGGAGGACCAGAGTCCTGGGGCGACCGGAACTGTTCTCCCTTTCGCGGCGCGGGATCCTCGGGCTCCGGAGTCTTCTCGAACGCGAATCCAGAGAGTCGTATCCACCTTGGACGGCACTGGCAATAATGCAATAGAGTTCGAAGGCGGCGATTGTCTGGTACCCCTTGCAAGTTGAGCTGCCGAGATCAAAGTTTAAGTGCGCGGCGAGAGGTCAATCGAGGGAAGGAGGCACTTGGGGTATTCGTACTCCGTACTCCGTACGGTGTACGGAGTAGATCGAGAGGAGATCGGAGACAGAGAAGAAAGGATGGACAGCATTGGACGCGTGGTAGTTAAGATTTCCCGAGGATTGGGTGCTGGGGAGCGATCCCTGCCCGGACTTTGCCTCTTTTTCGCGTAGTGTGGTGTTAGTGGAGACGGATCAGGATCGGCTTGAGGACGGAGGACTCGGAGTATTCCGTTGATGGAATAGTGTCTCATACTCAGAACTAGTCCATAACTCTGTAGAATAGAACAGTAGACAGCAGAGTAGAACATAATGTGAATGCTGTGAGCGTGAGCTGTATGAATACCTGCACTCATAGTGCTAACTAGCACTCTGCACTCCAGTGGACATGAACATGAACACACTCTGATCAGCATGACCCACTCGTTCATTCCAAAAGAAAGCAAACCGACCTGTCACCTCATGAAAGAGACGGGAGGCAAAGTAGAATGGGGATATGTAATCATAACAGGCTGTGATATAACATGGCCAGCCTGCCCAGCCCTAACTCGACAGTGTCAACCCTGGCAGCATTGGGTATCATCGTATCCATACCAATACTGTACATACTGTAAGTTACCATACACCATACACCATACCATACCATATACTCCGTACCATACCCTATACTGTCACTGTCACTCTGTCCATCGTTCCATCGTTCCTTCCCCTCCATTGTCATTGCACATTCAGACCAGTCGACTTCTTCTTGCACGATCTATCTGATACGCGGCTTCTTCTTCTTCTTCCTCTTCTCTCCCATCTCACACTTCACTTCCTCCACATCTCTTCCACTTCATCTCTCCCTCTCTTTTACCCATTCCATCTCAACTTCCCCCCCCCCCCTCGACATGGGTCCCTGGTCCGATCTTCGCCGCATCTGATTATTTCTTTGTTCTAGTCGCTCCACCCAACCCCCCTCAGAGCTTCTCCATCGGCGCGTCCGTTTACCCTCTCATTTTTGTGGCGGCCCTATTCCAGACAATACTTATTCCTTCTTCCTGGTCGCTGCAGCCTGCCTGCTGAGCTTACCTGACCTACCTTGGCGACTACGTTCCTTTCACCAACGCGCGCTGTACTTTTCCCTCCATCTCCGACTCCAACCCCGACTCCAACCCGGTTCCTTTTTCTCCCCCTCGAATCCTACCGCGACTCGCCATGTCCTTTTAAATCTCGGCGCCTTTTTAAATTTTTTGTCTCCTTGTTAATACATGACCTCGGTCTAGTTGCACGGCTTCTCATCGGTATATTGACGCGCTTCCTTTCATATCCCGTCCTATCCTATCCTTCTCTGATCCTGTTTGTACTGACCCCGTCTCCAAGAGCTCTCGCGATCCCGTTCCGACGCGGACTTCACCCTCCTCCGATGAGTCGCATGCCGCCGCCCGAGGGGCATCATGGTCCGCCCCCGGTCCCGCATGCCTATGAACCTGGCTCTGCCTGGCGGCCTCCATATGCGCCGCATTATGACAGTCATGCTCACCCTCACGCCCATCCCCATGCTCCCGCTCCGGAACGCCGTCCCCCCACCACCCAGGCTACCCTCCCACCGCCAAACTACCCTGCCATGCATGGCCGCGAACTGCCACAGTTACACCTCGATGGTCCCTACAGTCGCCCCGGCAGCTTGCCAGGGTCAGCCGGCCCTGACCCTCACGCCTCGCAACATCCTTTTCGTCCCCCTATGAACGGAGCCCCCCACGAAGCCTCGCCGCATTCCGCCCCGCCAGAGTACCGTGCGCCGCGGATAGGCTATCAACCAGAACCTCCCGGTCCGGGCGAGACGACACCTACTTCCGGTCCTCTGCCCCCGCCCTCGCAGTTTATGTCTCCTGCTCCAGTTTCCGCTTCTACCCCTGCACCTTACGGCCCCGACTATTATCAGAGCGCGGCCTATGGACTGCGCCAGCGCAAGGCAGCCAGAGCGCAACAAGTATGTTTAACGACATGTGTATTGGAGGATTATACACGTATACGCATCCTTCGTGCGTAAGATTGACTAACGATGTCTGACAGGCATGTGATCAATGTCGAGCGAGGAAAGCCAAGTGCGACGAGGGACGCCCAGAATGTAGTCATTGCAAGGAAAATGGGTTGAAGTGTGTCTACAAAGAAGTGCCAACTCACAAGTCTGTCTCTCCTGCTGGAAAATGATATGGAGTCGAGTAATCCAAAATACTGACCCCAAGATCAGACAGGAGAAATCCATCCAGCCTATCATGACCCAGCTCATGCATTTTAAGGATGAGGTCTTACAAGACCTCAAGAGAATTCATAACGAACAGGAACACAACGCCAACCTTCTCTCGCGACTTATCAGCGGACATGGCTCAGCCGTGCCCGATCAAAATCGATTAAGTCAATCAGCTATCCCAGCCCCAGCTCGTGAGCTTCCGGTGAAGATGGAATCGCAGGTCTTAGCGCCGATGGATCCGATGACTGAGAAGAGTCCTTATGGACAGCAGCAGAGGTTGGACCCAGCTACCGTCAGTTTCGATGAAACGGGAATGAAGGGGGATAATGAGGGCGAGCTTTCAATTCCGCTGGAACATACGACCGCGGCTCACAAGTTGTTGATGTGGCCTTCAATCAAGAAGTTGCTTAACCCCCACGACTATGATAAGGACTATGTGATGGGGTTGGAAGGACAGCGTGGTGTTACCAGTATCTTTGATCGCGGCGAAGACTCCTTCTCGGCCGATGGCTCATTCTTGCCGTGGAACCAAAGCACACCGTCGAATGGAGACCTGAACGCTCACATGCAATCCGGATTACCAAGCTGGGCAGGCTCAGCATTACAAGACTCGGACGCAGATATTTCTCGATTTGGTTTGCTGCGGTTGGATGGGAAAACTGTCAAACGCTACTTCCATAGCTATCTCAACCAGATGCACCTGCTGCATCCTTTCCTCGACCAGAGAGAGCTCGAACTCAAAGTGGAGGCGTTTATCCGGTGCTATTGCCCTACCGATGCTAACTCACTTTGCCGTGAGAAGAAGCGCAAGCGCTCAGTCGAGGATGTGGATGGCAGTGGCAGGGATGGTTCAACAAAGCCACCTGTGGGATTGAACATAGATTGTGCGATTGTTTTACTGACCCTTGCCGTCGGCGCCATTTGCGAGACCAAGTCTCCACTCCCGGGACCTGTGATGGAGAAGGAACCTGATTACCGACAGCAATTCATTCCCGGTCCAAGGCAAACCATCCCAACCCCCGCCAATGGCACCAACACGATCAATGGTTTCCTTTCTCCCGCAAACTCAGACTCCGCGCTCCCATCGAATACCTCTTTCTACGCCCCATTTGAGGCGGGTAGTCATTCTTTCCCATCCTCAGCAACAGAGTCACGCCCCGACAAAGCGCCGAGAAGACGGTCTACCATCCAGGATAGCCAACCTAAGAACTACCAGGTGATCCCAGGGCTAGCCTTGTATGGATATGCCATACAATCCCTGGCATTACTTCACTCTGGTATCCATCTGGAGCATGTCCAAGCGAACCTGCTTGCGGGTATCTATGCTGGACAGCTAGCACACCCATTCTCAAGCCATAGCCATATTCATAAGGCTGCTTGGGCGTGCCAAGTTCTTGTTGCTTCGAAGGAGTACAAAGCACTGGAAGGAGGTCCAACACAGGACCTCTTTAACTTTGTGTATTGGACTTGTTTGCAGTTGGAGAGTGATCTTCTGGCAGAATTGGATATTCCCGCCAGTGGCATATCCCGCTCCGAGTCTATGATCCCTCTTCCGAAAGGAAGGTGGACGATCATACCCATGCCGAACGACATGAAAGATCCTCATGTTTTGATGATGATGTTCTATTCAGCCCAGATTCATCTCCGCAAAGTTCTCAACCGTGTCCATACGGATCTTTACAAAGTTGAAAAGGAAGGTCAATCTCGGTGGTCATCCAGCGTCCAAGAAGCTCTTAGTCAGAATCTGGATCTCTGGCGTTTCAGCCTTCCCGATATTATGATCTGGAAAGACGAGGATCCACCTGCGAAGGAGATCAATGCAGCTCGAATGCGAGCTAAGTATTACGGAGCTCGGTACATCATTCACAGACCGCTATTATACCATGCTCTCCATTATGGCGGATCTGGTGCGCGTGTGGATGCGGTGGGTCAAACGTCTGCTGTGGATTCCCCCACGGGATCAGTAGGCAATTCACAGCCACAGCAAATGTCTCCTTCTATAACCAATACCTCCAACCGGGCACAGAATATGACACGGATGCTCAGCGACATCGGTACAGTCTCAAGCAACCCTGCTGCTGCCTTCCCGAATGGTTGGACGCCACCGACCGTCAACTTGCGAGACCTCCCTTCCAAACTTCGACGTGCCTGCAAGGTCTGCGTGGACTCTGCCATTCTTAGTACAAAGGCCTTCGACGGCATCGAGGATCCGTTTGAGGCACTCAGCAACGCATCATTTAAAGAGGAGCCGTACAAGAACATGCAGGACCCACTAGAGGGCCACCGTATGGAGGATCCATTCACCTTGGACTCGAACTTTGCCTCTAAGGATGAGAAGAATCGACTTGTGGTTACTAATATCTTTGGTACAGCCCATGCGTAAGTCTCCAACAACCGAATCCCTCAAGCAGACACTCCCCGTCTCTGCTTACTCTTACTAATCTCCATTTTAGTCAATTCGGAAACCTGCTCGTCCTGTCAGCAACATACATGTCCACCCTATCCGAGCTCGTCGATCGCGACGAGCTGAAAGTACTCCTCAAACGAACCATCCGCTTCCTCCTGCGCAGTGAACACATCTCCCCAACCCTCCGCGCTGACGCCCGCATCTTGACGGAAATCTACAAGAAGATCTTCCACCATTCCCCCACGCTGGAGAAACCCAGTACTCCTTGAGAGAAACTCCTCAGTCTCATGATGACAATTCATATTCCCATTCTGGCCAAAATTTCCTTGACCACGGTAGTTGGTGTTCAATTGGCGCAACACGACATTTTTGTTGGATTTTGGATTTTAGCCCCATCCCCCTGTCTTGTTATGTCCAGGTATCTACCCCGAGCGTGGTATAAGACCCAGCACCCAGCGTGTTAGGATTGGTATCCTACCTGGACGGATGACAGGGCGGACTGTGTTTTATTTGCTGCGAAATTGCATTTAGTGGATTCAATTACGGTCTATCTAACGGATATATGCACTTCTTGATTCCCGGGAGTTCCAGTGTGGCTATCACTTTGTTTTGCATGATAAACCATCCATCGCTCTTCTCTTCTTTCTTCGATCGTTAACTCTGGGGCTTTGGTCCCCCACGGCCACTTTTTTCACTCCGATGCATATTTCTTTTCTCTGGTTGGCCTGGTGTTCCATTTGATTTTTGATCTATCTATATCCATATCCATATCATCCACAATGAACGAAGTGGCTTTGCAGTTCTCGAATTACTATTTTCTCTTGTGACTACATGTATTCTACTCGCACCTACTGACTACTCCTACTATTATACTAGTAGTACCATAAATCTCTGGAGGTCCAGCAAATCCAATTGCCCAGGTGATCATTGAAATCATGTCATAATTCATCAGTATGTGCTAGAACTACTACTAGTACAAACGTACAGCCTGAAGTAGCCTCTCTCTTCTAATCTAAGCGCAAAGCATGGAATCTAAACAAAAGCCCTGCCACCAACTCCAACCATTAAAGCCAACCCCCAAACCAGTGTACCGCTACCAGTACTAATCCTCACATCTGCCCCATTCTTCTCAACCCCCTTCGAGCCCGTCGCACTCGCACTCGCACTCGCACCCACAGAAGAATTCGTCAAACTCCCACCCCCACTAAAAGCAACCTGCGCCCCCTGCACCCCATCATTCCAGTACTCCCTCACGACAGCAGCCCCAATTTCCGCAACTCCATACGTAGAAGCCATAAGGTGCGTTGAAAGCGCGATAGGCGGGACACTGGCGTCAATTACGCGGACATTCTTTAGGCCGTGGACGCGGAGGTTTGCGTCTACGACGCCGCCTTGGGATTTTGGGAGCATGGCGCAGGATGAGGAGGGGTGGTATTCTGTTCCGGCGTTTTTGCGGATCCAGGTTTCCCAGTCGCTGTCTGATTGGGTTGAAGCGCCTGGGGAAGTTTCGGAGGTGAAATTTGAGGAGAGGGGAGTTGTGTTTCCGAGGCGGCGGGCGAGTTTTAGGGATGTTGTTAGGATTGATGTGTCTTTATCAGAGTTAGTTAATACTTCAAGGTTTGGTATTCCGAGTCGGGGAGGAAACTTGAAACGTACCGGCTGAATTGGAAAGATAATTCGGGTCAATGACGGGATAATCCATCGGGTCGGATGAATTGATATAAACCCGTCCATGAGAGTAAGGATGCTGAAGGGCAGCTGTGATGCCGACGTCGCCGTTTCCATCACTGTTCATGAAGAGTAGTTCGACCAGGCCGGTGGGACTGTTGAAGATTTTGGCAGTCGTGTTGTAGATGGCTTTGTAGCCTTCCAGGACTGTGTCTTCGTATGTGGTGTTTGGGGCGCAAGAGTCCATTTTCGATTGGATGCTTGATAGTTCGGATTGTAGGGTGTCCGTGTAGATGTTGCTTGCGTTTACGTAGGCGACGGCTGAGTCGATGTATGTTAGGAAGAGGGGGTTGTTCTGGGTTTGTTAGATATTGTTTAAGATAGAGGCAATTTCAAATTGTATAGATTGAGGGCGGTGGTGCTGGCTTACCCTTTCACTGCCGTTGTCGTAGAAGATTGATCCGGCTGTTTCGGCATCTGTGGTCCATTTTATGGTAGCGCTCTGGTTGGGGTTAGTTATGCATTGACTTTTGGTAATAGGAGTCAAATCACGTACGATGTGGTCCTGGAGATGCTGGCCAACACCGGGAAGTTCGTGGACAAGATCAACTCCAGCACTGGATAGGACATCCTTCGGTCCAACTCCACTGTGAAGAAGAACTGCCGGACTACCAACAGAGCCCGCGGCTAAGATGACTTCCTTGGTAACGTTGATGGTATTTTTCGTCGTGCCGTTGTCAGGCGTGTACTCGACCGCGTTGGCGGTTAGGTTGGACGAATTATCGAAGATAATGCGTGTGACGTGCGCGTTGGCTAGGACATCATAGTTGCCACGATCAGGGAGCGGGTCAAGATAGCCAGTCCGACTGTATGATCGGGTCCAATTGCTCGGGTTGATGCATGATGTCGAGACTTCTGCGCCCCAGTTCGAGCCTCCGTACATATCGTCAGAGATGGGGATTCCGATGTTTGCACAGGCTTCTGACCATTGGCCGACTTGGTCGAATGAGCTGAGGTAGAATTAGCGGTTCACTCGTCTCCAGTGGTGTAAAAATGTATGTGGGAGTTCTTGTGAGCATACAATCCAGGATAAGAGGCGTGGATCGGACCATCGCCACCGTGAGTCGATGAATCCCATGTGATATCCGCCTGTGTTTTGACATCGTCTGTTGGCGGCGAGAAAGTCTCACTCTTCTTCATAGCGGAATAGAAAGAGTCCCACGACCAGTTTTCCGCACCGTCCATATCGCCCAGCATACTCTGCCACGCGTTAATCTCATTCTCGCCCGGCCGAGTCATGTACAACCCATTGATAGCCGAACTACCACCCAGCACTTTTCCGCGGGGCCAGTAGATCTCGCGATCGTTTACATTGGGTTGCGCGACGGTGTAGAAGCCCCAATTCAACGGTGTTGTCCAAAGGGAGTCGAAATATGAGTATGCCGGGGTATCTAGATGAGTTGTTAGATGGCGCGATAAGGGTAAGGAGTATAGGAGTACTATGCAGAGCTGAACCTACCAATTCGATTCCGATATTCATCTCCATTACCACCGGATTCCAGTACCAACACTGTGTGGTTTGTATCTTCTGCCAGACGTCCTCCAAGCACGAGGCCAGCCTGACCTCCGCCGATCACGACAAAATCGTAGGAATCGGCGATCTCCGTGCGCGGAGATAATGCGAGCGCGAAAGGCGCGACAAGGCCCGCGAGAAGCTGAGCAGACTGCACCAAACGCATTATGATGAGGGCGATGTGCGAGAAAGATTGGCAAAAGTTGACATCGAACAGGCAAGAAAGAGGAGCAGTCGAGTAGGTCGGAGAGGAGAGAAGAGGGCTGGATTAGTAGACTGCTGCTGCCAGTGCTGATCTACAGCACTACGACAGGAAATGGAAAAATGGCAAACGAAAGCAAGAAAGAAAAAAAAAATATGATTCCAAGAAACTGCGCTATCGAAATAAACAACCGACGCCTAGCCCCTCCTCCCAAGGTTAAACTACGAGTAGCTTGACGCTGTTACGCTCCGCGGTCGTGCAGTAGTCCACCAGACCAGCACGCGACGATATTGGCCGAGCCCTGAAGCCCCCGAGACAAGGCGGGGGCTATGATTCAAGATCTCCAGCTATCATCGTCCAATGGGCAAATTAGATCTCGATAAGGTGAAACAGACCTGACGCAATCCGTGGTAAGGATTTGATATCATGGCGAAACCACGGCTCTATCGCAGATTTTTCAGGGGTATCCGATTTGGTTCGATTCAGCGTGGTACCCAGCACGATCGATCGGGGAATGGTAGATGCACATACATACAGCAGGCAAATCCACGGGAAAATATTCGGCAGAAGCAACTAGTAAATTATTAGTGCTGGAATTAGTGAAGTGTAGACGGTCGCACAGAGGGGGATCTCCACGTTGCTAGGCAGGTCCGTGTGTTGCTATGTCCCATCCACCGCCTTTTGTCGGCCCATTATCGCCAGCCTAAGAACAGGAACAGCAGAGGGAAGAGACCGAGACCGAGTGCCTGAGTGGGCTGGAAGTGGGTTTGGTGGGTTGGTCGGTCGGTGGTTGATTCTTCCCCGAGGTCCGCACGGATAGGAAGGTCGCTAGTTGATCATCCTTAAAAACAGGGAAGTCTAGAGCCCCGCCTGGATGGAAATTCCGATTCTAGATGCTCCGCTTTATGATGTTTTCTTTGTTCAGGTTTCTTTTGCGGTGCCACATGCCACACTCCACTTTTTTCGATTTTTGATTTCACTTTTCGACGGGCCGGTGGGTACTACAGCAGGGAAATCATGATATCAATGCTTAATTATGAAACACTCATCCTGACCGATACTAAAAAGGAAGGAGTAATTCTGCCTCTGGGATTGATTGTCTTCTACTATGTAGTATATAAATATTCTTTTTCATACTCGTAATGCGACTGCCGAGCTGCAGATTAGCCTCAACCTCGCCACACCACCGGCAGTTTTCTGCAGGGGTTTTAAACCAATCATAGCTATGCAATCACACAGCCACGTAGACGGCCACCTCATCGCAAATTCAACTCTGCGAGGTGCAAGACAACGTGAAAGCTAAAGCAGTTTTGACATTATTGAGCACCGGTTTATACTCTTGTACACCCGTCAAAATGACCCACCACAGACAACCCTATGACGACCCCGCTCAAATCCAGCATGGCAACCGCGTCACCGAGCTCAAGGGAAAACACTCCAGTTCAATCGAGGGATCAAAGAGTACGGATAACGGGCGAGATACTGAAAATCAATTATCTCCATTCCTTCGGTTGGGGCCCTCCTGGGCAGAGATACGTCAGGAGTGGCAGGATGGGTCACGGGCCAAAGTGATCGTCTGGTTTGCCGTGGTTTCCCTCTTTGGTTGGTGTTTGGGTCAAGGGATTAGCAAGATGATCTAGACACACAGGAGTCCTCTGTTTCTCGTGCGGGGATTGACGGGCCAAATTGTTCTATGATTGGGATTGAGTAAAGCCCGGGGGGGGGGGGTCATTCGCTTGGGTCAACGTCTATTCAAAGTCTGTTGGGGGATTCGGCTATGCTTTTTTTACGATTGAATGTCCATCGTTTACTTTTTGCTTTATACTGGTACTACTCAGGCTACACATCTTCAACTTGCGGGTTTACTATTTATCACTTTCATGTTCCAGTGCAAAAACAATTGATTTCTTCTCTCTCAAATTATCGGTCTCAATAAAACAATATCAGTCGCAATAAAGCAAAATTAGTCAATAAACATGCAAACAACTTGCCTAGTAAGTCAAATCTCTATGCCGCAGGAACGGGCTCAATATCAAACCGAATGTGAAGCCGCCTATCGTGATTCAGAAGGTCGGCTGTCCATGTAACGATCCGAGTAATGCGACGAGTGCCCCGGGAAATGCACCCAAGACCAAGTATGCGATGAGTTTCCCAATACGAGAGCCTAAGAGGCCGTCATATTCCGGGGTATCATAATCCCAGGTCTCAGGCTTTTGTTTCGGCCATGTGAGTCCAGGCCGAGTATTCCCGGTATATAATCCCCTCCTCACGAAGGGATTTGTCTCAGCATTTACAACCTGTTGAACAAAAACATGTCGCAAAGTATTCATGTTGAAGTTCCGGGTATAAAGGGCCTGTGTTAATTCAGAAATCTGGTAAGCATTCGAGTTTCTAGTACGACGAATGGCACATATAACAATCACACCTGGACCAGTATCTCCAATCCAAATAAAGTTGGGGGCTCGAATCTGAAGTGACCAGTATACTGGGCCCGGCGCTATTCCAAGATCTTTTGCCTGGTCCACGAAATCCTCACACATAACATTACATCTAGGTGGTAGCACATAAGGAAAATTCGCCTCCACCTGTTGGATTGTCAGTGTTGATGGGTTAATAGGGCAGTTTGGCGCTGCGGGGTCATCTATCCACTGGCGTCGCAGCTCCCCATGTGCTTGCAGTCGTCCATATGGGAGAGGATACTCGGCATTCGGAATCCAGGGATCAGGCGTTATTGCCATAGCTTGAAGCGGACCACTAGATGGTGGTGGTGCTGCTGCTGCTACTGGAAACCCTGGGAGTTGCTGCCACATAAAAGGGGGTGTGATAGTCGACGGACCAGCTAATGGGACGATAACAGGTGTTGACAGAGGGGCGGCAGGAGATGCTCCAGTGTAACCAGGAGATGATGCCGCATCATCTTCTTCCTCCTCCTCGGGAATAGGAGCTAGTGAAGTTGGAGCTGGAACAGGAGCTGGACCTTGACCTGGAGCAGGGTTCAAAGCAGCTGTAATTCTAGCCGCCTGCTGAGCTTGACGCTGTGTCTCTGTCGGCATCTCTTGCAGTTCAATATTATCATTTCCTGTCTGGTTTGCAATCTCATGCTGGGCGAATCTGCAAAAGGCAAGAGAACAAACGGTAGTGCAAGCAGTACACAAACCATCGAAGATAGCCTCGCCAACACCTCTGGCTTCCTCATTGCCTTGCTCACCTTCACGGGCTCTATCCATGCCCCGGTGGGCAGCTCCCATGCATGATCCGCACAGGCAATCGAACATAGCATCGCTCAAGCGTCGAGCCATGATGAAGTGTTGTAGGTAGTGGTGGTAGTAGTGGTAGTAATTATAGTAGTAATGGGCGTAGTAATAGTAGTTAATACTGTGCGTGAGTAGTCGACTATCTATATCCAACAGCTGGTAGCTGTTGAATAGGTGAAATAGCCCTTAGTACTCGCGGTGGAGTACTGAATGCTGCTAGTGAGCTTGATGCATCTCTAATCCAGGTTATTTGAGGCATATTTATATCTCGAAGTCGATGAGTTTGTTGAGAGAAATTCTACAAGTAAGAGGCTCTATCTTGCAAAAAATTTGATTGTTAATCTTCGAGTTCGAGTTCGCTTCATACAAGTTCCGATAAAACAATGTCTGGAAGATGTCTTGCAAAGACAAAGAGCTTCGAATTTGAACAACAATCCGACTGAGAACAAAAAAGCTTAAATTAGATATAGATCAAAGGTTTCAGGATATAATCTTATTGCAGACAATGAAAAAAGAGAGTTCCTTTGAGAAATGTGTTAGGCAAAGTTGAGCAGTCACCAAGATGGGATTACTCGCGCATAGGGCTGGAGGGTAGTCAAGGAGCCCCTGACTGACTCGTGACAGCGGCAAACCCTCTCAGGCCAAATTGACTGTGATCAATGCATAACGGAGCTCACCCCGGTCAATGCAGTCAATGCAGTCAATGCAGGATCAAATGCATTTTTGTGCGCGGACCTCGGCTTCCCCGCAGAATGGCGGCCCCATGCAGATCAGCAGGAGCTGCTTCATTTACTGCGAACACCCACGTCCTCGAGTCTGCGTTGCAGCATAGTCAATCCACTCTCAGCAGTGAGACAGTACGATAGAGCCCCAGTACACCATTGCCCCACTGTTCTAACTACTTAATTTATCATGTCATCGCCAGCAAAGAAGTGGTTTTCCAATGAAGGTAAGCAGGCCCGACCACATCCACCAGGGGAAGAGCAGAGAAGAACTAACTCTTCACAGGCTTTACGGCAGACGTTCTGGGCAAGCTTATATCCCGAACACTCCTGAGTCCCTGGAAAATCGTCCCAATACTAGCACTAGCTCAATACACCATCAAGGGTCGAGAAATCATTGAGTCACGCCCTCACCTCCTCAAAGCGCTCCGGGCCCTGGCAACCCTAGCCATCCTAGGACGACTCGGCGCCTGGCTCGACCACCGCGCCATCAACAATGGCCAAAAAGACCACTACGACTGGAACCGCGAAGTAGTCATCCTAACCGGGGGCAGCGGAGGTATCGGCCGACATGTGGCGCAAATGCTCGGGGAGCGCGGTATCAAAGTTGCCATTCTAGACATCACGGCGCCAGACACCGCTCTACCCAACAGCGTGCGCTATTTCAAGTGCGACATCACTTCCGCGGCGGATATTAAGGAAGTTGGCGCCGCGATCCGGGCCTCATTCGGTCGGCCGACGATCCTGATCAATAATGCGGGCATTTTGACCGGTAAAACGATCCTCGGTACGACCGAGGCCACAACGCGACGCATGTTTGAAGTCAACACGCTCTCGCACTACTGGCTGGCGCAGGAATTTCTGCCTGATATGATTGCGCAGAATCATGGGATGGTGGTGACGGTTGCTTCACAGGCGGGATATACGACGACGCCTAATATGGTTGATTATTCTGCTTCGAAGGCTGGGGCGATTTCGTTTCATGAGGGTCTTGCGGCGGAGTTGGTGACGAGGTATGATGCGCCGCGGGTGCGGACTGTGTTGGTTACGCAGGGATTTACGAGGACGCCGCTTATTGGGGTTTTGACGCCGGAGGATACTTGGTTTAATCCGTTGTTGGAGCCGGAGACGGTGGCTGGGGGCATTGTTAGGCAGGTTCTTAGTGGGGAGAGTGGGAGTGTGGTTGTGCCTGGGTCGGCGGGTTATTTGTGTCATCGTCTTCGTGGGTATCCACTGTGGCTTCAGCATGGATTGCGGTGTCGATTGGAAAGGTTGGTTCGGGCTGGTCAGTAGGTAGTACAGTGGTGAATGGGAGTAGGTAGGAATTGTCAATATCTGTGAATTTTGTGTACTACTACTCTTCATAGTGGCACATGTACTAACTTGAACTGGGTATACTAGTAGTAGTAGCCCTGGGTACGTTAACTTGAATGTATATAAATTGAAAGTGCCACCATGACCTCGGATGTATATAGTTGCCCTGGGCAGTACTGGTACTACTACATATCCCCCACCCCTTATTACCTAGGTAAGTACTACTAGTATATTCCCAATTAAGTGTGAACTGAGCAATTAATGAATACTAATACTGTATCACCTAGATACAGTATAGTATACCTAGGTACATACTATACTATACTATACTGTATGTACTTCTGTTATGCACCGCTCTGTTGTCGTGGCACGTGCACTTTCCTCACCGCGATTTGATTCGCTCCACTCGTTCGCTTCAGCTCGATTCCTCTCTGCCTTTGCCTTCTGCATTCCTTCTGCATTCTTCGCACTCGGACTCTGCACAATTTGACAGCATTACGCAGGTAATCTTTGAGTTGAGTAGTAACTAGTACTACTACTGATGTTCTAGGTACGACTCCTGTGGTTCCCCGATCTCACTGATCTCGTCTCACCATCAGCCCTCTCAGTGGGTTCACCAGTCCCGCTTGGGCCGAAGATCCACGGTTCAGCTCCGTTGTTTACTCCCCCCCAAACAAACCATAACATCCTCCGCTTTTTACTTCCACCTTCAAGTTCAACCCTCACCAACCTCCAACTTTACCTTCAATCGACATTCCATTCCCCCCCCCACCCTCCCCTCACATTCCCCCACATGGTGTCTCTCTCTCCTCCTAATTAATTGCCCACCATGTTCAAAGCCCTCATGGGCGGGGGCAACCGGTCGTCCTCCGACGTCCGAAGCACCACCAGCTCCAGCTCCAAGTCCAGCCGTCGCAAGACCGATTCCAAGTCCACACATAGCCGCAAGTCCTCACGGGGTGACGACCGTGATCGCGGCCTGGGTGACTTGGTTGACTATGAGCCCTCTGCTTCCGGGAGCCGCCGTACTGCTCCAAGCGCCGCTGGTGATTCTGTCGCTTCCTTCGTGACCGCCGAACCCGAGTCCTACGATTCCCCCGATCGCATCATCGAGCGGACCCCCAAGCGCAGAGATAGCGATCGAGAGAGCAAGGCCTCTCGCCGCCGTGACCGCGACCGATCCGAGAGTCGCGATCGTGACCGTGACCGTGAACGTGAAAAGAGAAAAAGCCGCCGAGCGACCGATGACGATTTGGATCGCGAGGACCGCCGTGAGCGCCGGCGCACACATTCGGGAGACCCCTATATGCCATCCAGTGCTCCTGGCGCTCAATTTGCCGCCGATGTGGCAGCGCCTGGCTTTTCACAATTCCCCGGCCAATACGACAGTGGAATGCCGCCGGCGGCCTTCTCGCCCGCCCACGACTCTTCTCCATCGCCGTATGACCCTCATGTACAACAACAATTCCCTGGTCAATTCCCCACCGGCACTGCAGAGCCATATATGCCCCCGAATCCCGCCGGTGCTGCCGCAGATTATTATGGTGACCAAGGCCAGTCCGTTGAGCAGCAACCTGGCATCCGGCCGCCTGAGCCTCTGGTAATCCCCGCTCATCAAGCGCATTTGCAAGCCGCGTCTCCTACTTCCAACCCCCCGCCAGAGCCTAGCAGTGTTGGTGCAGTCGGTGCGGCCGCCTCTTATTTCGATGATGCGGGTCCCGTCGAGTCGCAAGCCGTTCCTTCAAAGCCCTCCAAGCCTTCCAAGCCTTCCAAGCCTAGCAAGCCTTCTGCCAGCGCGGTCCCTGCAGCAGCACTAGCAGCCACCGCGGGAGCTGCAACATATGGTTTGGGACACGCCTCGTCCTCCTACGAAGACACCCAGTCCCAGCATTCCAACTCTGCCTATCACCAATCAGCTTCGTACTCGCAGCCGGCTGCCACTAGTACCAGCAAGCCGCCAAAGCCTTCTACATATGGTATTGGTCCCGGCGTTGGAGTTGCAGCAGCAGGTGCAGCAGCAGGATATATGCTCGGCCATCAGCATCACTCCTCGAGCCCGGAGAGCGCGTCTCAATATGCTCATCAACATCAGCATCAGCATCAGTATCAGCACTACGGGGACTCTTCCCAGGCTGGTCTGCCCCCATATGCTTCCGGTTCTCATAATGCCATGATGGCAACGGGAGCTGCAGGTGCAGCGGCGTATGCTGCCCATGCTGGTCATTCTCATTCTCATTCGCACCCAATCTCGCACCGTCCAGGATACTACCCCTACGCGCCCGGTGGTCTTGCATATCAACAGCGCCAGCGAGGTCCCCTCTCGAAATTCGTGGACTTCTGGCGCGACCCGGAAGCTGTGGGACGATTCGAGGACTACACCGAAACCATTGGTGTCTGCAAGTACTGCTTTGATCCGCAAACCACCTCAATTGATGCGCCTCGCAAACATCACTATGATCGGCGTCGACACTCTGCCGATCGCTACAGCGCTAGCAGTTCTTCCCGAGTGAGCAAACTCAGTCGATACCATTCTTCGGAAGATGAAAGTCGGCGCAAGCGATCGAGCAAGAAGTCGTCCTCGTGGTTGCCGGGCATGCTGGCTGGCTACGCCACAAAGTCAATCTTTGCTGGAAAGGATTTTGATGACTCCTACAGTGTTCGCTCTGGTCGTATGGCTGGTGACCGTGTCTCTCACGATGGTGATGATCTCTCCAACTCCGACCGCAGAAGCTATACTTCGCGTGGTGTTGTCCGCCGGTCCGAACGCAGCCCACAGCGAGAGTACCACTCAGACAGCAAGCATTCTCGACGGACCCGTTCTCGCTCGCGATCTTCCTCCCGATCTGGTCGTCATTCGTTTGTCAAGAAAGCCGCCTTGGGTGCCGCTGTTGGTGCCGGTGCTCTTGCTGTCGCGAAACATCACAATCGAAGCCGTAGCCGCTCTCCCTCGCGCACGCAACGCCGCAAGGAATCATCTTCCGACTCTTCCTTTGTCGACTTTTCTCGACCTGCTCCCAAGTCTGTTGGAGGTTTTACCTCTTTCTTCACATCCAGCTCTGAAAATCGTGCGAGGAAGCGAGAGTTGAAGAAGACTAGCAAGAAGAAGAAGAAGACCAAGCGTGGATTTTTCTCATTCAATAGTTCCTCGTCTTCCGATCTTGATGCCGACCTAGCTTTTGGAACTGGATTTTCGAAGAAGTCTAAGTCTAAGAAGGAGAAGAAGAAGGGCAAGAAGGACGAAGATATCAATGCAGCACTTCTTGGCTTGGGTGCTACTGCCACTGCTCTTGCTGCTTCATCTCCTAATCGTCGCAGCACTGGTCAAATGCTAGCTGGCAGGGAATCTCGCTCTCGTCACTCCCAGTACGCTTCGTCTGCGAACGAGGATGCAGAATGGATTGACGCCGATTCTTCTGAAGACTCTCCATCGAGCGTTAGCTCCGCCCTGGCTTTCGGTGGTGCTCACAGCAGCGATTCTCATTCCGACTCCAGTAGCAGTCGTGGAGGCTGGGGTTGGAGATGGGGAAGCAAGAAAGACAAGAAAGACAAGAAAGAGAAGAAGGAGAAGAGTTCTGCCGCCAATGCTGCTATGGCCGTTGGTGCTGGTGTTCTCGGAAGTGCTGCTATTGCTTCGGTTGCTCACCAACGCGATAGTCGTCCATCTAGCCAGGCTGGTAGCCTGCAGCAGGTTTATCCTGTGCCTACCTCCGATCCTTCTCGCTTTGACGTTGCCAACATGTCTCCATCTGTCGTCTCCGGTGGTCAAACTCCTCTCGTCCGCCCGGACCGATTCCCCTTCAGCAGCCACAGCCTGTCACGCCTGTCTCTCAAGCCATTTACACCTCTCAAGGCACCATGCCAGTCTCTATTCCCGCTTACAGCGCACCTGTTGTCCCTGCTATCTTTGCCAATGAACAAGATCAGTACGACTCTCGATTCCAAGCCTCTCGGGATCCTGCCTGGAGTCGAGATGATGCCGATATTCGCAAACCCCGCCGAAGCGACTCCTCTCCGGTTTTCCCTACTCAAGAGACTGCATCGAGCCTCAAGCGCCGCTCTACGACTAAAGACCAAGCCTCTGTTTCTTTCAACCTGACCGACGAGCAAGCCGAGCGCGAACGCCGTCTCAACCGCCGTGACCAGAGATCACGCGAAGACTTCCACGGCGATCAATCAGTCCAGTTGATCGACCGCGAAGAAGAGGATGCTCAGCGAGATGCAGACCGTCGCGAGCGCCGTCGTAAGGACCCAGAGGAAGAAGGGCGTCGCGAGAGCGGAAAGGACAAGAGCTCTTCCTCATGGGTTGAAGCAGCTGCCATTGGGGCCATTGGCGCAGTTGCAGTCGGTGCCCTTACCTCTTCTCATAAGTCTGACAACGCCTCTGAGATTAGCTCTCAGCGCGTTTCTCGTAGTGAGAAGCGTCGAGCGGAAAGAAGACAGCAAGGTGACGCCGAATCGTCCATTGTGTCGAGATCTGACATCCCAGAGCCCGTTGAGAGGGTATCATCTGTGGAAACCCGTGATGCGGAAGGCAAGCGTTCATCTCGCAAGACCGCCTCTCCATCCCCTGTCCATGATAACTACGCCGAATTCTACGCGCCTTCCGAAATTCGTCACAGTCCAGATGAACAAAAGACTCGCGATGTTGCTGAGCAGCCTTCGATCGTTGAAGTCGTCCCTGCTTCCGTCCGCAAGGCCCGCGGAGAATTGCGCGATGAAGACATGTCACGATTCGGACAAGAACCTTATGAAAATCACGAAGGACTTCCGTGGCCGGTTCCACGACTTAATTACATTGATCCCACCCCCCCCTGTTAGCGTGAATGGATCTGCTCTGGGCATGTCGACCCCTACCTCCGCAGCGCGAGCCCCCGAAACCGAACAACTCGTCGAGTACGTCGAACCCGAAGAGCATGTTGAGCATGCCGAACAGGTCGAGCCTCCCGAACCCGTTGCGCGTAAGCAGCGTGAGCGTCCATCAACTGGCTCTCGTGTTTCCTGGGGCGAGCACTCAACCCACGAGTACGAAGTGCCTTCTTCCTCCGAGCAAGATCCGCTTGAGCATGACATCTCTCCCATGGAAGACAACGCCAGAGACCTTTCTCTGGGCGACCTGGAGCAATTTAAGTCCAAGTCCAAGGATGTCAGCTCCAAGTCTGGTTACGGCGATGACATCGAATTCGCTGCCATCGTTGCCGCTGGAACTGAAGCAGCCGGCTTCGATCCCTCCTTCATCATCGATGATCCGAAGTACCACACCCGCACTTCCCCACCCGGCTCAGGTGATGAAGGAACATTCTCTCCGCGATCGAACTGGGCTACTCAGAATCCCGAAAGCCACGGCTACGTCGAGGGCGAAGTCGGCAGCTATGATCGCCAGTCCAGAGATATCGGCCCTATTACCAGCGACCCATTCTCCGCTAAAGACAATGATCTTTCTTCATCCCCAACTCGCGAGCGCAGTTCCATTGCCCAGGAGGTAATTGAACAATTAAACGGCAAGCCTCGCCACGAATCTCTCGATGACCACAATGTTTTCTCCATGCCTGGTGGATTTGGTGATGATGAGCCTCGCAATATTGAACCTCGTGATGATTCATACTCGGCTGTTTCTGCTCCTGTTTCAAAGGAGGATAAGAAGAAGTCCAAATCTAAGAAGTCTCGTCGTAGCGGCGATGATATTGATTTCTCTCGGGAACTGCCCCGTGATGTTCAGCCTTTTGCGGAAGAGACTCCTGCTGATGTCCCCCGAGATGTCGAGGTTCCGTATGATACCTACTCGGCTGTTTCTGCTCCCGTTAGCAAAGAGGACGAGAAGAAGTCCAAATCCAAGAAGTCTCGTCGTAGCGGCGATGATATTGATTTCTCTCGTGACCTGTCTCGCGACGTTCAGCCGTTTGGAGAGGAGGCTGTTGCTGATGCCCCCCGAGATGTCGAGGTTCCGTATGATACCTACTCGGCTGTTTCTGCTCCTGTTTCAAAGGAGGATAAGAAGAAGTCCAAATCTAAGAAGTCTCGTCGTAGCGGCGATGATATTGATTTCTCTCGGGAACTGCCCCGCGATGTTCAGCCTTTTGCGGAGGAGACTCCTGCTGATGTCCCCCGAGGTGTCGAGGTTCCGTATGATACCTACTCGGCTGTTTCTGCTCCCGTTAGCAAAGAGGACGAGAAGAAGTCCAAATCCAAGAAGTCTCGTCGTAGCGGCGATGATATTGATTTCTCTCGTGACCTGTCTCGCGACGTTCAGCCGTTTGGAGAGGAGGCTGTTGCTGATGCGTCCCGAGACGTCGAGGTTCCTTATGATAAATACTCGGCTGTTTCAGTACCCGTCGGACAGGATTATGAGAAGGCAAAGTCAAAGAAGTCTCGTCGCAGTGGCGATGATTTTGATATCTCTCGTGATCAGCCTCGCGACGTCGAACCCTATTCTAAGGCTCCCCGTGTTGATTCTCCTCGGGATGTTTTTGACGACCGATATGATTCGCGCTCGGCTGTCTCTGCTCCTCTCGAGAGAGACTCGGAGAAGTCGACCAAGTCAAAGAAGTCCCGCCGAAGCGGTGATGATTTCGACCTGCCTCGTGACTTGCCCGCTGATCTGACCCGCGAAAATGTTTCTCCCGAAGATGATGAAGGTAGTGATGAGAAGAAGAAGCGGCGCAAGCATCGCTCCAAGCGTGATAGCGATACTTTCTCCGTTGATGACGATGCCCGATCCGCCGTGACCTCCTATGAGGATGCGGATAAGTCTGAGCGCCGCAAACACCGCCATCGTTCTTCTGGCCTTCGCGACTTTGATGACAATGCTTCAATCACCTCGTCTCCCGCAATTATTGACGAGACGCGTGAGAAGCGCCGCAGTAAGGACAAGGATGAGAAGCGATCCAAGCGTGAGAGCGACCCTTTCTCCGTGGACGATGATGCCCGATCTGTTGTGACCGCTTATGAAGAAGGAGACAAGTCTGAGCGTCGCAAGCACCACCGCCGCCATCGCTCCTCTGGTAATGACTTTGATGACAATGCTTCCATCACATCTTCTCCCGCACGTATTGATGAAACACGAGAGAAGCGTCGGAGCACTAGCAAGGAAGACAAGGAAAAGAATCCTTCTGGGTTCCTGCGCAACCTCTTTGGTTCGCGCGTCTCAGCACCTGCCGATGACAGAAATCGCTCTACCTCCTCCTTAGAGAAGCATTCATCTCGGGAGGCAATGTCAGAGGCTGGCGTTGACGACGAACGGCGCCGCCACAAGAAGCGCTCTTCCAAGTCGCGCAGCTCCAGCCGTGGATCGAAGCGGGATGATTTTGATTCGGACAAGGATGCAGAGCTCCGGGATGGTACCAATCTGGAAGAGTATCGATCACGTCGGCAAGAGAAGGAAGAGCGCCGTCGCCATCGGTACGAGGAGATCGTTGAATCTGGGAAACGAAGGGATAATGAGAAGGTATAGCATCTGAAATTTTTCTTTTCTTTTTCTTGATGACATGTTTGAATTTGATTCTTGTACACTGTTATGTGCCATATTTAGTTGCCCCTTTTGTTGGATTGGTTTTTGGTGGCCTTCCCCAATGCATATGATGACCATGTTCCCCCCCAAAAAAGCAAAAACAAAAACAACGAATATTATGCTAAGCATTTCTTTTGGTATTATTCCATGTGCAGGACGGAAAGCCTTCCGATTATAATGACGACCGCGACGACTCTTTTTTTAGGGGAGCGCCCCGAAATGCCAGCCGCCGCTGAGCGCGATGACCGTGGTGCTTCGGGGCTTGAATCGTTTGCAAAGGGAGCAGCCATCTCAGCGGCTGGTCTAGCATTAGGTGAGAACCTCTTGCACCAACGACCTCGCAGTCGCTCCACATCCCCTCCAGCCGCAGACAAAACCGCCCTCGATCTGGCCCCGAAGTCCCAGAGTAGACCCTCCTCCCCAGAAGCCACTCGAAATGCAACAGTAGCAGCATCATCATCTGGAGGAGAAGACATCACTCGCGGCCGCAGCCATTCCACTGCACGATCCATCACCGAATCACCCACAGCAGTCCCCTTGCACTTCCGCCGCCCACCGTTATCCCCCGGCCTCTCGCGTGCGGTGCCAGTACCAGTGCCAACGACAGAATCACCACCACCAGCTGTACCATCACCAGGCTCGCCTACCCAGCGCCACCGCCGCCTGAACTCCGTCGAGTTCCGCAACTCGCGAGAGATCCGTCCTCTCTGGCTCGTCGAGCGTCACGGCTCAAGTAAAGCCGAACCCGAGGCAGACGAACCACTCCCCTCTCTACCATCCAGCAAAACCTCCTCCCGCGCCCCCTCTGTCGAAGACCTCCGCGCCCTAAACCAGGAGGATGGAGTCCGGAGCTGGGAAAATGTCGACCTTAGCCACTCCATCATGGAGAATCGTCGACCAGCTGGCCTCACTATCTCGACTGACCATGACCGAGACGTCGACGTCGATCGCGAACTCGACGTTCTCGATTCCCAGCAGGCAACGCCAACAGCGGAGAATTTCGCACATGTCCCCGAATCAGCTAAGAAGGAGAAATTGAAGTATGAATTCCATTCTCCGTCTGAATTGCTGCAGGATCCGAACTCTTATCCTGAAATTCCTTCTTCGCCTACGATGAAGAATTTGCCTTCGGCTGAGGGGTCGATGGTTGGTGGGAAGCAGCAGGAGCATGATGAATATGAATCTGCTGTTGAAGGTGAAGGTGGTCAGCATGAGAATACCCGTGAACTTGATCTTGAACAACCTGCTCAACTTGATGTTGACGTCGATGTCGATGTGAATGTGGCCGACCAGCAACTCGGAGAACCAGGTACCGCCATTGAAGAAAAAGGTCCTGAAATTTTCGCACCTGAAGAGTCCATTGAGCAGGAAGCAGATAAGGATATTGTTCCCGAGTCTGCAGAGCCAGAGCAACCCGTTGAGCCTGTTCAAGAGCAACCCACAGCTACAGAGGAACCGGTTGCAGAGGAGCCGGCGACTACGTCTTCTTCAAAGAAGAAAAAGAAGAAGAATAAGAAGGGGAAGAAGGATCAAGTTAGCGATAGCGTTGATTTGTCTTCTGAGTCTGCTCCGGTTGTTGAGGAACAGGTTCCTGTTCCTGGTCTGGAGGTTGAGGGTGGATCTCGTTCTATTGAGCCTGAAGCTATTCCTGCTCCTGTCGAAGAGGCTCCTCTCCCTGTCGAAGAGGCTCCAGCTCCCGTTGAAGAGGCTCCCGCTCCTGTGGAAGAGGTTTCTGCTCCTGCTATACCCGAGCCAGAGGCTGAGCCAATTCAAGTCTCTAGGGAAATCGAGGCTGAGCCAATTCCCGCTCCCACCGAGCCCGTTGACTCCGCTGCCATTGAGTCTACACGAGAGATCGATACAACTCCTGTCGAGCCCGCTGAGACTAACCTCGAAGAGCCTGCTGTTGAAGCTCAGCCTGAGCCTGAAGTCCCCATGACCGCAGCGCAGAAGAAGAAAGCCAAGAAGGACAAGAAAAAGAAGTCGAAGGGTCTCTCCAGTGCGGAGCAAGCAGAGAATGCTGTCACAGATGTTGCTCCTGAACAATCGCCAGAGCAGGCCCAAGACCAACAAGAAACTATTCTTGAGCCTGTCTCGGAGTCTACCCCTGCTGTTGAGACTGAGTCTACGGAAAAGGAAATCCCCGAAGCTCCAGCTCCAGCTGAAGAAGTGTCTTCTGATGCCCAAGAGACTCGCGAAATTGTTGACACTACCGAACCAGTTATTGCCGAGAACCTTGAGCATGATGTTCCCAGCTTTACTGAGCAGTCAGAGCCAGTGGTGGAGGACGCTGAAAAGTCTACCGAAGTGCCAGCATCTGACTCCCGTGAGATCGAAGAGTCAGAGCCCGTCTTCTCCGAGGCCCAAGAATCAGCCCTGCCGGAGCAAAATGTCGATACCCCTCCAGCCCCCACTGAGCCAACAGACAAGACCGCCGAATCAGACGAAGACATGTTCCACGAGACTGTCCAGGAGCAGCCTGTCACCACCGAGGAGATCAAAGATATTCCCTCCGACCAGCCAATTGAAGAGCAGCCCACAGTCCCAGTCGAGCAGCCCGAGGAACCCAAGCCTGAAGAAGCAGTGGAAGAAGCAGGTTCAAAGAAGAAGAACAAAAAGAAGAAGAAGAAGAACAAGTCTGCTACTGAAGAGACGGATCTTCCTTCTGAATCCAAACCTGCTGATCCCGAGCCTGGACAGGAACAGGAACAGGAACAGGTTGCCGAAGATGTCAAGCCTGAGAAATCAGCTTCCGGTGAACCTGCTGATTCCCAGGATGTTTCTGCTGCTGCTGATGTTCAGCCTGAGCTTGGTCCTGAACAGCTTAGCAAGGAAATCGTTGAGCCTTCTTCTGAGGAGTCTCCTGCTGTTCAGGAACCCGAGTCTGTCCTTGATCACGTTGAGCCTGCTCCTGAGTCTGTCGAACCTGCTCCTGAATCTATCGAGCCTGTTGAACCTACTTCAGAATCTATTTTCCCCGCCGCTGAGCCCGCCGAGCCTATATCCGAGCCAATTGAAGCTGTCTCAGAGCCTCAACCCACAGAGGAGACTCGCGAAATCCCAGTCGAACCTGCTTCTGAAACTGCCCCTGAGGCCGAGGCTGAGGCTGAATCTGAAGTTCCAATGACCGCTGCGCAGAGAAAGAAAGCCAAGAAGGACAAGAAAAAGAAGGCTAAGCAGAGTGTTTCTTCTATTCCCGAGGAAGAAAAGCCCGCTGATGCCCAGCCTGCGCCTCAACCTGCTGAATCTGAGCCTCTTCAGTCCGCTGAACCCGCTGAACCCGCTGAACCCGCTGAATCCGTTGAGCCTTCCGAGCCAGTCGAGCCCGTTCCGCCAGTCGAATCCGCCGAGCCTATTGAAGCAACCCCGATTGTCGAGGACACCCCCCCTGTTGAAGCTCCAGTCGAAGATATTGCCAAAGAAATCGAAGTTGCTCCTGAAGCAGTAGCAGAGGAAGTCGCTGCTGCCGAAGAGAAACAAGATGATTCGGTCCAGCCGGAGCAGCCAAAGGAACTTGAACAGGAAGACTCTGCCCCTGCTGAGGAGACAGCTGTCGACGTTCCTGCTGACGTTGAAATCTACGAGCCCGCAGCAGAGCAGCCCGAAGTTCCTCAAGAGCCCCAAGAGCAGCCTGCTGAACAAGAACCTGTTGCCGAGCCTGAGGCGGAGGTTCCTATGACAGCAGCTGAGAGGAGAAAGGCCAAGAAGGCTAAGAAGAAGCAGCAGCAGAAGGAACAAGAAAATGTTGATGTGGTTGCTGACGACGCACAAGCCGTTGAGACTGTGCTTGCTCCCAACCCTGAGACTGAAGCAACCAAGGAAACAGAGGCCACCGCTGACGCCGAAATTCCTGTAGCTGAAACTCTTGCTGCTGAGGATTCCGCCGTCCCTGCCGCTGCTGTTGAGACCGAGGAGACCAGCAGAGATATTCAGACTGAAATCGAAGCACCTGTTGAGGAAACCCTTGTTGATACTCCTGCTCCTTCTGAAGTTGTTCCTGCCTCAACTGAATCTCAAGAGGAAGAGACAAAACATGAGCCTCTTGAAACCAATACCCCCATTGAAGAGGACTCCGCCCATGTTTCCGCCGAGCCGCTTCCTGAAGTCCCAGAGGCAGAGGCAGAGGCAGAGGCAGAGGCACCCCAAGAAGAGTCTCAACCTCCTACAGCCGACGCTGAGCCTGAAATTCCCATGACAGCTGCCCAAAAGAAGAAAGCCAAGAAGGACAAGAAAAAGAAGCGCCAATCTGTGGTTGAAGAGCAATCTGTACCCGAGACCGATCCTACTCCCGCCGAAAAGGAGACCGAGCCAACCACAGAAGCACCCGCTGAGACCGTCCCTGCCACTTCTGAAGAGATCGCGCCTGAACCTGTGACAGAATCAACTGAGCAACAAGTTGAAGTTCCTATTGAGCCGTCTGCAGATGATGCTGTCCCTCCCACTGAGCCGGTGTCTGAAGAACCAACTGCAGATCCCACTGTGACTGATTCTACCGTCCAGGATATCCCTGTCGAAGAAATGCCTGCCTTGGAGAAGTCTCTTGATGATCAACCCCAAGGAGAACAGGCTGTTACTGAGCCTTCTCCTGAAGAGACCCCCAAGCTTGAGGAACAGGTTTCGGAGGAGCCTCCTGTCGAGAGTGCCTCTGTCGAGGACTCCGAACAGACTTCTTCCAAGTCAAAGAAAAAGAAGAAGAAGAACAAGAAGAATCAGTCTGTTTCTGAAGATGTCACTCCGGAGATTCAGTCTGAGCCTGTTAAGGAGGAGTCTACTGAGCCTACTACTGAGCCTACTGCTGAGCCTTCTGTTGAGTCTGCCGTTGAGCCTGTCGTTGAGCCTAGTGCTGAGCCTAGTGCTGAGCCCTCCTCTGAATCTGCTCCTGAACCCATCGGTGAAACTTCTACTGCCGAGCCTGTCGTTGTCGACTCTGCTGTGCCTGAAGAACAACTTGAAGTACCCGAGCCAGTTGCCGCTGAGAACACCGAGCCAGTAGTTCCAACTGACGTTGTGGAAGCTCCCCCTGCAACAGAAGAGCCCGCCCCTGAAGAGGCTTCCAAGGATGTCACTGTCCCCGAGCAAGAAAGCGTCGAGGCTGAGCCAGAGGTCCCTATGACTACGGCACAAAAGAAGAAGGCGAAGAAAGACAAGAAAAAGAACCGCAAGTCTGTGGCCTTTGACGAGTCGCCTGCTTCCCCAGCCGACCCCCTCGCAGAAGAGTCTATCTCTGCTCCTGCAGATGTAGAATCAAGCAATGCAGCTGCCGAGGATCTTGTAAGCCAAGATGTCGCTCAGCCAACTACAGATCCCGCAATTGCCGATGTTCCCGCAGACAAGGACATCCCAAATCCCGAGGAACCAGCTGTCGATCAACCTGAAGTTACTCAAGAGGTGTCTGAGCATTCCGGCGAGATAGTTGAGAACACACAGGAGACAGTTGCACCTGAACCAACCCTGGAGACTTCGGAAGAGCCATCGACGACTGCCCAAGCCGACGAGCAATCTGAGCCGTCGCCAGAAAGCCAAGTCCCTTCCGATGACAAGCCCACTGAGAGTACAGAGGCGGCTGAGCCCATTGTTGATGCTACATTGACTGCCGCCGAGCGCCGCAAGCTCAAGAAGAAGGAGAAAAAGAAGAAGGGCAAATCCGTGGACTTGACTGAAGAAGAACCTTCAACTCCTTCCACTCCCGTAGAGGCACTCCAGGAGCCCGAGGCTGCCGCAGAGTCTCAGACAGAAGCTCCCAAGGACATTGACCAAGATGTTCCCCAAGGAGAGGAAGCTTCTGTTGCCACCCCGGAGATCGTGGAAGATTCAAAGGTCGAGGAGCCCGAAATGAAGGAATTGGACGATAAAGCTGATGCCCCTGCGACAACACAGCCCGAGGAGCCTGAAACGACAATCGCCGAGACCGAGAATCCTATCGAGGAGGAGGCTACCCCTCCCATCGAGGAACCCGCCGAGCCGGTGGTCACTCCTTCGACCGATGCACCAGCACAGCCAGACTCCGCTTCTCCCGAAATCGATGTTGCCATGTCAGCCAAGGAGAAGCGGAAAGCGAAGAAGGATAAGAAGAAGCGCCAGTCCAAGAACCTTGAAGCCGACACTTCCACGACCGATGATACCGCCATCCCTGCCGAGCCAGTCACCCAAGACTCTGACAAGACCGTCCCTTCTGAAGACACACGGGATCCTTCCATACCCGTGACGGCAATCTCGCCTGCGGAGCATGACGGTAAAGATCATCAGTCCCACGACATAGAAACGCCCGACGTCCCGGCAAGTGAATTAGCTCCGACTGATGAATTCGTGTTTACGCAGGTAGAGCAGCCAGAGATAGAGAGTCGTTCTTCAGATTATCCTCCCCAGTCCGTGCTTGAGCGTTCGATGAGTTTTAGCGAGTCGATGGAGCGAGATGTGCAGAAGAGGGGGAAGCACCAGCCACCGAAGAAGTTGAGGCAGCGAATGTGGCCGAAGACCATGTTGTTGATGAAGTTGTGAAGGAGGATGCAGAGAAGCAGGATAAGGTCGTTGTTGATGATGTTGCCGCGGATGTTGCTCCTGTCGAGGAGGAGATTACAGGAGAGGAGATCGTTGAGCCTGTGCCGAAGGAGGAAGATATTACTGAAAAAGCTATCGTCGAAGAAGCTCCCGCTGATGAATTTACTGAGACCGCACTGGATGTCAGTGCCCCCGCCGAACAAGAGCTTCCTGTTGAGGAACCCCTCCAGCGAGCCTTGTCCAAGAAAGAAAAGAAGAAGAATAAAAAGAAGAAGCAGCAGCAGGAGGAGGCGCAAATTGAAGAAGTCCCTGTCGCTGAGCCGGAGGAAGTGGTTGAGGAGAAGACTGAGCAGACGGAAGCCGAGCCCGCCATCGTCGAAGAATCCCACGACAGGTCAATCCCTGAGCCCGAGGTCGAGCCAGTTGCAGAACAGGAGGAGGTTGTACCCGTTGAAGAGCCGGTACAGTCGACAGAAGATGTTGTTGAGCCTTCCACACCTCAGCCGGTTGAAGAGGTGGAATATTCCAAGGAGGTCGAACCGGCCCAAGAAGAGCCTGCTCCTGCTCCTGAGCCCGAGGCAGTGGAAGATGTACCAGTGCCAAAGAAGATGAGCAAGAAAGAGAAGAAGAAAGCTGCCGCTGCTGCTGCCGCTGCCGCCGCCGCCGCAGAAGAGAAGGCCACCGAGGAGGTCTTGCCCGAGGCAGTTGAAGAGCTTGCTGCTCCTACACAAGATATCGATGTCCCCGCCACTACTCCTCAACAAGAAGACCAGCCCCCGCTCGATACGATTGAGCCCGAATCTCAGCCTTCCGACCCCGTCGATTCGCTAAAGGATATCGACGCGCCGGTGATCGAGGAACAGCCGCCTGCTACCGAGGAGGCCAGCGAAGAACAGCCTGCTACCGAAGTGCCTTCTACAGAGATCAACACCGAGGAGCCCGAAATCGCCCTTGATACGACCAAGGAAGCTGCTCTCGAAGTTCCTGCCACAGATCCCCTTGTCGAAGAGACTTCCGTCGAACCGGCAGTGGAGCCTGAGACTGAGTGGCCTACTGTGTCGAAGAAGATGAGCAAGAAGGAGAAGAAGAAGGCTGCTGCCGCTGCCGCTGCCGCTGCTGCTGCCGCCGCCGCCGCTCTTGAATCTGAAAAGCCTGCCGAGCCAGAGCCAGAGCCCACCGTGGAAGAACCATCCGTGTCTCCCGAGGAAACTATGGAAGTTCCAAGACAAATGCCCACCGTGGAAGATAGCCAAGGCGAACTTGAGCAGCAGAATGAATCACAACCGGTGGAGTCGACCGAAAAGGAGCCCATTGAGCCGACACAGGAGATAGTTGAAGCCGCCGAACCAATTGTTGAAGAACCCGAGCAGCCTGAGGAACAAACCGATACCCTCGAGAAGGAAATCCAACCTGAGCCTGTGGTAGAAGAATCGCCTGCTGAACCCATCCCTCGCAAGTTGTCGAAGAAGGAAAAGAAAAAGGCTAAGAAGCAGGGAAAGACAGAGCCTACCGATCTGGCTGCCACTCCCACTGAAGAGCTTCCTACGGAAGATGCACCTGCCGACGCTGTCAATGAAGATGCCCCAACAACTTCTGAAGAGACTGGTATGGAAACGACTCGCGAGATTGTCCCAGAGCCAGAGCCTGTCCGCGAGGTGCCAGCTGAGGAGACAACGGACACTCAACCTGAATCCCATGATATCCCTGCTGCGATTGAGCCAGAGACCCAAGAGGCTTCCGAACAAGTCGAAAAGGATGAGCCTGTTGTCTCCCTCGACCCCTTCGATGGCCCTTCGCCTGCCGAAGAGAAGAATCAAGACCTCCCTGTCGAGAAAATCGATGAAGCTACTCTCGATCAAACCCCTTCTCCGGAAGAGCAAGAACACAAAAAAGAGGAGGAAGAGACAAAACTTCAAAGCCAGGCTCTTGAGAAGGCAGCAGACCTCGAAGTGGCTGGTGATTTGTTTGAAGACCGACAACAGGAACCAGAAGCCGCTGCCCCTCTTTCGAAGAAGCTGTCCAAGAAGGAGAAGCGCAAGAATAAGAAGAAGGTTGAAGTTGAAGAGCCGGTTGAAGAAAGCCAAGAACAATCTACCCCAGAGGTACCTTTTACCGAGTCTAAAGACGAAGACGAACTGCCTACGACTACGCCTGCACCTGCCCCTAAACCCGAAGTTGAGTCTACAGTTGAGCCGGAGCCTGAGGTTCAAATTGAGCCCCAGGTCGAAACTGAATCAACCAGGGAGCTCCAGCCTGAGTCGGAGATGTCTAGGGAGATTGAGCCTATAATTGAATCTCCCCCTCCTACTGAGACAGAGACTGCTGCAGACGCTATCCCATCAGAGCCTGTCGAGCCCGTCGAGCCCGTCGAGCCTGTCGAACCAGTCACAGAAACACCACTCTCAAGCAAGGCTTCAAAGAAGAAATCAAAGAAGGCCAAGAAAGCGGCCCAAGCCTTGGATGTAGAAGCATCTCCCGCCACTACGGCTGAGGAACAAGATCCTGCCGCCCCTGTCGCCCAGGAAGAGTCTAGCTATGACCGTGAGCTTTCGGAATCGGCTCCCAAGGAGAAGAAACCGGGTGATGACGAATTCCCCACAATCGAGTGGGAGCATGGCCAGTCTCCCAAGCGCGAGACCTTCGAGGCACAATCACCAGAGTTCCAGGTCAAGGTTCCTGAGCCAGTTCCCCAGACCATCGAGGAGTATGATGAATCTGCAATCCCCGTTGCTTTGCAAGAGGCCAAGGAGCAGTCCCACGAGGCGATCGAGGAAGAAGCCTGGACTGCCCCATTGAGCAAAAAGGACAAGAAAAAAGCCAAGAAAAACAAGAGAAAGTCCGAACAGGCAAGCCTTGCTGAGCCTGAGACGGAGGAGCCCTTGCATAAAAGAGTCGAACTGGCGACTGACTTCCCCGAGCCACCAATTGACACTGTGATCTCCAAGGAGATCGAAACACAGCCACCGGCGAGAACTACGACTCCCGGTGGCTCCAAGATTGCCAATCTCTTTCCCGGTCTCGAGCGAGGCGGGTTCAAGCGATCAGCTCTGGACAACAAGACCCCGTCGCTAAAAGATAGTGCTGAGGAAGAGACTGAAGCGGACATGGAAGCTAGTCGCGATATCGCGATCCCCGTCTCGGAAGCACCCCAAGCGACCCCCGAATCCAGAGAGATTACTGAGAGCAGTCGTGAACTGCCTATTTCCGTTGAAGATGTACCGGGCTTACCAGGCTCGCCTGTCGCTTCCCAGAAAGCGCCGATCGAAGAGCCAGAACCAGAGGCAGAACCAGAGCTCCCGGTTCACGGTGAGCGGCCCATGCAGTCTGCCTCTACGGAACGATCCTCAATTCTATTCGACTCGTCTCCATCTACACGTACAGAAGAGGCATCTACACCCCGGCGTCTATTGCCATCCCAGATGGAAGCCCCCGATCTTTCCCCATCCCCCTCCCTCTCTGCACTACGCCGAACTCCCTCCGTGATCCACGGGCGCCATCAGCAAACGCCGCGAACATGGACCCTTGACGAAGAGTCTATCCCTGCGACCAGTGGCCCATCACCGCCGCGGTCCCTCTTTGGAGGGCCTTTTGGGGATCATGATGGTTTATCGCGACCCCGGACTCCGCTCGATCCCATTGCGGAGCAAGAACCAGTGGATGGGGATAAAGCGACCATGGCTCGCTCCGGGACGCCCCGTCTGGAGATCAAACCGGAGCATGTCCTTCCACGACCAGTGACTCCAGTGCGAAAATTCACCGACAATGCAATGGCACGAGAGAGGTGGCCTACTCCTGAAAATGAGAAAAGTCGCAGTCAGGACAGCCTCAAGAGTGGCAGTGGAAATGGCACTGGCAGTGGATCAGGACTGTCACCATTAAAAACTCCGGAGCAGGGGATGCCAGTGCTCAAGCCCAGCGGTAGCAAGGGCAAGCTACGACGCACGAATCGTAGCACGAGCAGCGATCTGCGGGCGGCTAGTCGGGCTTTAGACGAGGACGAGTCAGAGTCTCAGCTCCAGCCCCATCCTGAGTCTCCTCCGTCTCGGACCTCCCAGCCTCCACCCAATCTCGATCTCGATCAACTTCCTTCTTCTTCATCCTACGACCCCGTCAATGACAAGGGCAAACGCCCCCTGCGAAACATGGATGTTTATGTAAGTTTTGACCTTTAATTTTCATTCCATGGCCGTCACTATGGCCATTTCTTTGTTTGTTTACTAATTTGTTTGTGTAGGAGGGTTGGGGTGAAACACCCAGCTCCCCGCGGTCGCCCAGCCGACCGCCTAGCGTCCGTCGTCGCCGCAGCATGCAACACCTCCAGGACATGGAAAGCCGTCTCGACCAACTCATCTCAGAGAATCGTTTACTCATTGCCTCTCGCGATGAAGCCGAAGATAAATTGCGCAATGCCAGCGTCTCTCGTCGCAAGAGCGACCGCGCCCTCAACAGTAGTAGCGCCGACCTGAGGGATCGCGAAGCCGAAGTGGAACAACTCAAGAACTCGGTGGATTGGCTTCAGAAAGAAATGAGTCGTGTCACCCAGGAGAATGAGGGTCTCACAGCTTCCAATGCTGCCCTCGCTGCCGCCCATGCCGCCGAAGTCACTACCGTGCGCGAGTCTTCCACGCGCGAATTGGATGACTTGCGATCGCAACACAATGCCCTCTCATCGGAGATGGACGATCGGGTCCGACAAGAAATCGAGTCGGCTCTCGCTCAAAAGGATGCTGAGTTGCGACGCCTACGGGAAGAGCTGGAGGAAGCCCGCGACAAAGTGAAGGAGCTGCAACAGCAGATCGCTTCGTCGGTCAATGACAACGCTCTCGTCTTCCGCGACGAGGACTACTTCGACGCTGCGTGCCAAAAGCTGTGCGGCCACGTTCAACAGTGGGTGCTGCGCTTCTCCAAGCACTCTGATCACCGTCGCTGCCGTCGCTTGGTCGACATCTCCGATGAGAAGATTGCCGACCGGTTCGAAAACGCCTTCCTCGATGGCTCCGACGCCGATGCGTACCTGTCCGATCGTGTCCGTCGTCGCGACGTCTTTATGTCGGTGGTCATGACCATGGTATGGGAGTACATCTTCACTCGCTACCTTTTCGGCATGGACCGTGAACAACGTCAAAAACTCAAGTCCCTTGAAAAGCAATTGGGCGAGGTCGGTCCACGCCGCGCAGTTCATCGCTGGCGCGCTACTACCTTGACCCTCCTGTCGCGACGGCCAGCTTTCGCCTCACAGCGCCAGAGCGACACTGAAGCGGTCGCACTTGAGATCTTCGGCACTCTGTCGCGAATCCTTCCACCCCCCTCTCAAAACGAGGACCAACTCCTCGACTCCCTTCGCAAGGTCCTCCGTGTCGCTGTCAACCTCTCCCTGGAGATGCGCACCCAGCTGGCAGAGTTTATCATGCTCCCCCCTCTCCAGCCCGAATATGACACCAACGGCGACCTTGCCCGTCAAGTCTTCTTCAACGCGGCGCTGATGAATGAGCGCAGCGGCGAAACCACCTCCAACGACGAGCTCGAATCCTCCCAGGCCGTCGTCCGCATCGTGCTCTTCCCTCTCGTCGTCAAAAAGGGCAACGATGTCGGCGAAGGCGAGGAGGAAGTCGTCGTCTGCCCTGCCCAAGTCCTTATCGCTCGCCCCGGCAAAGACAAGAGAGTGTCCCGGATGATGAGTGGTGATCGCATGTCGTTTGATGCATCCCGCTCCGTCCATAGTGTGGCACCATCCATGGCACCCTCCATGGCCCCCTCTACGATGGACATGAGCAATGTGATTTGAGGCGTCACACTCTTATCATGGTTGCTTCTGCTCTGATCTGTAGTATGCGTGGGTCAATGTCTTTCGATTTTTTTCCTTTTTCTTCCTCCGTTTTCTGCTTCTGGTGAACATGGCGGGTTTTTGGCGTCTGGCCTGTGGTCTCGGATATTCCCTCGCGCTGACGACCGATTGGAGTTGATCTGTTTGATTTGATTTGATTTTGTGTTTATTTCGTTATTTCCTTTATTTCCTTTATTTCCTTTTTTTATAACGGCCTCTGCACATGTATTTACTATCTTTGATGTCTGATGATTCACGACTTGTACTCTGGCATGCATGCCTTGTAATAGAATCATTCAAGTTTACATATTCTCAATGCTTGAGTACCTACCTAACTAGTAATCTAAATGTAGATATTATGTAGTTCTACTAGTAATAACTACGAGTATTTACTACTACTCGTCCTAATACTCAATTGTGTCCAAAGGTTCAAGTTCGTGGCTGACCTCATCATGCCTGTTTTAGGCAATCGACTTCTCCGGCTTTCCAAGGTTGAGTGACCCTTCGACCTTTGAACTTCACTCTTTGTCACCCCAACTCTGCTCTCACAGTGCACAGCGTATACCCTGTCAAGAGTTTTATAACCGACCTTTGTGCCCTTTTTCTACTGCGCACTGACACACTCTTATCGAGATTTCCACATTCCTGGATTCCCTGATGTTCGTCTTGGTTTCGCCACACGCGTCATCCGCAGCGGCAGCTCCAGCTCCAGCTCCAGCGCCAACTCCGATTCGAGGCTGATCTCCCTCTGGAACATGCCGGATGCTGTTCCCCGATCCCAAAGATACCATTGAATCCTTCCCCCGTTCCCACTGAACGGGTAGTCCCTGTTCATCCCAATATTTTTCTGCTGCGCACTGGCTAGTGCTGCAGATGGTGCCCGTGCTTGTGCCGAAATCACCATCACCCTGCCACCCTTTTCTTTAGTGTATAATTTTCGCAGCAATGGACCCCCCACTGACCCCAACGCCTGGCATCGAGGCCCTGCGACAGCCCACTTCACCTTCCTCCTCAACAGCTAGCCCGCGAAAGCGTCCTCAGCGCACCGATTATCCACTTCACACCGACACAAAACCTGGGAACGGTCCAATGGGCGGTCGCCTTCAAGACCGGGGACCTGCTACGACATCGGAGTCCCAGACCCGCTTCGAAGCGGCCCCCGCGCCTGATAACGAGCCTGGCAAGTCCAAGTCTGCCAAACGCAAGAAGAATCGCAATCGCAAGCGTCGCAATCGCCAGGAGTCATTCCTTACTCCCGCCAAAGAAGAATCCCACCGGCCTGCCTCCGGCTCGGGGAGCGGCGGTGTGAGAGGAGATTCAATGGAGCGCGATAGGCCAACTTCCAAGGATAACCCGTCGTTTTTCAAATTGGGCAGGAATCTGAGTAATACTAGTCTCGAGAGTGATGCTCTCCTTGACCATCGGTACGTGGCTTTCGTGGTTGGTTGGGATGGGAATCCCGGAGATCTTTTGGTGTTCTTTCTAACTTCTTGCGTAACCGAACAGGGACCAGCCGATGATGCGACCCCGTCGCGATAGCCGAGTCAGTTCATCCTTTCGCCCTAGCTCGCTGCTTTCAAGCGGATTCCGAGGACCCGATGGTCGTCCGCGCAATACAGCTGGTCCTGGTGGAGGACGCGATCAGCAATATCAGGATGGCGATAGTGATGGAGACGAGGCGAACGACCGAACGCCGTTGATCCGTGGCTCTTCAGGGCATGCCTCTGCAACTACTCGCTATGGAGCAGACTCGAGAGCTAGCCCCTTCTCTTCTCGTCCACGACGACCATCTGTCCAGACCGCGTCCTCGGGAATCTCTCCAGGAAGTCATCCAAGCCCGATATACTCGCCAGACGCAGACCGGGACTATGATGTCAATAACCCGCCGTCCATTCCCGGGTCGCCGAAGTTGGGCCCGGATATGAACTACGACGATGCCCTGATGACCGGTGCTGAATTTGATTTTGCTTTAGCTCGTTCAGCAGAGCTTCGGAGGGGGTCATCGGGTCCATTGAGTGAGAGCTTGATTAACATTGAAGGAGGTCCTCCACCAAATCACTCAGCGCCGTCGTCTCCTCAATCTGGGTTCTTCTCTCCTCAAGATTTGCGCCGGCGCCGTACAGTTGCGCTACCAGTTGAAGAAGATGTTTGCTTCCCCAACGAGAATATATCAGAGCTGGGTGATGAGGGTTCGCGCATCCATCGTGATGAACTTGTTGAACGCCGACGACGCAGGCATCGACGGTGGCCTGATCTCTCTGTGTTGGAAGAATGGAGTCGTGAAGAGAAGGAGGATCGCAGTGGTGATCTCCGTGTTAAGAAGATTAGTGAGCCTATGCTTATTGAAGGCCGTCTTCGTCCTCAGTATAAGCTATGGCGACGCGAGGAAGATGAGGCTCCTTATCGATTCACCTACTTCAACGAGGAATTCCAAAGCACAATCCACGCCCAAACAATATCAGAATTGGTGCAGCCTGGAAGTAGCTTCAAAGAGCTATTCATCCCCGACCCTCCTGAATTGGACGAGTCATCCGATGATTCCGATTTGGACGATCGCTCTGGACACGAGCATGACTACTTCGCCACCGGTGGTGGTCTTCGGGGTCAGCACTCCCAGAACGATCTCAAAGTTCAACATCCAGATCCACGAAGTGGTACAGCCACACCTATACTACAAACTACATCCAAAAATGGCCAGGATTTTGTCCAAGCTTCAGCAACAACCAATGGTTCCCGGGGCCAGTCTCGCCTGTCAGTCATCAGCGAAGGACACCCAGATTCCCACCGAGAGCTTTCGCCTTCTCACTCAAATCCTGCGCCCAAGTCCAAGAAATACGGCCCCGGCCAACATTCTGGCTAGACGTGCTTTCGCCAACCGACGCCGAGATGCGCGTAATCGCGAAAACCTTTGGAATTCACGCGTTGACAGCGGAGGATATCATGATGCAAGAAGCGCGCGAGAAGGTGGAGCTGTTCCGCAGTTACTACTTTGTCAACTACCGGACCTTCGAACAAGATACAAACAGCGAAGACTATCTGGAACCGGTGAACATGTACGTGGTAGTATTCCGGGAAGGAGTGATCTCATTTCATTTTTCGCAAACCCCGCACCCAGCCAACGTGCGACGACGCATTCGCCAACTTATGGACTACCTGATTCTGAGCTCGGACTGGATTTCCTACGCCCTGATCGATGACATTACCGACGTTTTCGGACCTCTCATCCAAGCCATCGAGGACGAAGTCGACGACATTGACGAAATGATTATGCAGATGCACCCGTCCAGTAAAGACGGTTCATCCAGTGGAAGTCTGCAACCCTCCTTTGCACCGGGCGAAATGCTGCGGCGAACAGGCGAGTGCCGAAAGAAGGTCATGGGACTATACCGTCTGCTCAGTAACAAGGCAGATGTCGTCAAGGGGTTCGCCAAGCGCTGTAATGAGCAGTGGGAGGTAGCGCCCAAGTCGGAGATTGGTCTGTACCTTGGCGATATCCAAGATCACATCATGACCATGACAGGGAATTTGACGCACTACGAAACGTAAGTTTGGCATTCATTTCAGGCTTTGCCTTTTTTAAAAAACTTTTTTTTTGTTTTTTTAAAAAAACAAGGTTTTAAGTTGGTCGGTGGCAAGTCGCTAATTCTTCTTCTAGGCTCCTGTCTCGTGCGCATTCCAACTACTTAGCGCAGATCAATATCCTGATGAATGAGCGTCAGGAGCAGACTGCCGATGTCTTGGGAAAACTCACTGTCCTTGGTACCATCGTGCTCCCCATGAATATCATTTGTGGTATGTGGGGAATGAATGTTAAAGTACCCGGTCAGGATATAGAGAGCCTTACTTGGTTTTGGTCGAGTGAGTCTTTCCCTTCCCTGTTCCTGTTTAGGTGCATCGCAGTGAAGATCCTTTTACTGCAACCCGTCAGTGCTCATCCAAACGCTAATGCTATCTAGTCACGGGTGGTTTGATATTTTTCGGCCTTGCTTCGTTCCTGATTGCCAAGCGAGTCTATAAAATTGTTTAGATTGGATACCATGTGGTTTTTGCTTGTGTTGGGGTGACCCCCCGCCTCCCCGCCTTTGGATTAGACTGATACCCTTGCCTTGTTTTGGACCCTGGCTCTTCATATCCATGCTTTTGCTTCCTTTTTCTTGTTTCTATCTTTTTGTACCAAAGTTTCTCCCTCTGGCTTCATATACGGTGTGCCTCGGGCGGTGGTGTTTGGGTTGGATTTTGATTTTGATTTGATTGTGCTTGGACGATATACGGGTCATGGTCATGCATGTTTTGGAAACATGTTCTTTGTTTCTATTTCTATTTCACTTTATTTAGGGTGCATATACCACTACCTCAAGGCTTGTCAATAGATATGTACAATGTTGTGCACTCGATAACTAGTTAATTGGAAGTTGCATATAGCAGCAATAGTTAAGTGTACTAGTACAGTACTTACAGAGGTCCTGCCCCTTGTATCTGATTCTTCCAGAGACCTTCTATCTAAGAGAAAGTAGTTTGCCAACTATGATGTGGTTATTCAATCACTATATCCAGAATTATCTTTTGTGAAACTGGGTTACTTGATGAGGTCATGAGGCTTGTCACTAGAATACCACTGTATTGATGGCTTCCCGCTCCTCTACTATGTGAAATGGCCCTGTTTTATTACCGGCTTGTGTCACCACCATACCCGGTTCCAAGGTTCCCCAGGTTTCTCAACTTCCCCCCCAACGTCTTTCTTCATCTTCATCCTTTCATTCCCTTTCTTCCATTTCACTTTATCCATTCCCACCACCTTTCTTCCCTTCTTTGTTCTCTAATTCCCCTCCCCATTCTCTCTACTTCCGAGTCCTAGGTGGCTTCGTCATCCTATCCCTTCTGAGCCCTCCGCGTGCTCCTGGTCCCCTGCAGTGCGAAGGCCCGCCCATTCCACCCTGACGTGGGCTGCTTTCATTGGTCTCTTCGGTGGCCGACCCTGACCTCTCCACTTCGCTTTCTCACCCGAGGTCTTGGTCTCTGGTCTCTGGTCTCTGGTCACCGACATCTCTGCAGGCGCACTGCATTTCGGCACCCTAGCACCCTAACCGGACGGACGCCACATCTCCTCATTTCATGGGCGAAAAACAAGTCAAGCCCAAACGTTGAGCCGGATCGGCGGTCTCCATCATCCCCCCAATTCCGCCAACCACAGTCCTTCTTTTTTTCGTCGGCTGCGTTCTAGACGTTCTTCGTGTGCCTGTGTCCCCCGGAGACAAAGCATCAGCCTGTGATCACTAGTCCTGTGTGTTGTGCTTGATCGTCCGATCGTCTTTCATTGACCTCTCTCCAAACAAACACTTCACCTCATCCTCTTCCACACACACACACCTTCCCTGCGAGCGCCTGCAGGAAACGCTCCCCCATCGTTCTTGGCCTTTTTTTACATCAACAGCATGTGGACTTCGGCTATTCGCCCTGCTGTACCGTCACTTGTGTAACGACCCGTTTTCTGCGCAACATACCTCACTCGATCGCTGCCATTTCCTCATCCGTCGTTGATTCGCTGCAACAACTTATTTCTTCACCGTCGAGCCCTCCCTGTCCTGCGTCGCACCTTGCTTTTTCGAATCCCTTTCCGTACTTCATTACTGCCCAACTGCCCGGCTCCCTCTCGGGTCTCCTGACTTGTCTGCATCGCGTCAGCGTAATCTGACTCGATAGGAGACCATGACTGCGGAGTCCGAGAGGCCGCCTTACCTCAACGGTGTCTCTGGACACTCCGGAGGGACCAAAAATGCGGAGGTGGCATCGGATCCCGCGCATCGGTCGGCCAACGAGGGCGACATGAAGGAACCGCCGCGCCCAACAGTTAAATCACACGCCCAGGCCATGGCTCAAATGCCTAAGCTCTCACCTAGTCCCTCCAACACCTCTTACTCTCCGTCCGCCCCCAACTCCGCTGTTTCCTCTCGCGAGTCCTCTCCGGTTCGATTCTCCTCTCGCGCCGCCAATTCCTCCTACTCCAACACCACCACCGCAAGCCGAGCGCACTCTCAATCACGGCGAACTAGTCAAGAACGAAGTAGCCCGGCGAGGTCTTCAAACGGTCTGCCGTCAGCCTTACCAATACCTGCGTCCACGTCATCAGGCCAGCGCGCGCAAGCGCTCCCAGGAAACACACCCCTTCTCTCTCCTCCTGCTCCCGAACCACCGGCCAATGTTCTCAGTCCGGAAAAGTCCAATATGCCATCATGGGCGGGGAATCGTCGCGCGGAGCAGGAGTCTACTCCACCAAATACCTCCCACAAGAGAGCTTCCTTGCCGCCATCAGAAGAACAGGGAACGGTGGACCGAAGCTCTCCCCGCGCGGTCACGAGGGGCGTCAGTGGACAAGGCCCATCCTTGGAAACAGTCCAGGAGATGGCCAGTAATCCGTCTACTCCATCGAGTGACACGACCACTAAGCCGGTCACCCCGGACGACTCTCGGTTACACACGATCGATGAGGATCCGACACCTCGAGCCGCAAAACAAACTACAGAAAGTGGGAGTGATAGCGGTGGCAATCGCAGCTCAGATCCTAAGGAAGAAAGTCGGCCAAATGCTGCTGGAACCTCAAAACCCGCTCCAACCATCATGCCGAAACGCTCCACCACTTCACTTAGCGCTGGAGCCCGTGGAAAACCGGCTGATGGGTCAGTTCGCAATATGATTGTTGAGACCGAGACTGTCAGTTCCATACCACAAGTGTCTTTGGGGGTTGGCGCTGGCGAGCGTGGCAGCGCTAGTCGTGCGGAACCTGGCACTTTGCGCATGAAGCCATCAACAGAGACAATTCGGCCTCGCAAAGAGAAGAAAAAGAATCGACGACCGAATCATTTGACCACCGGCCCTGCCTCTAGCAAAGCTGATATCTTCGAGGCGAAGGTAGCCAGCGCGGTGGATGAAGCTGACGTTTCTGACTCTGATGAAACCTTTGTTTATGAATCAAATCCGCCAGATCCATTCCCCGCTCGACAATCGCGTTACCACTCTCGGACACCTAGTGCCACCTCCATGGCAAGCCAAGTGGACCAGCTGGCTGGTCGTGCACGAGGCCTGCGGGATGGTGCTCATAGCGTCACCGGCAAACGGAGCATGAAATTCACCAACAATCCGAACCCATTCAACCCCAGCTTGGATGGTGAGATGGCCGAGCAGGATGGGAGCCGGAATCCCTCTCGAGTCGATGGCAGTGGAGCTGTCACCCCGCGCCACAACATTGGACGTCATGCACGCAATGGTGTATTACCATCACTTTTTGATAACGAACCTACGCTCTCGCCGCAACAGTCCCAACTCAAATCACCGCGACACTTCATTGGAAGCGGATATCGGCACTCGCGAAATAGTAATGCTCGGTCTTCGCCCAACTATAAAACGATGGGTAGTTCCAAAAAGTCAAACGAAATGTTTGACTTCGATGCTGAAGGCGCTGATGATGAGCGTACACCTCTGGTTGGCAGTGCTCGAGTTTCTCGAAGCCGCGGTCATGGCGCCAATCGCAGGCCAAATAGCGCGAGCTTGCGACAGATGGAATATATGCGACGGCAGCGTGGGTGTCTGACACGATATGGCTCATGTGCTATAATAATCTTCCTCTTGATGATTATCGCTGGTGGTGCCACCACATTTGTGCTTTCCGCTACAAAGACTCTTCAAGATGTCAAAGTCCTCGCGATCCAAAACGTGCTCGCATCAGAGCAGGAAATCATGCTGGATCTTAACGTTCAAGCGATGAATCCTAATATATTCCCGGTGACAATCGACGACACGGATGTCAACATCTTTGCCAGGAGTCGATATGTTGGTACCGACAAATTTTGGCGCGATCATGACTCCGATGAACTTGATCACTTCCCACGGGTGAAGCAAAGTCAGCGTCGCTGGCACCTGTCGCAGATTGTCCGATGTCTAGGAAATATGGATTGTGTTCGCGAAGCAGAGTCCCGTCAGAAGTCGAAGCCTCACGCAGAAGATGGCATTGATCATGGTACGGACCCTATCTCCGATCCCGAGGGAGACCAGCAAACCATGCTACTTGGCCGGGTTTTCCGCTTCGACTCGCCTCTTTCCTTTGACGCATCTCCATGGGAACATCTATCATCCACATCAAAGGGACAGATCCGCCTCCCACGCCCTGGCAACAAGACAGAAGAAGGCGGCACGGAGCGTTGGGAACGAGTACTCCAGCATCCATTTGAACTCATCGTGCGTGGAGTAGTCAAATATCAGCTCCCGCTAAGCTCTCGTTACTACTCTGCGCCCATCAGTTCCCGCGTCAAAGTGGTCCCAGATGAAGATGGCGGCGATGGAAATGGTGATGATGATGATGATCCAGACACCACGCCCCCAAGCAATGAGACCGCTCATGTCTCCTTCATCAAGAGAGTCCCATCTACCTCAGTCCGCCTTTTGGACACAGATGCCCACCCCGAGCCACGATCGGGATTTTTGTCACGACAGTTTACGGCATAATCTTTTTTCTTTCCTTTTTCTTCTTTCCCTTTCTTTTCCTTTCCTTTTTGTTTCGTCTACGATACTTTAGCGATAGAATTATGTCCACTACTTACGACAGCCACCATTTTTGAACCACCATTTTTTTCACTCCTCTGCTCCCCTCCTCTATCATCCCCTTTTCTTCTTCTATTACTCTTTGATCTCCATGTAATGAGACGAGACGAGACGCAACGCAACGCGATACGAGGAGCCAAAAAAAAACCCCCGCCTTTGTTAGAAAGGCATCGCCGAACGCATGCTTGGCGGAGCTGGGCTGGGCTGAGCTGAGCTATCTTACCCCCCTTCCTCCCACTTCCCCTTACTTTCTCCCCGCTGTATACCCATTCGCAATGACTTTATTGCCTTGATTTGATTTCATCGTTCCACTACTGCTTAGATATGCGTCAAGACTAGCGGTGCAGGAAATACTACGGAGTACCAACGCCCCTTTTTCTACGTCCCCTTTTCGGCTTGTTTTTGTGTCTCCTTTATCATATCCTGTACAGAAATGAGTTGATTACTATTGATTCATTAATTGATTGATTGCCGGGTTGGGTTCTGGTGGAATTGAATGGAGTTTGTTCTATTCTATTTCATTGAACTACCTGGTTTGGAATGTCACCATTCTGTTCTGGCACGTCTGCCAAAAAACACACTTTTCCCATTTGTTAGGTACTACTAATACCTTGTATTTATATTACTAGTATATTATACTCAATGGTCGACTGTCTTACCTCATTCATGGATATTTAGATTTTGGAGTCTTGTTGTGGCTTTTCGGTTTAAGTTGATGGGAGATGGCAGCATTTATTCCAGTTTCATGTTGAAGAGAACCGGGATTGCTACTGAGTACTAGGTAGTAGTAGTAGTAAATAGCACACTTCCTAGTTGAATACATTTTATTCTGTGACTAGTACTGTGACTTGAATGGGTTTAAAAAGTTGTTGGTAATAATCCCGGGGCCTATTTCTCAACAATTGCTTTTGAGCTCTTCTCTTGCCCTTCAACTTCCTCCTATTTCGCTCTTCTGTCATTCATGAGCTTTCTTAGACGTTCCCTCCGTCTGGTATTCTCTTTCCTCTGACAGGATCCCAATCACCTCATTTCATTGGAGGTACCTGTGGTCTCCGTTCCAAAATTATTTTTAGAGTGCATTCACTGTTCGGACAAAGAACCTTAGAAAGGAACTATATCAATTATAATCGCAAGGTCCAGGAATCACAATTGATCCATCTTGCTACACTCCTTCCATCTTGCTGCACTCCTTCTCCTTTTGCTCCTCCGTTTCTGCCTTTCTTCGGGTTCTCGACCCGAAGCGACGCCCACAATGGCTCGATATTTCTCCTTCTCTCGTCAATCTGGTTCTCATACCACTTCTGCCGCAGTTCTTCCCCGGACGGAGTTTTGCTTGGTCCTCTGTTTCCACATCCATTTTGGCTTGCACTTGCTGCTTGTTTTTCCTTTCGGTCTTCCTCCGTTTCGTTGTCTCGTTTTTTCTTCTACCTTTGCCTCTTTCCCGGCGCGGCCTTGCGTGCTCCTCTTGGGCCTTGGCAAAAGTTTTCAACGTCAGTATCGAAGACATCGCATTGAGCTTGGTATTCTCCTCTTTGAGCTTGGTGCTCTCATTCTCGCTCAAGCTCATCGATCACCTCATCTTTAGACTGTCCATGATCATGTCCCCCATGTCGATATTGCCGGCACTCAATGCGTTCGGCTTGGCTCTTTTCAGAACCTCATGGGCATAACGGAGGGCCTCATGATCGGTAGATCGGCTTCGCTGTTGGATCGCAACAGCTTCCGATTGTCTCTGCTTTCCGTGGTGTAGGTATCTAAGCTGGAATTGTCGTCAACCTTGAATGCTCGGCACTTGATTCGGTTTCAAGTCGCTGGGCAATTTCTTCACTCTAAGTTTTCTTTGGCGAGTTTTCAAAATCTTCATCCCATCTCACTATTATTGAGAATCTCGTGGATATTTTTCTGGATCTTCGAATTGATCTCAAACAGGACGGCTCACGGAGGACGATTCCAAAATCCCTGCCGTTTAGGATGTGGCGATTAGGTATATTTATATTGCAAAGTCACACAAAGTAATCAGCAAAGAACGTTCAGGTCCATAGCGAGAGCCTTGGAGGACTGGGACAGTTCAATGTCGATTTGTGCCGGAAGGATCGTCAACTCCATCGTGATCGGCGTCGATGTGAACCTTTGCAAGCCCCTTTTAATGGAACCTCTTGGTACGTTTTCTTCCAAAATGACATGCAAAGGTTCACGTCGACGCTGATCACGATGGTTAATTAACAATGTCTGCCACGTGCGTAAGACTGCGGTTGCCAGGAAGCCGCGAAGTCGCGCACTGGGCAGAAGACACTTACACATGGTGTTAGGGTTGGGTGGAGATGCAGAGAGAGTATCGCGAGATCATGATTGAGAAGGCGACAGGACAGTTGAGGTGTGCGTGGGATAAGGTCAGGTTAAGAAAGCATTCAAGATTGGGTGGACGGTGAATCTAGTCCCGTGATCGCGCAATTTTAACAGCAGTTTCTCTCCAGGGCTGCACCCAAGATCCAGGACTGCTTAGAAGAACCCGAAGCTTGTCATAAAGGTGGTATCAGCCAACCCCTGGATATTGAAGGGAAGTGGCGAGAGAGATGGAAAGAGTGAGAACACTACTAGCCTCAAGTGGGGATCCTCTCGCTATATCTAGTAACTCGCTCAACAAAGGACAAACGGTCTTGCAAACGACTAAGGCACGCTAACAAAAGAAGCGCTCTAAAAGGTGATCGTATAGACGGCGCTATAAAGGTCGAGATTTAATTGGGCTGCGCATGAGATACAATAACCAAAGCAAGTGGTAGACTGATATGACCTAGAGCCCCGACAAATCGGAGAATCACTAAAACAAGAGTAAACATTTAGAATGAAGATAGTTCATTCTCAATTATCGACGTCATCCGATCTGGTAGCTAAAAATCCCACCCGGTATGCAAGGCCTCCTACTGCACATGAAACTCAAAACCTCCGATACCACAAAAAGTAAAAAGCTACGTTGGGGATTGGTGATGCCAAGAATCTTCACTCCCAAGGTTGGCAGGGGACTTGACGGCGCTGAATATACTTGGTAGTTAGACTAATTTGCTGATCAGGCGTACCATTCTTCACATCTGAGGATGTTGGCCTTTCCAAACATATAATAGGCAGTCTTTTCGTTTCTGGGCAAACATATCGTGATGACTTTGGGTCTGATGCCATATATTTTGAAATTTGAAGGAGAGCTCACCAAAAAAGGGTACTTGGAAGGAGGACTCTACGTATAATAGGAATCTACTTCACCACTCTTTATTGTAGAATAAGTGCATTATAATATTACGTTGAGTGGCCATAGTCTGTAGATCTTAGATCGAAAGGAGCCCGGGCCAGTTAATATACGGCGTTCTTCTAGGGGCGGAAATTGCCTTGGCGGAGCTGCCGAGCCAGTATAAAGTTCTCCGCCGTGAGCTCCGCCACTCTTTGGGGGCAATTTATGGGAGTGAGGACTTGGCAGCTGATTGAAATGGTGTAGTAGTATGAGGTATATCCAGAAAGCGTCACCGTCATCATCCGCCCCCAAGGGGCTCTAGCACATTCAAGTTCGTCTACCAGTGCCAGAATACTTTCTTGTGGACTGAACGACATTGCTCGTTCAGATTTTGGAAAGCCCCCAAGAGGTCGAAGTTAATTTTGGATTAATCTAGAGGTATATAAGGATGCTTTTACCCCAATGGAACTTCAGAATAAACAGCCTGAGCATAACGAAGCAAACTTGAAGCAATAGAAAGTCAAGGCAATATTGTTTTCAGAAGACTTACTTGATCTATTTCCCCAATCTTCCATCAGAAACTTGAAAATATCACCAACAATGGCATTCAGGCTTCCACTCCTTGGGTTGATTGCTCTCTCTCTTTTCGGCATCCTGAGCCAAGGACTACCTAGTGTTTCTCTTCAACCTCGCGGGAAAGCCCAAATTGTTATCGACCTTTTGAAGATTTTCGGACTTGTCACCGAAGAGACAGATGCATGGGTAAGCTCTAATCCTGTATCTGACAACACTATGAATCTAATTACATTGGAACTAACACCTGTATGTATAGGACTATGATGAGAATCCAGACATGTGCTTGGTATATATGACAACCGAAGATGGTGGCAACTGCGAAGTGACAGTCGAATGCAAGGACACAGAAAAGCATGTCATCGAGAATCCCGAATGGAGCCTGTGCTATGTTGGAGGTCGCAACTGCTTTCAGGACGACAACATTGGCGAATTCTGCGTCATTTTTACCAAGAAGGATGGAAGAGAAGGCGAGGGGCTGACCGAGCCAACCTTGGAAGTCCCTTCAGTTGAGGGAGTAATTCCGGTTAGCGAGCTTGCCGAGGATTGGTATTATTCTGAAGACCAGAATTGCCCCAGCTCCGGCGGTCAGGCATGCGCCGAGGGTCCATTTGTCTGTTATTTAGGGGATAGTGGTGGCCGAAAGAAGCGTTGGGGTTGTGGTGTCCCGAAAAAGGATGCTGATTTTCCGGAGGGGATCAAGTATGAGGATCTTCTCGACCAAATCGATTAGTTATTGATCGATAGTCGATTGATTAAGTGGCATTAAGATGGTAGTGTGACTCGGGCTTATAGGAGAAATGCTATCGATACAATTATTGTCCGGTGCAAGAATCTGAAACGATGTAAATAAACCTTTTAATTGTTCTCAGTAGAGAAGCACTCCGAACAGTGTAAGGTGTTTTTTCAAAGCTAATAAGTCATCCAGGAAGTAAAGTCCACCGAGTTCAATGCACTTTTCTCTTTCTTTCTTTTTCTTCAAGTTGTTTTTTCCCCTCCATCCTAACTGGGGGTAGAAACGGATACTCATAGGATGTTATCCCCGTGGCAAGTCTAGGAAAGGTCAACAACGTTGTCAGAGCGAGCGCCATACTGTTCTGGTTCTAATATTTTGAAAATACGTCCAGCCACAGGCTCCATGGGCGGCTTTTCTGATACGTAGTTTGTGAAGATTTCAGATACGATGAATCCCAAGATATAAGAATACCAGGGAAAGTGTAGTAGCGGACAAAGAAAGTAATAAAATTAGGGGGAAATAAGAAGGTGATGAAGCAAGAACTAGGTACATGTGGGTGACAAGATTGGCGCCATGCACTCAAGGCAATAAAAGCAACAATCTGGTTTGTGACACACTCTTCAAGTGGTATATCTCCGATGTTTATCCATGATACATAGAGCTCTGCTAATTTGGGGCTCAACCTCGATTTCATGCAGCATTCCAGTCGGCCTCTGGGATGGTGCATGAAATTGAGGCTGAAAGCCAGGCGGCCACTATGGCAACAGAGCTTCTCTTGCCCCGTTCCTAGATTGTATTCTTGGTCGCAGACACCACATGGACGATGCGTTGTCCGCTATGGGCTCATGAAGCAGTCAATTTGAGCATCCAGGAGCCAGCATCGAGATGTAGGACTGAGGCGAGGCTCGGTAAACCATTATTGAGTGAGTTTTGTGGAGGTAGCCCAGGTCGAGTTTAGCAATTTCGATTGCTCATCGCTGCCGGTCCTTGTTTGTTGTTTTCCCGGATTCCTTAATTTTCAGTCAGGTTGGCCTTTCAGGAAGCCTTGTGCGTTTTACCTGATAATCGCTCGTAGCCCGATTCTGTTGTTGTTGGTGGCGTTGCCGTTGCCGGTGCTCCTGGCGTTAGGGCTCGTACTGTTGAGCAAGGCTACCATCCATCGGATCCCCCCCGTGAAGGATGGGTTACATGCTTCCACTCGAAAGTCTCCTTGACTAAATACCAAGCAAATCCCCCCCGAAGCAAAAGGGAAATCGTCTTGATTGGAGAGAATTGCTTGGTATCCAGCCAAGGAGAAATCCGAGTGCGATGACACCCTTTCCTCACGGGGTGATCTGATGGACGGCAGCATCGACTCTTCAGTGCCCTCTGGGATGTTCAGGATGAGATCTTGAGGATTCATACCCCGCCAATTCTGGCCAAGGAGATAATGGGTTATCCATGGCAGAATTTGTATTTGCGTCGGCGATCATTTCGACAAGCTCGAACAGGTCGACAGCAAATGCAGGATCAAAGTCTTCTCGCCCGCAGGTTTCAATGTTGATCTCAGAGGCAGAGGGATATCACGCAGTCAAGCAACCCAATCCAAACCCAGTGGGTGGAACTTTTCGAGAGGCTGGTGCTCCGGCATGTAGTTGGGAGTCGTGGATCGCGAGGCTCAACAGGAGCCAGGGTACGGGGTGAAAGGGAGTCGGCATGATGGGATGGCTGTGAAGATTATGCAGTTTCCAACCGGGCTTAGCACTTCCGTGATGCCGATGACCCCAAAGGCGCAGACGAGCCGATCTTTGGATGGGTAATTCAAGCTGTGGCGCCAAGGCGGACGCCGGGATGTTTCGCTCTCGTTCTGCTTTGAGGTAACTGTGCTCAGACTTGGCCATCCGCTTGCACTCTAGCCGGTGGGAGGAGGTCGGCTGCTGAAGAGTCTTCGGTAAGGAGAGCAGATGGTCGGACAAGAATGAGATGAACGCCTCGCCATGGGTCGGATTCCCATCTGTATCGTGATCAAAATGTGATTGAACGCACCCAATCAGCACACGGGCGTCGTAAATGTAGTTTTGAGTCAGGGCACTGATCTGTAAAAGGATTAGAAAAGAGCGAAATAATGACTGAAGACCCGACATACCAAGACTTAGGATGCACTGCTGGCACTTGGTTAATTTCCCCGACCTAATACAGGGTACTGCGGACCATCGTCGACCTCGTTTTCCAGGTTCTAGATCCAGGGACAAAGGAATGAGAATCTCGCCACGCATCCCGAATAGTGTAGCCCAAGAAGCTTTTTGTAGTGTTTGGTGTGCCCGCATGCCAATTTGGCCTTAGAGGTGCGGGTGCAGTTACTGTGCTGGTTAGTGAAGTCTGTACGCCTGTCGCTGATGTTTTTGTAGTTTCCCACATGAAAGGAGCGGACAGATCCACGGACTAAAACTTGCCTCTAGCTTGAAGAAGACAGGAGGGTAAATTCCACGCCAGATGTGGCGGGAGAAGAGATGGTGATGAAGAAGATAGGAAGGGTAAATTCCCTGCAAAGCCAGCCCAGACCCGCAGGATGAAGCGGGAGAAGATGTGGACGATGTCCACATCTTTGAAGAAGGTAGGAGGGTAAATTCCCTGCAAGGCCAGCCTAGACCGGCAAGATAGCGAGAGAAGATGTGGACGATGTCCACATCTTTGAAGAAGGTAGGAGGGTACTTCCAGGCACATATCATCTGGAAGGAGGAAGAGGCGGGGGTGAAGACTGATGGTTGAAGAAGAAGAAGTGAGAGTGGAAGCGGAAGGAGAAGGAGTCACAGCGGTTACAATGGGACACGTGAATACTGCCTGGACTGGACGGACATCTACTAGTATGACGTGCAAGGGCATTCAAATGTATCAAACATGTGATTCAATGGTGCAGAAACGGGGTTTTTGGATTAATATGTACCACAAAGATAAGAAGGTTTCTCTGCAAACATTTCTGTCTGATCACTGAAACATACAGGCCATGTTATGCTAGATTTCCTTCGTGATTATTGCACCCCAAACCCGACAGCTGATGGGCTCTAGAACAGATTTGGGTCTTGTGTATTTCCATTTTGTGGTAGGTCACACTCACTGCCCAGAACCTGAAGTCTCTTAAATCTACGTAGATGGAGACCTAAGCTGGCATGAGGAATACGGATCGTCGTGTTCAAATTACCGTCTCGCCAACAGAAATAGAAGCAGTGAAAAATGGAATTAAGGAATTTGGAGCATGACGTGGTTGGTGCCCTTGGAAAGAACGTACCCGGAGATACCAGTACTTCCGCAAATCGAAATCTGACTCGAGCAATTTGATATCAATAACGGCGAATGCTGCATTTATGTATGCTTAGGCGACGACCGCCAAGGGGATCCTCAATAATTCAGACCCAAAAATAGTGTGAAACAAAAATCAGAAATAATAATCATTCTACTTATCTGTCATTCCATGTTGAACCATTTCCTAACTCAGTCATATCTCCGAGTCCGAATAAGCATTTCCGGGGTCCGAAACTCCATCTACAGCCGTCACATGCGGGGTTGAACAATAAGTCGTAATATTTATTACTTAGTTGGCCATTGGATTGATCGTAGTATAAACCTGTGGGACCCTCTTACTATCTTTTTTAAAAAAAATTATTTCATTCAGCTTATCTCGTTCCAAATTTTCGAGATCGTTTAAGAGTCAAGATGGCAACTACAGCCTTGCAACATTCACCGATGGTCATTGCAGACCAAGAACTGAACAATTTGAAGGCCAGTAATGGCGATGTTCTCCCAAAAATAGGCCTTATGAAGTCTTCAAGTCCGGACCTTCCCATTGAAGAGCTTCGCAGGCGCTACGAGGAAGACGGTTATCTCTGGGTATGACAAAGAACTCTGATGCCCCAAATAGGCGAGAGGAATTCATCTGCTTACCTTTTCGTTCTCACAGATAAAAGACATCCTCGATAAAGAAAAGGTTCTGGACATGCGAGAGCAATACTTCAGGTTCATGACCGAAAATGGCGATTCGGGGATCCTCAAACAAGGAACGAACCCTCGCGACGGGATCTTCTCCGGCGAGGATTGGAGGCAATTCCTGCTACCTGGCGCAATTCGCGTTGCCAATGGGCTCAAAGACGAGGGTGTATTTGTCGAAAAGACCCTCAAAGCACATGTTGCCCACTTTTATTCCGAGTTCAAGTCTGATATAGCAGAACCACTGGAAAACTTTGTTGGAAAACTCGCTCAATTCCAAGATCCAATGCTACTGAAACGAACCTTGCTCCGGTGCAATGTCCCCAGCGGCGAAACTACACCGGTTCATTATGACCAGATCTATCTACGAGCAGGACCACCTACCTCAGTTACGGCATGGATTCCACTTGGGGACTGCGCTTTGACGGGTGGGGGGTTGATGTATCTTGAGAATTCGGTTGAGATCGGGAAGAAATTCGAAGCAGATTTTTCTGAGAAGAGTAAGGATCTCACTGAAGAAGAACGTCTATCTGCTTTTAACAAGAATATGATGGCTGGTGGCTTTTTGGATCGGAATGCGGCTGTATTTGGCAAGTTTTGGGGCCGTCGGTGGCTTGTTGCGCCGTATGAGGCTGGGGATGTGGTATTTCATAATCCATTTATGATTCATGCAAGGTGGGAACTTTCCCCTTTTTTAAAGTGTGGTTTTTTACCCTAACACGATTTTTGAAGTGCCCGGAACGAGAGCCCGGAACAAGCTATTAGACTCGCGACGGATTTGAGATTTGTTGATAAGGCTGGGCCCTTTGATGAGAGATGGCTTTTCGAGGCCTACCAGGAGGCTGATCCGAATGTTGCTAGTCGGCAGCCTCTAGGCTCTAAGAAGAAGACTCATATGTGAAATGTTCATTTTTTGCTTGTACTGTTTGGCACATTTGATTTGATACTATTCTGAATAGCTCGGAAATCCCGTAGAATTGTCCCTTGGGGGCCGCATGGGCATAGTAAAGCCGGGCCTTCTATCCTCAACGAAGACTCAGTGGGACTTTTGTTTAACAGGCGGAAATTCATAATGTAATCGCCTGGGGAGATTGGAGGTCATCATCATTTACGTTGATATGTTCTCGGCTGACTGAACAGACCCTACGCACGCAGAAGTATACAAAAAAGGTATTGAAAACTATCAAATGGAAATACAGTCATGAATCATCATCATATCGCGCGGGCATAAGTCATCAAGTGAGAATCAAAAACATGAGAACAATAGCAGGAAGTTCATAGACATAGACGGGCATAAGCAAGTACAGTGGTTGTTTGCGAGAAAAGAGGACGGGGCGAAAGGATGGAGAAAAGCCAGCACATCACGCGCAAGAGCAAAAAACCCCACCCAGAGACACGAAATCTCCAGAATTAAGTGCATACCAACCAGCCAGATATAAAAAAGAACAGGTCAAGCCGAATGGCCAGCGAGGCCGAAGCAAGAGAGGGAACAAACTAGAACAAGACCTTGGTAACTTTGTTCAAAAAGTCCTCTAGTTTCTCGGTCGAGCTGTTATTCTTCTCCTTGATGAGACGGCCTTTTGAGTCGAAGCGGTCGGGAAGATCGATTGTCGAGTCTGACTCATCTGGAGAGGACCTGGAGCGAGAGTGTGAGGATTTATTGCGTTGATGAGAGTCATGATAGGAATCATTGTTGATTGTGGAATCGCTGTCATCCGACTCATACCCCTTTAAATTGAAGGCAACGGACTTAGAAGATGCGTTGCCGCTGGGTATCGGGGCGGATCGATCTAGACCTGCTATGTGTTAGTCATGCTTATGGGCGGGACCGGGTGGTTTGCAATGGACGAACACACCATCGTGCGCATGCTGGGGGGGTTGAGCTTGAACTACTCACATTCTCATCTGCTCTCCGCGGTCGGGGGGCGTACGTCTCTGGCCCCGGCCCCGCGGCCCCATAGCTGTATGGCTGGGGTGGGGGCGCAGCACCTGGAGGTGGGGGATAGTCTGACGGGTTGTAGGGTTGGGGAGTCGCATTCAGGTTAGGGGTCGAACCACCTGGGGGTGGGGGAAAGTAGTTGTTGTTCGGGTAGTAGTCCCCAGGTGGTGGGTGAGCAGCCGCAGGCGGGTAAGGCTCTGGGTCATAGGCCTCCTCATAGGGGTCACGGTGGATGTCGTCGTTATGGCCTGGTAAACAGTGGTTAGTAATAATATCATTGGACTTGGAAAACAGGTCATAAACTCACGCGTCCGGCTGCGGCTGCGGCTCCGACTCCGACTGCGACTCCGACTCTCTTTCTCAGACTTCTTGCGGTCCCGATGTTGGTTGAACCGGTGCGCGGCGTATCCGAGACCGGTTGCACCTAGGGCTGCAGAGGCGATTTCACGCGAGCGACTGCGGTGCTTCTTGTCCTTGCCACGACGGTCATCTCGGTCTGAGCCTGACGAACTATAGCGTCCAGCGCCGCGGCTGCGGCTGCGGCTGCGGCTGTGGCGCCGAGCACCGTAGGCGTCCTGGCCATCAGAGTAGTAAGCTCCAGGGCTGGCGGGTTGACCATAGTAGTGCTCTGCGGGAATGCTACCAGCGACCGGGTTGCTTCCATACTCAATCAAGCCTGCAGAATCACGGGAAGGGTCGGGGTAGACCTCAGATCCATGGCGGCTGCGGGATCTGGTGCGAGACCGGCGTCGCTCACGGCTAACTGGGTCTTTGCCTTCCTTTTCGGCCTTCTTCTTTTCATAGAAGCCGGTAGCAGCGGCGGTACCGGCACCGGCGGCCAGAATAGGAAGGGCTTTTCGCAGCCGGCTCTGAGAGCGCTCTCCTTTGCGTGAACGAGATTTGCTGCGATGATGTTCAACTAGACCGGCAATCGCAGCACCGGCAAGACCTGCACTGGCCATATGCTGGCGACGCTTGGACTCGCTTTGAGCGTCATCACCTCCCTTCTCAGAGCGAGTGGAGCTGAGTGCGCGGCCACGAGAGCGGGAGCGAGTGCGGGAGCGGCTCTTACGGTCAGTGCCATCTTTTTCTTTATTGGCCTTGTTGTTGCGTAGGGCAGCGACACCGGCAGCGACGGCAGCAGCACCGAGACCAAGTTCCATGAGGGTCTTCGCCCGTGAGCGAGAGTGAGAACGGCTGCGGCTGCGGCTGCGACCATGACGGCCACGGCTGCTGTGATGGCTATGGTGACTATAGCGGTGAGATCGATCGTCATCAAAGGAGCTTGCACGATGACGGCTGCGGCTCTTGCTTCGGTAGTAGTCTCGGACATGGCCTGCGGCATTGACAGCCACAGCACCCAGAGCACCAGCACCGGCCGTCTTAGCGGCATGGCTCAAGCCATGGCTGACCTCCTCACCATCGCGCTTACGGCGACTGCGGAAGAACTCGGCACCAGCGGCACCAACAAGAGCACCTTCTGCCAAATGGCGCTTGTGGTGGTGACCATTTTCATCTTCGTAGTTGCGAGTTTCCTTGCGGACATAGACCATGCTGTCATCACTACTGTAATCACGGTCACGGTCACTGTGGCGGCGGCTTATCTGAGAGATCGAGTCACCGGGGCTCAACTCTCGACGAGGACGGTCATCATATTCACGGACCCGTCGGCGATGTTGATAATAATAGGGGTCCTCTTCGGCGTCGGATCGGCGGACCACATCGTACTCGGATTCGCGGGGGCTGGCGTAAACATTGCGGGCTGAATGAACGATTATTGGCTGATCGTGAATGATGATAGTAGGGGCCGGGTTGGGAACCGGCGCACGAAGCAGCTCTGCGGACCGGGAGATGTGGCGTTGTGTGTAGGGATCTGGGTACTCACGCTCATAGTAGTCTCTCTCGCTGTATTCGTAGCGACGAGCGGGCGGGTCGTATTCGACATCACGCTCATAGCGCCGAACGGACAAGGGTTCGTCCGACTCGGTCTTGCGACGGATAACGAGCTCTCGCTCGGTGTAAGGATCGTCACGACTCATGGAGAACTCGCGACGCTCTTCTCGTTCGTCTGATGGAATGACGTAACGTTTGATGGTGACGGGGCGGTCGTCGTAGCCTCCGTCTCGGTAGTACGACATTGTACTCGGGAATCGGAGGAAGATATATGGATGAGGGGAGACGGGAGAGGGAAAGGAGGGGAAGAGGGGAGATAAGGAAGGAAAAAAAGGACGAAGGTGGAGGAGGGGCCACAGATGTCAGAGACAGAGGGGCACGGGAAGCAGGATGCACTCTGCACAGCACTGTACTGCACTGCACAGAATTTGGGGGGGCGCAGGGAAGTGGGGTTGTGCAAGAGGCTGTGATCGACTAGTGTCTGAGGCGGAAACCCAGGCGGGATCCGATTGGGGATTTCCAGAAGGCAATGGAAGGAATGAGAGGAGACGATGGAGACGATTCAGGCGATTCAACAGTCGTCAGGGCGTAGGGCCGTTGAGTCGGGCTGGGCTGATGCCTGAAACTGTGAGGCTCTCAGATCGGCAGAGCTAGCAGTAGCAGATGGAGGAGTGGAGTGTGAGCCAAAGAGGGAGGAGTAAGAGAGGAGAGGAATCCGATGAGATGAAGGAAGAAGAAAGGATTGAGTCGAGTTAAGAGTGATGGAAGTTTAGGGTAAAGAAAAGATGATAAAGGTGAAGGTTGAGGGTGAAGGTGAAAGAGGCAAAGAAGGGAAGCGCCACGTGAGGCTCCTTCTACTTCGACCTTCACCTTCACCTTCACCCTCAACCACACCGAGTATATCCTCACATATCTACTCCTTTGCCTACCCACCTCGTGGCGAACTATCGGTCTGCGTTGGCTGACATCTGAATCAACTACTCTCTGGGTTTGTTTACTTTGTACACATGCCCCGTCTGGTTCGCTCCCGTTCGCGCCCATGGATGCCCTGCCCAGTCTTTGGTACGGTGGAACCCATCTACATCAATGCATACATACATACATACATGTGTGTACTTTGACTCGATCGCCTTATAGAACTTGCTGCAAGCCGGGCGCAACCTGCAACAAAACAGGGCACTGCACTGCGCCTCTCTTCCCCACTGACCTTGGCCTTGACCTTGGCCTTTGCCACAACCCTCGGGGCTCGGGGTGGAATGGTTGAAAGGCTGCGACACTGCGACACCTCGACACCTGCCTTTCGAGTCCAGCCCCCTCGGCCATGTTGCACACAGGGACGGACATCTGCCGCTCTGCAACCACCTCGGCCGGTTAGAAATCAAGTTTGTCTAGCCCTGTCCCTGATGGGCAACGGGGGATTCGTTGCACCCAATGACGTCAGACGCGGGGCATTGTGGATGACAAACAAATACAACGAGTACATTGTATATGGCCATGATAATGGCCATAATACGCCCAGATACGCCATACACCGATCAGCTGCCGCCTCCAGCACTGCCGAGCGGTTGTCTCTGCACAACTCTCAACGCTAGAAAAGTATGGAAAGGCTAGAATACCCGAGGAGACTATCTCCGGTCTCCATTCTTTCCAGCCCTATGCACCATAATGGACCTGAGGACCCAAAGTGGCACACGCGGCTCTTTTTGCCTCCGCTGTCCAAGTTGTACTATCGATACGTACACGAGTAATACGAGGCACGGCAGCAGGCCGGTTCGAAATCTTGATGGCCCCAGCTGACGTCAATCTCTCTCCCCCTCAAAAGTCCCAAAAGCGAGATCGTAGTACGGAGTATGGAGTACTCGACATTTATCTGATGCTAAATCCATTCATTTTTCGGGGGCTAGTTGCCCGTTTATCCCGTGTTCGAGCAATGTCATTGACCAGGGTTGTTGGTATCAGGTATGAAACGTCTAATACGGGATTGGGATACAAAGAGCAGCCCGACTTCCCTTCTCCCGTCCCACTTTAGGCTCCTTCAATAAACATTACCCATTATGACTAGTTTTTTGACTTTGAATCGGAATCAAAGAGTGTGAGTATAGTTGTATTAATTGCATCTCGAAAGGAGAAGATGTTTTCGCCATTATCCATTACTCCACGGTCGGGTAAGCATCCAATCGACTCCACACGCTCCGCCTTGCCTTTTGGAAGATAGGCATCTGTCGGGTCTATACTTCTCCAAAGGGCTATGAGAATCATGCCCCGATTGTCAGCTTCTCTTCATATATCAGTATATAGGCAAATAAAATACAATAAACCCAAATTTTGAAAAGGCAGCCGACCCTCATTGTGATAGCGTACTTTTCGTATTCAATCATGCGCCATTGGACGCCCAGGTAAAGACTGGCATCGATGACTCGCTCAACAAATTCGTAAGCATCGTGTGAAACTCAAAGGGTTCCCATTACCGCCGGGACACTCGAAGAAATGTATGTTTCCCATTCGCTGTTGTCGATAAGCTCCAGGCTGGCGTCACATTTGCCATTCTCTGAAGAGGGAGATAGGAAGCTACCAATGAAATAAGTGTGACACCTTGGAACATCAAAAGGTTGAAACTCAATCCGCCAGGTAAGTACACCTGGTAGGCTATGATCATGGGGTCGCTGTTACTAGTACTCATACTCCCCTCTACTTCTGTTGCTGGAGTATGGACCATGACCTATTTCCAAGAGTTATTCGCACTAAGGCGGCAGTCTTTATAGCTATCAAGGACTCAAATTTGATGAACAAAGGCTACGACATGGGAGTCTAATTTAAATATGTTCTCATAACCCGCATGAATGTGTCTTCATTATTCAAATAGTAAGTTTTTTGCTTGAAAGGGATGTGCCCGGGTGATCCTGATAATCACAGCCATTTCCTCGTCCGCAGGCGTGTGCGACCTCTCACTCGCCAGTGCAAACTTCGATTTTGCCCGGGTCGCAGCATCGTATATGTAGAATATAGATCATCAACAGCACTGCCACGCCTCCAATAAGCGATCTAGCATATTCTGCGTGGAGAGGGGAGCCGCACAGCAAGACCACAGGATGGCATTTGCGCCCATAGCCGGTGCTGTGTACACTGGCATTTCATATGAGACGCTAATATAATCGGTGACAAAACGGAGCAAAATTAGTTTATGTTGTGATAGAATTGCCCGGTGCGGTTGTTGCAATAATCCAGTGAATCTGGAATACTCCTACCTGTCTGCAAAAACAAAGCGAACTGTTGGATCTTCAACATCACAGCGCCTGTACATTCATCCAGACTCATCCATTGCTACATAATTCGTGTCCAATGCACTCACCCCAACCGTTCAAACAAAGGCAAATAATAGGGATACAAAGGGGGCTTAGTTCAAATTTGCAAACTGACCGAGGCTCGTGTTTACTATGCTACTAGATTCAAATGTCACATACGAAGCCATCTCTCCTGCAACTGTCGCGCCATATCCATCCTGCCATTGGCGCAATATAGGCGGGTAAGATTATTGACCGTCTCTGATGTCGAGGGGTGATCAGGGCCCAAATCCTTCGCAGCCCCATCCAGCGCCCGTACATACATCCGTTCTGACATCCCCAAATTCCCCTGCGCATCGTACAGCTTTCCGAGGCTATTGAGAGTTTCCACTGTTGAGGGGTGGCCCTTTCCCAACACCTTCTCGGTACCCGCTAGGGCTCGCATGTACATCTGCTCTGCCTTGTCAAATTCTCCTTGGGAATAATACAGATTTCCAAGATTGTTGGTAGTGTTGAGAGTTGCGACGTCGTCGTCCGCTTCCAGCGTCTCTTTCCTAGCCAAGACCTGTAGATACATCATTTCCGCCCTGTCCAGCTTTTCCTGTGCGATGTACAGATTTCCCAGATTGTTCAGGGTATCGATGGTTGATGCATGGTTTTCTCCAAGTTGCTTCTCCCGCCCAGATAGGACTCGCAGGAAGATCTCTTCTGACTTGTCTACATTTCCTTGTAAACAATACACGATCGCAAGGTTATTGACCGTGTCGAGGGTTGCCATATGTTCGGCGCCTAGATTCTTCTCTCTTCCGGCCAGAGCCCTGGTATACATTCGCTCCGCCTCATCCAGTCTGCCCTTCCTGCAGTAGATGACGCCTAGGTTGTTGACGGTGTCGATGGTCGAGGCGTTTTCTGGTCCAAGTTTTGCCTCCCTTTCGGCTAAGGCTTGTGTGTACATCTGTTCAGCCTCGTTCAGTAGGCCTTTGTCGCGATATGTGTTGCCTAGAATGTGGGGGTCGATCGGAGTCGATGATGATCTTGAAGATGCCATGTTTGTTGCTGGGAAAAGGCGAACGCAGCTCCACCAGATTGCAAAGATTACAAATGCCAGCAGTAGATGGGAAAGGGTAGACATAAATGCTATAAGTTTCATTAGGCGAAGGAGAATATAGTTATAGTTTCTGAAATCCTTCAGTCTGCCTCGAGGGGATACCCATCATAAGTTGCCCTTTTCGTCGTGGGGTTGTGCCTTAGCGCGTGCTCGATACGAGAATGACGGGATTTATCGCACATGAAATAAAGTTATGATCTGAATCCGTCTTAGTGCTTATTATTCACTGCAGTATTCAATAGTAGCTTAGGTAGGTCATTCGAATTTCAATATGTAGTCGGCTACTAAATTAGGGGAATGCACAAGATCTCAGTGGAACCGCCTATCAGTCAAATTAAACAATTTATTTGGCTACGACCTTTTTGTCTCGAAAATCGAAATGAAAGATTGTGCTCTTTCAGGCCCCTCATATCAACTATGATCAAGTTCAAAGTCGTGCTTCCCATATTCTGAGCGCAGCTTGTTTATACTCAATAAGGAGGATTAATGTCATTCTTAGTTAAGAACCAAGGGCGTATTCAACTGCGGCTTCGGCATGCGCAATACTTGTGTCGATGACGGGCACTGTACTGTCTTCCTGGCTCACCAACATGCCGAATTCAGTGCAGCCAAGAATGATGGTCTTCGCCCCTCGGAAGATCAAATCGGCAATGGCGGCTCTGAATTTGTCGCGTGTTTCGGGAAGGAAAACGTTCTTCGTAAGCTCTTGGTATAGTGCGTTGTGGACGTTTGATTGATGGTCTCCCTCAGCAATCAACACCTTCAGACCATACTTCTCCTTCAGACGCCCGACAAAGTAAGTTCCGGTCATTGTATAGCGGCTACCAAGAAGCCCAACTGTAGTGATGCCCTGCTCTACTGCCTTTTGTGCAGCCGCATCCACAATATGAAGCATTGGGAGTTCTGAATTCTTCATAATGTATGCATCCGCCGTGTGGACGGTGTTGCATGCTAGAAGAAAAAAGTCCGCGCCAGCTTTCTTGAGCTTGTTGGCCTCTCCAGCAAGCAGTCTTCCAACTTCATCCCAGTTGCCATCTGTTTGCGCTTGTTCGATGAGTGCAAAGTCCGTTTGGGCGAGAATCAGGTTTGGTGTGTGCAGTCCGCTGGTTTGGGTGCGCTTTCTGAAATATTCGTTGATAGTCTTGTAGTAGACCAAGGAGCTTGGCCACGCAATGCCACCAACAATGCCGATTGTCTTCATTTTGAACTTGATGTGGTTCGTCAGATTCAGTTGCACGATGTCTGAATTCGGTTTAGACTTCCAGCGCGGGAGGGAGCTGCGGCAGAGGAAGAGGTTGGCCGCGGAAACTCCAGTTTTCGTTTGATGACCTGAGGTAATGAGAGTCAGATCGAGTTCCTCACCAGAGGCTGGCATTTTATTTGGACAAATACCGCTCGTATATACCCACCCGTGGTCATTACGTGCCGCTAGGCCGCGGAGCGACGCTTTGGTTAGGTGGCGGCAGGTGGTTCGGTGATATCTCCGAGCGGCACTCGCATGTCCGAGCTGAGATGTCCGAAGCAAATAACCACTCCCCTCGAAGCCTAGCTTGGCGCCGCAGTATCAGAAATCCAATACCTTCGAATATTCCCGACCGTCGGCTTTCAATATCCATACTCTAGCTGCATCTGGAGATTTCATCTGGTAAGGAGATTAATGATCGAGCCCCAAAAGGTTGTCAAAACTCCAATCTAAGCGCGTACTAGATGGTATCAAGTATCTATACTATTTATCTCACCTTCCATACTATGACAGAACTTTCAAAATTCATGCTTAGTACCACTTTTGATGCCAGTTCTCCTCCAGGCCTTCCTCAATTTAATCAAACCGAGAGCTTTCAGTTGATGGTAGGAACAAACCTTAACAGGCATTTTTGGGGTTTATGTGATATTTTCTTGGGATCGATACTAGTATTATTGATTATTGAAGATTTCAAAAGCTATGTAAGAGATACTACTGAATCTAGAGTGTTGGATATCCAGGCAAGACTTGTTTAAACAGCCGAGGGCATAATTCTTAGTTCCTCCAAGCATTTTGCAAGACTTTCTTTTTGGATTTCCTCGTAAAGCTGGAATTCATTTTGAACGTGGCACCCAAGTCCTCGTTCGAAGGCGTCTTTATCCGCATTGCCGGTATTCTGGCTCTTAGCGCACGCTGAGCCGATATTGGAGCGGAAAATTCCAGCCGCACTGATAGGCAAGAAATCTTCGTAAGTGATGGGCTCAATTCCAATAGTGCCATTTCGAATCAGAGCGTCGATATCACCCCTCGTTTCGGCAGCAGTTTGAGGATTGGCAACATGATAGTGGAAGTAAGCTAGTCCTTCACGACAAATGGTTTCCAAATTATCCGGGAAGTCGGAGAATTGTTGATGTAGAAGGTTGCTAGCAAATTCGGAGGTGGCCTTCTCTTCAGATGACATATCGCCAAGCCTCTTGTTAAAATGTTCCATCAACTGGTCGTAAAGGCGACGACCCTTTGGCGTCAATGCCATTCCTCTTTGCTCAATTTCTCCAAATCGGGCTTTGTGCTTTCCGTTAGTCTCGCTTCCATCGGAAAAGTTGATATTTTCTTCCAGAGCTAGGAAACTGGTCTGACGGAGAAGTATTGGCCATTTCATTAGGGGAGGTCCCTCAATGTTATCTTTGGGACAGAGTCCACGTCGTCGCATTTCGACTTGGGCGGCCTCGATATCCCTCACACGGGGAGTCAAATGGTTGATATGTGGACCGCGGAAGCAAACAATATCTGCAACTAGTGGGTGGGCGTCTTGGAAAGTCTGGTAGGTGTCGCTGTCCACTGCTGTTGACTTGTGCCAACGGAAAGTTTCAAGTGCCTCTTGAAGCAGTTGCTTGGCCTTTTCGCTTGAGTAGCTATCCTGGTGTTCTAACTCTTTGATTAAGTCCAAACAGCGTGATGTGAATATTTTTCGGCCACTAAGAATGTTCTCAGCACGAAAACGAATCGCCTCATCGGTGATCATGTCCATGCGCAACAATGATGTGAAGACCCGAAAAGGGTTTTTGGAGAGACTAATGGGTGAGACAGATCGAAAGCAGGTTGCATGCACCGGAAGCCCAGCTGCTGTCAGATCATAGTAGCCAACGGGCTGCATCCCCATTAGCGCGAAAAGCCGTCGCATGGTAGCTAGTTCTTCGGGTTTGCCCAAACGGATGGCACCATGACGCTCGACCTCCATCCGTCGCTGAACTGGGTCACTTATTTCCTTGGAATCGCGATTGTTGATATCAGATACAAGATCCAAAAGTGTACCGTATTGTGGAACTTCATTCCGATACATGTTTGAAAGCGCGGAGGCAAATTTCGCCCTCAGGTCATCTTTTGAGACGGACATGGTGGCGATATGCGATATGGAGAGGTGAAATGGGTAATGAGAAGGATCGAAATACACAAGCGAGGAGAAAATCGAAAGGTAAGAGAGGGTGTCACTTTTATCCTTCGAGAAGGGCACCGAACCGTATCATGCTCCAACATATAGGCCAGGTGGATCCTTTTCGGACATTCAAAGAACCGATCTCGGATATGCAAGGCCTACAGCGAACGACACCCCCGCTCTACTTCCTTTTCGTCCACAACCTTACTTATTCCCATTTTCGTTTAATCTATTTAGTCAATAGGTTTATCACTATCCGCCGAACATTCCAAAAATAGAGTTGTCATCCCAAATCATGTCATCAGGGATACTGCCTAACAAAGAGGCATCCCATTGGTCAAACTCAAGCTGGTGTTCAATCTCAAGGCCAAGAGAGTCGTGTGCAGTGACTAGGATTAAATATCAGTCTTCTCCCCGTTCAGGGTGCAAAAAGGAAAAACAAAGCTGCTTACCGGTAGGTGTGGGCCAGTTCGTAACTGGTCTCTCTGCTTCGGTGTTATTCGGTACGCTCTCAAGCCGTCGCATGAGGGACTTGAGTAGCTTCAGCGGTCTTTGCAAGCCATAGCAACACCCTTTTTGATACTGTAAGAGTGCAGACCAGAAAAATCGAATACATTCGACGTGTTCTGCGTTGTCCTGGTTGGTATGTTGGAGCATGACGAGGGCCGCGCAGTAGGTAGCATAAGATATGCCATACTGTGCGCGTCTTAGAGTGAATGCTTCTTTATAGGCTTCCACGAGCTTCCAGATACTGAGCGCCGCCTGGATGCATTTTTCTCGGGAAGCTTCTACTAACTCGGGTTGAACAGTGAAGTTGAAGTGGCCACGGTTGAGAAAGGTCTGTTCGGACAAGATGACTAATGTCCAGTAAAGAGCGCTAGGGTACAGATAAATTTTAATTGGAATCTTGAGAACGGCTTTTGGAATTACTTACTGTGGAGTGATTTGGTGAGGCGGGGGTGTGACATCCACACTCGGGTCGAATCGAATGCAGGAAGGAAGATTGTCCCGCCAAACCCTGAGTTTCTCTGTGATTTCGTGATGAGTCTCGGAGATAGTCAACTCTGAGATTGCTGAGCTCCTTACGGAGTAAAATGACTCTATTATGTGAGCTGCAATCTTGCAAAGTTGCAGCAAGGAGTGAAATGTGCTGATGGCATGAGATGGCCGGCCTTGGTAAGATTGAACAGGAGAATCAACAGGTTGAGAGACGGTATCAGCATACGGTTTCCACTCTTCCATCTCCTCGAAACAGTCTAGGTAAGCTTCCGATACAGTCCCATTGGATTCGTGCATAGTATATGGTCGACCGAGAAACAGAGACTGAAGTTTATCACCGACAAATGCAGCCCAGTAAATCCTCTTCTTCATCTCTTGCTCAATAGCTGTACATCTCGAAGAAGCTGAGCTCTCTAGGTGACAACCAAGGTCAATAACCATCTGGTAACCCATCCCAGACAACGCCCACCCGGCACTTTGGTGGCCATAGGGGACCAGGCATGCTCCACATGTTAATAAAGCCACGACCGTCGGGATTGTGGGGTTATCGAGGTAGTTAGGCAATAGAGACTTGAAGCGCTCATAAAATAACAGCCCCTTAGCATTCGACGTCTGATGGTTAAAGAAGGAGGATGTCCGATCGCTGTACAGACTACTTTGCAAATAAATTGCATTCAATAGTAGCTTGTTCATATATGGGCCATTGTTGACAAGGCTGTCCATTATGGCAGGGCGATAGGTGAGCAGGTATGAGAGGTGTTGGCGGTTCCAATGCAATTCGAAAAGATGCATTGCCAAATCCATTGGAACACCATCAAAATCAATGCGAGATCCGAGACTTGGTGTCAATTTCAGGCTAAGCTCCTCCTGTCTGCGGATCGCTGCGTTCGAAATCAGTTGATCCCGAACTATTTCCACTGGTAAAAATGGCGTCTCGGCATCCCGATTTTTTCGATTCGCTAGAGGTGTATCCGATGACTGGTCATGAAGTAAGCTTGTCGCACCATATACCTGTGGTCCATCTTCTGGCAAATCAATTTGTGGGGAATGGGCCGCCTCAAGCCTTTGTTGTCCTCTTAAGTAGGAGAAAGGGAGGCCGTTGGTCCTAGCCTGATGGCTTTCTCCTTCTACAGAAATTTGCGTCCCTTTATGTTGCGAGGCATGATAGTTGTCACGCTCTTGTACAGTATCAGACTGGTTCAGGGAGGCCTGGGTGGGCACTGGGGTCACCGGGACTGGCTGTGATACTCCGAGACCTTGAAGCTCGGCCGTGTGGAGGCTACCATCTGAGGGCCTTGCGGTGGCCGACTGCTCTGTAAGCTCACCCAGCCTCTCTTGAAGTTCATCAATCTGCTGTCTGAGAGCTCTCACATCCGCCTTCTTAGCACGAACGACCGCTCTCCGAGTATCTTGCGGGTACACGCAATCGATGTTTCTTAGCTGACATGCCCCGCATTGCGGATGCTTTCCATTGCATTTCACCTAAGCCTAATATGAGCTAATTCCCAAATACTTTCCAAAAAAAAAGAAAGAAAGAAAGAAAGAAATGGCTTATCATCATTAAGATAACAGCAGGAGGGTGATAAAAGGAAGTGGATGGGACGACAGGGTAGACGGAGACACATGATATGAGCGAGGTTCAGGCTTGATACAAACACAAGGATAAGTAGAAAGTCTCACCTTTCTCTGTCGACAAGTCTTGCACGTCCGACAATTGATAGGCGTCGCGGGTGTCGCGGTTGGTGACTGCAGCGGGCGACCGGGCGACTGCGTGAGTGGAGGCCCGCGTGTAGGGTCCGTGTGGGACATGATGCAGCTGCAGCTACAATAGTCGTGGGATCCCCAATACCCCAAAAGCCCTGCAGATTCCCCAATGCAAATCGACCTGCGATGGCTCGGACTTTGCACTTCCAGCGTGGTGTAGTAAGTAGTAAGGTGAATCTGCAAAGCCGAGCATGTCCGAGGACCAACTACCAATCAGGTGACTCCGTCGCCGATCAGGTGACTGCCACAGGAGTCACTAGATATGCGACGGCTTTGACAGTTGTGTCGCTAAGCCAGTGATTGCAAGTTATGAAGGAATTTCAAAGTAGAGTTATGTCAATGGTACACTCTCATCTTGGAAGGAATTCGAGTTTCTGCGAAGGCTGCGGTCAACGGGCAGGACCCTGAGGTCACAATATGCATATCCAGTCTCACCCAAATTTCTAACAATACTAGTAGCTTTGTACAATCTATCTAGGTAACAGGTTTTGTCATAGCGATTCAAATCTTTATTCATAAGTCTATAATTATTGATGTATCTCCAACCAACTCATCATCGAGCCAGTGAATGCAAGCCTTCACTTCTTAAAAGCCTTAGGCTCAGGCAGAGCCTGCGGGGTATCATCACGCTTAGAAGAGCGAATCAAATGATCAAAAGAAGCAGAGCCACCAACACGGGGCGTAAAAGGATCGAAATCCCAAAGATAACCCAAAGTCCTGAGAATCGACGAAGCAGAATAAGACACAGTCTTGCCATCCGAGTTAGTTCCCTTCTGCTCAACAAGGCCCTTTCCAACCCAAGGAGAGATAAGGATAGTAGGAATACGTCCACCGAGTCGGTTGAACTCGAACTCGTACTTCGAGCCGTCTGGCGCGGTCTCGGTGTAGGTGAGGTTATCTGGGCGCGGGGCCAGAGGAGGCGGGACGTGGTCGTGGAAACCACCAGTCTCGTCGAAGGTCAGGATGAAGAGGGTTTCGTTCCACTGGGGGCTGGCGCGGAGGGCATCATAGACGTCTTTGATGAACTTTTCACCGTCGGAGATTAGGCCAGTTGGGTGCATGGAGTTGGTGCCGGTGCCACAGCAGGATGGGTCGAGGAAGCTGAACTCGGGGAGGGTGCCAGCTGCGGCGTCGGAGTAGAAGTCCTTCATTGGGACGGCGAGCTTATCGTTGCCGCTAGTGAAGGGCCAGTCGAAGAACCACAAGTCGACCATGCCGGTGTCAGCGTCTGTGTAGTAGTTCTTCCAGGTGTGGTCTGTTTCGGAGAGTTGTTGGAAGATAGTGCGCTGGGTCAGGCTGTGGGTGTCGGCATCGAATCCGTCATCGTTTGTGCCGTGGCCAGCTGAGGTTCCTGAGAGAACATAGGCGCGGTTGGGGTTGGTGGGCTAGGGTGTGTAAGTTGATATCCTGGATATTTATTCACGCTTCAGAGAAAATATAAGACTTACACCAGGGTGGTCTGAGTGCCAGTGGTTAAAGGTGAGGTAGTTCTGGACCAGGCTTGTCAAGACTGGTACCTCATCCTCAGTGTAGTAGTTGAGAACCTGCTTGGCAAGGTCTTTATTGGCGAGGTCGCCGGCATGGCTGCGCAGCTGCTCGTGCACAAAGCCTTTCTGGCCAGGAATCAGCTTGCCACTAGCGATGTCTGCGTTGTTAGGGCTGAAAGTGCCATAGAATTCAATGTTGTTGCCGGTGACCGAGTGATCAGGGTCGTCGAGAATGGAATCGAAGTCCTTAGCGGCGCTGCAAACCTGACCCTGAGAAGCGTCGGTCAAGTTATAAGGGTTGCAGAAGGGACCATTGTTGATGGGGTTCTCAAGTCCTTTGATAGTCTGGCCACCGAGCAAGTTATCCAAGGAGCGGTTCTCCAGCTCCAGAACAACAACATTCTTGATAACGTTCTTCAAGTTCTTGATGGAGCTTTGCGAATGCGCATTGGAGCGACTACCCTTGGGCACCGCAGCAGCAGCGGACGCAAAGGCCAGTAGACCGACAAGAGCACTGGGATGCATGATGAGATCCTGGTATGAGAAGATGTGCGTTTGAAAGGAGAGATTGTTTCGAAAACCCTCCGACTTTTATACTTATCACGGACGGAACCCGTGTGCAACACCGGCCTTCGCTCCGATAAAGCCAGTGCCTGTTCGCATCCCACGTGTAGCTTCTCTGATCATCGTGTCGCTCGATCGCGGTGTAGGCCAGCTCCGACCCTCCTGCGTGCTGCGGGGTAGGCAGGCATGGGAGCTCAGATAGAGTATCCATTAAGGATGGGTCAGGTGAAAATACAGACCACCCGATTGGGTCACGCATATTCATTCCACGGAGAGGATGGCGCGATTCGCGTAGATTGACAGGTACCCTGGCGTGCCGAAGGCACAAGGTACACGCAGTGACCGGTTGGATGTGAAGGGATGCGAAGGGACGGACCAAACAGAGCCACTAGAACAAAGTCCTGCACGCTAAGGTGGGCCGTGACGATCGAAAGTAGAATGATCGACGACTCAAATCAGCGACCGCATGGCCTGCACGCGCAGGGCTATAGCGGGTCAAGTGGTGGTCTTCGTCTCCGCACTAGTGTTGCGCTGGGGCTTTCCATGGTGTCTTCGCGATGTGTTGTTTCTCGTTATTAAGTTTTTTGTCGGAGTAAAGCGCACGCAATTTTAAGTGCGGATGATCATGTAACGATAACTTCGCTTGGAGATGAGGGAAGTGGAAGTGGGAAGTGGATGAGAAGAAGTGGAAGAAGGAGAGAAGGAAGACAAGAAGAGATCGGCACGCGTGGCTTGACCTGCGGGCGTGATTGGCGGGTGTGGCTGGAGGGCTTAACTGGCCTTGGCAGGCTTTAACTGGCTTTAACTGGCTTTAGTTAAGTAGTACGGAGCAGGGCAATACTTGGGTAGTATCGCCAAGTAACTGGTATTTCTTTCACTTAATAGATCATTTTCTAAATAAAGAAATAGAAATAAATAAAACGCTCATTCATCATGGTCTCATCAAGCATCAACCAAAAACACAAAGTCACCACCCAAATCCAGATCCAAATCCAAATCCATTCCATATCCGCGCCAGAAAGACTCTTCCCGAAATTTAAAATGGAGAAAAAAAAAATAAAGGAAAATTGAGAAGGAAAAAATCTCAGACTCCCCCACACCTTCTGGAGAATATCCCCTACATAGTAACATCAGACTCAAACCCATAATGACCAACCGAAGAACCAAGAGAGTCCCACGGAACAGAAGTAGGAGCAAGCCAGTTCTGTGGGTGTAGATGGACCCCAAAGCTTGATTGCATGGTCGGGTCACTGCAGGAGGAAGAAACAGTCGGGACAGGAGAGAGGGATTGTGAGTGAGAGAAGGCGTAATTGTCAGGGATTGCGATGGATGAAAGGGGATGGCGGGAGAGTAGTAAACATTTGAGGGTGGTGGATGGGTGTTTGAGATTGAATAGGAGTCTGAGTCTGAGCCCGGGCTTCGCTTTGAGCTTGCTGTTTCTGAAGTTGGGTATATTGCGTTGATGCAACCTCACTATAAATCATTAGCAACCAGTTCATACCCAGTGAAAGGGGAAGGTAAGATAGGAGAAAACATACATAATCTGTCGTACGACGGGAACCGCCTTGCTGCAAAAGGTACTTCTCACGGACAATGAAGCAAATAGATCGAGAGCTTTGCTGAGAGTTTCCTTCGTCTCGTCAAATTCAGACGAGCTCTCTGGGTTCATAAGGCCAATGGCTAGAACCACGGCGGCATGGAATGCATGGAAACTGCCCAACCCGCTTGTATACCATTTATACGGCGCTGCAAACTGTGGAGATTCCAATAGGGTCTGGAAATTAGATAGTGATCTCTTGGCCATGGACATGCATTTCCCCCGCGCGGTAATTGTTTCGGTCGTGACTTCGCCTTGCAAGAAGCGGCAAAGCTTAGGCCGGAGAAGGAGTAGGAAGAGTTGGTCGATGTGGCTGTGGAGAATGCGGAGATTTGCTTGGTGATGAACTGGAAGCGACTCTTGGCTACCGTTGCTATCTTGGTAGCGTACGTCACAGGTTTCACGGATGGAGTAGAGCTCGGCTTCGAGCTGGGAGGAGCTAAATCTTGATTGCGGGTAGGTGAAGATGGTTTCGCAGATTCTGTTGGAGATTTTGTAAAGACGGGTAGAGAGAAGGAGGTAGGTCATTTGAGTTGGGCGTGCGAGAGAGGGTGATGAGGTTGATGAGAGGCCGGAGCCTGTGAGGAGGTCGACGTCGTCGACATCAATGGGCATCTTCACATCTTGGGGTAGCATCGACTGATCCAGGCTTCCGAAGGAGGAATTCTGAATGGTGTATAGCATCATCATTCCGGCCCAGGCTCGTCGTCGTTCTTCTCGCTCTATAGGACCCAGTGGGAATCTCTCTGGATCAATATGACATCCCATGGAAATGGCGACATGGTGGGTAAAGCCCAATAGTGTCCAAAAGGGCAGACCACGGTGGAGACGTGCATAGCTGATCAGAACCAACGCTTGGAGAGAGTTAATCGAGTGACGAGTCATAACCCCATCAGCAGCCAGGCATCTTAGTGCAGCAGAGCGATACCGTGCTGAAAGCACTTTGATATTCCGACTGACCGTTCTCTCACGGCCAAGATCAGACAGAAGAGGATCATCGTCCTCTAATGCGCTGACGGCAATAGCGAGCATCGCAAACATCAG